GGGGGGTCCCGGCTGGGTCAGATGCTTACTTCAAGTCTTCTTCTGCATCGAATTTCTTTGGCTTTTTTGGACAGCAATCGCAGATGAAGTAGTTGCCAAAGCGGGTGGCAGGCGATAGCGACATCCTGGAATCGTTGACGGCGCTTTGGATAGACATGGTCCGACGAGGAGATTTTGAGTCGAGAGGAGATTGGGTAGGGTGAGATCTAGATGGGGCGACTGACGTGGCAGGGCTGGAAACAGGATGGGCCGAGGTTATGTATGCAGTTTGTGAAGGATCTAGCGGCGACTGTCTGTCAAAGGAGGAGATGCTGGTCATACTGCTGGCGGCCACTGAAAGGGTGAGGGAGGACGCGTATGAATTTTGTCTCACACTCGAGGTTGTCGAGGACACCGATCCATGTTGTGGCCGGTAGGGCGACGCCGGTGACCGTGCAAACGATGCCGTTTGAATTCTTGGGAGTGATTCTGCTGATGAAAGACCATGTGCTGGCGATTTGTCGTCTCTAGCCACCTCGGATGGTGGTGACAGCGCCCGCCGCTTCATGCCTTGCTGACAAGATCGTCGTCCAGCCTGCTGTTGCGAGTCGCTGCAGTTCAAGTTGCGGAATGCGCCGCATTCGTCCACGGCGAGGTCTGATTCTGCTTCAGCAAAGAATCCTCGATCATAGCTGCCGCGTTGAGACCGACTTGCCAAACTAGCTGCATCTTCGTTCCCTAGAATTGAGCCAGTTGTGGAAATGAGGCCGCTAGGTTGAGGCTGCATGAACAGCTCCGGATCCAGGACCAGCGATGCAGCCGCGCTGTCTATGGAAGGACTCCGGCGACCCATGTTGTAATCACGCCAACCAGGTCGTGACCCCGGTGACACGCCTGCTGATATCGGACTGGTAATCCATCTCGAAATCGGATCTAATGTTGCCGATGGAAGCTCATTGGCTGACAGCAGTTGGGCTTTGGGGTCCTTGATCTGCAGCGCCAGTTTTCGAGGAACCACGGGGGATTCATTCGAGCCGTATCGCTGAGGTCGCGGTGGTGAGTTAGGCTTGCCAATCTTGGACAGGACGCGCTGGTCGTACGCCTGCGAGGAGAGATTGAAATTCTGTTGTGCCAGGGGCATTTCTCCTTGAAGTCTAGAAATGAAGAGAGGTATCAGCTCATCGTATAGTCCATAGCGAGCCACCCGGTGGGGATTTGGCCCAAAGGGCAGCGCGGGGAAGAGGATATGATGGCGGCGCCGCAAACGAAAGGATAGCCATGAGCCATGACAGACCCGAGAGAAACAGAAAGGGAACCATTGCAAAGCATGCCATAGTGCTGACTAACCTCTGATTTGCCATGCTGGGTGAAGGCGGCTTTCGAGTCAAGGTTGGGACATGAGTACCCGTAGGCGTCGGAACGGTTACTCGTGTCGTTGACCTCACGGTCGACACATCACTGCCTCTGCGCGGATAGTCGTCGTCCAGGTCCATTTCACCATCGCGAGAACGACCAGAACTCCTCCTCGAATGCAGGTAGCCACCGTACAAGCTCGAGCTCGGTTTGATTGGGGCCAAACGTCTGGCAGTGCTGTTGAAAGGATCGCTGTTGGCCCAACTCCAAGCAACGTCTATTCCTTGATCCAACTCTTCATTGTATCGAGGAGGAGGGAGAGGTGGAGGTGGGTCATCGAAACGGGCACCTGGTATACTCATGGCTTCTCCAGGCCTAAGACAGCCGTCCGAGATCTGTGAGTCCGATCGAGAAGTAGATCGAGAAGTAGATCGAGGCATGGCAGTATTCTCTGCGTAAGAGGGTATCCGCACTGCAGCCGTGGAAGGCCTATGGGTATCCATGTCCTGTTTCAGCGTCACTGCAACATCGGGAGATGAGGAGGCGATCCGTAAAACTGATGGAGCACGGGGTTGAATGGATTTTTGACGGTGGCAAGTGCAGGTAGTTCCTTGCGGTCCCCAAAGGATTGGATATGCTTTGCGAGGTTCAGCTGAGCCAGACTGGCTTATTCGGCTCCGCCGTCTCTTGTAGTTGGATTTTCTGGGCTCCTTCTTTTTGTCTCAGCTAGCAAGGTGGTTCAGACGAGAACTTGATGTCGTGGGAAGAACGAATTATGTCAATATTCGGTGGACAGGTTGGGGCGACATAGATCTGCGGTAAGGACAGAACGTAGATTGAATCTTTCAAGTCCACAAGAACAGAGGCGAACTGTCGGACGGTCGAGGACCAGTAGGAGGGGATATTGAGGATATGAAGGGCCGTCTAGGAGGGGTTGGTCAAAGGGCCTGGCGAGCAGAAATCAGGCGGGCCGCAAGCAGACAGAGGAGTAGGACAAAGGGTCGTGGTGGTCGACATGCTGCAGTAGTTTGTGAGGTGATGGTGGTAGTTGCATATGGTTGGCTTGTGTGGCCTGCGGTCACCGATTTCTCAGGGAGCAGCAAGAATAGATGGGGACCAAACAGGACACCCCTACCGTCGTAGTAGCCAGGTAGTCGTTGAGCTTGTCTGGCCATGCACGAGTCAGCAGAAGGAGCTGGTCCAAGGAAGCAGTAGCAGTAGCAGCGGCGACGAGTTTGGGCGTTTGCTCACGCCCGGAGGGCTCCATCGAGGATGGGGGATTGGTCATGAGGCGAGGACGGAAGGCGGAGGGACGCACTGTGCCATCGATTGACATTATTCCTTTTTTCGCCGGCGAATGTACATTATGCAAACACCGACTGCACTAATAATAAGAATATGAGCCCCACGGCATGCCCTGCCAGACCCTAGGCCCGGCGGAAGCAACGCTAGAACTGGGCCAACCCTGATAGTTCGGCAGGGGTGGCGGCTGACATTTTGGGGGGTTCCCAGGCTCCTCAGGCTCTGGCGGCTGGCTAAGCAGGCCATTTTACGCTGTGAGTCTGTCGTGCCGCTCGGCACCAGGCGCAGGCTACCTTAGCCCCAGGCCTCGGCTGAGACCTGCGAGAGCCACTGGCCGTGGTTCAGCCCTACAAAGGTCAGATCGCACGGAGGGCTTCCGCCCAGTGGAGTCTCCTGATGGATTCCATGCACGGGCTCTTAAGGCACCGGAAAGCCTCTGAGAGAAGGGCTTAGGCAGGAAGGCTAAGGCTGATGAAGGCTCTTCAGGCCCTGAGGCCCTGCTTCAGCTGCTAACTGCTAACTGCTAACTACAGCAGATGCCAAGCGACCTGTCTCCTCCCCCCAGTCTGTCTTTTCTGCACGTTTTGACCTAAAGATTGACGACGGACCTCGACTACTGGTCGGCTTGCCTCGAAACTCCAACTGCAGCCTATGTATGTACATTGTACCTACACTTACGAGTCCCGTCCTGTCCGCATGGCGAATCGCAGCCACCCATCTTCGACCCAGCTTCGGTGAGCCACGAGGCTAAGGCCACAAACCCTTCGCATGACACCTCGCCTGCCTGCCCGTTCAACCCCCTTCCGCATTGGGACGCACGGCTCAAGTACGGTCTGACCTATGATTAATATTCTATGCTCGGCGGTGAGGTGGGAGGGCAGCAAATCGGCAAGCCCCTCGAGGCGCGAACGTGCGAGGTGGCCCCCAGCTCCTTGTCATGATTCGTGCAGACGTCTGGCGTCGCCCTATGACTTCAAAGTGGCACTTTGCCGCTGGAACATCACACAAAATCGGTGGGAGGCGAACCGCGGGTTGAAGGATGATTCGCAGTCACCGTGTGTCAATCTGGAGTTATGACACAATTTCAGCTTGACAAAACACCAACGCCATCTCACCCACGCGAATCATCCAGCTTTAAACCGTCTCGAGAAGCCACCGATCTATTTCTGCTTGAGCTGAGCCTTGTGACTTTGGGATAAACTTCATTGGTATGTACATAAGCGGGGCGCTACTAGAGAATAGACAGCATTTCCCATTCGTGTGCGGTGACATGGAGGACTCGAGAGATCTATTAGGCAAACGCGCGAGCCTCGAGTCGTGCCCTTCACCCAGACAGCACTTGTCCCAATGGATTTGACATACATCTTGTCTTCCAAAGTTCACCATCGTGGCCTCGTACTGGTGCTGGTCGCGCCCTGAACACCCTTGTTATTGACCAGAGAACGCGAGCTTATTGGGTTTTCGGATGCCATTCGTCGGCCAATTCAACCCATGAATTAGAGAGACCAGCAGCAGAGCTACTGGGTCAACTCTGGGTCACAAAGCAGCGGCAGCTGAATACCCAATGACCTCAAGGTTCGTTCCTACCTCTTCACTGGCCATCGGCTCACGTCAAGTGACACTAATTACGAGGAGCCGTGATGGATGGTTTACATCCCATGATCGACCAGGCATCGGTCAGCAATAATGCCTTCGCGGAGAAAGCATCCAACAAAGAACCTTAGGCTTGCGAACCATTGAGGGAGGAAAGTCGGGTCATATTTCTGTCATATTAACATGTTTCCTGCATGTCCAGACTCGCTTAAGCTTTCTGGTTTGTCCCGGGGTTGATAGGTGCACCCAGAATGTATGTGCTTCGCATGCTTTGTGCCTCCAGTCTCTCTGAGAGTTGCCGTTTCTTCTATCCGAAAACATCCTTCACTAGGTGGGAGCGAGGCACGAGGTGGGTGTGTGGGGAACATTCAGATTTCGCAAAATCAATCCCTCCATTACTGGCTCCTCCAGGCTGTGCCTTCTGGCGCCTCTGGCTCTAGGGTTCTTTGAAAACCTGTGGTGCTACTCTGCCGTTTGAGGGTTGAGGATCTCGATCGAACAAGTCCTGTACGACGACAGTGGCACAGTGGATTGGAGGCTCGAATTTCGGAGGGTTTCAGATACTGTGGAGACGATGGACGAACGTATCAATCTCGAATCATCGATTTTCGCTGCGAGGTGTTTAAGCTAGCAAGGCTTGTGAAGGGGGAGCCGCGGTCAAACCCCGGGGTCTGGCAACGAATGATCGAGAAGGTTTCCCTCAGCGTCAGGGTTTCGAATAGCTGGGCTGGCGTCGGAGGAACAAACTACACACAGGCAAACCCCCGGTGTGGCCCCTGGCAACTGTTTGGCGGCAGTCAAGCAGGTTTGATCAACAGCAGGTAAGGCGCTAATAGTGTCCAGGCATGTGTATGCTAATACGGAGTACGGAGTACGGAGTACAACATACTGTAACCAGTGGTGTCTCAACCCAGGCGTGGGCTCAGACGCAAGCATGTCCACAACAAATGTTCCAGAAGGATGCCGTTCCAAGCCGGTTCTGACAGTGGACACTAGACGGTGGCGGTGGCCGATTGATCACCATCCACAGTCTGCGCCACATCTCCCATCGTTTATTCGGAGCCAGTCTTCCTTCGAGAATACAGTGCATGTTGCGAACATGGTGGCCAACATCAAAGCCACCTCACCTGCACACTGCTTGGTGCACATCTCTGGCTGTCGTGTCCGACTAACAGGTGTCAAGGTGGGGAGATGGCTGATGGTAAATGGTAGATACTCTGCACACGTCCTAGTAGTAGTAGCCCACTGGCATGGCGTAGCATCTGATAAGGATGATGCCTCAGTCCGCAGCTGAGTGCTTGCAGTGTTCACCTGGCACCTTCGATTTGCAGTTGAGGTTCAAGTCGCTCCTGCCTGACTTCGGACTCAGTTCTTGGCATGGAGCCGAGGCAAAAATCTTAATCCGACTCCGACTTGAGTTTGCCGACGACGCTGCATGTTCGCCGCCTCTTCCTTGTTCTTACTGTACCTTAATGCCCAGTCTTCAGTCTTCCCCATCACACCACTGCCCTGATAGAACAAGGATACACAATCAACAAGCAGACCATGCAGATCAACTGAGCACAAATCCCTGTGTTTCTCGTTCCCTTTCGCACCGCGTCCAGCCGACAGTGCACCGCTGTTCCCTCTTCGCTCTTTTCCGCGCTTTGGGTTCTAGCGCCGTTCAAGTGCCGTGCACTGCACCGGTGCCTGGTACCTGGTGCCTGGTGCCTAGTTCCTCAAGGAACAGCAGGGATCATTGAATATTTTGGTCTTCGCCTTTCTCTTTTCAAGTTTTGGCTACCGCCCGGACCAGCATGGATCTGCCAATCTTACCCAGCAAATGCCCTGGTCATAACATCTACATCGACGGGTACGTGTGGTCTACATAGATTTCAAAAATTCACAGCCCGAAGTACTGACCGACCTTTGTGCTTGTTGCAGGTTTCATGCCTTGAGGCATCCGAAGGCTTTGCAAGAAGCCAACATCACTCATGTCGTTTCAGTCATTGATTGGAAGTTCCCCCAGGGCTGGGCTCCGCTTCGTGGGTTTCAACATCTACGCATTCCCCTAGATGATGTCTACGACTCGAACATCATTTCATACTTTCCTCAAAGCAATGCCTTCATCAATCAAGGTCTGAACTATTGGCCAGCCGATCAGTCATCGGGCTCTGATTGCTCACCCGGCGAAACTGGCGACAAGCCTCGTCAAAGTGGAGTTCTCGTTCACTGGTAGGTCATGAAATTCTGTTTCGCTTCACTCCTCCACACTCCAGTCGTCTGCCCGCATCATACATCTCTGGCATACTTGTGTGCCTGACCTCACTTCGCCGCCCTCCATATATGGATTGGTGTGACAGTGAGCCGGGTGTGACTCGGCCCATTCAACCCACTGACCCAAATCAACCACTCCTCGCCCTACCCTAGCTGTAACATGAGCACCACCCCGTTTCGGCGTCGCCGAGTGTTCTTTTACCCTTTTTTTGCTTTGGAAATTGTATTGCATAGGAAGGCACCGGATGTGCGCAACCGGGAAACTCCCTACTGTTGAAGGTGGTGGCTGCGTCTTGGCTCCAGCTTTTGCCACGCTGACAGCCCGAGCGTTCTTTACCGCCACTTGGATCCCGGTTGGCAGCTTGTTAGCCATCAGAATTGCTGGGCATGTGAAACTTCTCTGTTCGGGTTCGATCCAAGGGCCCGGGGATGGTCGCCTCTAATCGCCGTGCCAGTTCAACTATAGGAGGTCGAAGGCACACGAGGCTTCATCACGTGACTAGTCCCCCCAACCAGGCTTCGGCAAGGCGATTTGAATCTTCCATGTCCTATATGCTGCATATCCAATTCGTCTCTACTCATGGTTGAAGCTGACAATCTCGTCGCAGTGCTATGGGCGTGTCCCGTTCCGCCACCATCGTAATAGCATACCTTCTATGGCGCTCCCGCCAGCCCGCCACAATCCAGAAACCTAGCTCCAGTTCCCCTTCATCACCACAAGGCCCAGCCTCACGGTCACTGTCAACAGACTCAACATCTTCTACTCCAGATATGGTCTCGCTCCCACCGACGCCGTTAACAGTAGACTCGGCGCTCGCACTTGTGCGGGAATGCAGACCCCAAGTGGAACCCAATTCGGGCTTCATCAAGCAATTACGCATGTATGAAGCCATGGGGTGCCCAACCACTCAAGAACAGCTGGAGTCGCACAAAATCTACCGCCGTTGGATGAATTCACGCAATGTAATGGACGCCCTGAGCGTGAACCGTGCCCCTGAAGTAGAAAACATCACTTTTAGGGATGAGGAAGATGAGGACGACCAGCTGGAGCAGAGCCAGACTCAATCCATAAGACACGCGCTGGACGATCTGAATATCAACACTACTGACTCCGAGATCACGAATCCGGACATTGCCGTCTCTTTGTCTTCTCGACCCCCAGCTGGCCCATCTCTAGACATTGAGTTGAAATGCCGCAAATGCCGCCGACTGCTCGCAAAATCGAATTTCATCATTCCTCACAAGCCACCTGCGCACCGGGACCCGTCATCGGGTTCATCAGCAGAACCATGCGCTCATATCTTCCTACATCCACTGTCGTGGATGAAGGATGTCCTCGCGCAAGGCGAGCTTGATGGCCGCCTAGCCTGCCCAAACCCGAAGTGTGGTGCGAACATTGGCAAGTTTGCCTGGCAGGGCTTGCGCTGCAGCTGTGGCGGTTGGGTGACGCCTGGGTTCGGAGTTGCTCGAAGCAAGGTGGACGAGGTGCAGGCTACGCGGAGCAAAGGCGCCTCTAGAGAGAACGGTGGCGGAAGAGGCCCAGTTTCTACAGCCCTAGCAGATGCTGGGGTGAGATTACCACCGGGAATGAAGAGGAATGGACATGGTAGTTTGTAGCGCTGCCATCCCTAAGCAGGACCAGCGCCCTGCTGTTCGGTGCCACAAGGTGGACGTTTCTTCACGCCACACCGATACATTCGAAGCAAGATACAACGAGGTGACGAGTGCCATATCGACCAATTCGACTGTGGAGACAGATGCTGAACTCGAATAGATCAGAAATCCTTGCCCAAGATGCCCTGCAGTGAGAGAGGGAGGCCGCTGAAGAGACCAGCAAGTTGCTACTCTTAGACTCCCAGCTCGCACACACAGGCCTAGCTTCGCATGCTTCGGTATGATCCCACCTTCCAGAGGAGGAAATGAGAATCTTTGGTCTCCATGATCATGCATCGTTGGCTGAGCAAATGTTTCATGGAAATAGACTCTAGAGACCTTCTCATTTCGGTATACGCTCAGGCCGGCGCCAATGTTGTTCAGGCCAACCATCCGATGACGGATTAGCTGCATGTCTGACTCCCACCAGCCACTGGCTGCCGCTGCACGAATCCTTCCTTTGGCTGACCATATTCCCTTCTGGGCAGGAGCATAGCATCCTCCGGCTGCTTGGTCCTGTAGGCGCACAGCCCTTTCCTTGGGGCAGGCCAGGAAAACATTTCCCTGCAAGATCACATCACACTGGGCCGTACAAGTCTCAGTGGGTCGAGTCATACTATGGATCGACGCTTTTGCCGGCAGTTCCAGTGTAGACCGGCTGTCAGGAAGATAGTATTCCCTTTAGACGACATCAAGCGGCCGAAGTATGCCCATACTCTCTTCCGGAGAATTCAACGGAAATAATGTGCATTGGTATTGCTTTCGTGTCGCGTATAAGTCCTGCAGGGATGTGGAGATGGAGATGGTCATTTGTCCTCAGGATGGTCAAGGCAAGCGAAGAAAAGTCAGTCCGAGCTTGAGCTTGAGCTTGAGCATGACTCGAGCATCGCCATCGCCATCGCCATGGTTCGCTCGCCTACTTCCAACTTCACAAGGTAACTAACTAACTAATGTGTGGAGAGTAGATTACCGCTGCTCAGCCTTGTGAGGCGCCTCGCTCCTGCGGTCTCGATCTCGATGCCGACGAGCCAGCGCATCTCGTGGGCCAATGTCACCCTATGCACAGTGCACACTGCGAAGGGCACCGTCACCGTCACCAGTCCGCTCCATTCGTAAACGTATCCGTATATTCGGTAGCCGCATATCGAGATCTGTACTCCTAAGGACTTCTGATTTCTAATCCTATGAAGCCGGTATGCTCAAGGTGGATTGTACTTGACTGGCTGGGAGTAGCATGGGCATGGGCATGGTCATGCCTCTCGGAGACTAGCTCGGTGCGTGTCATGGTCGAAGGATGTGCATTGTGATGAGATGAGTGGCGGCGACGAGGACCAGGACCAGGACCACAGAAAAAGGAAAAAGGCTTGTGAAGGAATACGGAGAGTCTACTTGACGAGAAAGTGACTGGATACTGCATATAGTATGATTTGATGTATCCGTATCATGCCGAGGTCAGCCTTGCAGTATACTAGTAGTAGTATAGTATGATCGATCGGGGCCTGCTATGTCCGATTGCCCGACCGAGCGGCCTGACTAGTTATGTGTACAGTGTAATTAGTCGTTTTCCGACGGCATTGTTTTTGCCTTTTGGCGGCCTGAAACACTACATACTTAGGTAGTGATAGTGATGGACAGGCGGGGCACGCAACTGAAGAGCCAAGTTCGGCCGTTCGTTGCGATGGCCCTAAGACGCGGTATGGCTAAGACGGTGTGCGCCTGCTCGCATCGATATCCGAATGCGAGCAAAGCTGCCTGCCTTGGCTGACATGACGGGGAGTAGCGTCTGGGCGGGGGGCCGTACGCACAGGCTGAGTCCGAGTCATCAGCCGACTCATGACTTCGTCTTCCCTCTTCCCGCTTCCCTCTTCCCGTGTCTTGACTTGCATAAGGCGATGCGATGCGATGCGAGCTTTCTCCCTTTTTCAGGTATGCATGTCGCAGGCAAAAGTGTGACCACCATCCCCACGTGTCGTTGCGACACAGGTCGAACCGGCTGAGGGGCGACTTAGGCCTTTCCTTTGGACTCGGTCAATCCGAGTCCCAAACACAGATCTGCCGGCCCTTTCATGCCCCTCATGCTGGAGGGGTCGATAGTGTGTGCACAGAGTGCGCCAATGTCCCACCCGCCGGACCTTAGTGCTGACGGACGAAGCTAAGACTTAGTCTCGTCTGAGAGACGAAGCATAAAGCTTGGAACGCGGCGGCGAGTGAGCGAGGATCGAAAGCGGTAGTCGGATCACTGTCTGCGAGCAGGCGACTGGTGGGTGCGGCACCTTGTTGGTCATATCTAGCCAAATGCGCCGGTGGTAATACCTACCATACCTACCCCAATCTCTCGAGAAGGAGTTGGCTGGTATTGCAGCTGCTGCTGTAGCGACAGCGCCAGCGACGACAGTGCAAGAGAGGTTCCATATGCTTTGCCGCTTCCTGGGATGCGAATTCGAGGCTGCGTGTTCGCTGGTCCTGGTACTTCAAGCGATATCTCCTTTGGGAACGGCAGGAAACAGATTCGGGTCTTTCATCCGCTGTTGGTTTCTTCTTGCCTGTTCCAGCTTCCGAACTCTATCCATTCTCATTTGATAAAAGTTTCTGATACAGACGCCGGAGTCAAATGCGTGAACACTTCTGCCTTGACTTGAAGACTCACCTGTGCAGTGCATACACGCGAGCAGCCGAGGCTGCATCCGCTTTGTCATCGGAGTTGGCTCCAGATTGGACAGCCTTGATCTGAAGGATGTCAGAACCGGACGAGCTGAGCTTCGTATCTGTCGACCAAAAACAGACCTTGTCATCCCTTTCCTTCTCAGCCTTACTGTCGTCATCATCGTCCTTTTTCTCTTTGCCTTTCTCCTTGCCTTTCTTTTTCCGCTGCTTCTCTTCATATTCTTGCTTGATCTTCTCGATCTCTTGGTCCATCAGTTCTTTCCGCTTCTTGGCGGCTTCAGCTTCCTGATCGACGATGGGCGAGGCAAACCCTCTATCATTGAGGTGGGAGACACATATGTAGAAAAAGTCCTAGCAATAGTCGTTGGTACGGAAACCAGAGGGAACGAGAAACGACAGGAATCATAATGTCGGTTGGTTGATGGCAGGTAAGGGTAAGGCATAGCTACCTTATTGTCAGGTGTTATGAGCACCTTGGCTGTAGGTTTATGGCAGACGTAGCAGGCTTTAGAAGACGCCTCTGCCACGGTTCGCAAATGATAGACATTGGCAAATGGTGTCGCCATGGTCAGGACAAGGATAAAGGTAGCCCAGGTTCGGAAGTGGCTGCTTCTTTGCTTCTTTACTTTCAGAGACTTGCTACGGCCGACACGGGCACCGGCGCCGCGGGGGGGATGCTGTTCCAGCTACGGAGTACGTTGAGAGAGGGATGAAGTGTGATGTGACGGGGACGAAGATGAGATGGAGGTGCACATTCGACGTGTCGTTTCTTTGGGGCCTATCAGCGCCGTCTATTTCAACTGTCCTAATCCTTTCTTGGTTCAAAGTGTAGAGTTGGGAGTCTGGAGAAAATATTCTGTCTGACCATTCCATATTTGTGCCATCATCAAGAACTGATCGTAACGACATGATGGACACGATATGGTCGACTACGAGAACCGCGCAGAAAATAGTGGTACAGGTCTAGAGATACTAAGATGGTGATATCAAGGCACAAGGCACCCAGTGAACGCTCGCGTCATCTATACGCTAGCTTTGGCTTGCTGTCCAGCGCGCCGGAGACTGCGGGACTCCAACTTCTGTTGCTGAGCAAAAACACCAGTTCCAATGGCAGGCCGCTCGGGCTCTCCTTCAGATTGAGCAATCTCCTTTATCGAGTCGTCTTCCACTTTACTGATTGACCCTTCAAACGCGGCAGTTCTCTGAGTCTGCTCAGCCACCACTTGCCGGCTCCACCTCTCCCAATCGTTGTACATCTCATTCTCAATCTTCATGCCGATCTGGATGGCTGGCTTGCCAAACTGAGCCCCCATATGCCTGGCTTCCTCGGCAGCGATTCTGTTCCTCGTCTCTTCCTGTCGGCGCAAAGAATAGAATTCTTTTCGGGCAATGTCGTACGCCTGTGAGACTGTAATGTCCGGGACATTCTGGAGGAGCCAGAGTTGTCTCTGGACGACGGACTCGCCTGACAGAGGGACGCCTGGTTGGATCAAGCCGGTCGACCAATCTGCGTTCTTGTATTGATCTCCAGAGGTTTCAAGCACGACCCGAGGCCGGGCAAGCTCCCAAGGATGATCGCTGAAGAACCTTGACCGTAGAGAGTCCTCTTCATATTGTAACCTTTTCGGCATAAACAGATGTCGATCTTTCAATGTTTTGCGCTTCCTCGGCTCCACCACTTGCACATACTGTTCTGTCTTCCCGCTGGGGAGCGAGCGGGTGCGGACTTTCGTCAAAGGATGTTGAAGAGACGGCTGGCGGACCAGGATCTGGGCGGGAGGGATGTCGCCGACGATATTCAGCCAGCTCGGCTGCTGCGTAATCTGTTTTGCTTTGAGTTTCGCTACTGCAGTTCTGCGGACGTTGAGTGCCGTGAGGGAGATGCGGCCCATGTTGGGCAACCGGGTTGGACTGGCGGTTGTTGGTTGTTGGTTGTCGGTCAGGCGGCGCAAGCTATTCGCATGCGGGCGCAGTCGCTGAGGAGGACGGCGTGCTCGTGCTCGTCCGCGACGACCGCTGTCTGCTGGAGGACCGCGAAGGGCGTAGGCGTAGCGTGTCTTACTGCCAGTGCTCGTGCTCGTGCTTGTCGTTTCAGTTGATCTAAGTTATGCAAGGTACCTAGGTGTAAGGTAGCGCCGACTTGGATCTGGATTGAAGTTCGAATTCGAATTCGAAATCCCAAGCTCGGGATTTGATTTGGCTGCGGCGAAAAAGCGCGCTAGGCCAGTTAGTCGTAAGTGGCTCCAGAGGAACTTCGACGGCCGCAGGACACAGGATGCAGGAATTCAGTCAGTCAGTCTCATACAACTCAACTCCAGCCCGCTGCCTCTCCCGGTCCCAAACGCAGTCCGGCATCAGTATGTGCACAGGCACATGCATCCATCCTCCAAGTTGGCCCGGTGCAGGAGCATTCGAAATGCGGCCTCGATAGCACCTTTCAATTTCACCCTGTGCGATTTCCTCGCGCCCACCGTCTCCATCTCCTCCTCTCACACGCTGTCCGGCCCTGATCCAAGACCCAGAGCATCTTCTATTGCTGTGTGCCGAGATAACGTTGCGGCCGTGGAGTCAATTTTCTATGATGCTCTGTCACACTCGGCCAGATGTTGTGTTGTGGCCGCCGCATCGATCTCGACGGGGAAGGAGAGCTCTCCCAGCAGCAGCAGCAGCAGCACCCGCACGATCAAGACCAGCATTTCACAGAGACCAAGAGACAATCAGGCGAGGCACCGGTCAATACCATGGGCACAGCGCCGTGGCATCAGCAATCATGTCGCCCCAGACCGTCCATCCTCCTTGAGCGGATCCGAGCTTTTTGAGCTAGAGTCAAGCCAGAACACGACCAGCACTAGCCACGAGGCGTCCGTCGATGTCCAAAAACGTGGTTTTGCAGCAAGAAGTCCGCCGCCTGCGCGACCCCTTGGCGACGTAGACATTCTGCAAAATAAGGTAGAGGAGATAGGCCCGGGATCTGATCAACATGGGACAGACGACTCGCAGCCTACGGTCAACGAGCACTTACGACTACTCAAGTCTGTAAGGGAACTAGAAGACAAACTGGGCAAGGCAAAGGCTGATTTGGCCGCTTCAATGCGAAGGGGACGTGATCAACCGGCCTTAGAGATATCCCAGCATCGGAAAAGACCGACAGTGCAGCTGTCAAAAGAGGATTACAAGAATCTGGTCGACCTGTACTATTACACCAATCGAAGTCGGTTCGACCCTGAATCGTCAGACTTGTCGCCTACACCAAAATTTCTCGAAGATTATAGTTTCAAGCTGTCCGAAGACTTTGCGCCGCCCCAAGCCTACGCCGAGTTCTACGACCACGACCAAGAAGGCTACCAGTCGCCTCTGAAGGAGATTGAACAGATATTGAAGTCGAGACAGCTGCGGGAGATATCTGTCACGAGTGATTTTGTCGACCTACTCCTTGATGACCATTCAACCAATGTTGCCCTTTTTCAGGCGTACAAAAGGCTGCCGCAACCGGGGGTAGCCTTTCTCCCTCGGGGGGTAACCAGGGTGTTCCTGCAACGCATGGCAACGCCCTGGCAAAAGAGCGAAAAATCCATGATCAGATACCTCTCGCTCATTGACGATATGCAGAAGGCGGGGCTGCCAATCACAAAAGCAGAATGGGCGTCGGCAATATACCTCGCTGGAAGATCCTTCAGCAGAGTCACAGAGACTGATATGGTCAACTCCTTCCGAATATGGAAGCAAATGGAGCAAGAAGCCGGCGTCAAAGCCCACCATGTCACCTTCAACATTCTTTTCGACATCGCGGTCAGGGCAAACAAGTATGCCGTTGCACAGATGGTGCTCAAAGAAATGCACGATCGTGGCCTCCGATTGAACAGACTTGGCCGTGTTAGTGTCATCTACTACCATGGGCTTCGAGGAGACGGCGATGCCGTAAGAAAGGCCTATCGGGACTTCGTGGACGCGGGCGAGATCATTGACACGCTCGTCCTCAACTGTGTGATCGCCTCACTATTCAATGCACAAGAACCGGCGGCCGCAGAGCAGGTATATGAACGCATGAAAAGCCTTCAGCTAGAACTGCGTCGAGGAAAGCACAGAGATGGCAAGTCCGTATTGTACAGACGCTATCCCGGCCCTGGATCGGAGGTGATTGAGCACGAGATGGCCGCAAACTCTCTAGGCAGGACATTGCTATTCGCTGCACGCCTGAAGAAGATGTTACCCGAACAGCACGAGGAGTTACAGAACGCCATGCCGCTGACGCCAGACCATACAACCTTTCGTACCATGATATCTTACCACGTTAATGTCTCGGGCAATCTGAATCGAATCACGGTGCTGATGGATGAAATGTCCAAGCTGTTCAAATTGCCATTCCAGAGTATCACCTTTCAGTTGCTGTTCAAGGGCTTCGCATTGCACGGAGCCACTAGCGATCCCGATGCTACGTGGAGTGTGAAACGACTCGACCTCGTATGGGATGCGTGTCGACGAGCCATCAAAGAGGGACAGGCAGCTCGACGGCGTCTGCCTTCCAAGCCATTGGAGCCGACGCTTCCATCAATTCGCGCTATCAACCATCTCGGAATGGCGGATGAAGGTGCACAGGAGCAACGAGACGAGAAAAACCAGAGAGGCCTGAAGCGTATGAGCATGTGGAACGATTTTATCCTCGATCTTGCCTTGTTCCCGAATGAACGGCGGAAACATATTGAACGAGTCCACGCCGAACTTTTTGACGAGGAGAAAGAGGGTAAAGGCGTGAAAGCATTGATCTCGAGAAGCGTCGAACAACTATCGTCGCACGCACAGCAAACATATTACCCGTTGGGCGAGGCCAAGTATGACCAAGAAGAAGGCGAATATGTCTTACCTCCCCCAAGTGCAGCAGTCGATCCGTCTGGAGGAGCAAGGCACCAATCTTCTGAATCTTATTTGCCCGACGCTGCTTCTTCACATAATGAAGTCGACGGTTCCTCACGTCATGCAGACCGGCTTTCGGACACCGGGGCACAACACGAACACAACCACGCGGATGAAAACTACGACGAGACAGACAGCCAACCCATCCCGGTGACCTCGCCTTACCAAGTTCAAGCGACACGACCGTTGATATGCTGGCTCCTGCGCGCGTATACGCGGTGCACGGGCTCACGGGCCAAGGTAGAAGAAGTGTGGAACTCGGTGCGCAAAGTGTGGAAGACAAGGGATCCTATTGAGCGGGAGAACGTGGTTCGCGTGCTCCGCAGGTGTCTGAGGGATTGCGATCGGTTTGGACCGCCTTTGTGATGTGAGCAAAGCAAAAGCTTGTGCCGACAGCGACAGCCACAAGCCGAGGGCTTTGTGGAAGGTGACGATTTATATGTATATAATACGATGACCCCCATAGAGAAGCCATCAACATGGGCACGTGCCCAACCAAATTCCTGCTTAGTGTGTGACTTTCCAACAAGAGCTCGGTGGACTTTTGCTTACCACCACAAGTCCCCTTTCTTATACGGCATATCAACGGAATATGCAATACGACCTACGTCTAAGGTTATACGCTACTCGTGAAGAGGGGGGCAGATGTTTTGTTGAAAAGGATGCCGAAATTTCATGGTAAATGTCCGAGTAGAGAAATCCAAAACTGCCCATATTAGCCTATGGGAGAGAGCAGTCTATCACGCCCAGAGGCCCGGAGTCTATTCGTACAGTAAACAATACAGTGCCTTCACTTGCCATCTCCCTGTATTGCCAGTTCGCCATACTCCATCACACCTCTTTCCAGTACTCCCCCAAAGCAGAGTAAGCTGGGACATCGCCAGACAATCGCGCCGACTTCCACGCCCCCTACATAGTGAATTCAGAAATCATAATCCACTTCCAACCCTCACTTTCAAAGACAAGGACTCGGATACCGTATCTTGACCCTCTGAAACTTGGTTAAGTGCCATGCTTACTGACATGACCGGTTTCGCTTTGTTGAGCTCGGCATCGATTCCATAGTCGACTTCCTGTTCTTACAATTCTCTGCAGTCGTGCCGTTGAGGTCGCGTCGTTAATGACCAGATTGGGTTTCGACAATTCTCAGCATGTCCGGTAAGATTGACTGCTGTTCAATCGACATCCAATTTTTATATCTTGGTGTGCCACAACCAGTAATGTCCGCTCTTCTCGCGGACGATTTGCAGTAACAAGAAATATCAACCATACTTGCTGGTAAAGTCATGGCTGTTGCTGTACTTGCGGGGCAAGGGACTTTGTTGGTTTGTAATATCTGATCCGCAGTGAGATTTATCATCTATACGACCATGATCTCGCAGTCTCTAAGAACGCGTCGTTCTCTCTTTTGACACGTTCCTGGTAGTCGTTGGCAAGGAGCTGGCTTCCCTCACTGGTAAAGGCGGTCTCCACGGTATTCGTAGTGTAATTAGACGATCTCGTCGAAGCAGTGCTTGTTATTCCCATGCCATACGCACCGCCGATATAACCCCTCTCATATGCCAAAGGTTTGAGTACTGAGGCGTCGTAGCGTTCGATGAAGACCTTGTCCAGATCTCGATCTTTGGGCTTCGAATACTGCTCGTACTCTTCGATACAAGCTTCAAGAGTCCAGCCCGTCACCTTGCGAAATGCAGCACAAATTGTTCCACTTCGATGCTTGCCCTTGTTGCAGTGGATGAGCATGGGATAATTGGCCGGGTCGAGCATCAGTTTCACCACCTTATTGACGATTTCGTCCGGGGAATATACCGTGGGGTCCTTGTTGGCGAGGATTGGGATGTGGTGATGGACGATGCCATTAGATGAGATGAAGTTTTCAAATTCGAGTGGAAGAGGTTGCGGGACGAGAGTGATAATAGTTTTGAGTTTGAGGTCAGCAAGCAGTTCAAAGTGTGCGAAAAGAGGGTAGCTTGATCGGTAGAGGCCAGGAGCGATGACTTGAAAGTTTACTGGATGTCCTGAGCCGTCTGGACTAGGCGGTTGAGACTTGTCGAGCTCGATGGTCGCCAAATCGTTTCCGACATTCAAGGCAGCCAAGGATGCCGCGATTCCATCAGCGTCAACCCACTGGTCAGGCATTTTGTAAATGCAGCTACCTGATCCGTAGACGAAAGTGGTGAGATTTGAGGAGAGCGAAAGGGCTAATCAGCGCCGAGTTGTCGGTGTAAAAGAGATTCCTGGCAGAGGAGCTGGATTCGAGCTCAATTCACGACGGCACGAGATCCCGTATGTGGGTTAAGAAGAAGCGTCTGCCATGAAGTGCTGGTTGAAGAAATACAGTCACCAGGTTGAAGATATAGAGGAGGCGGGTTCCCAAAGAAAAAAGAGAATGTGCGAGTCGGGCAAAGATGGTCTCCGGACAGAAACACAGGTCCTCCAACAGGAGGACCTTGACCCGGGGGAGAGGTTGAGGCTGGGTCGCGACGCGACTATTAAAGCAACATCTTATTTTGGGTGGTGCGACGATGTACCGGCGGGCACGCCTGGGACTTTCGGATTGCTGAAAAGTTGTCTTCAGCGCCCGACGAACTGAGTTCGCGGATTCTGGGCGACGATAGCTGTATAGGGAATAGGGAATCGAGACGGAGGAGAAAGAGGAAGAGGTTTGGCGTTCTAGAGCGGATGAGACAGCTATCTTGACCTGAAACCGTCGGTACAAGATCGGAGAGCAAGAGGATGCATGCTTGCGGTGCGTCCTGGAGAGCTCTGCATCGAGGGCGCTACAGAGGGAGGAGTTTGGGTCGACCGCTCGGGCAGAAGCATGATGAGGAAGGTTGTAGAGGAAGAGGAGTTGAATTCATTCGAAGGGGGGACGGAGGAAGAGGATCAACCGGCGGACAAGGTTCGGTAGGTTTGCTATTGAGTGGTTGGTGCGATGTATGTTGTGTGTGGATTCCAGAACAAACGCAGGCGGAAGCGAAGCTGCAGAAGTTTTACCCTGTACGAGATACGGGAGTACCTTAGGATCTGGGGGCAGAGCGAGGCACGTGCCTGCCACTTTACGCGTGACGCGCCTAGCGAAGCTGAAGCGGTGAAGCGAGACGCGCTAGTCCCGTTCGCGTAGTTTTATCTCCGCCGCCCTCGGGCCTAAGGCCTGCCACGACGCTGACCACACAGCTGACAATAGCATAGTAGGAAGAGGCAATCGAGAATCGAGATACCGAGATACAGTATATCAGATCAGCTAGAGGCAGTTGATATGGGTTGTGCATCATGGACCGGTCGTTAGTCAGCAATGGATGTGATGGATTCCCGGCTGCTGAGACTGAGGATGAGTCTATTGCTAAGCCTGACATCTCCCCGCTCATTACTGGCTTATTTACCTTACCGCTGACAGACCGGTCGGTCAGGAATATGGCTGCTCCCTCTCTTCCCCCAGGACACCCAGCCCAAACATCTCGGTCGAGTTCTTCCATGCCACCTCGCACACCTCGTGCACCGAGACCCCTTTCACTTTGGCAATCACATGAGCAACCTGGACGATGGTGGCAGGCTCATTTCGGCCTTTGACCATCAGTCCTTTCTGCCACTTCTCCTTCTTCACGGCTTTCGGGATGGCGGGCGCGTCTCTGAGATGCTGCGATGACGCATGAGATGCTCGGATCTCGCACCAGGGCCCATCCGTCTCGATCTGCAGTCGGTCCAACGGCACGGCTTTGACGGCCTCCAGATTCTCTTCGGTCTTCATGCTGCAGCCGTTGATGCCGATATCAAACCCTAGCTGGACTAGAGACTGCAACTCTGGTACGGTTCCGGTGAAGCTGTGCACCAGCCCCCGGTTGGGAAGCTTGTCGAGTCGAGCCGAGATGATTCTTTCAAAATCATCGCTGCATGCTCTGGAGTGGAGAAACAATGGCAACTGCAATTCCTCCGCCAGATCGAGCTGCCGTTCGAAATACTTGAGCTGTACACTTTTGGGGGACAGAAACAATCGATCGTAATCCAGTCCAATTTCGCCAAACGCAACCGCGTGGCCGCTCTCTTTTGCTTCGAGGGCGAGGGCACGTAGCTCTTGGATCAGGGCATCGGAGCCACCTGGGTAACTGTCAAAGTCTTGAGTCGAGCAGGGGTGGACGCCGACGGTAGCATAACAAGTTCCAGCTAGACAGCATTAGTGTAAATAAAGATCGGCTGGCGAGGCATAAACCTACGGTATCGCTTGGCAATCTCGACGGCGTGCCGGGATTCTTGTAAACTGGAGCCAGTGACCATCAACTTTGTACACCCGGCATCAAGGGCTCTTTGGACCACATCGTCCAGGTCGTCTGGATGTGCCTGCTTGCCGTGGTACGCGCCGCGAAAGACCGGGTCTCCGAGATTGATGCCGACCTAGTTGTGTTAGACTCAAGGTGCTCAACCAATGGGCCACCTACGCACGTCGGCATACCTCAGTGGCTTTGCGTTGTCAGCCATGGTGGCGTAGTTGGCTGTTCTCGGTGGGTGCAGACAACCTAGACCACTAACAGGCCTTAGCTGTCGGCAACGACTCTGGCCTGCGACATATGAGCCAGGTACAAGAAGACCACGGGTCTGAAGGATCAACGTACCGACGGAAAAGGCTCGATGGGGCAGACGGCCGACGGATGGCAAGGCTGGACGCGTCAGGAGGTGATCAAGCTTGGATGTGGCAGCGGACCAGACGCGGGGAGGCATCAAACGGGAGGTGATGATGATACTAGTGCTCCGTACGTACTCCGTTTAAGAGCAGACTAGGATACAGGCTCCCCAACAATCGACACAATTAATTACAGGAGGACGGAGTACGGGACGAGACACATGGGATGAAAAAAGACGGCAGCGCAGTCTCCAACTCGACGCAGGCCGTGTCGGCGGGAACTGTGCCGAAACGGCTGTATCACGTGACGGAATTCTTCCTCTCCTCACCGTCTCTCCGCAGTCGATTCGGCGAAGCGACCGAACTTGGGAAGCGGGTTTGATATCTGCCTCGAGCTATTGGGCGGCAGTGCGACATTGAAGGGCAACGGCCCCAACAGGCGATGGCGACAGCAGTTGGGGCAACATATTCTATCCCAACTATAAACTATAACGCCACTTGCGCTGTCGTTGTCCGTTGTCACTCTTTCCTCGCGGTTCTGAACCCTGACCTCGACTTCTACGCGTCTTTCCACGACCGTCACTGAGAAATCTACTGGCAAGGATGGCGCCACGAAAGATCTCGGTCTCAGAGATCTCGGCTCACAACAAGGACACTGACTGTTGGATTGTTGTCGATGGCAACGTGTGGGATATCACCAAGTTTGCGCCGGAACACCCTGGCGGGCCGGGCATCATCTACAAGTACGCAGGCCGCGATGCCACCAAGGCATACAACGAGATCCATTCGCCGTCCTTGATCAAGACCAATCTGCCGGCGGAAGCGCTGAAAGGCGTTCTCGACACGTCTACAATCACAGAAGCCTGGTCTGGACCTTTACCCGTCGAGACGCCCGGGGCCAAACCGGCCTCGAGTGCTGAGAAGCCGCCTCTCGAGTCGCTGCTCAACGCCCACGACTTCGAGGTGGTCGCGGAGCACACTGCGACCGCGAAGACGTGGGCCTTCTATAGCTCGGCAGCCAACGACCTGATCACCAAAGACCTGAACGCCGCCTTGTTCCGCAGACTCCTCTTCCGCCCGCGGGTGATGCGCCGGGTGGACAAGATCACCACCGAAACAAACATCCTCGGCATCCCGGTGTCTTTTCCGCTGATGGTCTCGCCCGCGGCCATGGCTCGCTTGATCCATCCCGACGGCGAACTGGCTATCGGACGCGCTGCCAAAGCGAAATCGGTTGTGCAATGCATCTCCAACAACGCGTCGTATTCAGCCGCCGAGATCGTGTCTCAGCCTCAGGTCAGCGAGTATCCGTTCTTCTTCCAGCTGTACGTCGACCGACAACGGCACAAGTCCGAAGCCCTGCTCCGGCACATCCACCAGCACAAGAACATCCGTGGCATTTTCGTCACCACCGACGCAGCCGCGGCGGGGAAACGTGAGGCGGACGAGCGCGTCAAGGCAGACGAGAGCATCCAGAACCCCATGATGACCACCAAGGCCAAGAACGACCGAAGGGGCGGCGGCTACGGCCGGCTGATGGGAAACTTCATCGACCCGAACCTCGACTGGGACGACATTGCATGGCTACGCAGCCACACCAAACTGCCGTTGGTCCTGAAAGGAATCATGTCCGCGGACGACGTGCGGCTGGCTCTGGACCACGGACTCGAAGGCGTCGTGCTGTCCAACCACGGCGGCCGCAACCTCGACACCTCGCCGCCGGGGCTACTGGTCCTCCTCGAGATCCACGCCCGCTTTCCCGAGATCATCACCCAACACCATCCTCGCTCCGAAGCCGTGCGATCCGGCCAGGCCAGGCCGTTTTCCATCTTCGTCGACGGCGGGATCCGCCGCGGCACCGACATCCTCAAACTCGTGTGTTTGGGCGCCGTGGCTGCAGGCATCGGGCGGCCCGCGCTCTTCGCCACGGGGTATGGTCAGGACGGCGTGGAACAGTTGATCGACATCCTCAAGGACGAATTCGAGGTCGCCATGCGCAATAACGGCATCACCAGCATCGACGAGTGCTCGCCAGAGTATCTCAACACTGGAGCCATTGACAAGTGGGTGGTCAAGCAGAGAGATCATCCCTACGCCGTGCACTGGGCCACCGACAAGTTGGTCACCAGAAGTCTCTTCGGGACGGGGAGGGAGAGTAAGCTGTAACTAGAACTGAAAAGAAGTGGATTCAAGATGAGGAGAATGTATTCGTGTGATGACTGGCCTCGTCAATCTGTGTCAATGCTGAGCTTGGACTATTCTATAATCTAGCTTGCCCGTTCGCCAGTGTCTCCCAGTCCTTCGGGGTGAAGGGCACATATCTATCCGCCTTAGGCGGCACCCACAAAAACACGTCGTCTTTGCCATTCGGAACCTCCGTACCGACCAAACTAGGGTCGACGCCTTCCTTCCGGAGCGGGACTTTGTTCTGTTTGTGGTTATGGATGTGCGTGCTGGCCTTGACTATGCGCAGGAAGACGGGCACGGCGTAGCGCGGAAGCTGTGCCCGTGTATATTTCAACAGCTCGATATAGTCGACTGGTGGCCCAGTGTAGTTGGGATCGAGAAGGATGGCGGCACAACCGGCTCGTCCTTCATGGTTGGGCACGAGCGCGCCGTACACGTTGACTTCGGCGATACCTGGGAAGCGGCCCATGGTCAAGGCCACTTCTGCCGTAGACACGTTCTCGGACTTCCATCGAAACGTGTCTCCCAGTCGATCGAGGAAATACCACCTACCATGACCATCTCGGCGAAGAGCGTCGCCCGAGCGGTAGTAGACGTCGCCCTTCTTGAAGACGTCCAGCGCGAACTTCTTGTCCGTTGCGGCTTGTGATCGCCAGTATCCTTGGAACGCCTGCTTGCTGGGCACCGCCACAAGCATCTCGCCACCTTCCTCATACGATGTTCTTTGTGCGAACCCGGTCTTTGGATCACGCCAGATATCCCCCGTCTCGTGGTCGATCTTGACTGGAATGTAGACTTTATGCAGCATCGTTCGCAGAATCAGTCCGTGATGACCAACACAGGCTCTCAAGAAGGGGCCCTTGTCGTACACCATCAATGAAAACATGCCTTCTGTCGAGTTAAAGAATTCGCCTATCTCCGCGATATTGAACCGGCTTTGGAACTTTTCCCAGACATCGGGCCTCAATCCGTTCCCGTAGGCACAGCGCAGCCTATGTTTGCGCTCTAATGGGTGAGGTGGCGCGTTGAGGAGATACCGTGCCGTTTCGCCAACATAGACGAAGAATGAGGAGTCGGAATCGTGAATGTCATTCCAGAACCGTGAGACTGAGAATCTCGGTGCTATGGCTACAGACACGCCTTGTAACAAGCAGCAGGATGTCACGATGGCACCAGTCCCATGGTATAACGGCATGGCGTTGTACCATCGGTCTTTGCCGGGAACAGCATCACAGGTTGGCGTATCATGGCCGCACATGAGCCAAATTCGCTCTAGAGTGAACGCGCAGCCTTTGGGTAGTCCAGTCGTTCCGCTAGAGATTATCAGCATTTCTGTGTCACAGCGTTGAAACAAGAACCGACCTGGTGTAAATCAGACAGTAAGGGAACCTGCCCTTGGTGCCCTTACGACATTCGTCATCTGGCCTCACGGTCGGCTCGGAGGAGATTCTCTCCTTCATATTGCTATCGAGCACAGCGATCTTCATTCCTCTGCTCTGAATGTCGGCCTGGCTGTCACTGATTCTCGCTTGACAACCCGGGTCTTGGTCAACGATCAACAACCTCGTTTCGCAAACATCCAAGCAGTGCAGTAAAGCTTTCCCTTCCAGGTTGTAATTGATGAATGCGGGAGCGGCGCCGACGGCCAAGCATGCCCACCAAACGAACATGAAGTCGGGTGAGTTGGTGAGATAGACTCCTACCAACTCTCCTGGCTTGATACCCTCCTCGAGCATCCATTGGGCATAGCGGACGGTTTCTTCATACATTTCGCCAAAGGTGTACACCCCCACTCTCGACCAGATGGCATGATCATTCCAGCTCTTCTTGCATTGGTCTTCGAAAACATACCACAGGTTGACTTTGTCCTCTTTGATGGCGCGGGCGTACTCCTTTTGGCCGCGCCTGAGCCTAGCGACGGTACCAAGGTCTTTTCGTAGATGGTACTTTGCATCGAGATAGGCAGCAACGGCCCAGCCGCTGGCAGCGACCGCCGCGGTCGTTGCTGGACAGAAGACTTGTCAGCATGGAATCCCGAGACGGGAAGGGAGCGGGGTTACCAAGAGCCATGATTCCGAGAAGAGTGCCTACCAGTGTGTTCTACTAGAGTGCTCCCTTTAAGGACGGTCCCCTGGATAGCAAGAGACGATGCATAGTACACATACCTTAGGCAAGAACAGAGAGGAGGGGGAGGGAATCATACCTTGAACCTGACCAGAGAGGTCTCACAGAGCGCCATTTTGCAAGCTTCAGATGCCGAGGCACCTTGAATGGTCTCGAAGTGGTGCAATGGGCTCCTCATGCCTGGAGAGGGGAGGAAGGAGGACTCCAGTCGATACAAGGCGGGGGGAACATTGCTAAGGCACTTGCAGTACCCCAGGGCTTAGACCTAGGGGTTAAGCCGGGCTAGAAAAAGTACCTTACGCACCTTAGATGCTCGTCAACTCAGGTACTAAACTGGAGGCGTCATAGCGGAGACAGGGCACGCCAGTTTGGACAGGGGCACTTACGGAGTACTCCGTACTCCGTATTACTGTACTCCGAGTCTGGGATTATTACGGAGGACATCGCGGGCTGGGGGTGGCACGTGGCACGGAGTTGGCACGCTTGACTCAGTCCCGTCATATCAGTTAGTATTCAGTGCCACAAGTTGCTTTGCTTCCTTTGCAACAGCTCAATCCGCTTGGCCGGCTGGCAATTAATTCCCTTGACCTGGTCTAGATCATGGACTCCGCCAATGACATTCGATGCGAGATCCTAATCCTAGGTGCCGGTATATTTGGCACCAGCACCGCATACCATCTCTCGCTCACCCATCCCTCCCCTTCAAGAGTTACCGTCCTCGATCGCGCCCCCGTGCCCTCCCCGGAAGCTGCCTCTTCAGATATAAACAAGATTGTTCGCGCGGACTATAGCAAGGCCTTCTATATGGATTTGGCCTACGAAGCCATGGAGTCTTGGACTTCTAACCAGAGCCTGAAGCCCTACTTTCATCACACAGGCTGGGTGATGCTGGATGAGGAGGACAGCGATTTGGCCGAGCGGATACGCAGGAATTTTCGTGAGAGCGGCCGTCCAGATACTTCAGCGGATATCACGCTCGAGCAAGTGAAGTCTGGTTGGGCTGGCGTGCTGTCTGGTCTAGAAACCGAGGGATATGCCAAAGCCTACACGAATTCTAGCGCGGGATGGGCCGACGCCTCGGCCGCCGTGGAAGCTATGACGAGAGATACAATCCAGGCCGGGGTAAAATACGAGGTAGGAGATATCACCGAGCTGCTCAGTGATGGGCACAGGCTCAGTGGCGTCCGCACCGCCGACGGGCGGACGTTCTCCGGTGAGCAGGTGGTGCTGGCCACAGGTGCTTGGACACCTTGGTTGATGGCTCCACTCGAGAAGCAATTGAACATTCCTCGAGCGGACAGCGTCCAGGAGCAGATACAGGCCGCCGGAGTGTGCGTGGCTGCATTTAAGCTGTCCGACGAAGAAGCACAGCACTACTCTCAGATGCCGGTCCTGATATATGGTGCCAAAGGAGAAGTCATTCCCCCCAACAAGGATGGTCTCCTCAAATTCACCAACGCAAACTCTTTCCTTAACACGAGTCCTCACCCAACCACAGACGAACTGATCTCTGTCCCGGCGGCCAACCAGAATGCCGTGCCGGAAGCTCTGAAGCAGCAATCGATCGAGATCATCCACCAACGCATCCCGCAGATTCTGGCCAACGGGCGTCTCCCGGACGACTGGCGTCTTTGCTGGGATGCCATCTCGCCGGATCAGAATCAACTCATCACCCGACATCCAGATCCACGTTTGTCGAATCTCTATCTTGCGACCGCGGGCTCCTTCCACAGCTGGAAATTTCTGCCCAACATCGGAAGATATGTGGTCAATGTCCTAAACAGTAAGTCGAATGGCAAAGACAAGGATGAAGCCTGGAGGTGGAAGAGCGAATGGGCTGGAAGAGGCGCACATGAAAAGGTCCTACCTAAAGGCGAGTTGGCTGATTTTCGGTAAGTCCTACAATGTGATAGCACGACAAAAGGTCAGTCCGGCTCAGCGGTGTGTTTGCTGGAGCAGGCTACCTTGGGTATGAGAAAGATGGTGACAGAAGTCGTGATATCCTCGGTAGCCAATTTTTGAGTCTATATATGTATATTTCATCGTCTCCCTAGCTGCAACAAAAGCCAGCAACTCATCTGCGCCCCAGTTCTGGAACTCCATCCTCTACCGGGCTGACTCCAGAACCTGTGCTTCAATTGCTTACCACTCCATCTTTTCCTTGACATACAGGTCCACGTACTTGTCAACTTCCAAGTGGTCAAGTTTGGATGCATCGGTGCCGATCTCGATAAAGTCCTTGATCTTATCCTCGGAGAAGTGAGGCGTCAGGTGTCTCTTGTATTTGGCAAGAATCTCCGGCTTGGCCTCGTCACGTCGGAGGCGATGGCCAAGCGGGGCCTCGACAACCACCTCAGGCAGGACAGTTCCGTCGTTGAGGGTGACGGTCAAAGCGTTGGAGATGGTTCTCAGGCTAGGATCATGATAATCCTTGGTGAATTGAGGATCCTCGACACACTTGATCCTCTTGCGCAGATCCTCCACCAAAGGAGAGGTAGCAGCCTCGCTGTTATCCAGGTAGTCGGTAGCTTCCAGGCGGTTGAACGCTAACATGACACTAACCATATATTGAACGCAGTGATCTCGGTCAGCAAAGTTGTCCATAGGCTTGAACTGCTTATCGATGATTCGAATGCAGGCCTCGTGGGTGCGGTTGGTGATTTCTTTGATATCCTTGGCGGATTTGCCCTGGTCTGCGAGAATCTTGTAGAGCTTTTGAGCGGCTTCAACGGCGGTCTGGGAGTGGAATTCAGCAGGGTATGACACCTTGAAGAGGACATTCTCCATGACATAGGAGCCATAAGGACGCTGGAACTCGAATTTCTTGCCCTTGAATAGGACATCGTAGAAACCCCAGACTGGAGCCGAGAGAACGGTAGGAATGCCGGCTTGACCTTGTTGTACTTTGAAGGCAAGGTTTACGGCTCTTTGGCAGGCGTCACCAGCTGCCCACGACTTGCGGGACATGGTATTGGGACTGTGTCGATAGGTACGTAAAGCCTGACCATCCACAAAGGCCTGGGAGACAACAGCGGCGGTCTGAGCTTCATCAAGGCCGAGAAGTTTGCTGACGACAGCGGCAGACGCAACCTTGACGAGCAAGACGTGATCCAGACCGACCTTGTTGAACGAGTTCTCCAGAGCCAAGCAGCCCTGGATTTCATGAGCCTTGATCATACCCTCCAGAACGTCCCGAATGGTGGGGATCTTGCCATTGCCGACATTTCCCCCGGCTCGGTTTGTTCTTGCAATCCAGTCTGCAACTGCTAGGATGGCACCTAGGTTGTCCGACGGGTGACCCCATTCTGCAGCCAACCAGCAGTCATTGTAATCCAGCCATCTGATCATTGCTCCGATGTTGAAAGCACCGTTCACCGGGTCGAGCTGAAACGGTGTTCCTGGAACCCGAGTTCCGTTGGTCACCGTGATACCGTCGACGACAGGGCCGAGGAGAGCGGTGCATTGTGGGAAGCGAAGAGCTTCGAGACCGCAGCCGATGGTGTCGAGCAGGATGTAACGCGAGGTATCGAGAGCAAGGTCCGAGTCGATCTTGTAGTTGTGGACGTAGCTTGCGATGTCCAGGATTTCTGGGTCGTAAGCCTGGGTCGGTGCTTTGACAGGCGCAGAGGATCTTGCGGTCGTCGAGGTCGAGAAGGTGGCGGCCATGGCGGGCGCACCTCGGGACAGGGTCGACGGCAGGGTGGAGAAGCTGGACGGCTGGCGGATTGCTGAGGACGATGCTCGTACAGCCAAAGCACCAGCAGCCAATCTTCGCACGGGGAGTCGCCTGAATGCAGAAGATGGCAGCATGGTTCAGTTCGGTAGAAGAGGGTGTGACGGGCGCTGGGAGGGGAGTGGAGACGGACACGACGAGAGCAGAACACCACCCAAGCAGACAGACAGACTCTTGCTCACGACGGTTCGTGGAGGTGAAGAAACAGGGGCGAGTGAATTTGCTGCTATGAGGAGGAGAGGAGCAGAGAGCAGAGAGTAGAGAGCAGAGAGAAAGAGAAGCTGCGGAAGAAAAGCCAGACAGTTGAATCCTCTTTCCAAGCCGGCCTGCGCAACCTCGAACAAGTTGCCCCCCGGACCTCTGCTCTACGGAATCTCGTCTTCCTATTTCCGCCCCTCTCCCTCCCATTCTTCCCCTTCCCATCCTACAGCCCTCCCGACCAACAGACCTATGGAAAGCTCTTCTCTCGCTCTCCTATCCACCGCCTAATCCTATGTTAGCTAGCAGCAGCTCGATAGCTGATAGCTATTGCCACTCTGCGCGCTGCCGAACAATTCGGTGCCCTGGCGGCTTGCTGTTCCTCCCGCCGATTGAGCTCCGACTGCCTCGGTCTCGGCCGGCTAGACGCGCTCAAAACCTCAAACGCTAGGCCTGCGACGGGGAGCTTGACAGCTTGGCTCGCCTTACCCCGGCCTGTGATCTCTGATTCCGACCTAAACCTGCCTAGCCTCGGCGCCGACCCGTTTGCCTGCGATCACTGGCTCCTCAGAGCAATATCATCAGTCCGCCTGTTCCAAGAGGGCTAAGCCGCTGGGAAGACATGTCTCTGCATTCCCGCTACCAGCCTCTGCAGGATCCCAACTCTGATCTCGACGGCGGAGATCTTTCGGACGATGAGAACATCAACCCTGCCTCTCCACGTACGGGCCCTGACTCAAGCCAACACCGCTTGTTGGGACAAGGCGATGTTGCTACAGGCAAAGCCTCGCGGTACCTAGACTCTGTCGCCAGCCGTTTCTGTGCGGGCCGCAGACTCACCAAAACTTACATTGCATTTTCCGTCCTCATCCTAGCTGTACTTGCGTCTGCCATTGGTGGTGGCGGCTACTGGATTTACACCACAGGCCAACCCTACGGCCAATCGCCGCCATGGTATCCCACCCCCCGAGGAGGCACTCTGTCCTCGTGGCAGCAGAGCTACGACAAGGCTCAGAAGATGGTTGAGAGGCTGAGTCTTGCGGAGAAGGTCAACATCACCACCGGCACCGGGTGGGCTATGGACTTGTGTGTGGGCAATACCGCGCCTGCAGTCCACGTCGGTTTCCCGGGGCTTTGTTTACAAGACGGTCCCTTGGGAATACGCTTCGCCGATCATGCCACATCCTTCCCTGCAGGCATTACTGTAGGTGCAACATGGAACCGCGATCTCATGCGCAGACGCGGTGCTGCTCATGCCCGCCAGGCTAGGCTGAAAGGAGTCCATGTGCTTCTCGGACCTGCTATGGGGCCACTCGGACGCAATCCCGCCGGAGGCAGAGTCTGGGAGGGGTTCGGCAGTGACCCCGTCCTCCAAGCAGTAGCTGCATACGAGACAATACAAGGCATCCAATCCCAGGGAGTCATGGCCACCGCAAAACACTTCGTCGGAAACGAACAGGAACATTTTAGAAAGTCCTTTGAGTGGGGTCTGCCAGAGGCGCTCTCTTCCAACATCGATGATCGGACGCTGCATGAGCTGTATGCCTGGCCCTTCGCCGAGAGCGTGAGGGCTGGTGTGGCCAGCGTCATGTGCTCCTACCAGATGGTCAACAACTCGTACGCCTGCGCAAACAGTAAGCTGATGAATGGCATTCTGAAGGATGAACTTGGTTTCCAAGGCTTTGTGCAATCTGACTGGTTGGCACAACGCAGCGGTGTCGCCAGTGCCCTTGCAGGCCTGGACATGTCCATGCCTGGGGATGGCCTATTCTGGCAGGATGGAAAAGCGCTCTTCGGTGACCAACTTACTGTTGCTGTCTTGAACGAGTCGGTTCCCATGGCGAGGCTGAATGACATGGTCACCCGTATTGTTGCCGCTTGGTATCAACTGGGGCAGGACTCTTGGACATCAGAAGGCCCAAACTTCTCTTCTTGGACCGATGAAGAGTACGGCTATCTGCACGCCGGCAGCAGCAGCAAACAAGATCTGGTCGTCGTCAATAAATTTGTCGAGGCCGAGAACGAAGAGAGCCGCACTTTGGCTCGACAAGTTGCTAGTGAGGGCATAGTGCTGTTGAAGAACTCGGATTCCATCTTGCCTCTAAGCCCCACCCTTTCTGAGTTGGGTATCACTAGCCGGAAGCGAGTGGCTATTGTCGGCGAAGACGCAGGTCCGGGTAAAGGTCCCAACTATTGCGAGGATCGTGGATGTAATCAGGGGACTCTGGCCGTGGGTTGGGGCTCGGGATCAACCGAGTTTACCTACCTGGTCGACCCGCTCTCAGCATTGAATGCGAGCTTTGACGAGTCATCGGTCGAAATCTTCAGCTCCCTCACCAACAGTGTGTCTTCCAGTATCAAAAGCAAGCTCAACGAGCAGGACCTTTGCCTGGTCTTTGGGAATGCAGATTCTGGCGAAGGCTACCACATATGGCAGGGCCAGCGCGCCGATCGAAGTGATCTTGAGATCCAGAAAGGTGGAACTCGGCTCATTCGCACCGTTGCTGAGGAGTGTGGCGGCCCCGTTGTGGTCGTCATTCATTCTGTGGGCCCTGTTGTCATCGAAGATTTCGCTGACTTGGAGTCCGTCAAGGCTATCGTCTTCGCGAATCTGCCGGGTCAAGAGAGCGGCAACGCGCTTGCCAATGTCCTTTTTGGACGAACGGACGCTTCAGGGAGACTACCGTATACCCTGGGGAGAGGCCTTGAGGACTATGGCCCAGGGGCTCCTGTCCTGTATTATCCGAATGCCATCATACCACAGGTTGATTTCAAGGAAGGGCTGTACATTGATTACCGGCATTTCGATCAGCACGACATTGAGCCTCGATATCCCTTTGGCTATGGACTTTCGTTCACCACATTCGAGCTGTCGGATTTGGTTGTCACCAGCTTGAAGACCAAGTCTCCTTTGCCTTCGCCTAGGCCCAAATCATTGTCCCCGCCAGCTTTTGATGAGACCTTACCTCCCATTGAAAGTGCACTTCTCCCAGAGGGTTTCTTGCGGCTTCGCAAATATGTCTACCCTTATATTTCTAGTGCAAAGCAGGTCAAGAAAGGCAAGTATCCTTACCCTGACGGTTACGACGTCCACCAGGAGCCTAGCCCGGTTGGAGGTGGTGAAGGAGGCAATCCGTCCTTGTTCGAAAACCATGTCAGTGTCCAAGTAGGCGTCACCAACACCGGAGGCCGTACAGGAAAGCTGGTCATTCAGGTGTACGTGTCCTTCCCTCCGTCGATTCGGGAACCTTCGACCGGCGAGATCATCGACACGCCTGTGAGGGTATTGCGCAACTTCACCAAGATCGAACTGGACGCGGGTGCGTCTGAGACTGTCAATCTCACCTTGACACGCAAAGACCTGAGTTATTGGTCGGTGGTTCAACAGAATTGGGTCATGCCAGATGGATTGTTTACCATCGAAGTCGGGCGCAGCTCACGTGATCTGCCTCTCCAGGGGCATTACTGATGCAGTACGAGCTCCGACTCAGAATACAATGACTCGACAAAAGACCGTCGCATTCTTACTAATTAAGACACGCTGTCAGCTCCTTGGCCTTGGTAGGTGAAGACGACACGCATGATGTAGGAGTCTGACTCGCCGCGGCAGTTGACTGGGACATGTGAGAATAGCACCTCGGGTTGGATGCTCATCTCCACGCAAATGAACACTACCAGGGCCTCATCCTCGACTTTTCCCCGCAAACCCCACGGCTGGGCATTGTCCCCTCCCGTCTACTCCTGGTCTGGACGGTTATGGTAGGGTTGGTCAGTGGATCCTGGTTCTGGTCAAGGCGTCCGTCATCCGCTGCATGGTCAAATCATCGCGGTGGTGGTACAGTCTACGGAACCGCTCCACGTCCGGGGACCGAGGTCGAGTTCAGCATATAAGGGCCCGAAGCAATCGATAGACCAGTGGAAGCTGTGCAATGCCATACACTTACCTCCACGCTGCTATTTGTGGTGCGGGTGAGACGGTCCTGCTTACTCGCAAGGGGCCTGAAGAGCGTTTCGTGTACAATATAAGATCATCAGGTCTATCGCCCTCGTATCCTCACAGTTAACTCAACTCACTCTTGTGCTTCCTTACTGTCATTCCATTTTTCTGGTCGCCGCTCGAATACCAGAACTGTGATTCGAAATGGCGCCAGACATCAACCAGATAAACTGGTCGACTGATGGCTACGCCAACAATGGAGTTCCTCGCGGTGACTATGAGATTCCAGGTGAGTTTCGCAACATTTGCTTGCTGCTGGTTCTGTTTGCAATGTCAACACACGTTGCTCTTGACCGCAAAGGTCTGGTCGACTCATCCGAGCACTACCTCAATAAAAGCCCGGGCAGCAGCGGCAGTCCCGTCAAGCTGTTACACCGGTCGCATGCTGTTCAGCTTCATGCGCTGCCAGCATCCTACAACAGTCGCCATGTTGGGTGACTCGGGTACTATGATTGTCGAGCATGGGGCCAGATGACACTGCAGTCATCTTGCTTCCCGGCCGTTCGCCGCTCAGCACGGCTTTGGAAGAGCCCTTGCTTCCCCTAGCCACCCTTGCCCAGGCCCCCTTCCAGGAGCCGACGCCGCAAGGGTCGGGCCCAGTCTGTCAGACATGATCACGTTCTTAGTTGACTGCCCACTAACGAAGACACCGCAGACATCGTCCTAGGTGGACCGTACACGCGCAAGATCCGCGTGTTGTCGATTGGTGCTGGAGTCAGCGGGATCTTGAATGCATATCATATTCAAAAACATCTCAAGAACGTCGAGCATGTGATTTATGAGAAGAACGCTGATATTGGCGGCACCTGGTTGGAAAATCGATATCCTGGTCCGTATGTCCGGAGATGTTCTAGTGGTGGCTTCGGGTCGATAGTGCTGACGATGTGACCACTTACCAGGTTGTGCCTGCGATATACCGAGCCATGCATACACATATCCGTTTGCGTTGAACGTAAGTTGCACCCTGGCAGCCCACCCCAGCTGGCCGGCTCAATCTAACCCGCCGTACAGCCTGACTGGCCCCGGTTCTTTTCCTATTCTCCGGACATCTGGAAGTATCTGGACAAGGTGTGCGAGGTATTCGACTTGAGAAAGTATATGAACTTCAACACTGAAGTGGTTGGATGCTATTGGCAGCAAAAGACTGGCGAATGGCTGGTCAAGCTCAAACAGACGAAGCCGGATGGAAGCACCCATCTGTTCGAGGATCGCTGCCATATACTCCTCCACGGCACTGGTATCCTGAACAACTTCAAGTGGCCCGACATCGAGGGCTTGGAAAAGTTCAAGGGGCGGATCGTCCATACTGCTCGTTGGCCCAAAGGCTACCAGGCCGAAGAATGGAAGAAGGACCGTGTTGCCGTCATTGGGTCTGGAGTAGGTCGCACTGCGGGCTCCACGTCAAAGCGTCCATGGACATCTGCTGACTCGCAACCGCTGAAGGCTTCCAGCATCCAGACTGTCCCGGCCATGCAGCCTCACGCAAAGCACATTGACGTGTTTGTCCGCACAGGTACGCGTCCCTCGCCCTACGCATGACCATGACCCTCTCGCACACTTTCTGATGGCCTGTGTCCAGGTGTCTGGTTCGTTCAGATCGCGAGCAACTTCGGCGCCAATCACGAATACACGCCTGAGCAAAAACAAGAGTACCGCGACCCCTACAAGATCGTGGAACACGCAAAGTCCATCGAAGACCAGGTCAATGGCCTCTGGGGCACCTTCTACAAGAACTCCAAAGGCCAAGCTGAAGCCCAAGTGGCCTTGAAGAAGCGCATGGCTGAAATGGTCAAGGACGAGAGGTTGCTCAAGGGTTTCACTCCGACTTGGGGGGTGGGATGCCGCCGTATAACGCCTGGTGATCCATACATCGAGTATGTCCTTGTCGTCTCCGTGTTCCCGTCCTCTGGGAGTCTTGCATCGTCACAGCCGTACTCCAGGATTTCCCATGCTAACGTACCGGGCACTGTCCAGAGCAATCCAAGAACCGAACGTAGCCGTACACTTCACGGCTGTCGAGAAGATCGACGAGACCGGCCTCATCGGCGGCGACGGTGTCCACCGGGAGGTCGACACGATTGTGTGCGCGACAGGGTTTGACGTCTCATACCGGCCGCGGTTCCCCATCGTGGGCCAGGACGGCGTTGACTTGGCCGACAAATGGAGAGTTTGTCCGGAGGGATACCTAGGGCTCGCGATCCCTGGGTTTCCCAACTTCCTGACGTTCATCGGGCCCAACTGGCCGGTGGAGAATGGCAGCGTGATGGGCCCTCTGGAATATGTGTCGCAGTATGCGCTGCAGCTGATCCGCAAACTGCAAACCGAGTACATCTGCAGCATCTCGCCCAAGCAGGAGGTGACGGACGCGTTCAACGCGCACTGTCAGGAGTGGATCAAGCACACCGTCTGGGTAGAAGAGTGTCGGTCATGGTACAAGAACAACGAGACGGGGCGGGTCAACGCCGTCTGGCCCGGCTCGTCGCTGCACTACATCGAAGCCATCCGCCAGCCGCGCTACGAAGACTTCGACATCGAATACCTCGGCCCGGCCAAGAAGAACATGTGGGCGTTCCTGGGCATGGGCACGGTCCCGGCGCTGGTCAACAAAGAGGACGTCTCGCCGTACTTGAACGTCGAGAACCTCGATCCCGAGTGGATGGAGGCCGTCGGCATCGACGCGGGCAAGCTGCACGAGGCCCCATTGAATCATCTCAAGGCCAAGCACTCGGAGCAGGCCGAGAAGACCAAGAAGAGTGTCGACAATGTCGCGGTCGCATAGGACGGAGCTACGCTTGGTGTCATCTATATCGATCGTGAGATTCAATTCGTCTACACTCCGTACCTCTCTCTATACCTCTATAGCTGTATTCCAAGACGTGCAAATTGATCCCATGGCCACGAAATAACGATCTAGTCTTGACCTACGACCTACACTCGTAATCACCGTGATCTAGCGCTAGTTTAGCTGGCAAAAACACAGCCACAGACAAGGATGCTCAGCAGCAAAGAGGCTTAGGAGGTGTTGGGGGTGGAGACACGGAGGCAAGTCCAGGTGATAATATATATACATATATACATACACACACGTATGGAAAGAAGCAAGAGATGAAGGAACCAGGCCTGCGGCCCATCGCCGTCCAGATGCCATGTCGCTCCCAGGGCTGCTTTTGATTCTTGTCTTTCCACACTAGAGTGATCCATTTCTTGTTGGGCCAGGAGGACTGGCCTTGGTTGGGTTCATCGCGGAACTTTTCCAGACGCGGACCAACGCCGCAGAATAGGCTGATGGGTGGGTGGTACAGAGATGAGATTGTGGGAGAAACTGCGACACAATCCTGGTAGGTCGCGCTTCTATTCTTTTGGGTATGCGGCCCTCCTCTTCAACTGGCTTTCTGTGCCTGAAGAGCGAGGATACAACGACGCGCCGTCGCAATGGAGCGCGGTGAATAATAGCCGGTCGCCAGTCGGCGCCAGTGTCAAGGAACTGTTCTAGATATCGGCCGTGTAGACTTTGGGGATTTGCAGTAGCTCGGGTTCCGGAATGCCAGAGTCACTATTGATCGATCCGCTTGAACGCGGGCGCTGGCGTCTCAGGAATGCCTGCAGAGGGACCGTCTGTCTCCGTTGGCGGTGGCGGGCTGTACGTAACACCTCGAGTTAGTCAAATGTCGGACCGGCAGCTCGGGAACTGAACGGATACTCACGGTGCACTCTTTCCCTCCGTGTTGTCGAAGTACTTGTGGAAATCTCCCTGGTCCTCGAACGGTCTCTTGCCCAGAATCCTGACGAGGTCATCTCGCACAAGCATCTCCTTCTTCAACAGTTCCTCCGCCACGGCCTGCAGCTGGTCCTTCTTCTCCAGTAGCAGATCCTTACATTGTTTATATGCTTCATCGACGATGCGACGGACTTCCTCGTCGATATTCCGAGCCGTTTCCTCGGAGAAGGGCTTGTGCAGGCGCTGCTCGTCGTCTTTGTACGAGAGATAGCCGATCTTGGGCGACATACCCCATTCGGTGACCATGGCAGTGGCCATACGAGTGACCTTGTTGAAATCGTCTGACGCACCGCTTGTCACAGTGTCGAACCAGATTTCTTCGCTGACACGGCCGCCGAGCGTCATGGCCATGCGGTCCATCAATTGCTTGACGCTCATCAGATACACGTCGTTGCCACCTGCAGGAAGATACTGTGCGTAACCCAGAGCACCCTGTCCTCTTGGAATGATTGAGACTTTGAGGAGTGGATCGGCGTATTTGAAGAACCACCCACAGATGGCATGACCAGCTTCGTGGTATGCCACAGTCTTCTTCTCCTCCGGCGAGAGAACCAGCGACTTCTTCTCGAGACCACCGATGACACGCTCGATTGCTTGTTCGAAGTGTGACATCTCCACCGACGCTGCATTCGCACGAGCGGCGATCAGAGCAGCTTCGTTGACACAGTTGGCAATGTCAGCACCTGAGAAGCCCGGGGTCAACGCCGCAAGACGTCCGGTCAGATATTCCCTGTCAACATTGGTGACAATCTTTCGAAGATGGACCTGGAAGATTTGCTTCCGGCCATCCATAGTTGGTCGGTCAATGGCAATGTGTCGGTCGAACCGGCCGGGACGCATCAAAGCCTTGTCGAGGACGTCCGGTCTGTTTGTACCCGCAAGCACAACGACTTGTTCAGAGGTGTTGAAACCATCCATCTCGGTAAGAATCTGGTTGAGGGTGGACTCCCGTTCATCGTTGCCACCGCCAAAGTTTTGTTTCGCTCTTGATTTTCCGATGGCGTCAATCTCGTCGATGAAGATGATGCATGGAGCATTCTTCCGGGCGTTTGCAAACAGATCTCGTACTCGGGAAGGTCCCACACCCACGAACATCTCGACGAACTCCGAGCCTGAAACCGAATAGAAGGGGACACCGGACTCGCCAGCTGTTGCTTTGGCCAACAACGTCTTACCAGTTCCCGGGGGGCCAGACAAAATAGCGCCGCGAGGAATCTTTGCACCCAATCTCTGGTACTTGGAAGGGTCCTTTAAGAAAGAGACAAACTCCATGATCTCGACTTTTGCTTCGTCCATGCCAGCAACATCTGAGAACTTGATCTTGACGTCGGTTTCGTGGTTGAATCTCTTGGCTCTCGACTTGCCAATACCAAAGATTCCACTTTGCCCGCCCGCACCTGATGCCGCCCTTCGAGAGAACCAAAACAAGGCGCCGATGAACAGAAGTGTGGGACCGAAGTTGAACAGCGCAGCACTCAGAGGCACCTCGTCCGAGTATGCGACCGGTATTCTTTCGCTGCTGGGGATTCCAAGCTCCTGATGAGCTTCGTCCAGTCTTCTCTCAAAGGCTTCAACCGAGCCTATCGAGAAGTAGTAGTTGAAGTTTGGTCGAGTGGCTGGTGACTCTGGATACATGCGGGCAACGGCGTCTCGGTTCAATTCGACCCTGACCCGATTCCGATTGATGACGGTGAGCTTGTCCACGAGACCCTTGTCAAAGAAGGTGGTTCTGAACTCTTGCCACGTGATGTCCCTTGATGCTTCTCCAGGATAGAGACTGCGGTAAATGTAGTATGTAAGGATGGCGGCCATTACCATTGTACCCGCATCCAATCTGAGCTCGTAGGCTGCGGGCTTACCCTTCGCATCACCTTCTTGCTGCTGTTGCTTGCGTTGTCGGCCGTTTTCGTTTTCGTTTTCCTGACTCTTGTTTGACTGCTCGAAAAGAGGAGTCTCTTCCTTCTCCGACCCTTGAGCCTTGGTGGAGTGAGCTGTGTGGCCATATTTTTCTCGAACTTCTGCCGGGCTCATGCGAGACAGTTTCGTGAACACCCCGACCAGGCGCACAGTGGTGGCCAAATCGATCCGCTGCTCTGGGTTTCTCCTCCGCGCCTCCAACACCTCTCGGAGCTCTTTGGGGATTCCACCCTTCGCCATCAGCTCGACAGCTTCGTCAACGGCCGCAGCCTGCGATTTCGGGAGGCCGGTCTTGATCATTTTGGCGACCTCATTGATCTGTCTGACCTCTTCCTCCGTGAGAGGTGAAAACTCCAATTTGCTGGCATCTTCCGCAGGTAAGCCATCATTGGGGCTCTTGCTTGAGTCTTGCTTAGGAGCCTTGGAGCTTTTGTCCCCATCTTTTTTCGGCTTTTCGGGGTCTTCCTGCGGCGGCTTCGGTTCACTGGAGTTCACAGTGGCGTAGGATCTCGACAAGGAAGGACGTAATCTGCTGGCGTAGGGAAGTCTGGTGAATTGACTGGAGCGACGCTGCGCACAAAAGGCACATTCAATAGCAGCCTTCGAAGAGCGGATCAGCTGCGGCCGCAAAAATCGAGCTGCCATAGCTGGCAAGCTGTCGAGAGTATGTGCCTCTGGGGAAACAATGAGATTCGCCGCACACGCAAAGGGAAGAGCAGACTTGAAGGTGAACGGCCAGCGTGCGATTGAAGATGGTGGCCAAAGATGTGGGTTGACGCGAGGCCGCCTTTTGCCTGCATCTCGGCGATGTCATGACTGTGACTACTCCGGAGTACCACAGTACATTTTCATGTGCACTTCCTGACCTAATGTACAGCCGGAGCCATCCGGCGCCGCAGACTACATCCAACCGCAGACATACGATACAGTACACTCCGCTCATGGGAAACACCTGGGCACCCTGCTACCGAGCTAGCGAGCTTTGATTTTGTGATTGTTCCCGTGTATCTAAACATGTCGGTTTCAAGCTACCTCCTTGGAAACAGCATCTCCCTAGCACACACTCAACTCTTGGCCGGCCAACAGACGCCAAATGCCGATGCACGCTCAAACTGTCGGACATCATCACACCTGGTATCTCCACATCCCGACCGAATTGAGCCGTTACAAGCGTCTTCTGCCGTACATATCGAATCGATGGTTCCATTCATCATCTGACTTGGGCTTGATGCCTTCTTTGCTGGTTGGCCGAAATCTTGGATCTCGCGCAATGCGGCTGGGAGCGTTGTAAAATCCGCCCGTGTCCTCCTCAAAGAAGCTTGAGCTCCCGGAATTTCCAGTCAGCAGTCGACCTCTCTCAATTGCATACTCTGGTGCTGGTTTGTATTTGCACGGAAAAGTCTCCTGTTCACATCCTGTTGTGCCTGCCTCCGTGCTGCTCAATAGGTTGGCCCATATGTCCCCCACCGCGTAGATTGCCGCCTTCTCCATGTCGACATCCACCGAGGCGTGGCTCACAGCTCCATCACAACCCAGATTGTTCGTGATTCGGCCTGCAATATGATCTTCGACGATCTGTTCCACCACATTCCTCACGACGCGGTTACCCTGGCTTTCCCATTGAAACGAGTTGAGGAGCTTGTCCCGTCTGTCGATCCGCATATCCTGGAACAGAGCCTTCGGGGTATCGGCATCTATTGCTGTACTGCAGAGCTTCATGACCCGATTCATTCTAAGGCGTTCGCTCTTTGACACGGGCTTGAGCTGATACCAGTCATCCGTATCAACTCCGAACTCTTTGCGAAGTGCCTCATCATCGAGAGGAGATGGGCCATATGTCTCAAGTTCATCTGCAATGGGGAGCCCGACTGCGTGCATCTCAAACCCCGGTGGCGGCCTCAACGAAGGCTGAGATCCTGGGTCAACGTTGTCTTCCTTCATCCCAATGCGAAATTCATGCTCTGATGTTGTGCTGCTCGCCGTCGATGGCGGTCTCTGCAAATCTGAGGCTTTCACGCGATGCAGATCTGGATTATGCAGAACTGTCTTGCCTGTCTTTGCCAGTGCCTGTTGTGCCGCAACAAAATTCTGCATCTTGCTATTGCGATCATATGGCTCATCTTCGGGAGTTCCGGCTGACTTACGTTTTATATTTTGAGTCGAAACCTTCCCTGAGATGTCTACATCAGGTCCGGGATTGAGAAACGAATCATCGGTATCTGGGTAAGAAAGTCGTCGCGGAAGATTTGTTGTGGGCATGGGATGATTGCGGCGCGGCTCTTCATTAGGAGGCACAATTCCATCAGAATTGAAGTGCTGGAAGACTGGACGCTGGGAAGGATCGTGCACAAATCCACCAAACTGCTGATATGGATTCCAGGCAGGCGTTGCGGTGGCATAGGAGTTGTTGAGCATCTGCGATCTATTACGCATGTCTGGACTTCCCGAAAACTGCTGGGGAGTGGCTCCGAAGCTCTGGGACGGGTTGCCGTAGCTTCGGGATAGCAAGGCCAGTTTGTTCTCCTGCTTCGTGGGACTGAGATCGGATGGGGCCATCATATCACCGAGATATTGAGTCGGCTGGAAAAATCGCATCGAAGGGTAACCTAGCGGGGGAAGAGCTGGTAAGTACGGCCATAACAGATCAAGGCCCGGGAACCCACTCGTTCCAGAAACGGTGCTTGGGGAGCTCTGCACGCTGATGGGAACGGCTTGTTGGGATTGTCTGGTAATAGAATGCGGCTGACTTCGCTGAGGTGTTGGAACCATAAGCCCAGGAGTTCTTTCTACTACGGCAATCATGGCTTTGGGTGCCGTTGGTGCTGACATTGCCGGCATGACGACTCGGACAGGTTGAGGGTTGCGAGGGCCTAAAGGTGTCTCAACTTTGAGAGCAGCAGAGTTGTCCCGATCGACGGTGCGAGCTTGGTGGGTGGGTGTTGATGGTGTGTCATTGTTGCCCCCCAAAGCCTCTTTGCCATCTTCAGATGCGTCTTCCAAGACCAAAGGCACATAGGCTTTGGCACCCTTGTTGCGGTTCGGTTGTGTGTTTTTGGTGAAGGCGCTGAGAGACACCGGCACAGGCTTCGGTGGCAGCCTCTGTTCTTCAGCTTCCCGCGAGGCTTGTCTCGCTGATGCAGCTTTGAAGGCATTGTATTCAGCCGCTCGGGCTCGTGCACCCAGCATCTTCTTGGTCTGGCTGGGCAGAGTTGAAATCTGTTCCACAGTGAGTATTTTGGAAACTACAGTGGATGTCTTGTGGCTTGACCTTAACCGAAATGAATGTCTCTAGATCCTCAGCGGCCCGGCTCCTGATCCAACTTTTGGTGTTCAAGACGGTTGCCGATCTATCCCAATTGTTGTAAATGTTCAGTGTTTTTTGTGCCCCCAACGGAAGTCAGGAGGCTGAAGCAACAAAGAAGGCGACTTAGGCTGCGAGATCAGACAGGATAAGTCGGGCCCTTCCACGGCGCAGAATGACGATGAGGTCAGGCGTGTTGGAGCAGAATCAGAAGAGGTGTGCGTCAAGAGGCGTGTAGGGAGGTGGTTGGGTGCGGCAAAATGGACGTTACAGTGAACACTGGATACTGAACACGAAGAACAATCTCACTGAAGACAGAGCGAGAAGGACATACAACAGCCTGCAACATGCAATTGAGATGTCAACATTGTCAAGCCCGGAGTGGAGGATGGAGGATGGCAGTATGGCAGTGCTCGCAAGAAGGAGAGTATATGAGGCAGTGACTACCAACTACGCAACAACCAAATCAAACCCCTTTCACTCTCAGGCAATCGAGCTCTGCATGAACACCCTCAAATTGGCAAAGAACCCTATCGTCAATCACCTGCATCTTGTCATGCAAGGTTGAATGCCGCAGACAATGGAGGAGGTTCTTTGATCACTGCAGGCTCCCATGGCAGCATAGTATTTTGCCAGCCTTGCCAGTTCTCATGTTCATAATTCTAAAGTCAAGACAGTCTTATTGTGCACACAAGGTGGGAGGGGCGTAAGATGACTAAAAAATGAAGACTGTAAGACAACTCAGGAAAAGCATGTCAGGGCTATATTACAATGCGCCATGTGGAAACAACCCTCTTCAGGCTAACGTTGTCAGGTATCCGCCCATATCGAATTCTTGAGGCGAGTCTAATCATAGACCGGAGGAGAAATATAAAGAGCCTCTTGTCGTTCACTGCACATGTAGTACGCCTGCTAGTGCTCCTACTAATGACATAGCTTGCTACTACTGGACCTGGCGCCAAGCCAGTCGGTCACATGTCAGGCTGAGGGGTTCGAACCACGTCACTAGAACTCATTTTGCCATCACACCGCATGTCTTCTAAGATCGAATGTTTCCAACAGGTCAACAGGTCAACTGCTCAACGATATTGCTATTTTGCCTCCCGAGAATCTATTCTCTTTACACAAGCGTAACCGTAGCAGTCTCAACGCAATGAAAGTCGGCGACCCTGTGTACCGCGGCGACCCCGTGCCCCTCCCCGTCGAAGTGGTCTGGGTGATCGCATCGTACTTCAGCTCTGACTCCGAGGCTATATCTTGGTCTGCGCCTCGGCCTGGGCTTTCCGGCCTTCTGTTTCAAGCGACACTATGGGCATGCTGTCTGGTCTCCAGAACATGGTACACCGCGTCCATCGAGCACCTGTACAACCGACCTGTACTAACCACGCGCAACTTTGACCTCTTCGTGCGCACGATCGCGCCGTCGATATCCTCGACCCCGACATCATCGCGCCGCACATGGCGCCGCACACCGCTGGGGCTCGAGGACCTGATCAAACACCTCGACATGAGTGAATTGTCGTATGAAAGCTCCAAGAGCATCACGGCGCGCCTGGTTTCGCGGACGAAGAATTCCCTAGAAAGTTTTGTGCCGCCGGCCATCACATTCTCGTACGTACCCCTTTTATCCCGACCGGCAACCGTTGTGTTGATCGGTCCCTTTTCGCCATCGGGCGTGACGGGGTTTGTGCTTGGATCTTGCTGCCGCTGACCGCGGCTTCTGTGTGTTTTCCAGTATCCCATCTCTCGCTTCGCTGTCCAAGTGTCGGCATCTCCGATCGCTGGATCTGTCGACCGACCACTACGACATCGGCTTGCCCCGGCTGCTCCACGCCATGGAGAATCTCGACCAGCTGATATTTCTGAAGCTGCCACGCAACGGACTATGGATGCAAGTGAAACCAGAGTCGCGGTGGCCGAAGAATTTGCAGTGCCTGCAGCTCTCGCACCGGCTGTGCGAGACCGAGGACCGCTGGGCAACGCTTTTCAACACCTGGCCCGATACGCTGACGTCGCTGAAGGTTGTCCAATGCTACCTCTATTGGTCTTTCCAATGCCTCTGGAAATGTCCGTCGCCGGCACGGTCGATTCGGCACCTCAGCATCGGACCGAGCATACGTGGAGGTGGATTGCCCCTGGGTGCCATCGTCCACGCGTTCCCCGCCTTAACAACACTCGAGCTTCCCGTTCACATCGGAACTCACATGACTGCTATGTATGAAGAGGACCCATCTGGGGTTGGATACATCCGTTTCTCAATGCCCCCCATGTCTCCCCAACATCCTCTTGAGACCATCACCTTAACAGATCATGGCCACCCGACAGAGCCCAAATTGGACGACATGATTGAGATCTTCGATGTTTACGTCGACAGGTTTCCCCGACTTCGAAGGATAAATCTAGCCCAAAACCATTTCAACGTGGTCGCAGGCAATGAATCCTTCTTCAAAGTCCTGAGTAAGGCGCTCGAGGACAGGGCCGACCCAGCCGACAAATATCGGGCAGGAGTTTTCCCGCATTGATTCTTCATCTTCGTTGCCTCAAACTAGGGAGCAGTTCAAAAGACAAAGCGAGAATGGTAAACATGATGTCAATCCGGTGCAGTCGTTGGTCAATCAAGACGAGCTCGTTATCTATCCATAGTCACCGCCTTTCCCCTCCCATTGCCAATGGTATGCTACAGTCGTCCCTTGCATTGAAGCACAACTCCATCGAACCCGGCATATCCAGCCCAGTGGCCATTCCATCCCTTCGTGCTCCCGTCTTGCTTGCACCACTTCCCATCCATGGCAATCCTAAATCTTACAAGGCTGTAGTATCATATCGAACAAACACCGTTCCATAAACCCATGAAGTGTCTCCGTCGGCCTTGGCCCGGCTCATACCGTTCTTGAATGTCATATTCGAAGTGAAAGAGAAAGAAGGATCGACCGCGTGGTACGGCCTTACAATCGGCCCACTTCGTGGGCTGAGAGGAGTCGTCCCTGTGGAAGCCCTCAAAACATCGTTCCGAAAGTGCCATCCGTCTCGATGCGCTTTCTCGGGCTGGAATCGGTAGTATCCGGTTTGCGATGCCTGAGTACATTAGCATGACCGTCAATTAAAGCAAGCCAAAGCACATACCTGAAGGTGAATCCTACGAACAAACCCTTGCCCATCTTCTCGTCGCGTTCCGCCATCTCTTCCAAAGCTCTTTGTTTGTCATGCACTTCCTTGTACTTGGCCATGTCCGCCTCATTACTGAAGTCGTCGAAGTATCCAGCATCTGTGTCGGAATCAAGCTCCGGAACGAATGGTGCCTTCTGCTCTCTGAGAGTACTGAAGTCGACCTCTGCAAAGTACTCGTGCTTGTGAATCTCTGAGATGTTCTTGAAGCGATGCTCCTTTGCCGCAACCAAGCGAGTGATCAGATCCCAGGTTCGCTTGCTGAGGAAGTAGTTTGGATCATCGTAGACCGGCTTACGGAGAACGCGCTGCCATCGCTTGAGGTTCTGCCATGTTTCGTCGACAGTCGCGCCGGCAAACGGAGGGTATCCAGCCAAAGCCTCAAACAACATGCATCCCAGAGACCAGTAGTCGACAGTAAAATCATACTGTTCTCCTTTGAGCACCTCTGGAGCCATGTAATCTGGAGAGCCAACAATGGATTTCGCGTAGTTGATGTCCTTCTTTCGAAGAGAGCGGTAACCCTCTCGTCGTTGATCTGCCGACCTATCTTCGACGGGGGTGATACCAAATGGCACAGGTGTATTTCCAACTTCCTCAAGTTTGATTCTCATGCTCTCGATCTTGATGGGGCTTAGCATCCCAGCAGCAAGGCCAAAATCGGTAAGTTTGACGTGACCGGTGGCATCAATCAAGAAATTCTCCGGCTTCAAATCGCGATGGATGTAACCAAGCGTGTGCAAAGCGTCAACGCACGAAAACATTTCTGCGATGTAGAACCGTGCATGGCGGTTATGAAGAACACCGGTGTTGTTGAGCAAGGTTCTGAAGTCGCCGCCAGGAACGTACTCCATGGCCAGGTAAATCTGCTCATCGTCCTGGAAAGAATAGAGCAGCTTGACAAGCCATTCTGATTTGGCGGCCGTCAAGATATCTCTCTCGGTCAATATGTGTCGCACCTCGTCCAATTTGAAGAGTAGCTTCTTCCTCATGACCTTGAGCGCACATACTTCTCGTGTGTCTTTCTTCTGAGCAAGATAAACTTGACCATAACCACCCTGACCGACCTGCGTCAGAATCTGGAAGTCACCATGTCGGAGACGTGTTCGACGTTTGCGCAAGTTGGCACGTTCTCGTCCGAGGTATTTGTGAAGAGCAGCATCATATTCTTCTTTTGGGGTCTCTGGCGGAGCAGGGAAGGAGGCTTTGAATACTGCTTCTCTCGATTGACGGTTGTGCACGTAGGAGAGGAGGTCGAAATAATAGTCGAGGAAGTCTGGCCCAGTTAGCGCATCAAGGTATTTCTCACCTCAAGGAGACTTACACAATTGAGTCACGTTTGCGAGTCGCTTGACCTTGGGCTGCTGCAGTTTCTGCATTTCCTCGGTGGTTAAGCCTCGTGTGATTGTCTTCCTCGATTCTGTCGGCTGGTATTGCCCCTGTCTAGAAATTGCAGCGTGGTTCTGTTGCATATCCTTTCCGTATCTCAGGCCACCGGCAGGCGCATTCTCTTTGTTTGACTGACGAGTTGGGCTTTCGGAGCGGCCGACATGCTGAGTGGGCGGATCGTTGAAAGGGTCCTTGCCAATATTGTCATCTCCGACGGAAAGACCTTGTTTGGACGGCGACTTAGGCTGACTCTTTGTAGGTGACATGGGTGCCAGTTTCATGGCATTTTCGAACACATTGGGCAGGTCATTGGCGCCGGGTGGGAGTTGTTTCTTGCTCGGGCTACCCTGAGGTGTCTGGACCGGAGTGGTAAAGCCATGATTACCGCCTGGAGTGGATGGAGTTTGAGGACGGTCGTACAACTCATTTCCCGAACGAGTATGCAGGAGAGGAGGAGGCATTGGCATCACCATGTTAAGGCCGTGTTGTGATTTTGGCGACAGAGGTGTGCTGACCGCCATCTCTTTGGACGAAGGGGCACGTTCTGTTGAAAAAGGGAGGGTTGTTCCTTCTGCAGTAAAGGCGGCAAGTCACGAAGACGAAACGGTCTGTTGATCCTTCGAACCACTTGAGGCACAATACGGCACTCACTGCAGAACAATAGAGAGGATGACAGCAGAACCTCAGGTGTCTGCGCAGGCTCCTGACGAAGACATCCACATACCAAGAGGCGACGGGATTGGTAGCCACGGTTTTGGAGGGATCAACACACAAGAGAGACCTAATTAGTCTGGGTCTCCAGAGGCAACGCCGCCTGGAACGTCGCCCACAAACTCGGGGAAGTTTGCCGGGGCTAGCGAGTTGCTATGTACCTACGAGTACTCCATAGTAGGTGCTAACTCGTTCTCTCCGGACACTAATTACTAAGGTACTAGTCTATATTAAGCGCCGGTGTTGGCGGTGAGACCTGGCAGAATAATGCTGTCATGACTTGGGCTATCAACATCATCAGATACTATTACCTCTTTGCCTGACTTATTACTACCTAATTACTAGGTACCACGAGTATGTTTCTTCTCGTTTGAAGACGAGCAATTCCCCTGTATCATTCTCTCTTCACTGGGCGATACTACCTATTTGCTTCAAGCTGGCTGCTCAATCCGCCGCTCGGCTAATCCGCCTCGTTTCCACCATGTCTCGTCCTACCCCTGCAACCACTGCGCCTTGGAAAGCAACATTTCAAGCGCACCTTGAAAAAGTTGGCGGATCAGGCGCAGAGTTCACCCTAGCAACAGTCAGTGCAAAGGGCCTTCCCCATGCTCGAACCTGCATCTTCCGTGGCTTCTGGGCAACACTACCATCGAACGAGCATAATGAGCTCCCTAAGAACCCTCCAATCTATGATTCCGACTGTCCTACCTTCACTACAGATGCACGCATGGGTAAGACACATGATATTTTTGCGACAGCGAACGGTGGGGGCAATCTCACACAGTCACATTCAGGGTCAGGAGGTGGCGGCCCCGTCGAAGCTGTGTTCTGGATAAAAGAGACAATGACCCAGTGGCGGATACGAGGAAAATGCTGGCTTATTGCAGCCGATGATATAGAAGGCGGACAACAGGCCCAGAACTCCGGGACGGTGACCGTCAAAGCCGAAGTTGGACGATACATGCGGGCCAAGGAAGGGTCTGGTCGCGCGGAGAAAAACAAAGACTGGTCGTGGAGACTGGAAATAGAAAACTACTTTGAGAATTTATCGCCGACCATGAGAGGAACGTTCAAAAATCCTCCTCCCGGTCAACCATTGCAGGAAGGTAAGGATGACAAAGCAGGAGAAGGACTCGGACAGAAGGCGGGACATTTGTCGGATGAGGCACTCGCGCGGAGGAACTTCCGGGTCTGTATCATCACGCCAGAGCAGGTGGAGGCCGTCGATTTAAGTGATCCTACCCACTGTACCAGACAAGTCTGGAATTTGGCAGAAGAAGGAAGGGGGCCTGGGGGCGACCAGCCGAGCGAATCTTTCGGCGAGTGGAACTTGGTCGAGACGTGGCCCTAAGATACTAGGTTGAAAGACAGAAAAACAGTAATCAAGCAGTTCATCGCCGGTTATCTGTTTCCATCCAAAGGGAAGGTCGACTTGAAAATTTCAGGGTTCAATGAGGCCTAATTGATTGGGGTATCGGAAATCTGACACTGCTAATGACCACCCGCACGCTGCTTTGTGATATTTGTTTGCACGCGTTCATTTGCGTTCTCAGTCAACGTCATATCAAAGTCAAAGCCCCGAACACAGCAGCTCCCAAAACACTCCACCCAGCTGTGAAAACGGTAGCGCTGTTACCTGTCGGAGAGCTCGAAGCGCCGCTCGCGGTGCTACTTGGACTTGCGAGTGATGAAGACGCAGACGAGGCGGAGGCGGAACCAGAGCCACTTTGCGGCGAGCCATCAGCGTTGGTCTCGTTGGCGTTGACTTTGGAGGAGAGCGGAGAGGCCGTCACTCCGGTGCCGTTGGTGCAGGCGCTTGGAAGTGATTGGATGGTCGGCGATGAGGTAAAGGTCAAATCAGCACACTGAAAGCCCCAAGTGTCAGTTGTATAGTTCTCTAGTCAGCGTTGAAGAGACTTACGATATAAAGACCACCACCACCTTCTCCGTCCGTGATGACCTGTAAAGTCCCATTCGTGCCGTCTTGAATATCGAGGCTAGCCGGGACCTGGACCGATGGCAGACAGAAACTTCCCTCTCCCTGTTCCTGGAAAGTCTGCTCGAGTGTGATGTTGAAGTTGTCGCCTGGATCATTGCCTAGGGCCAGAAGTATCTGGACTACCGAGCGGTCGTGACCCATCTCGAGGGCAACCGGGAAGGCCGAACTGGAGACAACAGTGCGGTTTTGGGAGACAGAAAAGCCACCGCAAGGAAACTTCGCCTCCGTCTCATCCTCATCGCTTCTTGGAGCTGGGTAGTGGATATGGAAATGAGCGGAGACAAGAAGAGGGAGAGAGATCAGGGCAAGGAAGGATTGAGGAATCATTTTGCGGTAGGCTTGTAAATTGAGTGACTGAGGTGACAGAGGAAGGAGAATGGGAGGCGGATGAGCCGTGAGGTATGACTGCGAACGAGTCCAGATTATAGAGTCGTGCAAGGAAAGGTCAAGGGGGGGTGAAGGAGTAAGACCGATCAAGCATCAAACCGGCATCGTAGCCTAGACTCCTTGGCGAGCTTGTTACCTGGGACTCGGAGGGCTTAGAGGCTCAAGTTGACACTTCATTAAACGGTCTCGGGTCTCGTGTCGTTAGGTAAAATGAGCACATATCGATCTGTCAGATAGCAAGGCTCCTAAGGCCTCCTTACCTATCAGGTTAGTCTGTGGTTTGGGGTGGAATGTACCCAGTACTCCGTACTACTACTAGTATGTCGTTACTACTAGCTAGCCTGCGGCAAAAACGTGCGCATCTGACTGTGGGGAAGGAAACTTGCTCACGAGCAAAAAGGGGCGAATGAATATTACCTGGTAGGCCTGGTAATTATTAGATCCTTTATGTCGGCGTGTACTTCATACATCTTAGTGAGGGACGTTGGGAGGCTAAGGCTGATTCACTCCGCCAATAGGTGTCTTTCATGAGCGGCTTCGTGGAAATCATCGTCGTGATTAGAGTACGGATACTCCTATGGATGTCCATCTTATTCTTCATGTTAACAAGACGTCGGTGTTCCGGCACGACGACGACGACGTAGGGGTATAGGGGACGGCCAAACAGTAGAACTCTTCTACGCTCTTCTTTGCGGCCTCTTCTAATCGTACTGCAACGGGTATCTCAATCGCTTTCCGACTCCATTCAATGCAAGTGTTCATCAATCTGGGCGTATCTCCCCACTAATAACTCGCCAACAAAAGTGCCGGCCAGCACGGAGAGGAAATAGCCCACGTTCATGGTCATGACCGCCAACATCCTAGCACATGGTCAGTACAATGCCAAAAATTCCATGGCGGCTTTACGCACAGCAAATATGAGACGCCAGCAATAATCGTTGTCAAAATAGCTCGAGGGATGTCGACGGATAATCGAAAAGGAACGATTCCGCCAGTTCTTGCTTGCACCACCTTGACGTTTTCCTCCACACCTTGGGCCGTGACTAGAGAACCTGTCTTCGCGTCGGGATCCTGATCAATCCTGCCAGCTTCGGTCGATCTGCCTTTGACCAGAACGAATCGTCGGTTCCGTGCGGCGGTTGCCCATCTCTGCTCACACACAGCCTTTGCCGCAAAGAGGAGCCGCAGTGTCATCGCGAGAAGAAGGAGGAAAATGCAGGTGCCCGCATAGCCGCCTTCCGATGAGGGCGTCCAGGAGTTTGCAAAAAGAGGGGTGGTGTGAGTGTTGGTGAATACCATCGTCATGGACATGGAGTCTGACTGCGAGTGTGACATGGTGAAGTCGTGAAGATAAAATGGAGGGATTCGCGGTGATGCGACTCTTTCGACTTTCGAAACCTCGAAGGACACAAAGGAGGGTGCGGGACGTGTCGGGGTCTTTGTATAGAACACGACTGTAGGACGTACTCTCGCTCTGTTTCGAGACCAGAGGAGGTGAAGGGGTTGGCTACACTGTCTGGATGTTGAGCATATTACCGACAGCAGTAGTATAGAGAAGTAATACTAGTAGTTGTAGGTTGGAAAAGCGGACAGGCAGAAGCGAGGCCCATCGCATCCATAGCACTTGTCAGGTGCTTGTGATGGATGGATCCATTAACATTCATATTAGTAGTAGTAGTACGGAGATTTATTCTTATTTCTTTGAAGTTCCTGAGGTTGAGCAAGTTCTTGGCTGCGCAGGTTTTCCCATTTGGGGATGGAGCCCGCAGCTGCACCACAATTGTTTGGGGCGTCGTTTGGGCGCAGTTTGATCTTGTTGGCCGCGCCCGCCAGCCTCAGCCTGTCAGATGAGATGCCGTCCTCCTGTTCGCCCCTCAGGTTCCTCCTCGGGACTCCGTATCGTATTATTACTCGAAACACCGCTCACCAGCTTTGAGTCCTCACCCGACCCGTTGAGCACATTTACATTTCTCCCCAGTGCTCAAACTACGCGCTCGAAGCACCCTCCTTTGGCATTCTTACTTGCGGCGTTCCTCTATATCTCGGTGCACTTCAACGTTCGAGTACATCGCTCCAGGGCTAGGATTCTGACGGCTTCCTCTTTCATCCCTCGTTTTCTTACAGCTCCTCCACCGGCTTGACGCCTCTTTGTTGGCCAAGACGAGACATATGGCATAAACAACCTTCCTGCAGCCTTTTGTCCCGCTTCTCGCCAGCCTCTCATTGTTAGCTCACTTGACAAGTTGCCTTCAGCATGGCCGCCGTTCTCTTCCCCCGCCATGACGGCATGGACATGGACATGGACATGGACATGGACATGGGCAGTATGGGCTCCGGAAGCGGTGTTCCGGGGTATTTTTATATGCAGAAAATGTTCTGGGCTGTCATCGGAGCTGTAGTCGGGTTTGCTGCTCTTCTCAACCTACTCGACCACATTCTTCTCTGGCAGCGACAAAGGAGTCAAAATGCGAAACCGAAATCTTTTTTTTGGTCATTCTATGCAACCATAACCGCCCTGGGTCGCGAGATCAATTCCGCGTCCTTGCCAACGTACCAGTTCAAATGGCTGAAAATGCGAGCCCCTCCCTTGGGCAAGACCGTCTTGGCTCTCTCCTATTTGATCACAGTCATCGTCTTCTGCTTCTACAAATACGACACCGGTGATCAGTGGAGCTGGGAGAACATCGCATATCGATGTGGGTGCATCGCCCAAGCTCAACTTCCTCTTATTTTCCTCCTGGCCGGCAAGCAAAACATCATCGGTTACCTGTCAGGTGTGAGTTATGAACGTCTGAACTGGTTGCATCGCTGGGTCGCTCGCGTTCTGTGGTTGACATGTACGTTTCATCTGATGTTCTGGTTCAGGAGCTGGGCAAGATATGACTACATCAAGGTGAAGTTGTCGACAGACCAGATGACTCAGACTGGCTTTGCGGCTTGGTGCATTCTCACCGCCCTTGTGGCCACCTCTTTTGCACCTATGCGACGGGTGAATTATGAGATATTCCTGGTGGTGCACCTCGTCCTTTTCGCGGGCTTCATTGGAGCCGTCATGCTCCACGTCGACTATGGCAAGACCTACGTCTGGATATGTGTCGCTCTGTTTTTTCTCGACCGAGTTTTGCGTTTCGGCGTCTCCCTGGTGGCCAACCTGTCAATTTTCCATCGTCGAATCCCGGGCAGAAGTTGGCTCTGGGCACACAAAGCCACCTTGACCCCTCTGGCAGGAGATGTCACCCGCATCACTATCGACCAACCTGTGTTAAGATGGAGCCCTGGACAACATGTTTTCCTCTCATGCCACACAGTGGCCCCGTTGCAAAGTCATCCTTTCAGCATAGCATCAATTGAGTCTGACAACCAGCTGGTATTCCTCATACAAGCTCGCCAAGGAGGCACGAAGCGCTTCCACCGATTCGCTTTGAAAAATCTCAGCCTATTTAATCCTTCTGGGCCTGAAGTGAAAAGACAACAGCTTGTTGGAGTGGAGGGACCGTATGGAACGATCCGTCCACTGCGGCAATTCGACAGCATTTGTCTCTTTGCAGGCAGTACTGGAGCGACATTCACCGTCCCGCTACTGAGGGATATCGTGCAAAGGTGGAAGGCCAGCGTCCAAGGGACATTTTCGATTGTTACGCGGAAGATCCGCTTCGTTTGGGTAGTGAAGTCTCGAGACCGAGTGGGGTGGTTCAAGGATCAGCTCGAAACCGCACTGCTAGATGTCCAAACCATTCGGAAGATTGATGGATTCTCTGAAAAAGAGCTTGACCTCAGCATTTATGTTACATGCGACGAGGAGTTAGAAGCATCAAATCCCGATGGCTTTTGTGGACCGGAAGCGCATGGAGCTGTCCAGGTTACGGCCAGAGCCTCTTCCGAGACCAATGGCCCAACCAAAAAGTCCCCGGACCAACAAGTGGAGATAAGATCAATCACGTCCACTGATCAGAATAACGACGGCTGTGGACCGGACGGTACCTGTTGTTGCAAGGCTGCTGTTGACGAGGATGGAGCGGCAGCAAAGTGCTGTTGCTGTGGACCTTCATCAATCTCTCTCTCCTCGTCTTCTTCGTCAATCAACGAGAAGGGTCCCGAAACTCTGCCAACCAAACCGGCTGAAGATAAGCCGCAGCTCAAGCTGATCGCCGGTCGACCCAAACCACGAAACATCATTCGGAAGGTGTTGGAAGAAGCCGAGGGTGAAAGTGCAGTGGTTGTTTGTGGACCCCAGGGACTACAAGACGACGTGCGACGAAGCGTCGTCGCATTGAGTGACGAACGTGCTGTTCACAAAGGGACGGGGGCGCAAGGCATATATCTTCACGTGGAAGGATTCTGTTATTAGATGGTAGCGGGTGGGGTGCTCACTAGGTACCTATGTGCATGGCGACTGGCGTTTGGGATACAGGAGGGCTACAGGGAAATGTGGCTGGTGATGATGGACTATGATACTCACGAAAGACTCTCTGTAGGAGCGTCGACTGCTAGCAGCGGCCAATTGGATATTAGATGAAGAGCACGAAAATATACATCAACTGTTGGGCAGGCTCTGGTCGGTCATCTGTGAGTTTGATATCAGTAATACGGGATATAGGTATTAATAATTACCTCAGGCAGGCTGAGGGCTGCGTAGGTGTGCACAGGCACCTAACAGGCACGTAGGCTAGGTGACAGATACCCGTTAGGTGCCCTGGTGTGCCCGTAGGATTTGCTTAGTCATGCCCTCGTGATTTCCATTGGCATTCAGCCTGCTGCCGAAGCTGGCTTACGCACGTATGACCCAACCCGGACCTCTTCGCCGCCTGGATTCCAGAGGCAGTCGGACTGATCTTTCGTGGCCACCCCGTCGCCCCGGGACAATGAATTGGACAGTGCAGGAATGAAAGAGGTTCAAAAGGGCCACGGCCTCCAAGAAGAAGGAAGCGGTCAGGCACATACAACGACAGAACCGCAAAACACCACCCCAACAGCTACAAGTCTTTCGCACCTACGAGAACTGCTAGGTGCATTAACAAGTCTATTCTTACCATACGCTCTTCATCCTCTACTGGCCGTTGATACCTTTTTGCCTGGTCTGGCAGCCATGTGGCCCTTCAGCAGTAGCGTTCCTTTCAAGCCGGCAACAGGCATTCCTAGCCTCGCCGGCAAAGTCATCCTCGTCACTGGAGGCAACAATGGCATCGGCAAGGAAACAGTCCTCCAGCTTGCCAGACACAATCCACAGAAGATATTCCTCGCAGCGCGGAATGAATCGAAAGCTAAGGCCGCCATTGCTTCGATCAAGTCACAGATTTCCGAGGATGTCGACGTCGAGCATCTGCCTGTCGATCTCACCTCGTTACCTTCCATCAAAAACGCTGCCGACAGAGTCATCAGTCGCAGCAATCGCCTAGACATTCTCGTCCTGAACGCCGGGATCATGGCTGTCCCGCCGGACAAGACAGCTGCAGGGCAAGAGATCCAAATGGGGACCAACCATGTCGGCCACTTCCTTCTTACCAAGTTGCTCCTCCCGACCTTGCAACACACGGCCAAAGAGTACAACCCAGATGTGCGCGTTGTGTCTGTGTCCTCGGAGGCCTGGAATATGGCCCCAAGTCTTGACACCATCCTCTCGACCGACAAGCTCACGGCTAGAGGTCCATGGACACGATACGGAGCGTCTAAGGCAGCCAACATCATGTTTGCCGCCGAACTGGCTCGTCGCTACCCCACGCTTACCAGTGTATCTCTCCATCCTGGAATCATCAAGACAGACCTATATCTCCCCAGCATAGGGGTGAACCCTATTGTCAAATATGGCTCCATGGTAGTCGGCCCACTTCTATTTCAGAACATCGAAACCGGAGCATTTAATCAGCTGTGGGCCGCGGCCGGCGCGAGAAAAGAAGAGCTCACCAATGGGGGATATTACACTCCGGTCGGCAAGCTCAGGAAGAATAAATGGGTCACGGATACAGATGCGGGAACCAAGTTGTGGCAATGGACGGAGAAGGAGCTGAAGCAGGCAGGCTACTGAGTGCTAATGAGTCGGGGAATTTGCTGTCCAATTGTCTTTACTCACGAGCAGGAGCTCTGGCTGACCGTTGGCTTTAGATGGTGGAGTGGCTTTGTTATACAGACTCCTGGGGTACGGGAAGCTGTAGCTGTAACTGATACATCTTGAATATACGACTAGCTAATGACTGGAAATAACTCGGGATGCTTGCGAGTGCACTGGTAAGGTGTTTGTCTACCTCCACCGGGGGCAGTTCAAGTTCAATCGACGACAAGTCGAATAGCGAGCGAGCCTGTCGCCTCACTCCACGTGTCGACCAGAAACGAAGTGCAAGGGTCAGCTCATCGTGACTTAGGGGCGAGCAACGCGGGACAAGGCTCGACCCCCTGGTGCCAAGTCACCGAGCAGGATCAGGTAATCAAGCCGGTCTGCCATTGGCCACACCGCAACGTCTTCCTCAGGCTCCGCTTACGGTACGAGAGTTGCACAGCCTCACAGCTCATATATATATTGGACAGGTGACTGGTGAATTTGTTACATCCGTGTTCAGTCCCTGCCACTTTGCAGACCGCTGTGCTGTGCTGTCCAGTCCGATCCAATCCCACTGTACTTGCGTTGCCAGGCGGATAAGCCTCGAGATAGAGAGATTCAACATCTCCTGTGGAGCAAGTCCAAAAACCGACATATCCACTAGCTTGCAAAGACAAACCAACCATTCGAGAGCCTGTGCCATCACCGTGGGCCCGGGATCCAACAGGACGGAGTACTGTCAACTGTCCAGTCCCGAGTTCCGTACAAAACGAAGGACATTCGCTCTGGCATTTAAGGCCTGAAACCCACCCACCGCCGCAATCATAGAGTCGTCCAAGAGATACTCGCACATCTACCTCCGCTCCCTCAACCGCAGCCGTAGTCGAAGCCGGTCCGGGTCTATCTCGCCCAGCATGTCCACGTCGGCGCCCGACAATGACCATGAGAACAGGGACAAAGTCGTCTTGGTGACGGGCATCAACGGCTATATCGCCAGCCACATTGGGCTCCAGCTCCTGCAGAAGGGATACACGGTGCGAGGGACATCGCGGGCCGCCGCTGCGCGAGAGAACCTGTTGGCCGGCCCGTTCAAGGGCTTCGAGGCCCAGTACCAACACGTCCAAGTGCCGGACATTGTGGCGCGCGGGGCCTTCGACGCGGCGGTCCAGGGCGTGCACGCCATCGTGCACACGGCGTCGCCGGTCGACTTCTCGCTCACCACGGTCGACGAGTTCTTCGGCCCCGCGGTCGGCGGCAACCTGTCGATTCTCGAGTCGGCCAAAGCCGCCGCGGGCCCGCAGCTGCGATCGTTCGTGGTCACGTCGTCCGTGGCCGCCATCGCCGACAAGTGGAAACAGCCGGCCGACCACGCCTACACCGAGGCCGACTGGAACACGACGGCCGAGAGCGTGGCGCGCCAGACCTTCGACGCGCACACAGCCTACGCCGCGTCGAAAGCGGCCGCCGAGCGCGCCGTCTGGGACTGGACGCAACAGAACTCGCCGTCGTTTGCCGTCGCCGCCGTCCACCCGGCCGTCGTCACAGGCCCGCCTGTCTTGTGGCCCGCCACCCCGGACAGGCTCAACGAAACGCTGCTGCCCATCTGGACCATCTGGAGCGGGGGCAAGACCATGCCGCCTCCGATCGGCGGCGCCGGCTACATTGATGTGCGGGACGTCGCCAGCATGCACGTCTGGGCGGTCGAGAACCCCGACCGGAGCCACGGTCAGCGCTACATGCTTGCAAATGGCAGGGCTCCGCCTCAGGCCGCCGCGGATCTGCTACGCAACACCTTCCCAGAGAGAGACATCATCGTGGGGAGCCCCGGCCTAGGCTACATTCAAGACTACGGCTTCCCCCAGGGCCAGCCCACCCTGATCTCCAGCAAGGCGTTGGATGCGCTCGGGCTACAGCACTTTATTCGCTTCGACAAGTCCATTCTGGATACGGTCGAGGCCTTTGAGAGGCAGTGGCCGGGCCTCGCGAAGAACATCAAACAGGAACAATAGAAGGGCTAAGGCCTTGCAAGGCGCACTCGAGTCTGGTTCTCACCCGGGTTTGATCCAAAGTTGGCCAATTGCACGCATGGGATGGCGAGATCATACAGAGCCATCTGAATAGACACAATCATGATGGTTATAGATATAGCTCAATCTGCATGCCCCAATTCTCGCGATGGCTCCGGTCCGCGAAGCCTGGCAGTCAAGCGATAAAAATGCTACAGCTCTCTAGCCAGTTGGGAAGCAGCCGCGTAGCGACCGGATTAGACTTTATCCACCTTCATAAGACCTTTACTGTGCTCGTTGAGATCAGAAGAGACTGAACTTGTCACTCTTTCCGATGTAACATGTAGTCGTAGGGGCTCTTTTCATAGGCACCAGCGAGACCGCACCCATAGCCATGACGGTCAGGACGATCAGGCCAGAATTGATAGACGTCTTCAAGCAGCAGCAGGAACATTGGCAGTCCCGACCAACCAACATTCAGCATGCCGACTTGTCGCAGTTCGTGAATCCTGTTTGAGAGGTCTTCTACCTCCACATTTCCTAGACATCGGCTTACCTGTTCTGCAGCCCAGATCAAAAGCCGTGTGTAACATGCCATGCCGGGGCAATTTGGAATTTCCATGACTACGTGGTTCTTTCCCTCTGGCCCGTTGTTTTGTGCGACCTTACCTACGTAGCGAGGCCACTGATAGCAACCATCACAATCCTCATCTCGAGCGGTTCCGCAGGTCGACCGAAGCGAAGGAAGCAGTAAACGGCGAGTTGTTCTCTGGTGTCCTGCTCAAGGTGGCAGCCTACTTTGCAGGAGGGGAGAGGCATGGCAGTCCGATTCGAGATCTATGAACAGCAAATGTATGTCAAGCCGGCGGTGAGTCTCAGCAGTAGATGCAACGGTTGAAGAAGAGGGTACGAACGTAGTGATCTTCGGTAGAAATACCAGTAGAGGGCCAGAAGTAGGGGACGCCACAGTCTCAAAGAACAGTGGACCCGTCAGTTGCTGTACTCTGTACTCTGTACTCCGTACGGCGTACAGTCCCTAGTAGTAATTAGTGGGAGGATGTGTACGGATAACACATGCCCGTCGGCGATTGTCCCGTGCTTTCGTCGTGGGCGGAGATGGACCAAGTTGCCAGCGCTGAATATGGTGGCCGAATGATGAGCGCAGGAGCTTCCTTAGACCTGCGGGTGCCCTTAGTGTTAGCCGGGGGACTAGGATGCGGGCCTGAGCCTAGAGGCTTAGGAGGCCTTCGCCCCGCTGATAAAGAAATCGAATGGTGATGGTTTATCCGGTGTTCGAATCGATGTACTCCGTACCCTGGACTGTACAGTACTGTATGCGTAAGGTATGTTCGGATTGGTAGCATGGCAACAAGGCGCAGGCGGGGAAGTGAAGGAGGATAGGTAGTAAGGTGCTCCGTCCATATAGCACCTCGCACCTCCGCTACCTATGCCGTGTCCGTTTTCCGTACTACGATGTGGTGATACCGTACTCCGTATTCACACCTAACAGGCCTTCTAGGTGCTATGTACTTACACCTACGGTAGGTACTAGGTAGGTACCTATACCTGAAGTACCTCAATGTGCCAGACTCCGCATACGCATACAGTATCCGTACCGTACACATACCCTGACGGCACTAGCGCCCGGGATTTAGTGCTGTCATAGGTCCTTAGGCATACGGATACATACGTACCTAGTGGTAGACTAGCCGCTCTCGCGTATCTCCCTCCCTCCCTCCGAGTCTGCCAGCAAAGATAACGAAGTACAAGTCTAATACTGGTCAGGACACCCCGGGCGTGGCTGTCCCAGGGAGTCTTAGACACTGGGCACCGGCTGCTGCTCAGTACAACCCGGTACTAAGTATCTCTTTGACTGGCCGCCACAGCTGGATATCACCGCTCCTGCAGCTGCAGCTCGTCTACCACTCCCCCCGACTACCTGACTGACTGATTCAGACACCCGCTCTACACTCACTCTGTAACCCACCGCTTCTTCGCCCCAGATTGTCTCTTTCCTTTCTGGCCATCTGCTTTCTTCACTTGGTCTGATCTCTATCCGTCTTACGCTTGAGTGCATCGTCCATCGCCACTCTCTTTGCGTCTGCCAAAGCCCCCCTCGCGACCCACGAAACTCCCAATCAGCCTGCTCCCAACCCAGACGCCCCTCCAGTCCTCTGTCACTGTCGGCAACCGCAACATCTATCTCTCTCCTCTAAGCCTTTTGGTCGATGTCCATGTCGTCTGTTCCTGATTACGTCGCATGGACATGGAAGTCCAAATTCCTTCCCCGTCTGTCTTTTTGAAGAAATCTCCTGTCCTCACTCCCGCCCCCAGTGTACCAGCCAAACGACCTGCCGTCACCAAACCAAAAGCCAATGCTGTCACCAGACCTTCCCTTAAACCTACCCCGGCGGTTCAGGATGGTGCGGTGACGAAACCAAAGCAGAGCAAGAGCCGAAATGGTACGTTTTATTTTGTCATGCCGGCATCAGTTGGCGCGACCCCCTCCCAATGCTCAAACTTTCCCCAATGCTGAGCCTGTCTCTGGCCGTCTCGGACTGACATTCATGGCTTCCGATAAGGCTGTATGACCTGCAAGAAGAAGCGGTTAAAATGCGATGAGACGAAGCCCTCGTGTGTGCAATGCCAGAAGCGGAGCGTTGTGTGCGAGGGATACAAAAAGGACTACAAATGGCGAGGTTTTGATGAAACCACCTTCACTTCCAAACCTCCTCCAAAAAGGAAGACCTTCCGATCTAGTTCTTTCGCCCACGACCATAACACTACTCGCCCGCTCAACATCGCACCTGGCGACCGACATAACCCGCGACGTACTGGGCCTGAAGACTTGGGCTCTCCGCAGACATGGTCGCCAGGTCTTCATTCGGCCTTTGCCACAGCTACCCACGCCTTCCACGGCCATGATCGAGGTCAAGGCTCATCCTTCTTTCCACAGCAACGAGGAGATATGAAGATCGAGAGTGCCCTCTCGCCGACTTTCGGCCTCACTCCTAGTTCTGCCTATATCCCTCCGTTTGACGCCGAAGACATGTCCCCTGTCCTCTCGTATGGCGATCACCCCGACCCATACAGCTTTCTGACGACAACCAACACCTCGTCAACAAATGACAATAATAGTACCAGTTCCTTCTCCTCTGGATCTCCCCAGCTTATGGATTTACTCCTCCCGGGGACCGATATGAACCGACCGCCAGATCCGTCAGAGATGCGGCCTCCCATATCTCCTCTATCTTATCAACCTGCCGACTTTGATTCCAGCCTGGAGATGGACGAAGACTTTGATGAGGAAATAATCAGGTCTGACGCCATCGCTACCACGTCCGCAATGCCCTCAATCACAGTTCCTACCCCGATGCCTATTCTCGGCCTTGGCTCAGCAACCGTGACATGGCAAAGTTTCCGGGCAGCCTCGCCTACCCCTAGTGCAGTATCGACACCGTCTTCCAAATCCAGCGATATGACAATCCTAGCACAGCCAGTCTGGGGCCCCGAGTCTGCCGAGATGCTCATGCTCCGTTTCGACAAGCAAACATGTGGTATCCTATCCGTCAAAGATGGCCCAACAGAAAACCCCTGGCGGACGTTGATCTGGCCGCTAGCCCGCGAATCTCCCGCTCTATACCACGCCATCTCGTCGATGACGGCTTTCCATGGCGCACACGAAATGCCAGATCTGCACATGGCAGGCATGTCGCACATGACCAAAGCAGTCAAGGAGCTCGCGTCCGAGATCGAGAACATGCGACTTGATTCAGCCCTTGCAACGTCCCTGGCGCTGGCGTTTAGCGAAGGTTGGGACAGCCACGTGAGCACCGGGGTACAACATCTGCGCGGCGCAAAGGTCATGGTCAATAATGCCATTGTCAAGCATCGACGAGATATGCAGCTTGGTAAGATGACAACCCAGGACGCCGGCCGCCTCAAATTTCTCTGCAACACCTTTGTCTACATGGACGTTATCGCCCGGTTGACATCGTTAGAAGAATCCCATGACTTGAACTTTGAAGAGATCCTGGGAACAGTGAATGCCCCATTCAGCGAACAGGTTGAGGTAGACCCCTTGATGGGCTGCGCGACCACACTTTTTCCGTTGATTGGGCGTGTTGCCAACCTAATCCAGCAAGTTCGCAAAACCGATTCGAATTCGTTAACGCTGGTATCTACCGCAATGGAGCTGAAAGAACAGCTACAGCAATGGCAAGTTCCCAACATCGTGGCTTTTGAGCGACCTGAGGACCCAAATTCGGAGGTGCAGCACTCAATCCAGACTGCCGAGGCCTACCGTTACGCTACACTACTCTATCTACACCAGGCTGTCCCTGAGATTCCCAGTGACCCTGCTCAAAGTCTCGCGAAGAAAGTTCTCATCACGCTCGCCTCGGTACCCTTATCGTCTCGTGCAACAATTGTTCAAATCTTCCCCTTGTTCGCGGCAAGTTGCGAAGTCACAACCCCAGACGACAGAAGCTGGGTCCTCCAACGATGGGCGGCGATGATGACACGCCTGAAGATCGGCAATGTCAATTCTTGCTGGCAGGTGATTCGGGAAGTGTGGAGCCGGCGCGATGCGTACGAGAGTGAGAAAGCCAATCGATTACTGAGGCGGTATAACTCTCGAGGTGCCCCTGGAGGGAGCTTCGTACCACCAATCCTCAACATGCCGCCTGGACTGAAACGAAAGGCGCACACTGTCGACGGCGCCGGGGAGGGAGAAGGAGCTTTCCAACAGGCGCAGCACCTGACTCGGACTCGAGCTCGGGGTGACACTGCCAATGCAGTGGGATTTGGGTCCTCCCTGACCGACGATGAATTCGATACAACAGGTGGCCCACTCAAACGACGTGTGACAGTGACCCCGATGGGCGCAGGAACGTCGACGTCGATACCTAATGGCGTACGCGGAAACTTTTCAGCCACGATGCCGGCTTCGGTCCCAGCGCACTCGCGACGTCCCACAAGTGACATTGTATCACCGGATCAACTTGAGCATGAGTACACTGTGCGAGGCCGGCTCCATTGGCTGGGTGTTATGACAGAATGGCAGTGGGAAGGTATGTTCCATTTTCATTGCTCCCCTTGCCCATTGCCACCCTTGCCCTCTCTTGAAAACCATGTTTCTTCATGCGAGTCACATTCACCCCTATTACTGCAGCATATGAGGAACCAGTATAGTTGTGAACAAACTGGAATTTCATTCGAGCGTCCGCGACAATCTCTAGTGACTATCTCGCACTATACAGAACCTTGGTTGCTGTAATGGAGATGTTGTCTGCCACCTATATACCGTGGATTGAAACTCAATACACGCAAATTTCCCTACTTATTCACTAACTCAATCACTCATAGTTTTTCTCGGATGACGGACACGAGATTGCCCTGGCCTGCGAACTCGCCTTGGTCTTCGCCGCATGTGCCGCGTGCTTCTTGCTCAAATGAGCCTTGCCCGTTGGGTCTGCAGTGCGGCATTCTCGATGATGATGATGACGGGCAGTATCTTTGCTGATACAGTGACGGTGATGGTGATGACGGCCTGACAATCTCGCCGGGCCCTTGGTCACACAGCTGCCATTACCAATTAAGCCATCCTCGAAGTTTGTGGAATCATGCTTCCTCCTGAGGCTGGCAAGGTCCATCCATTGAAATTCCGGAGACTTCTCCCTCCCACTGCTACTGCCGCTGTTGCTGTCGCTGCCACTACTATGACTCTGGGTGCCAGATCTGTTCCTGCAACGTCCGGCGTGGGTCTGATTGGCATTCGATTGCTCCAGGGTTGCTAGAAAATGTCGCATGCTTTCCGTGTACTCATCCAGCTCGGCGCTCTGGGACGTCTTGGACATGGGGATTGATTTGGCTATTATACCCCTTGCAGCTGGCCTTTCGAGGTTGCTCTGGCTTTTGCTACGCTTGCGAGTGGCCGACGGTTCGGTGGTGGCAGTCATATTGTTCATGTTCTTCTGGTACTTTTCACAACTGTCGACCTTTGGGGTCGGGACGGCCGTTGCAGGTGTGCTTGATTGAGAGGGGTCAAGCGGAATGTATTGCTTTGCTGGGTGGGGACTTTTAACGATGTGTTGGTGCTATATATGATTTTATGCTTTATGATGACTCGAAAGGAAGCGGTGAACGCGGTACGATTGCGATTGGAGTCGAGGCCCTGCCGGGCTGACTTGGGACTTGGTGGGTTGCTTTTGGATTCTGTGACGGCAGGCCATCAATACAAAGCAGGGTGTTCTTGGATTCGGGCTGCGTTGGTCTGACTTTGATCGGCCTAGAGGCTATCGAAATGCGTGTGCAGGCGGGTATGCGTATGCTCCGAGACAGTCGATGTCGGTGAACTTCAGATCCATGCGTAGGCACACAGGGAATAGATGGTAGGAGAGAGACTGATCGGTACTCAAGCGTCCACCCAAGACCTGATGCAAGACGTGAAGATATAGAATGAACGTACGCGGCGGTATGCTTTCTGTCTAGGTCCCTAGATCCATGTGGTCGAATTGTCGCGCTTGGTCTCCCGGAAACCGAATGGGATGAAATCGAAATCGAGTCAGGGCAAATCAGTTTAGGGCCGCGAGTCTCAGTACTATGCACCTTGAGATGTAGTGTGCATATAGATGATAAATGTCAATAACGCAAATGGGACTTGCAGCCGCCGGTAAGAGAGTGGAGAGAGCACCAGGCGTCGAGGATCGGGCGAGGATAAAATCGTAAACGCCAACGGGATCGATGGCTCTGGTCTGCTTGGGGCCAAGGGGAGGCGGTCGACGAGAAGGTGGTGCAAGGGCGGAATGTTGCGTTGGCGACACGGAGGGCTCGCAAGAGAAGAGAGACTTGATTGAGAGTTTGAGGGGCAGGGCAGGCAGGATAAGAAAGAGAGGCTGCAGCTCTGCGGAATATATCCCTAAGCTTGTGTTGTGTCATGTCATGACGGATGGCAAGCTGGAGCTGGAGCTGAAGCGACCAAACAGGACAGGCAAGTGAAGAGGAACGAAAGAGGAACGATCAAGCGGAAAACCGGGCCCGGGGGGGGTTGCTCGTGACCTTTTTCTTGTGCTCTGGTGTTGCAAAAGGTATGTGGTATGTGACTTTGTAATGTACGGAGTACTGTAGTATGAAAGAGGTAAAAGAAATGGCAAACCAGGAGCGGAAGTGGAACGGTCGTTCTTCAAAAGCAAATCACCGTCTCGGGCTAAGGCCCGATCGGCCTGTAGCCAGAAGGAATACACGAGGCTCGGCTCTTGAGAGGCAACACGGAAGGACAGAATCTATCATGCTCATGCCACATAAATCGGTTCAAGCACGGGGTGGCCAGACAAACGACGCAGTCCGGTAGATCTCCTGTCGGACCTCAACCCCTCGACGTATATTGAACGGGACGTGGAAGGCTGTAAGGAAATACCGTTGGCAGTGTGTGGGAACAATCGGCCATCCGCGAGCAGTAGCTAGGGACCAGGATTGCGTGCTCGAGAGTCGTTCAGATGCAGGGCCAGACAGATGTAGCGGCTTAGAGAGTGTCGGACCATGGCTAACTAGTACGAACGTGAACCATCTTCTGGAATCGAGTCCCGGTAGACCATGATTGGAGCCGCAGTTTGAGCGCTGCGCAGGATTCCAGCAAGACGAGGTAATTGTGGAGAACAGAGGCACGACGGAAAGGGATAATATGTTTGTTTGCATTTATTGGAATGCAGCTTTCTCACAAAGTCAAACATCGATGGCGTTCACAGTGAGTGGGCTTCGCCCGCCTGTCACACCTCACTTGTAGATTTAAGTATGGCTCCATAGACGTATTATTATGCCGGAGTGTCAACCCGGCCGTCATTGTTCACAGATGTTACCTATTTTGCATTCGCCGCCTGGCGGGGAGCGATACAGTATGCTTATCTGCCAGTACTCTGTCTGTCGCAGAAACATTCTGCCTGAATAAGGACGAGGATGAAAAGCCGGACATTGGTCACGAGATGTGGGGTAGGTGGACGACGGTCAAGCGATCCATAGCGGCGGTGGAAGGGAAATGATTGCTCGATTGAGCCTCGCGCATTTTGCGAGCAACAAGGCTTTGTTGTCGATCGGAAAGATAGGACGGCGGACGAATGATAACAGGGGCAGGATGAGGTGGGTCAGGCGTGGGACGGTGGAAGTGGAATTGGTGTCACAGATCGAAGCGCCGACCGAGAATGAGGCCGACGTGGTGAACGAGAGGAGAGGATGAGAGGACGAGAGGACGAGAGTATGCCGAGGAAAGATACTGGTATGTATTCAGTACGGAGTAGATAAGGTAATTGACACAGTCGTGGTAGCAACAGGACAATGATTGATTGATTGATGATATCGATGTACGGAGGAGTATCTGTAGTAATAATTACCTATTAATATTGTATTTGTTCCTTCCCTCGGCCTGCGCGCCTGCGCACCTGCGCACCTGCGCCTAGGTGCCCCTCATCACCAGTAGCTGACTCATCCTTGAGAGAGGCCTCCGCCTTGTACACACACACACACACACACACACACACACACACACACACACACACACACATAGTATATATATATATATATATATATAGATCCCGTCGGACTGCACCTCTACTGTGCACTAATAATGACCAGGCCACCTGCATCGCTACAGTACCTAGTACCTACTGCCTAGTACCTAAGTATGTATCGGGACATGAACAGCCTTCCAGCGAGGGGATGATTGGATACCGCGATCCAAAGCGCAAATGTAGCAAATACGCCCAGCATCAACTCTTATCTCTTATCGGCTGCGCACCTGCGCAGCTGCGCTACTCCTCACACCTCGCGGTACACTGCCCATGGTTCATCCATCATTAAGCCACCTTAACCGTGTCGGGCATATTTATCCCTCAACTCTCCCCCTGCCGATGGAATGCCGTGACTGGTTCAGCATCGTGGATACTGATACCCATCCAGACTCTCCAGCCTCCAGGGTCGTCGTGCGGGCACTCTTATGAAGTGGGTGCTTCTTACACACTGACGCGGGTCTACGCGTTGTTGGCGATGGCTTCTCGAAGCATTACAAGCTGACCGGCTGATGGAGCACCGGGCAACGGCAGCGCTCAGCATGATTAGTTACATGTTCGGTCGAAGGTGAGAAAAGGCCACGAAGTATATCTTGCCGGCTTTGGCCCTGTTCCTGTTCCTGTTCCTGCATTTGTCTCCTGCTCAGCTTTACTTTTATCCCAATCCCGCTTGCATTTCCTCCCACCCTCTGTGGAAAACGGTGCAATCACATCTCGGTCACTTATCGCAAACACTCTGCGGTAGAACATTGCCTTGAACAGAAGAAGCCCGCCTTGGAACCAGGGTCCTCTCAAGAACTACAAAAAAGTAGGTACTGCACTCTCTCGCATAACTGACATCTGCTGTGGGGGACTCTCGCAATCTTTCCGAAGTTCAACAGAAAAATCTTCCCAAGTCCGAGTCCAACAGAGAAGTGTTTTGGGATCTTATATCTAATATGGGCTTCACTTTCAGTAAACTCTCCAACAAACACAAATCCTCCCCCTCGACACCTGAAAAGATGGCCGAGACACCTGCCTTCTCATACTTCGCCAAAGTGCAAAGCGAATTCAAACCTCCTTTGATCGCCAACGAGAATGCCTTCCTCGGCGACGTCACCAGCAACGAGAAGATTGACCCTGAGAAGCCCCTCAGCTGTGGCATCTATCGGCTCGAGAAGGGCACGCCTCTGGTCTATACCTACACCTACCATGAGATGAAGATTATCCTAGAGGGCGAGTTCGACATCAGCGACGCCACGGGTAAATCAGTCCACGTAAGTCTCCGTCTCCGGGAGCCTCTGGCTCGAGATAACGGCACGCGCCCGATTCGGCAAAGAAGATCTTGATCGACTAACGTGTTATGTGCAGGCTGTGGCTGGCGACGTCTTATACTTCCCCAAGGGCTCTGTCATCACCTTCAAGACCGACTCCTACGGTTTGGCTTTCTACACTGGCCAGCGCAAGGAAGGTGCTGCATAAGCTACAGGATAGCAAAAAGGATGGGGGAATTCTTGGGCATTGAAATAGTCTTGAAAGAAACGGAAGAAATTGAACCCTTGTTGATCTCCAACCATTGCCCAAGCTTGAATCTATTTCTACGTCGCTCTTTTGCGCCGACGCCATGATTTCATGATAACAAGACATGCCAACAGCGCCAGAAAGACAGGAATGATGGCGGATGATGGGCAGGCTCGATCTGCACCAACGGCGGCGCCGGTTAGTCACAGAGACTCGGTAGGCTTCAAACAGTCCTTGATGAACACCTCCAAGTCGTCGATCCCTTCTACGTCCACAGTGTGAGGGAGATCCCTGTACACTATCAGCTATGCCTTTGGGAGACATTCATCTGGAGACTTACTTGTATGTCTTGAACTCAACCTTGTGACCCAGCTCATTCTTCAAGAACTCCGCCGACTGCACGCCCCATCTGTACTTGACCACCTCATCGGCGTCGCCGTGGCCTAGGAAGAATGGCGTATCCTTGTTGGCCCCGTTGGCTTCTTTAGCGAACTCTTTCACCTTGTCCCCCAGAAGTAGATAGCAACTCAATCCAAACACGCCGGCCAGTTTGTGCGGCGTCGTAACACCGGTGAAAATGGACATTGCGCCGCCTTGAGAGAAGCCACCGAGAATAATACGGTTAGAGGGGATGCCCGCCGCGACTTCATCCGTGATCAGTTTCGAAAAGGTGGCTCGGCTGCGGAGGATACCCGGCTCATCGTGTGCCTGTCTCAGCTCGGAGAAGTTAAGCTGCACATTGGAAGCTTTAGTCAATATTCATCTTGCACTATAGGTGAAGGAAGAGCGCGGATAGGGCTGCAAACATCATCTCGGCGTCTTACGATATCGTACCAGCCCGGCATCGCCATTCCAAAGTTCTAACCCTCAGATATTAGTCATGCTTGATGCTCTTCTTTTGCCTCAGTGACAAGAACCATTACACACCACAGTGATGGGAATGCTCGGTGCATTGGGAAAGATAAACTTGACGTCTTCGAACTTTCCCCGTCGTCGCCAGTTCTCAGCAAGCGACACCCTGCTTTTGAATGAGATTCTGTGTCTTTGGAACCGATAACATGTCATTTTCAGACTCACCATCCTGCACCACTGCCGTTCCGATAGTTAGTCTAGATGCACAGTCGACTCTACGACTTGGACTTGGGCTTGGTACTGACCTGTCGCCCAACCCGTGAGCCATAATCACGGTTGCAGTGTGCTTCTTAAGTGCAGGCACTACCAGTGCTGGTCGTGCCGCCATCTCCGCCGCCAGTGACGGTAAGGGAAGATCAAGAAGTACCGGATGTAGAAGCCCAATTTTGCTGGAGACTGAAAACCACCGGGAGAGGATGGGAATGGAATACGAATTGATAATGGGAACAAACCTCCGGTCGCATCAAAGCCGAAGCCGTGAAGCGCAGGCAGTGTTGGAGATGAAATGCCCCGCAGACGTAGACGCTCTAGTTCTCTGGTCTGACCGCGTCATTCACTACTACTACTGGCGATTATTTGACTTGCTTCAAGTTCAAGGTCAAGGTTAGGGCCATTGCCGCCAAGACCTATATTCACACTGCACTCAGGCCGCGGTGTTGCACAGAGACGACTTCAACTGTGTCTGGTCGCCAACTCCAGCTTTTACCCGCCTGTCATAACCTCCCAATTCATCCTACAGAGCTAGGACGGAACAGCAAGGTTGACTGGCCGATTCCCGAGCAATTTTCTTCCCCCTGCTCTTTTTCCCTCGGTGCCCCGTCACAGCTCTTGGACAGACAAAAAGACACAAGCTCGTCATCGACTTGGCTTCGACGCACTTTCAGCCTTCACGTTCTGAGTAACAGAGCCAGATTTCCCACAACATGGATCAGGAGAAGCTCAAGCGCATGCAGGCGCAGGTGCGAATTGGTACGTTTGGGCCGCTGCTGCATCCCAATGATGATTTGTGCGCAGGTTCGCCGAACTAACCGCGAGAATAGGGTACGTGAATTAATGCTCCCCCAATGCCGCAACCGGTCCCTCGATCCCAATGCCGGGGGTGCCGATCGAAGGATGGATATTAACAATCGATTTATAGAGGTAAAGGAACGCCGCGGAGAAAGACCAAGAAAGTCCACAAGAGCTCCGGCACCGACGACAAGAAACTGCAGACGGCGCTGAAGAAGCTTAATGTGCAACCTATCCAAGCGATTGAGGAGGTGAACATGTTCAAGGAGGATGGGAATGTTATCCACTTTGCAGCACCCAAGGGTATGTACCGCAGGGCAAGAGATTTGGCTGGTATGATATTGACCAATACTCACAGTTCACGCCTCCGTTCCCTCCAACACATTCGCCATCTACGGCAACGGCGAGGACAAGGAACTGACAGAACTTGTGCCGGGCATCCTGAACCAACTTGGTCCAGATTCGCTGGCCTCGTTGCGTCGACTTGCTGAATCGTACCAGAGCCTGCAAAAGAAGGAGGGCGGTGAGAAGAAGGAAGGTGAGGACGATGATGACGAGATCCCGGATTTGGTGGAAGGCGAGAACTTCGAGGGCAAGGTCGAATAGTCTGGCTCTAGGGTCCAGACATTGCGGGAGCGTGGAACGAGACGCCAAATTTTAGCTGGGGCCCGATTCATGGCACACGGATCTATCCCGTTCGCAACTTGCATGAAAAACACTCGCCATTGCAAAATCAGTGCCACGCGCCAAATGGGAAGCATCAGTACATTTTCACGGGGTCCAAACAGGAGCCGAAAAAGAAAAGAAAAGAAAAGCTGTCAATATCGAGCTAATGCGCTTCGAGTTCGAGGTCTTGATTGAAATCCGCCGGTCCATTCTTGGAATTTCAGGGCTCTTGTTCCGTCTGGATCTCACAGGAATATTTTCTGCCGAGGCCCCCATAATGCCAATGCTGTTTTTGTAGACCGATCCAATGTCTAATATGCGTACATGGCTAATTGTGCTACCAATTCGATTCACAAGAGCCCCTGTAGCTATACTCTCGACGGTACGGTGAGACTCGCGCGAGAACGAGAATTGAACCGATTGAGCCCACCAGCCAGTAAACCAAGAGGGCGATATCAATCGTCCTTGAGGCCACAGAAATCGGTCCCCAGCCAGCCATCCACCGAATGCCAGAATGTCCAGTACCAGCCGTTAACTGGGTCCCAGGTGCCATCCTCCTTCAGCAACGGCCCTTCGCCGATGATGTCGCCTGTAGCTCCCTGTTTGCTGCTGCCCACGAACCATGTCACGACGGGGATGCTCCTAAGTACCCGCTCCGCCAACGTCGGCTGGGGTGGAAGAGCTTCTGAAATCGGACGCAGGACCGCCTTCTTGACTTTGATATGCGTCATGTACTGCGAGTCGGTCGGCGCTGCGTGTTGGCCGCCGCCTTGGCTGGCTGTCAGTGGTAGTGGGGGGGCGGAACGGGATCGAAGACCGGACGGCGGCGGAGGAGCGAGCTCGGCCGCTGTCGCGGTCGCCGATGATGCCGTAGCGGACGTGATGGACAGCTCGTCGTCAGGATCGGTCGTGGGCTGGCCGTACTGCACATCGGGCATCGTATGGGAGCGAGGGAGGGTCTGCAATACTCGCTCAAAGCCTGCAACTGCCGAGTCTTTCCCTGTCAACATTCTGGTTGATTGCGAAGCGCTCAGAGTCCGGGCTTTTCGACCATTGTCCGGTTGTTGGGTAAGAAGATTCGATTTCTCCGTTCCAAGAGGTCCATTGGGTATGGCCACGTCTGCGCCGGGCCCCTTTCCATGCCACATCTCGCAATGGACCATACAGCCGTCGATCTCGACCGGGCTGTAGAAGCATGCCTTGTCCGCGGCCTGGTACGAATCGAAGGTGACTTTGATCCAATGTTGGCCCCCGTTGTATATTCTGCTTTTCCTGATTGCTTCGCGACTTAGGTTTGCATGCGTCACCAGCGAAGATCGTGCCAGGCTGACGGGAGAATTGGACGAGAGGAACAGGTTTGGGTCTTCACGTGGATAGTCTTCGCAGATGAACCCTGGGGCAACGATCCGCTCGAATTTGGACAAGACCTTCCATTCCGACGCCTTGGATGCGTAGCCGTAGAGCAGACATTCTGTCGGGACGGCCTCCGGTTCGATCGTCGGCCGTGCCGCATCGCCCGCGCTGGCTGAGGGTGTTGTCAGAGTGCTCTTGGTTCTCTCCTCCTCTTTCGTCAGTTCTTTGGCGAACAACCGACCAAAATCCGCGACTGCTGAATTCTCCTTCTGTCGCACTGGGGTGGTGCCAGTTCTTGCGCGCGGCGTACGTGATCCGGTGACTCTTAGACTGCGATTGCGACCGAAAGGGCCGCTCTCTTCGGGTTGTCGGCCATTCCTGGCGGAACTGGCAAAAGTTAGACTCACTTGGAGGGAACACGCGACTTAAGAGCCAAGGTGCCCACGACTTACTCGGCGTACCGGTAGCCCCAGGGGAGAGTCTCGCCTTTCGGGTCCCTCGCACGTTCTTCAGGCAGCACTGAGTGAATCTCCATAATGGAGGTTGGCTAAACAGGTGTGTGGCAGACGGGCGTGCAGTCCTCAGACCAGGTTGACCGCGACGACCTAGACTGGAGTGATGCAGAGTGGCATCGATACTATGCTTCTTAGCACACTCACTTCAAGGGCGGAAATTCGGTGAAGGAGGCCTCTCGCTGTGGATGAGTGGTGTTTCCCGAAAGGCTGCGCCTAAAAGTTCACCGAGCAACCCTAGTTCCCCGAGCAGCCAGCCTTGTGCAAACGCCTGGTCACGTGACTCCAGGAGCCGTACGGAGTACATTGTAACCGTACACAGAGCTGCTGCATCCAGGAAATTCTATGTCCTCTTAATGCTCTGCTATGCCACGCAAGTGGCGCTTTCATGGGCCGGAATCTTTCTCTCGCGTGACTATATGCTCTTTTACTATCTCGGCCTTGGACGCGTCCTAAACAACAACTGGAATCACAATCACTCCTCATCACCACCACCACCATCGCCCAAGTCTACCCTGCCCACACTCCAGAGCTCACGCTCGTCCTCTTGCTCATCAGAACTCAACCCCAAGCCGCCAGCCCCGCCTTCGGCCTCACGTCGTTCCCTCGCTTGTGCACCCAGCCTCAATGCCACACGCTTGAAGTAGTCGCTCAGCGGGCGTGACTGACCCATGGATAAAGCCTTTCCCGGCCCAGCCATGTATTGGTCGAAGACGGCGCTCTCCTCGTCGACGACATTGAAGAGTTCAAGGAAGGCCGCTTCCGCCGCCAGTTTGACGGGGATGACAGGGTCGCGCACCGAGGAGAATACCGGTGGCACCAGAATGGAGAGGTATTTCCGCATATCATCGCCGTGGTGGCGCGCCACAGTACGAACGACCACGAGTGCAAGGCGCCGAGAGTCGATGTCTCCGCCAGGAGCGATGACCGAGGTCAGCGCTTCAATGAGGGGCTGGTATACTTCTGCATCTGAGATCATGGAAGCGAACAACAAGTATTTGCCTAGCGCCAGCACAGAGTTCTGTTGAACGAAGGTGTTCTTGCCGGTCAGTCCCGCCGCGATTACCGCTCTCGTCTCCTCGGCGTAACCAGAAACCAAGCTAGACGCACTTTCAAGTAGGGCTGCGTTGAGTGCTAAGATGGAAGCGCTTGTGGATGGCTGTAGCAGGACACGGCTCTTGATCAACGAGGCTGCTTTCTCAGCTGGAAGAACCTTGATCATGGCGCCGAGGAGCCTTGCGTTGGTCACCATCGTGTTTTCATCCTGGCCGTCTTGCTGGCCATCCATGAGCCCTAGGATGGATTCTCGGGAGGTGTCGCTCATACTAGATCCAACCTTGCTAACCACTTCTTGCAATGCTTTCAGCATAGCGTTGCGGACACCTGCGTCCGGGGTTTTGGCTCCAGTGACAAGCTCGGCGATAAGAGGGTCAACGCGTGGAGTTAATGTGATGAGAGTGCTCAATGCCTTCGTCGCTCGCATGCGAAGTAAATCGCTCGTTGGGTCGGCGATAGACTTGGTAAAGGTCCTCTGCAGCTGCGGCAGAAACGGCCTTAAGAAGGTCGGAATCTTCTCGAGGAGTTGATTGAGGGTGGACAGGATGGCGCATTTGACGTCCATGGATCTTTCGCCCACAACACGGATAAGCGGGCCGGTGATTTGAGTCACGAATGGCTTCAATGCATCTGGGCCGCTACGATCAATGATGTCGGAGATCCCCATGGCAGCCTGAACACGCTGCTCGGTAGTACCATTCATCAAGCCCTGCAGGAAGATCTGGAGGACAGGCAAAATGCCCTTGGGTAGTGCAAAGCCAGGGAGTACAGAACCTGCAGTCCCCGCTTGCTGTAGGACTTGTCTGGTCGGACCAACCAAAGTCTCCATCTCCTCCTTGCGAAGGTGTGATTGCAGCCGGCTCAATGCGGACCAGGCAGCTTTCACGACTTCTGGGTCTCGGTCTCCGAAAGAAATGAGAAGAACCCGAATGAGGTCGGGATTGTACCTCGAGTAGTCGACAGCAGCTGTCTCAAAGAACGTGCCCAGGTGTACTGCGGCGACGGCTCGTCGTTTGTGATCGTCATGTTTAATCATTGTGAGCATCACGCTCATGGCCGTGTTGAGACCATCGTATTCATCAACAGATGACAAGACGGTATCGAACGCCTCGTCTAACTCTTCTAGCAAGTCCTCGTCCTTGCATGAAACAATGTTGTCTGCAAGACTGTTCAGGATGGCCGGCAGTCTGCGAGTCATGCTGGAGCCCCCAACCTTGGCCAACGATGCGAGGGCCCGGGCATTGAAAGCAGTGATAGGGTTGGTCAAAAGCGTTGGGATCAGGTTTGGTAAGATGACATTCGCCCTGGTGGCTTCTGTGAGCAAGGTAAGCAAAGCCGACAGCGCATGTTCCGCTTCCGATTCGCTTCGCAGGAGGTTGAGCAAATGGGGCAGTACTTGGTCCACAGCTCGCTTGCCGAAGGTTTGTTGAAGAGAATCAAAAGATTCGGCAGCAGCCTCCCGTACCTCTGGGTCGGGATCTGTCAGTGCCAGTCGAACAATAGCAATCAATTTGACCTCGTGCTCCTCGAGCGATTCCGGAGAAGCAGCATTGACAACTTCGCGGAGTGCAATGCAAATGCCCTGCCTCTTGTCCGGATCGGTTGATGTTTGCAGACCTTCCTCCAGAGACGGCAGCAACGACGCGAAGACACCTTCGCCAGCCTTGCGGATAACCTCGCCAAGGGCGTTTGCGGCAATGACTTTGTGCTCCATGTTAGAGGAGGCCAGGCGAGTGATGATCATTTGCGTGAGCGTAGGTACCAGTTCACGCAAGGTTCGGGGAGTGGCAACCAGAGCCTTCCAGACAGCAATGGCAGCCCCGCGGACCTGGGCAGAAGTATCACAGCGACAGATATAGAGCGACGACAACACTCTGTTGCGTCGTTCTTCGCCCAATACTTCCAGCAAGGATTGTCCCGCTTGTGTTGCAGATTCGCCCTCTTCCTCGGCGTCCGTTTGCGCACTGATACCGGTGAGGTTAAAGAGCAGGTCACCGACAAGCTCAACGGAGCTGAGACGGATGCGGTAGCTATCATCGGCCAATCCACGTTGCAGTTCTGGAAGGAGCAGGTCGATGGCCTTGCTTGCAAAGTTCTTCACCAGCAATCTGCCAGCTCTCAGGCTGGTCTCACGGATGACCTCGACATCATCAGCCAGGCCGCTAAGGATGGCTGGGATGATCTGAGCAAGATAGTTGGCAAAGCTGTTGCCAAAGCAGGCCGGCAAGAAGATGAACAAGGTCATGAATCCTTCTCTGACCGTCGGCCTTGGACTGGCTACATTCTGGAGGATAGTGGGCAGAGTCTCCTCAAGTCGGACAGTTCCGAGGCCGGCAAGCACTTCGCTAAGGGCTTGAGCAGCGCCGAGGCGGTCGCTTGCGCCTGTGTCGGTACGAAGTGAAGACATCAAGCTTGGTATCAGATCAGGGAAGGCATCTTCACCAAGCTTCTCGACCAGGCTGCCCAAGGCTTTGGAGGCAGTGGCACGAGTTGCTGGTACAGGATCGATGGAGGCGAGACGCAACCCAGAGACGAGAATGGGAAGATGGGTGACAATATCACGCTTCTCCGTAAGATGCGCCAGGCTGGCGATGATTTGGGCCGCTTTCCGCTTGGTGGCCGAGCGGTCATTCAGGCCCCTCTCCAATATCCTCACGACCAGGGCCAATGATGGCGCGTCCAAGTAATGCACAAACGAGACCTTGATCAGACAATCCAAGGCTTCCTCCGTATACTTGGTTGGATCACTCAGGGCCTTGAGCAAGATGTCGACGAGACTCTTGACTTCCGGATTTGTGATAACCTCTCCAAACCTCTTAAGGCTGCTATTAGCGGCGGCACGAACCTCTTTGTGACTGTCGGTGAGCACCGCGGTCAAGGGAGGGATGATCTCGGGCAAGCTGGCGGCTAGCTGTTCAGGGTCAAGGTAGGCCATCGCACCTAAGAGATCACACGCTCCTTTTTTGCTACGCCATTGCGTCTCGTTCAGCCCCTCCAGGAGTTGAGGAAGGACACGACGGACACCAAACGAGCTCAAGCTTCCAAAGCATGTCTTGGCTGTATCCAGGCAAGCTTCACGAACCGAGGTAACAGGATCGCCAAAGCCGGTCAGCAATTGTGGGAGGATCTCAATCACATATGGCTCAAAGGTCCGTCCAAGAAGCAGTGACATCAGCTCATAGGCCATCATGGCGCCTTGCCGCTGCTCGGGACTCTTCTTGTTTTCTGCCGCGCCCCTCAACGCTGACATGACCCGATGCTGCCTTAGAGCGGCTACTCCTTTGCCTTTCACGATGCCTGCAAGCCCGTAAGCCGAGCCTCGACGGGCTGCATATTTCTTAGAGTTGAACAGCTGATCAAGAAGCGAAGACAAATAAGGCCCGGCGTCAACACTCGGCGATCGGATCAGGGGAGGCAAACAGTTGGCCACCGCGTACTGTACTGATTCCGAGGGGGTACTGAGTGTGTCGAGGAGCTTTTGTATCACAGTTTGTGTTCGCTTGTCACCTTCTGGAAGATGGCGTGCCAGCGAACCATAGAGGACGATTACAGCCTCGTTGACCCAATCTGCTTCTTGTGTGCCTTTGTCAGGGCCCTGTAATACCTTCTCAAACAGGTCCATGAGTGGCTCCAGACGTTCGTTCCCACGGCCCGCTACTAGAGCGATCCCAGCTGCAACCATCTCTGAGCGTACAGTGGCATTGCGGTCCGAGAAAGCACCCTCAGAGACCATGAAACCCATGAACGGAACCAGTGCATCTGGACTGAGGATGGACGAAATCTCCTTGACGGCGAGAGCAATCCCACTTCTTCTCTCCCATTGGTCAGCCAACTCGCCCTTTTGCACGATTCCGAATTTGTTCCGCTTCGGCACAAGTGGTTGTGCTTCTATCCTGTACGACTCTTCCAGCCAGGCCAGGATACTGTCAATCTTGGAAGTATTCTGGAGGAGTGCTTGGGCAAGTGCTTTCGACGCGGCAGTGCGAGTCGACCGTGCCGCTGAAAACAGGAACTGGGGTATGCTGTCGACCATCTCCTCGGTCACGAAGAATTCCTGTTCTTGCCAGATGGCTAGAGCAGTTTCGGCATTTTCATCCTCTTCATCTTGGCATGCAATCCACAAATGCACCGAAAAGTCAATATCTGACAAGTCTAGCTCAGAGTGTATGGCTTGGAGAGCCGCGGACCGGACTGCGCTTTCCGGAAGAGTAACAGCGGACAAGAGAATATCCCTTTCTTCAGGCGTAATGTTCTCTGATATTGAGCGACAAAAGTCGAACAAACAATCTTTGATGATGCGGTAGTGCTGGGTATACTTCTGCATCGCTTTGATGAGGTGCCGCAGGATATCGGCCCTTGGAAGAAGCTCATCGGCACCTGAGCCCATCTGGAAGGAGAGAAATTCGAGAGCAAGAAGGACTTGCGCGTCAGCCTCGTCTCCCGAAACCTCTCCAATCCTTCCATTCTCCAGCAGTGTAAAGATCAATGGTAAAGCATACGCAGTGGTGATTGTATCAAAGGGGCGTTGCTCAGCTGCGAACCGCAGTCTATAAAGAACCCTGGTACCTAGATCTGCCAGCGGCTCTACCGTCAAACTGTCCGGGACATTGGCATTCGGCAAAGATCTGAGAGTCGCCACACCAATGAAAAGACGCAGATTGCCCAGCCGATCGGAGACCTGGGTAGAGCATGCCATGTATGCTGAGACAATCTCATCGTCAACAACCAATGCAGCCCCTTTCTCCAGGACACGTATCAGTGCAGTGATTGCTGGAGACATCCACATGCGTGCGTCGGTCGGCGGACCACGAGCGAGCCCTTCAACGAACTTTGCGCCTCTTCTGACTTTCGCCGACACTGACTTCACACGGGCTCGTACCTCAGCCTCATGAGCAAGTTGTGCATCGAGCTTCGCTTGCTGATCCGCCGTCAGCTTTTTCTGAGTCGCTCCCTTTTTCTGGGCTAACTGCTGCCGCATCTCTTCTTCCCATTTGAGGACATCGTAATCCTTTTGGTTCTTGTTTTCAAGGTTTCCATTTGTCTGCTGACCCAGCACATCAATCACCGCTGTACCTTCGGGAGCGCGAGCAATGAGGGCTTCAGTAGGCCCTAGACCGTCTAGCTGTGAGGGGTCGAGGTCTTTCCGAAATTGTTGGATCAGTGCTGATGTACAAGAATCTGGTGCCACAAAAGCCAGGGTCGCCGCGGCGTTGCAAGCAGCAACCTCAAATACGTTCAGAGGTGCTAGTTTCTGAGACTCAAAATGCGATAGTATCTCCGCAAACAGATCATCGCACCGTTTCTTCCCCAGTTGCCCAGGATCGATCCCCAGGGTGAGGCAACTTGCGATCCAATCCGAGTTGACAATAAGTTCTGGTCGAAGGAGGACAACTGTTGATACTGACTGGTTCTCTAGGATGTCAAGCGGGATTTCTTTCTTGAGATCTCTCCACTTGTCTTTTGCCGGTGAAATGCATTTCACCGCTTGGAGCAATCGATTGTCACTCAACGGAATAGAACTTCCAGCTGGTCCGTTCAATTCCTGGGCCCGAGACCGAAGCACATCCCAAATACCGAGTACTATGCTTTGGCCTACGGAGGCAGGCCTCTCGACATACACCCGCGATAAGGAGGCACCAGTCTCCTTTCGGACAGCCGAGTCCACCTCTGGAGTTAGTAGGAGGTGTAGGACGGCCCTTGCCCACGCAGCCTTCGCATCCTCCACGGCATTGTCGAGCTCGAACGCCAGGGTGGTTAAGGCATACAGCGCCCAGTGATTGTCTCCGGCTGACGAAAGTCGTGTGTAGACCTTGGGATTTAGCAAAAAAGAAAGCTTCGGACTCACGGTCATGGCATTCTGTCTGATTTGGTGGTAAGCATTGGACTTGAACTCATCAGCCTCTAAGATGGGAGAGTCCAAAAGTGCAGGGAGACCGTAAGCAGCTGCGACGTAGCCGTTCTGAGCTGCAGGCAGTGGATTCGGAGCGATCTCGTCGTAGACGTCTCTCAACATCTTCAAGGAGGACCGAATGAACTCCTGTGAGGAACTTTCTGATGGCACATTTTGGAGGCCTCTCAGTACATCGGCAACGCACAAGACCCAAATCTTGCGAAATGCAGGCCTTTTGTCAGCGCAACCTTTTAGAAGAGAGTCCGAGAGTGATTTCTCAATGGCCGAGGACGAAGCGAGAATCTGTAGGTGAGGGACTAGAGCCCAGAGCTCCTTTCTGAGAGCTCCTTCGTTTGCTTCCTTTGCTGCAGCTGGCAGAATGCTCTGCACGATGACCGAAGATGTTTCGAGTTCTGGGTGCACCGTATGGAGGACATCGGCGAGGATGCCGCGCATCTCGAAATTTGCAGCCTTTGATAACTTCAAGGCCGACGCCAATTCCCGTGAGATCTTCTGGAGGTTGGCAGGGTCGCCGCCCCTTCGAACTAAGGCTAATAAAGCCCTTCCTGCCCCTTCACGAATCGTAGAGTTGGTAGAGGCCATGGCTGAAAGAAGAGGTTTCACCAATTTCGAAAGTGCAAGTTCTGAGATGTCAAGCTCCTGAGGCAGGCAGGCGGCTAGTGCTTCAACGGGACCTTGTAAGACGGCCTCCGGTGAACGCAGAATGGCCTTCTCCAGCGCCGGGACGAGCGTTGCACCAACATCCTGCAATGTCACAAAATCCAAGAAGTAATCATGGAGACCCATGGACTCATGGGCGGGCACGGGAATTTTGGAGCCTATAATATACTTGACATAGAAATCAAGAATATGCTTCGACGAATCCTGAAGCTGCTCTTTTCTTTCTGGTATGCGTGAACTCACGCCGGCAATGACACCTAGGTAAGGGCCGCACCGAGCATCTACCTCTGGAGAGTTTTCGACCTCCTTGAGGGCGAGGTCCAATGCCTTGGAGCCGTACGCTGTCTTGAAAACATCGCGTAGGCCCCTCCTCGCTAGGGTCAAGGCAGAATGCTGAACACCTCCTCGGATATCCTTGTCTTCACATTTGTCAAGAAGGCGAGCTGCAGCAAGACATATTTTCCCGAAGCAGTTGTCCACAGACTTTGCATTGCCCGGACTCTCCTGCTGAAGTAGACAACACCATTCGAGCAACACGAATGCACTTGACGGTGCTATGGCAGCCTTCTGGGATTCCTGGATCAAGAATTTGGTGATAGCAGGGTAGGCGGCATCGGCGGTGGAGGGGTTCGTGACATATGCTCTTAGGCATGACTGTACAGCGCGGCGAGACTTTCGGTCTGCATATCGAGGATAGGTCGAAAGGAGGGTGGGCAACACACTCAGTGTGCCTGCTGACTTGGACTCATCGGCTGTAAACAGTCAGTTTGAATACACTGGTCAATCGGAGGCTCGCCTGTACCAGTGCTCTGAATGTCATGGAGCAGTTTCCGTAGCACCTCAATACGGATGTTGGTTGAACTACTGCTGAGGGCGGCTAAGCGGGACTCCGAGGTTTCTAGGACTCCCGATCCCGACTCTGAGATGTCACCCATGGTCCATGTATTGGAGCAATCGGTCTGTCGATACGGTGCCTGACTGACCCTAGTGACTGTTCTGTCCACCGACCAAAATTCTCGACTGCGCACTGAATATGACGCAGGGACCGGCGCCAAGATTTCCGTCCTTGGGTCTTACCAAGGTAAGGTAGGGTCCTCCTCCGCAGCCTTATAGAGCCTCGCCCCATTAACAAATAGGTACATGTAAGTACAGAGTATCCGTACAGAGTACTTGTACCTACTACGTAGTATCTACTATCTAGTATCTACTAGTAGCGCATCATACGAGTACACAGGCAAGGCTCGCTCATGTCTTTTCCCTGTTGAAGTCTGGGCTGGAATCCAAGATTTCGAAGCCCTATCACGGATGGAACCGGGTAGATGACTGAAAGTCTCATGGCCGCCATAACCAGGTCGTACGATCCTCCGTACTCCGTACTTCCCTAGCTGGATTGATTATGCGACCTCCTGTCAGTAGGTACTGAGGTGACTGTTTGATTTAATAAATATTGAGGTGCAGTACGGATATAGAGAGGCACAGACTCAGGGCAGACTCACTGCCACCTGGATTGCCAATCTTAGGCTGCCCAGGCCGCTTAGCCTCCAACCGGTAAGGCGTCTCCGGCAGGCTCCTTAGGCTTAGGGGCTCCCTACTACCTAGGCTCCCTGAGGGGTCCTGGGCTTCTTAATTTTCCGCTTGGTGGCTTCTCCATCGGCAACACCGTCCAGTTTCACCCTCTCTCAATTTCCACCTGCCAATCATTCCGCCCTGATCCATCCACCAAACGCACCTTTCTCACGTCCTGCCCTCAATCACCGCTCCAGCCTCGCTAAAAATTTGATCACAGTCCTGGATTGTCGTGGCTGCCGTCAGATAGGTTGTATGCTAAGCTCCCGCCTCGCTGGTCCGACAAGCCACCGGTAGGATGAGCCCAAGAACTCCCTGCCGAACGGCCCACTCACAGATTTCAGTCTTCCAAGGTCGGCATGAAGCTGAAACCGTGAGCTGACCATGACCTGGCGGTCGCGATGTTCAAGGCCCAGGGATCGTATTCCTGTCCTCCTGTCCCCCTGTTCCCCTGTTCGCCATGCTGCGTTGACTTGGCCTCGACGGCTATCTCCCTGACTCGGGTGTCACCACCACGCCTGTCGTCGAACCCGGACGTGTGCGCTCTGTATGCCAGGAAACACCAGTACACAAATCTACCGGCGAGCGACATGCTGTGAAATATCAGACTCCGCGCTTGCCTTCAGCCTGGACAGGATACTCAAGTTGATCCTTTGCCTCTTGCGCTCTGCGTGCCTAGCCAGGTGCACTCTATTCGTAGGGCTTCCCGACCTAGTCCGCGTTGACAGATGGGCGCAATGGACAAAAAGCTGGGCCTGCGGACGGATCGTTCAGTGCGTTTTCTGCCCTGTTCGTCGCGAAGCTTTGGCTGACATCTATCAAGTCCCTAACTGCGAAGAAGTATCTTGGAGATCCAGACGATCGTCATTTCATCCCAGACTCGCCTCTGGTGGACAGGCAGGTGCTCACCGAGCAGGAGGAGGGCGAGTTGAAACGAGCCTGCGCCTTAGTGCTGGCCAATGTGCAACACTCGGATGACACGTCGGACGACCCTCTCAAATACATTGCGGCTCATATTCAAGATGGGAGGGGAACACACCAGACCGGCGCGAAACGCGACCGAACTTCGCAGCCAGCACAGTGTCCCTATATGACTTCAACGAAGGTCTCCCAACAATTGACCGATCTAAAACCCGACACAGCGACCCCTTCAGAAGCCTCTCGCCGACATACATCAACTACCACAGACGATTCGACCCCCTTGACAAGTGCCGGCCTCACCCCCGGCGACGCAGGCTCGCGGTTCTCTGATGCTGCGCGCAGATCCGTAAACAGCACCAGAAAGCCAGGAAGCGGTCTTCGAAACGAAGCGTCAACGAGTTCCAAAAGTCGAACGACTTCTAACGCTGGATTGCACAGGTCGCTCGAAACGTGCGAGCCCACCGTCGACGCCGAGGTTATTGGGCGCACAGTCCGACTCGTAAAGGACAGCTCATCAAGGCTTGAGAGCAGCAGCAACAGATCGATGGATATCAACCGACCCGCCAGACTGGCGGGACCAGACCTGAACAAAAGTCTCCCTCCGCCTCCGCCTCTCGCTGACTGGCCTATTTTAAATGAACCCAAACCGCCACACATTGGCAGATTAATGAATACTATCCGCAAGAAGAAATCCATAATCGCCGAGAGTAGGGACACCTCAACTGCTTCAGCTCCCTCTGTGCCTTCAGCTGAGGAGACAAGGGCGGCAACAACTCTTCAACCACGTATCCGGACTGCAACTGCGCCTGTGTTCAATGGTGGTGCTCAGCCACTACCACCACCCAAGAAGAAGTTCCATCTGCGTTTCTTTCCCCGGCTACACCGACCCACGGATGTCCTTGTCAGTTAAATGGTCTTGACAGAGGACTCGGTTATCGAGTCGGTTTCGACCCATGGTGCCATTTCTTCTACATCTGCTTTCACAGGCTACTAGCATAGGCGTTCAGGACCTGGCGCCACGACATTGGTTCGAACCTAATCATCCACGAGCGACAGAGGCCCAGACGACCTACTTCTCAACCATGACATGTTTATATATATCAGAGCTTAACGACCATTTTCTTTAATGAGGCACGACCTCTGGCCAACGTGAACTTGCCAGGTATGCGGGTTTTGTGCCGATGCACTGCTTCAGTGTACGGATACTCGATGCATTTTGTATGGGCAGTTTGGTGTGACGCGAGGACGAGGTGGATGGTCCCACGAACAGGAAACAGTACTCAATCACAGATCACAGATCACACATCCCCCATCCCCTGATCTAATAACCTCGGGCTCAGATCATTGTGAGAATGAGCAGTCTTCTTTCAGCGTAGAAGATATGTTAGGTAGCAGCCCCGGACTGCCTTCAGGGGAAATAGAGCAAGCACTGCAGTCCTACCCTGAGTGCAGATGATCGGTCTTTCCCACAATCCTACTTGGTACTGCGTTCTGATTTCCCTTTCCGTGCTACGAGTATGGTAGGTACAGATAGAGTACTGTACTCTACCTACATGTACCTTACTCGTAGTAGGTATCATCCCTGCCACTGTGCAGTGTGCTCCGTAAACGCAGATGTAAACGCAGATATTACCGCAGCGTCTACTGTCTACTGTCTACTGTCTACTGTCTACTGTCTACTGTCTACTGTCTACTGTCTACTGTCTACTGTCTACCGTCTACAATAATCTGCACGCCGCTCTATTGCCTACCTTAGGTATGAGATACATTATGATTTATGATCACGTCCCAATATCCCACCCAATATGTATGTTTTTATCTCTCAGGCCTTGTTCGACCTATCTCCTATCAGCCTTCATATGAAGCACCACCAACTATCACCATCGTCAGATAGATGCCAAATGACAGATAACAGATACTAGATACTAGATACTAGATATCAGTCGCCAGATACCAGATACTAGATGCCAGATATTTCCATGTTTTGGTGTGATCTGGAGTCTGGAGTCGGCCACCGCCGGTCCTCTGAGCCTTTGGATCAGGAAGGGTGGTGGCAGTGCGACGTTTTGACAATCTTGTACTTATGTGTGATTACAGTACTCTGTGATATTGCACATACTACTCTACAGTGATCAAGGGGTTTCAATTCAATCATGTCACATTCCTCGTCCTCTAATTAGTTGGATTCTAACTATCACGAGAGAACGATCAGTGAACCGGTCAAGGACAAGCCTTGGACATGTAGAACTGGATTTTCCTTTTGCTTTTCCATAGGATCAACAACCATCATGCCACTAGCTCGGACCTTTTGTTACCAGTGCCGTCTGGTCCTGATGCTGAAGCTTCCGAGCCATCTGCTTTCTTTTCCGAACTACCTGCTTCCTTTTCCGAGTCAGAGAGCACCACGATGGGTGATTCTACATCAGTTAACCCATCTTGTGCCAGGGCGCGTTTCTTTGTATCGCGCTTCTCCAAAGTCCGGACGAGTATCGTGTGCAACACAACCATAACGCCTAGGACCGAGGCGAAGATGAATCCCGGGTGATACCTGGGAGCATCGATCGTTCTCCAAACGGCAACGGAGAACCAAATTGACTGGATGAAACTGAACATGTTTGAGCACGCAATAACAAACCCTCGCATCTCGTGGTCATGGGGGATCAAATCCGGATACCAGGAATAGTAGATGCCTGGAACACCGCAACTGAAGTACATCAGATAGTATGCAGTAAACTTGAGATTGTCCGAGACGTCCCAAACGGCGAGAACGACACAGCTAAAGAAGGTGACGGCCTGCATGGCCATGATAGTCTGCCACCGTCGTCCTCGCAGTAGGCGAGAGTCAGACACCATGCCTGCCACGACCTGCACTACCACTCCGATGGCGACCTGGCCCGTAGGCCACACGTTGATTTGGTAGACAGAGTGATGGGTGGATTTCAGCCAAAGTGCGAATACAGGCTGGTAGGCCGGGAAACTGCCCTGGATGAAGAAGTAGCCGAGCGGGAGCAGCCAGAACTGCCATTGGGACATAATGCGGAAGATCTTTTTGCGATCCCATGCCGACGCCCCTAAAGGCTTCAGTCCCGCCTTAACCAGCCGGTCCCGTGCAAACTGCGCCTCCTTAGGCGTGAGATAAAAGGCGCGCGTGGTCTCAGGGAAGTCGGGGATAAAGAAGTAGCCCAGGATACCGATAGGTAAACTGATGACGCCACATATGATAAAAAGCCAACTCCAGCCTTCACGGCCCAGCTTGCCGTCGAGACCCTTATACGCGCCCGCTTGGAGATAGCCGCTAAACATACTGGACATGCTAGCAGTGGCGTAGAATATGGTGACGCGCTTAGCGCGCTCTTCCTTGGTGTACCACGATCCGATCAGGTAGACCATGACGGGGAAGAAGGCCGACTCGAATAGACCAATGAAGAAGCGGACGGCGTATAGCTGTTCCGCCGTTTTAACAGCCGCCGTGCAGAAGGTAAGCGCCGCCCAAACGATCTCGACCGTCGGGATCAGGATCGAAGGTCGAACGCGCGTGACCAGTATAACGGCTGGGATCTGGCCGATCACGTAGCCCGCGGTGTTGACGTTCGAAGCGTACGTCAGCTCGCTGCCGTATAGTTTTAGCGACTCCTTCATACCCGACACGTATGCGTTGTTTATATTCTGCACGTCGAGGCCCCTGCTAAAGTAGCCTAGGCACGACGTGGTGAGCAGAAAGAAGTCGAGCTTGAATAGAAACCACTTCTCTTCCTTTGGCTTGTCTGGGTCGTCCCAGATGTAGCCTCGGAAGGTACGGAGGTAACGGCGAGTGGTGCCCCAGACGCCGGGCCGCTCCCAAGGCTTCGTGGGGACGGCCGCGGTCACATGCTCGTCTGCTGTCCCCAACGTCGATTCTTCCTCCTCTTCCTTTGTCAGAGGAACCGGGACCGACCGCGTTTCGATATCAAGTTGAGGCTTGGGGCCATTGCGGCGAGGGTCCTCTATGGACACCATTCCTGGAGTCAGGTTTGATCTTCCTCGTTATCTGTGTCTCTCTTCTCTCTCACACAGACACAGACACATACACCCACACACTTCTGACGTGGATATGGAGATTGAGGTGGGACTCGGGGGCGGGCGCAGGCACAGGGAAATCCGCGTCCTTGTGCTGGGGGAATTCGCCAGACCACATACGCTATATAGTCCATGGCCTTGCAGTATTGCGCCATTGGAGCTCTTCTTTTCATCAGCGACACTTGTAGGACCTCGTACCACTCACGAACGACTTATGCTATTGGACCTTTTCTGACGTGGATCTTGACAAGGGTTTGGACCAACGATTCAATATACCCAGTATCCATACACATGGTCACAGGTAAGGTATCACACCAGGGGGGAAACAGCGGTAGATAGTGCAAGAAATAGCGTTGTCGCCGGAATAAGTATGTCGAAGTGGAGTACGGAGTACTGCCAATAGGGAGGAACAAGGAATTGAGATGTACTCTGTACACTGGTACAGTGTTACGGAGTACTGAGATACTCCGTACTTAGCAATCGACCGGACCACCCCCTGCCGTCAAAAATTGGAGAGACTATTGAGGAAGACAAGGAAGTTGTTTGCACGGTTGATTTCCCTCGTCCTTGTTTTCCTCAATAGTCTCCTTCAACTTCTGACTGGTAGGCCGCCGAACGTCGACGGGGACATAATTGCGGGTTAAGTGTGGTAGATGCAAGAGAACGGCAGACTACAAGAAGACCTGGTAGTAGTAGTAGTAGTAGTAGTAGTAGGTACCTATGTGCTATTAGGTACCTTAGGTACCTTAGTCACTTGAAGCGATCGCCGTTGTAGAGGAGAGTCGCGCTAGCCTGAATGGGCACTAGACTTGGCAGTGGCTGCTATACTAGGACTAAGGTTCCCCGTACTACTGGTGCGACTAGGTACATACTACGGAGTACTCCGTACTAGTAATTGCGGCCCTAGGTCACATCCACGGTGGCAATATTATCATTGTCCATCATGATGGGAGAAGCTGACTACATGTAGGTTCCAACCTTACCTGATCAGGGCTTACTCCATACATGTACCATGTAGGGACAAGTTTAGTACGTGTTGTACTGGCTAGGAGGTACGCAGAAGCCAATGAGGTCCATCACCCTTTATCGTGGTGACACGAGGATATGTAGCAATATCAAGTCGCGATCACGCAACTCACCTAGGGACATGTACGTTCTACAAATCGTCCCGTCCTCTTGGAAACGAGATCGCCTCTCCAATAACAAGATGCCGGGGAGAATCCAGACCCTCCATGTCGCGGGCTAGAACGCGGAATGAAAAGATATGAATGATTTGTGCATGCTGCTTTTCTTCTTCTCGGACGGCATGGTCTAAACGCCGTGGCCCAAGAGAGCATGCATGCAAGACACAACTGATGACTGACCGAAGTCCATGCCCAATGCTGACCAATTCGCCAGCCGCGTGGAAGATGGCGACATTTGGCATATGTTGACACAATAATGCCAATTACCCTTCTAAACGTATCAACTACCTGGTACGCGACGACCGACTGCGACGGCTGGCGTGGGCTGGCGTGGGCGGCGCGGGCGGTACAGGCTAGAGCCCTGAATACTACCGAGATGCAATCCCCAGTTTCACAGGACTTCGTAGACAAGAATCTGTACCACCACCCGAACCTGATCAAAGCCCACCACACAACGCTACAACTGCTGAGGTGTGGGCGGTGGCGTTGTCAGCCGTTCGTAGCCATGATTAAGACTCCATAAGTTGCAGAGACCTTTGCTTCGCCTCCGCCAGACTGCAGATGTCTCGAGTACCAGTTGGAATGACACAAATCCACCAACGCCTCCTTCCCGTAGACCGTCCGGTTTGGCACGGTGCCAAAGGTCGAGGCAATGGACGTGTTCTCAAAGGGTGAGGACAAGGCTGAGACATCGGAGAGGAACGGGCAACAAATGGCTGTCGCGCAGGACGTGTTCGCGTGTTCTGTTATGTATGAGGATAGAGCAGCTGACTGCTGCCGGTGAGGTCCAAAACTTGCGTATCAGGAGATCGACCCACGGGAGGAGACCTCACAGAGGAAATGACCACATCTCACCGATTAGACCATCATCCCACTGCCACCGCCTACAGGGGCAACTGCACCAAATCGACCATCACCTTCATCCACGCCTACCCCTGTACCGGCACCTTTCGTTCCACCCTGTTTGACCTTGTGGCCACGGATCCCTTCCACTGTAGCAAACTTGCGGCCCAGTTCGCTGAGAGCCTGGATATCTTGCCCTATGAGCGAGAGCATGTTCGCCAGTGCCACGTCGTTGGATTGCGCCCGTGAAGCTGCAGCGAGAGGTTGCATGGAGGACGCAGAGTCTACGGGAGTGAGTAGTGAAAGGCGAGTAAGGAGTGCTTGGATATTGCGCAGATGCGGGAGATGAGAAGGTTCTGGGGAGGTCGGTGTCAATGGCGCGGAGTTCTGATCTGATATGTATGATGGTGGAAGCGACTGGACGAAGCTGCGCAGGAGGGATATCCGGGTTTGTAGCATTTTCACACTGTTGAGCCTGGTGGTTATATTTGCGATTTGGTCCTCTTCTTCAGGTGTGAGAGAACTGCTCGTCTCCTCGGCACCATTTGGTTCTTTCTGCCCAGACACTTCCGAGGTTGAATCCGCCCGTTGTTTGCCCTTCTTGTCCGTAGGTACTTGCTCAGCCGTCTTCGGTACAGTTGTTGATTCGTTGGGAACCCCTTCACCCATCGCCGCAGCACTGCCTGCGCCCTTGGCCACATAGTCGATGGCAATCATCTCTGTTTCATCGGTGTCGATCGTATATGGTAACTGTCTGAACTTGATCGCCGAGGACTCTTCTCCGTCAACTTGCATTGATTCATCATCCTTTGGTTGTTCGACATCGACCACACTCTCAAATATGGTGATTGGCAGTCTGCCAGTGGCGCCGTAAGGGGCTTTGACGAGTTCCGGATGTAGGGCGAGGAGAATGGCGCTGTCGTTGTAAAATGTGATTGCTTGGTGTTGCAGAGGAATGAGTTCGGGTAGAGGCCCGTCCGGGGGACAGAGTGTGTACCAGCCAACAAATTCGAGTGCAGGAGATTTATGGACGTCCTTGTCTATCAAAAGTGAGCAGGGGTACTGTACGGACTATCCTTGAAAGTCTTACACTGTTGTATCCTCGTCTCCATCCATTCTGCATTGAAGCGCCAATGACCCTCTGGACTCTTGACCAAGGCTACTGGAAAGGCATGCTCTGCCGTGATCTCGCGCCCAGTCTGCTGACCAAGTAATGCACCCGCAACAGGCCCTGACTGCTTCCGTACTGAATGCCTTGTGACTTGGTCCGACACTGAGAGGAGGACAAGTGGATGCAGAGAGACGGACAGGCCACTATCGGAGGGTTTGGAGGACAGTAGAGGATTTCCGGTAGGTTGCGCCATGGGTTCAAATCTAGCGCTGACACCGAGAGGCAGGAAGCAGCTTCAGATATGAGATGTGAGTGTTCGAGATGGAGCAAGTCTGCGGAGCCTTGTGTCTAGACCACGGAGAATGAATGCGCGGTTGTCGCAGTACCACTGGTAGGTTATAGTGATCCACCGTAGTGACAGCCTGGGCCTAAACCGGGAGGGGAAAGAAAAGCGAGTCTTAGAGGCTCACTCAGAGCACGCCGTTTTGAAGGCCGCCTCTCGTAACATCTCACCACTGATAATATTACATAACGACCAGTGGTTTTGTGAACCTCCAAGCAAAGAATATTCCCTAGATTTAACCATGTTTTACATGTAGGTACGAGGTAGGTAGTTGAACTCAAGAGGGCGCGTCACACTTACTCGTACGGAGTACTAGTACTACTAGTACGAGCTCGGCATGCGGGGTGAAGAGACAAGGCTGCGATCCTCCCACTCCAACCAGCGCCACAGTATTCGTACCTTCGTAGCAGCCTTCGCACTCGCCGCCACATACTGGCACAACCTGCGCTGTCCTCAAAACATCGCAATGATCTTGACTTCCCTTATGAAATTCAGCATCAGCCTACCATAACTACGATGGACTCTCTAGTCGAAGACACAGAGACTCTTTTCACTGATGTATTCTCACACCTTGCCGCTGTCGAATCTCAACCAGGATCAGTATTGCTAGACGAGGACTTATTGAAGCGAGCAGAGCGCAACTTGGCTGCCTCTACACCAAGAGACCTGTTATGGCGGCTGCTCAGGACGGGTGAAACCCTCCTCCAAACAATCCAACAGGAGCCTCGTCCGCTCACTCGGTTGTTGGAGCAAACTGTGCACTTCATCCCATTCGATGAACTGAAGGCTACAATTTCGCCCGAGAAGCTCGAACAAGGTCTAGCCTCCCCTTCAACCTCCGTCCAACTCCTTTGTCTGGCGTATCTACGCAAAGCCGCCGACTCGCCCAGTGGCGCATCTTTTGTTGCAGCGAGCTCGAGTCTCGTGCAATGCTTGTTCACACTTTGGCTTTCGTCCGAGAATACCGAGGTGGCGGAACGCTCTTTGGAGGTCATCGAAGCACTTCTTACCGTCGATAGCCAGAATACGCTCACAGTCGAAGCAAGTGGTGATAGCCTAGGGGAGACGGCTGGTCAGGGCCTCCTATGGCGCCGCGTTTTTCATGACCCTGAAGTCTACGAGATATTTTTTGTCTGGACTTCACTCGTCAAATCCAAGCGAGACACGAAGACTAAGAAGGGCACGCAGCTTGTTACGATCTCTCAAGCTAGATTGTTTGATTTCATTACAAGACTTGCACCTTTTAACTGGCAGGCTATGACGACCTCCACCATACCAATTGTCGAGACAGAATATCTGCGCAGGAATGCTGAGAATCAGCCTTATGGCGGCATATTGCTATACGCAGCATCACACATGATCGATTCCAACGACATCTTGATGAAAGTGCTCCGGCAGGACTTCTTTCTCAAGCTCCTTGCCAGTGCCGAAGAGGGGAACAGTCGAAATATCTCCCCACGGCTGTTGGAGGCCATTCAACAGGGCGCCGGAGTTGGGTCAGCGAAAGATGTAGAAGATGACGGTATGCATCTCTAATGACAGGTCTTCTTTAGAAAGGCAAGTGTTTCGGGACAACCCACGTGCCACATGATGTCAGGCAATGGTGTCAGCTTCGAGCCACGCCTAGGCACTAGGATGATGTCGCTACCCCAAGGAGACATATCGCGAAACGAGTCATTAGTTGGCTTGGGGTATTGGTTGTACAACACCCCCATCCTCGAACCATGTCATGGCCATTTCGGGATGTGTTGGAGGCCGGTACTCCGTATAGATTGTCAGTATCGTCTCCGCGCAAACTACAAAGAATGTTGTCGAAAGTGCGCAAAGCCAGCCAAACGCTGGGCTGGGACTCCATCTTGAATGTTCGATGTGTGGAAGGAGTGGTGATGGTGGACGGAGTAGTGCCTTCAAGAAGATGGGACCCAATATAGATGTCGCTCAACTTTCCTGAACGGGCACGCTGCCAATTCAAACTTCTTCAGATCTCCAATGTCTACTGGAGGACTCAGGTACTAGTAAACAAAAAGTTCCGGTTGTGCTGTTACCACTGTTAGGTTTCTTCGTTATTTTGAGGTGTTCTACGTCCTTTTTTGATCTTTGGCTGGATTGCTGAGGGTTGAATACATCTTTCCTGGCTTTTGGCGGTGGCGTCTCTGCAGAAGCTCGTGCGCAACCACAGTTACTAAAATGGCTTCGATCTCTCGTTCAATGCACCGCCTGCTCCGAGTTCGAAGTACGCCCTCATGCCTTCCACGCCGGTTTGCTAGTTCTTCTGGCTCTAGTGCGGCAAAACTTCGCCCACGCGGACCCCAGACTCCTACCATCTCGACGCCTTTCCCTCGTCAACCGTCCGGCTCTCCAGCAGCTCGAGCCCCCAAAGGCCTTTCCCCAGAACAAGTGAGGAAGCAGTGGTACGCGACGAAATTGTACAAGACGGGCCAGCGCGCCATATACAGGCCACCGTCCCATGCTGGAATACTAGCAGCCTCATACATCATAACTGCGTCTTGTCTCGTGACCGCCGGTGCGTTGGCATTCAGCAATCTCTGGGCCTACGATACCTCATCCGACCTGCCCTGGTTCGTGAGAGTTGCATGGCGGGCCGGAATAGTGACTTTCACTTTTGTCGCCGGGTTTGCATTCCTGCGTCCGACCAGGTTGATTAGGTCCATTGACCTGGTCTCTCAAGATGGCATAGTAAAGCTCGCTGTACAAGTACGACGACCTCTACCCTTTTCCCGACCAAAGGAGTACATTATCGCCCCATATGAGTTTGAAATGGATCGCAAATTTGTACAACAGATGGATGAACCGGATTTCATGCATGATGACACTCCGAAAGCGCAGGGCATTGGATCGAAGCTTGGCCGAGCCCTCAGTCAAGCAATATATTATCCGTTTGCTGCCACACGACGACTTATGACAATGGAAGGGATGATGTCGGTGAACCTCAAGGAGGGTGACAGCGCAGTCAAGCTCGACACGCAAGGGAAGTTCTCCCACGCCGCGACAGACATTGTAGAAATGGGCACCATCAAGATTTAATGCACGCTGCTATGAAGCTGGGGCGTTTCATAAGTGGTGCGCGGCGCACTGATGATGCATCCAACTAAATGAGTATCCTTGACCCAACACCATGTCGGTGGGAATCATGGAGACTAAGAAGGTCTCCACCTCCCCTGGACCCCGAGGCCAGGCGAAGCAGCGCAGGCCTTCCGACGAGGCGTCGCGCAGGATTCCTTATTATATGGCAGAGTAGCCACGTGTGAATGGTCTTGTGGCGCTCTGCAACGTGCATGAGCAATACAATCCGCAGCATTACCGGCGCTCGTGCAAGGAGCAGCGGGCGAGACATGGGATGGGGTTCGGGCCCTTTGGCTATCAAAGGATCTCTTCAAAGGATGAATCTGGACTGGTACGAAGGGAATTATACCCAAGTACAGAAGTACATCATTCTCGAAGAGCCACCCCGCAAGATCTCCAGTCGAGTGCAGAAGCACAGCCAGTACTCCGTATATTCCGTGAGCTTATCTGCTTGCGGTGATCCGTTGGGCCGATCGCAGGGGTCATTGTTCTGCAAACCAGCGCCTGTGACGGCGAAGGCATGTATGATGAGATTGGACCGAGTTGGATGGCACTCGAAGGATGAAGGCAAAGGGGTGAGGTGCAGGGTCTTGCGAGAGAGACATGAAACGCGCCGGCGGGCTCGACGGCGATAACTGCCTTGTCAATAGGGGAGGACGGCGTACCTAATAGTGTAAGTATGTGCCTACTAGTAGCAGCAGTAGCCGTATCAGACTCGGTCTTTAGCCGCTGGCGCTGTGTGACTATGTTAGACTGCGCCATACTATTCACTTTGTAAAGGAGCTACAACAACATAATACTCCTTTCCCGCGCCTTGATGAGTGCTCACCCGTCGGGCTCAACCCTGACAGGCTACGGCTTCGAATCAGCACCGAAAGTCGCCAGTCGCGCCTAACATGATTACTGGGATGACAACTCTACCGGGCCGTCGATACGGAGAGCCAGACTGGGGAAATCCCTCGATCCCTGGTGCTAGTGACTGGAAGGACCGATTCTCCCACCCAGAAGAGCATCCTGCGCTGGCCTGGTCCACCACTTGCTACGAAGAACAGAGACTTGCAAAGTACATTCTAGCTTCTCCAGCCATGTTTCAGTTGCAAAAGAAGATCCCAGAGCCCACACTCGTCGAGTAGGTCGTCTTCCATCTCCTGACGGAGCGGCGCCGCGTAGACTGACCCAGCACAGCTTGGCCAACAAGACAGATGTGATCAAGGTCATTGTGGGACGCGACGAGAAGGCCACCTGGGTGCTGCATGAGGCCCTGTTCACCGCGGCGTCGGCATTTGCAAAGGCAGCGTTATCACACCCATTCGCGGAGCATGAACAACGGACCATCACACTGCCTGAAGAGGATCCAGCGGTCTTTGCAATCTTTGTGAAATACCTGTATGTTCAAGTCGTCCGTCCTCCTTCGATGGACACGACCCTTGCACTTTACGTGCTTGCCGATCGACTCCAGGCCACTGCGCTCTGCAAAATCATCTTTGAAGAGCTCTCCTTCCGCCATGACGAACTTACAGCAGAACAGCTCCAGTATGTCCTCGACAACACAGCGGCACCCGATCCCCTCCGGTATGCCTGCATGCAGCGCGTCGTCCGAGAGATTCAATGCAGATCCAGCCTTTTGAATGGTCCGATCGCGGTAGATCTCTGCCACCATCATGCTCCAGAAATCCTGGCCATCATGATGGGAAAGTTTCAAGAGGTTATCCTTGCGCCTGTGGAGGAGGTGAAGGAGGCGGAGGTGAAATCCGACAATGCCAACAGAGTCTGCGATCCTTTCGACCACTCTGCTCTCCTCTCAGACCTGCCGAAGCTAGAAGCTCCCACCCAGAATACTTCAAACCCAGTCACTTACCCACAACCGTTACCTGCCTGGGACAACCGATCTGAGACGTCACTGGTACAGATTGACTCGAAGCTCCCAGCAGATTCTCCTGCCAGCAGCGCCCCCGTTTGACCGCCACCGCAGCCCCTGCTGCACTAAACGTTTGTGCCATGCTGTCTCAAAGAGCGCCCGCGGGCTTCGACCTTTGAGTCACACCGGCATCGGAGCCTCTCCCCAATGACAACCCCAAACACCCAGGCAGTTACGCCCTCCTTAAATGTCCTAGTCGGGCCAGACGACCATGCTAAGGTATGGACGTAGCAACACACCCCGATCGATAGAGTCAAGGCTTTCTTGAAATTTCGGAGTTGGTCTCGTAGAGGGATAGTCTATTCGGAGTCAGCCTGTGGGATCACTCATGTCTCGTGTTTCAAGCCCCTCCATAGCGGGACGACAAAGTGAAAGTGGTCTTGTTGCACAACGCATATGATGAGATGTGATGGTAGGAAGTCGGCGAAAGCAATTCCTCTAGCTAGAAGTTGTCTGTCTAGTAACGCTCCTAATCCTCTAGTTCTGTCATTCTCCAGCTCCTTGCTAATACGGACAGCCCAAAAAAAGCCTTCCCTCCCAAGAATCGATTAGAAGATCCAGGTTCTCTAACTGGGAATCGCCACTGTAGCGAATGTGAAGTGGACGAGCACCCAAAGCATCTGTTTGCCTTTCAACGAGCATTGTTCAAGGGCGCGGCAGAAGGGGGCGCCTCGCTAGTGACATAGGCCTTGCTCAAACCACCGTCGACCAGGAATTCTGTGGCGTTGACAAAGCTACTCTCGTCGCTAGCCAGGAAGACAACGGCGTGGGCCTGTTCGATGGCTTCGCCAAAACGGCCGCTCGGGAAATGGACCTCGCGGCGGTAGCGCTTCTGCACGTCATCGCCCAACCAGTCCTGCAGCAGCGGAGTGTTGAGCGGACCGGGACAGAGCGAGTTGAAGCGGATGTTCTCGCGGGCGTGGACGATGGCGAGTTCTCTGGTCATGGCGAGCACGGCGCCCTTTGAGGCGGTGTACGCGAGCTGCGGGGTGGCGGCGCCCATCAAGGCGACGAAGCTGGCGGTATTGATGATGGAGCCGGCCTTCTTCTGGTGGCGGCGCATGCTCAGCACGGCGTGCTTGGAGCCGTACCAGACGCCCTTGACGTTGATGTTCTGGGTCAGGTCCCAGACCTGCTCGGACGTGTGGATGGCGTCGTCGTCCTGCCCGTGCATGATGCCGGCGTTGTTGAACATGACGTCGATGCCGCCGTACTGATCCTGCGACTCGACCGCCGCGGCCACGTCGGATTCCTTGGACACGTCGCATTTGATCGTGCTGAGGCGTGGCGCGTTAGGGACCAATTCCTTGACCTTCGCCAGCGCCTTGGCCAGCGCCGCTTCTGAAATGTCCGCCATCAGCACCGACGCGCCTTCTTTGGCGAACAGGATCGTCGTTTCCAGCCCAATCCCACCGGCCGCCCCGGTGATGATGGCGTTTTTGCCGGCCAGACGGCCTGCGCGGGGTTGGGATTCGGCGGCCATGGTGTTGGAGAGTGTGTGGCTCGGCTGGTCGAGGACAGAGGAGGCGTGAGGAAGCGACAGAGCGTCTGTACCCAGTACTAGTACGAGTTCCGCGGTCGAATTGTGATGAGAAGGGCGTGACTCTGGACAGCTATACCGTATGCTAAGGCTGGGCCCAGGGTGGGCGAGGTTAGACTGACTCAGGCAATGGAGCCGCGATAACCGGAAGTGGGCGACGGACAAGGGCGACAAAGGAGAGCAGATTTCATTACAAGAGGATTACGGAGTTCGTCGGTACGGACCCAGGTTGGCCAAATCCCATATGGGCAGGTAAGGTAGAGAGCCCTGACCTACGATATGGAGTAATTAGTGATCCATCCAACTGCGCCCCTTCTGTGTAAGGCAGCAGGGTCATGTGACATCCGTGTCTCTCATGTCATATCATCCTAGTACCTACTGTATAGTACCTCGTGGTACGAGAGCAAGCATCCAAGATCAGGTACCAGGTAGATATCTGATAATTAGTGGCAGTACGGAGTACGGAGTAGATCGTTCCAAGATCTCGTCGCCATTGGATTGGCGCGCCCTCGGAGCTTGACACCGAGCTGCTTTGGATGCATGGATGGGGGCCGATAAGTCAGGCTTCCAGGGCCATGAGCCATGGGCCAAGCGAGCTTCGGTCCTTAGAGGTCGCCTAAGCTCGGGCTTAGGGGCTTAGAGCTAAGGCTTGGGCCGCTAAACCAGCCACAATCATGGGGAGCCAGGGAGCTTATCAGCAACAATCAACTACGTCTTCCTCCTCCTCCTGCTATTATGACAAGCACAAGCACCTAAAATGTAACCTGAAGTCGAGTATCGCCAATGCAGCTGTGCGACTGGTCTTGCCGTGTACAGTACAAACCGTGCCTCCCCGCTCTTTGTTCCCCTTCCATCTATAGCCTATAGCCTATAACCTTGAACTCCCATCTGCGTCCTTTGTGTGCTCTCTTTATTCCTTGTCTGTCTGCAGACCATCCCGCTTGCTCAACGTTCTCCAACCCCTCTCTGAGGAGTCGGCAGCCATGGCCAGCAACGACACAGGCGGCGAAGTCCTTACAGTCGACAACTTGGAGACCGCCCTGGCTAAGGACACCAAGGTCAAGCTCGCAGGCATCGATGTGGACGGTAAGTGCCCTATGGCCTATGGCCTGGATCTTGTGTGGTCACGTTGCTAACCAGACCTCTGGCAGGCATCCTCCGAGGCAAACTAGTCTCCAAGAAGAAGTTCCTCTCCGTTGCCAAAGACGGCTTTGGCTTCTGTAGCATCGTCTTCGGCTGGGACATGCATGACCTGACCTATTTCCGCGAACTCAAGATCAGCAATAAAGAGAATGGATACAAGGACCTCGTGGCCAAGATCGACCTGGGCAGCTATCGCCGCATACCGTGGGAGGACAATGTGCCGTTCTTCCTGGTCAGCTTCCATGACCCGGACACTGGCAAGCCCATCAGTGCATGTCCCAGGAGTCTGCTGAGGACGACGGTCGAGAAGTTGAACAAGGCCGGCTACTCTGCCCTGGCTGGTGCCGAGTTCGAGTTCTTTACATTCCGCGCCCCTCGCGATCCGTCAATCCAGACCAGTCATGTCTCCTCGGCCACAACTGCCCCCTTCCTCCAGAACAACGCCGTGAGTGCCCTCCCTCATCTCACCCAAGGCATGTTTGGCTACTCTTTGACCGACCCGATCCACAACCAAGACTGGTTTTACAGCGTCTTCGAGACCTGTGAGAAATTCCGGGTCAACATCGAGGGATGGCATACGGAATCAGGGCCGGGTGTCTTCGAGGCTGCCCTGGAGTTTGGGGAAGTCACCGAGACGGCCGACAGGGGAACTTTGTTCAAGTACGTCGTCAAGGCCATCGGTAGCAAGCATGGCATCACACCCTCCTTCATGGCCAAGCCCAAGCAAGGCCTGCCGGGGAACAGTGGGCATATGCACTGCTCCATTGTGGACAAGTCCGGCAAGAATCTCTTCTACAGAGGTGAGAAGGATCCCAACCCGCCTTACAAGGACCTCGAATACGTGTCAGATCTCGGCCGACAGTTTCTCGCCGGACTGCTGGACGGTCTCGCCGATGTCATGCCCATCATTGCACCCACCGTCAATTCCTACAAGCGGTTGGTTGAGAACTTTTGGGCTCCAGTCACGGTGTCATGGGGGTTGGAACACCGAGCGGCATCGATTCGGCTGATTGCCCCTCCGACGGCGTCTGCCAAAGCAACCAGGTTTGAAATTCGAGTGTGCGGCGCTGATTGCAACCCATCTCTTGTTCTTGCGACCATCGTCGCCCTGGGATGGAGAGGCATCGAAAAGAAACTGGAAATCAGCTTACCGCCGCTGGGCAAGGGCGACGAGGTGGGCAGTAGCACTGACAAAGGGGAACGGCTGCCCAAGAACCTCAAAGACAGCACGGCCAGATTCGTGGCCAAAGGAAGCGTTGCTCGCGAGATCTTTGGAGACGAGTTTGTGGACCACTATGGGGGCACTCGAGAGCATGAACTCCGGCTGTGGGACGAAGCAGTCACTGACTGGGAGGTAAAACGGTATATTGAGACTGTATGAGATACCCATTTCCGGTTCTGATGTTGAGAGCAAAGCAACGAATCGTGCAACAATGGTCTTGGGTCTGGCTGTCTTTCTTCCTCGCATTCCTGTGGCAGTTTGGGGGCGTTTGAACACACTGGCTATTCAGCTTTGTCAGAGACAATGGACGTTCCACACGCTGTCTTTGTTTATGCCATACTGACCACTCTACCCCAGCATCCTTTCTTCTTTTTGTTCTTTGATGATATTTTGGGCCTCGCAGACAAGGAATGACAAAGCGCATTCATGGCTTTCCTTTGCTACTATTCCTGGCCGTGGAAGAAAAGCGTGAAAATGCCCCCAGACGAACAGCGACTGCCCTTGGGTCCTACCAACCTAACATCTAGTAAGCCACCCCCCCAGAAAACCAACAGGCAATGCCGCCCGTTCTACGACGCAGTAACAGAATCAGGAAGCCGTCGAGGCTCTCCCTACCTCGCACCTCCCCCGTGCAAACTACTAACCGAGCCCTTCGAGGGTTGCAGCCCAAGAACGCCCTGGATGGCTTCATGGTCAAACTGTATGCCGAGATCCACGCTGCCGCTGTGGCCCCGATTCCAGAGAGCGACCATTCCGAGATCCGCGATGTCCTTCGCAAGGCCAGGACTGTGCGGTTCCTCGAGTTGCTGTCTGGGAAGAGCCGAGACGACGTGACGACAGCACTCGAGAGCTTCTCGTCGAGCACGAGAAGAGTGGGCAGTGTGCACCGGGATGCCATGGACATTATCAAGGTGAGCCCATCTCTCCTGCGCGATCGGCTGTGCCGGTTTCCCAGCCTTTTGCTGTTGAGCATCTGTGTGCACTCTGAGACCTTCCGCACGGCGTTGTCTCTGTCCCCAGATGCGGCTAATGGCGCCCGCAAAGCCAACGACGAACCGAGCTGGCAGCAACTGTCGGCCAAACTAGAGCAGAGCGCATCCAGCCTGGAGCTGTTTGCGAAGACGAGAGGGTTGGAATGGCGGAAAGCGCTGGGCGCTCACGAAGATGACTTTGGCGTGCTCCTCCGATCGGTCCTTCGAGACTTCGACTTTGGCCCTGTCACCCAGGCGGATTTCGGCATTGGGCCTGGCGAGCTGGATGAGATGCACGAGGTCGACGACACGTGCCCATCACACTGGGTGCTGCCGCCAGCACCCGCCCCTGCTTTCCGCTGCGCTGTTGAATACAAGGTCACTGACGACGTGATCAGGGACGGCTTTCGGATCCAAGACGACGGAGTTGCAGCGCCGCAACTCGACGACGACCAATTCGTGCAGCAGTTTGACGTTGCCCACTCGATTCTGCTGCCCAACTACGACTGGACGAACCTGGCGCCCCAGGCCGACGGCGACCCGCGCTTCTGCGGATTCAAAGACCATCCGTGCGACGTGTGCGGGCAGGAATCCTCGTGTGACTGCACGTTTGCCGACATGTGCGACTCGGCCGGGCATGGGCGTGAGGTGCTCGTCGAGCTCATGACGACGGAGCGGACGGGGACGGGCGTGCGCGCGCTGCAGGACATTCGAGCGGACCAGTATGTGGGCGAATACGTGGGCGAGATCTACCCGGCCAAACATAACCACCGCGGCGGCCACGTCACTCGCTACGAGGGCGACGCCGGGCACACGTACATCCTCGAGCTCGACATCGCGCGGGCCAGCGACTTTGTGCAGGAGACGAGCCCGAAAAGACGGCGGGGAAAGGGCAGCAGCAACGTGAAGAGCAGCAAAGGCAAAAGCAACGCGGCCTCGTCGTCATCTGGCGCCGCGGTGAAGACGACCAAGGCCGGCAAGGCCAGCAAGGCCAAACCCCGCCCCCGTCGTCCGGCCTACTTTGTCGACTCGGCCGTGCGAGGCAACTGGACTCGGTACATCAACCACTCGTGCGTGCCGAACACGCGGTTCGACACGGTCAACGTCGGCCAGCGCCACACCGTGTTGATCCGCGCCACTCGCCGCATCTATCATGGCGAGCAGCTCACGGTTGACTACGGCGACCGCTACTTCTGCCATTTCGAGTGGGGGTGCAAATGCGCCCACGCGACCTGTCGCTACTGGCGCGAGGGCGTCGGCGTCGAGCCCGACGCCGTCACGCTCAAGATGGCCAAGGACCAGGGCATCGCGCCGCAGTGGGCCCTGGACGACGATGCCGTTCCTATCGAGAAGGACAAGGACAAGGACAAGGACGGTGGTGCGGGAAAGGGAAAGGGAAAGGGCCGTAAGTGATTGATTATTGGTATTAATCTTCCGTACTTTGGTTTGCTATTTACTATTTACTGTTTACTACTTACTATTTACTACTTACCACTTACTACTTACTACTTACTATTTGCTGATTAATTACTCGGCTTCTTTTCAGGGACTGTACATACTCTGTCTACATCTATATAATACAAGGTTTACTTTCAATATTCCTTCATATTGGATCATATGATTTCGGCGTTGATCAACACATTGTCCGGTCCAAATCGTTTTCCCTTCCCTTTACGCTCTGCGCTCTATCCTAGGGCCTAGACCGAATAAGAAACGAAACGAAACGAAACGAAACGAAACGACCGGTGCGGAGCGGAGGAAATCATCAAGCCATCCAATGGCTGACGAGGCTGTGCTAAGGCTGCGGGACTGTACTTGGAGGACAGTAGACAGTGGACAATGGCAGTGGATAATGGACAATGGACACCCAACCAGACCCAGATATTACTGTGCAGGGCTGCGAGTGATGAACAATGCAATGCGGCACGACACGACTCTCGTGACCCATGTTGGTCCTCGACCTCGATCTCGATCTCAACATTGACATTGACATTGACATTGACGCGACGAGGCTGAAGTGGCTCCAACATTACTGCATCGGGTTTAGTCTCGAATCTCGAGTCTGGCTTAAACTTAAGGTCCTCGCTTTCCACCACATGGTCCTCATTTTCCTTTTCCATTTCCATTTCTCCTGGCCGGTCCAGACGTCCAAACCCAGGTACATAAGGTAGCCCGGGTCCCGCTGGGATCCTGGTCCTGGTCCTGGTCCGGCCCTGGCACTGACATTCCTGATCTCTGGTACGACGCCGACGCCGCCAACTTGGGTTGAACCCGGTTCGACTAGTACTATTACTGTCGTATTTCTTTGGTACAGCTAAAGCTACAGTACTCCCCCTCCTCCTCCTCCATCATGGCTGCTGCCTCCTCGTCCGACTTTGGCCTGTCTGCCTTCAACGCCAGCAATGTCGATCTCGGCACCGCCGATCCGCGCGATGTCATCTGCGCCCTGGCCGCGTCAGGCAACGACTACAACGGACGGCTCGGCGCCCGCATCTCGGCCCTGTTCGTCATCCTCGCCGTGTCGTCGTTCGCCACCTTCTTTCCCGTCGTGGCCAAACGCGTACCACGCCTGCACATCCCGCTGTACGTCTATCTGTTTGCCCGCTACTTCGGCTCCGGCGTCATCGTCGCCACCGCTTTCATCCACCTGCTGGACCCGGCCTACAGCGAGATCGGCCCGGCAAGTTGTGTCGGCATGACCGGCGGATGGGCTGAATATGCCTGGTGCCCTGCCATCGTGCTGGCCTCTGTGGTCGTCATCTTCCTCCTCGACTTTGGCGCCGAGCGCTACGTCGAGGTTAGGTACGGCATCGACAGCGAAACCGATATCCAAGAGGCGGTCACCGGGTACGCGGACCCCGGAAGAAAGCCGACCGATGCACAACAAGCCAGGGCCGCGAGCGTGACTGACATGCGTCGCGAGCACGATGCCGTCATGCCACACGACCATCACCTGTCCTTGTCTTTCCACTGCTCGTCCATGTACGAAAAGAAGTTCAAGGAAGACTGGGCCGATGACGAGCTCGACTCCGAGGCCTGCAAGAGTTCCTTCAGACAACAGATCGCCGCCTTCTTGATCCTCGAGTTCGGCGTCATCTTCCACTCGGTCGTCATCGGGCTCAATCTTGGCGTCGTCGGCGACGAGTTCAGCACTCTGTATCCCGTGCTGGTGTTTCATCAATCTTTTGAAGGGCTGGGCATCGGCGCCAGAATGTCCACAATCCCCTTCAGATCAGGGAGCTGGCTCCCTTGGATCCTGTGCGCCGCTTATGGCCTGACCACTCCCATTGCTATTGCCATCGGCCTGGGCGTGCGGACCACATACAACCCGAACTCGTTCACCGCAAATGTGGTGAGTGGAGTGCTGGATGCCATGTCCGCCGGCATATTGCTCTACACCGGGCTAGTAGAGTTGTTGGCCAGAGACTTTCTATTCAACCCCATGAGGACCAAGGATAACAAACGACTGGCATTCATGATCTTCAACGTCATATTGGGTGCCGGTCTGATGGCCTTGCTTGGGAAGTGGGCATGAAGAGGCAGCTGACCTGCGGCAGATGCCACTACGACGGCAGACACATAGGCATAATTCATAGCCCGCAAACTCGAGCAGTCAACCTGGATGGATAGGTGGTGTTGTCCTGGGAGAAACACCACGCTTCATGCTCGTGTTGATGGGCGTTGCTGGCTTCTTGTGCATGGTATCGGATTTTGGGGTGTCACGGCAGCTGTTAGAAGGGAAAAACAATCCAATGTTGGAGCATCACTGGGGCAAGGTCATGACTGGCACCTGGAGAAAACCTCACTGAGATAGATGGCCTTCAAGTGTCCGCTCAAGGCCTCAATCCGGGGAGCATAGCTGGATGTAGGGTGTATTTAGTGAGGACATTATTTGCGAGACGGAAGAAATGGTGGAGGAGGAGTCGTTCATTGCGTAGTGAACAAGGTATGGCAGAGTGGATGAAGTGTGATTTAGAATAAAGACAGGAAAGGAGTAGCCTAGATCACAGTATTGGCCCTGGTGGTTCGAGCGGTCCCAATCACGCACTCAGGACTGAAGAGCGCGCAGCCTTCCAGAGCAGAAACAAGCAACTCGTATTTCCCGTCCACCAGGCGATTCCGCGCAACTGACTGTAAAGATCATGCGGAATAAGCACGTAGACTGCTCCGTACACCAGCCGGGCAATCGTGTATGTGGTGCAGGCAGCGGTCAATGTGGGTCGAGGGACGTTCGCAACAAGGGCTAAGAGAACTGGTTGAAGTAAGCCTGGTTAGTATGTTCTATACATGTAGACGGTAGTCATGTTGGAAGCAGGACACAATCAAGCACCTAGTAGACTAAACAATGAACCACGGGCAACAGCAACAGCAACAGCAACGGCTTGCGCCTCAGAAGCGCAAGAGCTAACCAATGGATGCAAGCACGTCTCGACCTACCGGAGGCGGCGAAGAATGTGTACCCCTCAACCGAATTTGCGCTGGCGGCCTCCATGCGTTGGATCTGCTCGAGCTGGGCTTGGGTCAATTTGCCCTCGCGGATGGCGGCGGCACCATACTTGTTGATATCCTGGCGTGGGTTCCCGTTGTGGTCGATTCCGTGCCACTGTTTCAGCGTGCGGCTCGCCAATACGCAGTATGCGTAGAACCAGTTCCAGGCCAGAAACGCCGCAGGGCCTGCAAACGTGGTCGACGAAGTATGAAGCCCGAGGCCCAGGTAGCTTGTCGCCATGGTCGACTAGAGTCTGAGGATAGGGAGGAGACGGGAGTGTAATCACGAGAACGAACAGTCTGTGGCCACCTGAAACCGGAAACCTGACGGATGATGGAAGAACGCAGCCTGAGGAAAAGAGACTTGGAAGTTCAGCCTGCGTTGCATTGCATCCGTAGCCTTGCAGCCTGCAGCCTGCAGCCTTGCAGCACGCCAAGCACCATCTCCAACTTGAACTTCAACTCTGGGTCTGCAATGCGGAGAGCAAGTCCTTCAACTTCCTTCAGGTTTCATGGCACTGCTCGTTTCTCTGCGCCTGCTTTCCCTGCGGCCTTCCAATGTGGGTGCAATGCCCATACAGGCATGTCTCATACGCGACATGGCGCTTGCAAGTCTTTCGTAATCTATACCTGTCTCTCGACACACAGCAGCCACCGAACACCCTGACCACTCGCTCTGCACCAAAGTCCACAGGATGCATACGACACTACAGCCTCTTCAGCCCTTTTGGAAAATCGAAGGTGCAGCAGGAATCATCTTCTCATGATGAAACCCCTCCGGACACGGCCACTAGAGCACTGCGCTCTAAGACCTCCAAGCGTCGAGGGCCTTTCAACCCATACAGTCAGGAAGACCTGCAGAATTTGAAGGATCTTTTGCCAGAGCTTAAAGCCCTCAGCGAAACGATGCGAGATCAGCACCGAGATAATTGTTCAAGACCTTCGCGCGAGAAGCTCTCTATACCAGAATCACCTGTTAAGGCTCAGGTCGAGAAGGCGGCGAAGAGACGGGGTATCCAGAAAGAGCGCGCAACGTATAAAGAGTTGGGTCCGCTGCAGAATAACCCGTGGGCAGAGATGCTCGCCAGTCCGATTAGATTCTGCCACGGCAGTGGCGCAAGACTGCCCGGGGACTTCTTGCTTGAATTCGACTATATGCAGAATCCAGTCGACGGCAAGATCTATCTTCTGCCCACGGATATCGCCGATCTGGACGCGCTGGAAGAAAGGATGTCCAAGCAGTTATACAAAGAGGATTGGAGGCGGGTGCGGGACGACAAGCGCGCTGGCAGAGCGGCGCGAGATAAAGCAGCAACACCCACACCAGCACCTAATGCAGACACAAATGCAATTGACTCGTCGCAATTGAATCATCCAGCAGGCTCACGGTCGCCTCCAAGACGCCGGTCTGTGTTGACTCGTATACTCGGCGATGTCAATTTGTTCCGTCTCCTGACACTCAACGTGACCAAGGGCGAGAAGAACAAACCGCAAGTCAGGTTTACGAAACTCGGGGAGGTTGCCAAACTCATCCCATGGGAGTCAAAGGAACCGGTCCTGAACATACAGCACTACGCCCGTCACAAAAGCGAAGTCGATCTCGCCACCGGCGTTCCCGATCCCGAGCCGCCCGAACGTCTTCCTTTCAATTTCAGAGGGCTGCAGTGGCAACCCGACTTGTACATCCGCCTGGCACAAATCATGCGAAAGCGCGTGCTAGCCTGTTTTAAGGCGCTGGCCGAATCGGCCAAAGAGAGATCTGCTGGACGAATACCGGTGAGAGTGGTGGCCTTGCCTCTTCCTCAGGCTGGGAGGCTCAACAGTGATGATCTTCGTCATTTTCTAGCGGAAGCGTCGGTCTTCGACCGTCCGGCTTTAGAAATAGGAGGACAGGGAGGAGAACGAGGCACGCGACCTTTGTCTGATGAAAGGACAAGCTCTTCAACGGAAGCCGCATCTACTACCTCTCTTCTACAGCCGGCGATGTCCGGAAAAGGATTCTTGCTGGGCCACCCGGACATTTCCCCAGGAAGTATCTTCCTGCACGTTGGCGACGGAGACCTGTCTTCGCTCCTGTACCATCCAACAGACCCGGACACGCACAATGCTCCAGGGACGTCGTCCTATTCTCCAGCGTTTCCACCCCTTCCCTCTCACCGGATGATCCCGCCCATGCTCAGTGTTGACGATATTTACCGCTTCCCTGTCTTCTCACTTCCACGACTGCTTGCCGACTCAGGTCCCTCGGCTTCCTTAGATGACGCCGCTGCTCTTGACACCGTCATGCAAAACTGCCCTGCTTTCCAAGCTCCCTTGCCGAACGAGGACGACTACCTCCTGCTCATTCGCCCGGGCCCCGGTCCTGCGAAACAGCTCGTCAAAGAGATCTGGCAACTGTGGCGGTATCTTGAGGGCCAGCTTGCGGCCTCACCGGCGACGGACTGGAGCCTGGAGGGTGAAGACCATGTCAATGCGGGCAGACAAGAACACGAACAAGACGATGCTGAAGACGAAGATGCCCACATGGACAAGCGGAGACGGCGAGACGTCGGTCTCTAGAGACCTAGGAGCGCGCATGGACACATCCCGAAGAGAGACGAGGATAGTACCGGGCGAGCGGCCCTCGCCTTGGGTATTCTGGTCTATTATATACGCAACCATCGCCCCCTTGTCCACGGTTTCCACTATGAGAGTAAGCGGAAACCGACCTGGAACAAGTAGTCAAATAACAATAGTTCGATCTGGTTGAGGATTGAGTAATGCAATACACTGGCAAAGACCTCTGCGCCGCCCGATTCCCACCCATACAATACCCGATGTACCATGTGCACATGTCAGACAACCCAACCCGTTCCTAGCTCGTTTCTTATAGTGACCCCGTGTTCCCCTTGACTTTGCGCACTCTAGGCAGCGCTGAAGGAAAGAACCCCTAAAATAACCTACACGCGGCACAGATTAGGAGAATAGCATATCGCGCCGCACGGTCCTAACTTGGCCGGGCCGCGAGCGTTGAATATACGTCAAATGCCATTACAGCCCAAGACTCTGCCGGGCCTGACAGCCACTCGTCCGTGATGTTGAACCAGGAAAACAACAAGGCCCACTAGGAGGTAGGCTCCCTCATGAATACATAACATCGTCCTTCGTCGAATAGCCAACGCAAAACGCAAGAAACCGGGCCAGGGACACTAGCCAACTCGATATGCGTCGTAGATGACTAAGAAAAACGTGAGTAAGACGATGGATTCCGTAGGGGAGGAAATGGGTTGGGTTGACTCACTCTCATTCGCCCTACGGCATCCGCTACCCATCCACAGGCAGGTATTGAGGAATGCATACCGCTCGTCTCCGGTTTCGAGCTCCACGGAGATACGAAATTTGTATTGATTCGCAGAGAGGGTGTCCGCAAGCGATGGATCATTGAGACGCTCGAGTACTTCCTTTGCACCGGTGCGCCAGCCCTTGGACCTTGCGGTGATATAGGCGGGAGGGTCGTCATTGGTTTGGAGAAGATAGTCGGCATCAATGCGGGTCGCAAGATCTTTGACGACCAACTGTTTGTCTTGTCCACCAGGCTAAGGATGGTCAACGAAGGGAAGATGGAATGGGGAAGCCTTTGGGATTGTGTCTCAACTTACAATGATGATGCCCTTGCCCCATCTGCCTGCCCATTGTCCTCCGACAATGCTGACCCACTCGCGATGGCCGTACAGACCCGAGCCCACGGAGATCTTGGGATTGAGCTTGATGCTGATACGGAAGTCGAGCTCCAGGGTAGGCGCGGGCAACTGCAACGAACGCGCAATATCCCCTTCGTCGAAGCGGTGGAGGAGGTTGTTTGCAGGGATGGACTCCTTGACGACATTCTGATAAGTGGGACACTCCATCAGATGCTGGCGTTGTCGGGAGGTGTTCTTCGCTCGGATCTGGTTGCAATAGATGCATTGTACCGACAAGCACTTATCCTCCTCTTTCGCTCTGAACTCGACGAAGGCGGCGTGGACGTCGTCGAGGGGCGGGGCAGGGAGGCTAGAGCCTGGAGTAGACTTTGGGGTCTTTGGTGGTTTAGGAGTTGATCTTGGAACGGGGGTGCTCGTCACCGATTGTGGCGCCTGGTGGGGCATCGACGAGGTGGTCGGGATGCCTTGCATGGGAGTGCCATGGGAAGCAATGCCATTTGCGATGGCACCATTGGATGTGTGTAGACTGGATGGAGTGCCGAAGCCGTTGGGAGGGGCGATGCTATCGCCAGTAGAGGATTGAGGTCGAGGGGCATTGGGATGATTCTGTAAGCCAGGACACTCCAGCAGGTGTTGCTTCTGACGCGAGGTGTTCTTTGCTCGGATCTGTTGACAGTAGATGCACTGGACGGACATGCATTTATCGTCCTCTGTGGAGACGCTCGGGTCAGCTTGTGGTAACATAACGTATAGGGAGGTTTGTACGGCATGAGTACAGTACAGTCAATACTAGACAAGACAGTACTGGCAATGACAATACCACCTACCTTTGGCCTTGAATTCGACAAACGCCGCGTGGACGTCTTGGTCGACAGTGCGCCCCATGTCGGCAAGGCAAGAGCTGGCGCGCAGTTGAGATGCTATCGCTCACCCGATGGATCGTGGCACCGTTGTGCCTGGCCGCGCAGAGGACGGTTTTGGTTTTTGGCCTGCGGATTGAGCAGCGTCGACGAGAAGCTTACTTGCGCAGTCACAGTCACAGTCTCAGTCACAGTCACGGCGGCACGGTTCAGTTGTGTTTCCGGGCAGGAGCCAGAACCGCTTGACCGCAACGGGACTAGTGTAACTTTCAGCATGACACCGCACCGCATTGCGGCCAGCAGACACCAGCAGCCATCCCACCTATAACGAACTCGAACATCTATCTCCAGTCAATTCGACGCATGCTGGGGTGTACGCTAGGCCAGTCACCTCTCGCTACCCGGTCCAGGCAGCCAGTGACCGATAGTTATACGTTGATTCAGCTAGTAAATACGGCTATGGACTGCAGGGTAGAGTCGGTCGGCACATCAGAAAGGAGGGCCCAGAAGATGGTTCAAGACATAAGAAGAATGGGCCTCAAAGCACCCGACCGTTTCGTTACCTTCATGGCCATGAAGATGAACAGCGCTGAAGCAGGACATGTCCTCGACGTGCGCAGGACAGTGACATTGGCAGAGGCAATCTTAACGATAGCGTTAGGGGCACTCCAGTCATCTTGTCATCATCTCCTAAGTCATCCTCTTCTAAGGCTGTGTCCATGGAATCTGCAAGCTCTAGATTATAGAGCTTAGTCATAACACAATCCCTCAGAGGCAGATATCATGCTGCCCCACAACCAGACGATCGAGAGCTAATGCTCAGCATGGGTTTCTTCCCGTATAGAAGGACAGGACCTTTTGTTGAGGCTAGGTCGCGCGTGATGGATGTTCCGTCGATCGGGTCTACCATGAACGTTGGCTGGGAGGTGATGTTGACTCCGACTGTGTACGCTCATCGCCGACGAAGGCGAAGGTAGGATATCGTTTCGTTACGCATCCACGAATGGGTCTCTCCACAGCCTGGTCGGCCTGCGTCAAAATATCTGCGGCTGTCTATCAATGAGCTGAATCTAATAAGAGAGGGAATAGACACACTGTTCTTTTTAGTTGAAATGAAGTCTTACATTAGTATTCCGTACGTACTAGTACTACTAGTATACCGCCAAGAAGCAAGGCTTGGCAGTATCTGGTACGGAGTATCCGTACTTGTCATGCCATATGATTGATGCACGGAGTACTGAAGCCGTCCCTACCTGACCTGGTATTACTATACTACACACTACTACTCCGGCAGTATCCATGGGCTGACAATGCATCTCTGAAGGGTGCCCGCCAGAGCACTGAAGTTACAATGGCTGTCTCCGCCCTCAAGTCTGCGCAGGGCTGCTGGTACACCGGACCAGAGTATGAGCAAGGTTGCCCAACCCTGACTGCGCACAAGTTCATGCAAGTATCTAACCTGCTCTTGGAGAATCCGAATCTGAACTCGACTCACCTTTTCCGTGCCGATGTTTTGTACGACAGCGCTGGTGTCCTGAAAACTATGGACGAAAAGGAAAGACAATGCCAGTTCTCTAGCTGCGCGCCTCATGACGAAGAGCCGGTCCATGTTGTAGGATCAGCGCCTATCTTCGACAATGCCATCCTAGAGCGAAAGGTGTTGAGGAAGCTCATCCCTCGCAAACCACAACTCGACCGGGCCCTCGAGCAGTGGTGCTTCATCTATAAAAAAGTCGGGACGTCTGACATTGTCACCGGCCACCTCGTCGTCTACGTGCCCACGGTCACATCCGAGACAGATGTTCCTTGGTACCATCCACCCGTCAAGTCTTTGGCCTACCTCTACGAGAACACAAGCAGTCATCCTATGCTGTCTGTACATTTCTTGCCGTTCACCCACCCGGCTCCTAGCCCCTTGCCTTCGCGACTACATCGCACCTTCATCTCACTGCTTCACACGTTCCTCAGGCTCGCGAAGATTCCCTCCCCGAATCATGCCCCCAACGGGGCCCTCGATGGCAGCCACCCGATCGCTTCCAGTGACGCCTCCATGGCCCCATCCGCACTCAAAGATACCATCTTACCCCAGCACATCGTGCAGAACACGTACAGCCGTCTAAAGCAACAGTACGCACAAGACCTCATATCGCGTTGGGCCGAAAACACCGAGCCCTCTAAGCACGTGTTTGAGGACCTCTCGATCGCCGCTTTTGTCATCGAACTCTGGAAGCAGATGTACCAGCAGCCAGAGAGTTTCCCCGGCTTCGTCGACATGGCCTGCGGCAACGGCGTTCTGAGTTACGTGCTCATCAAGGAGGGTTACCGCGGACGCGGGTTTGACGCTCGCAGGCGCAAAAGCTGGAAAGAGCTGGGGATGGACGAGTACTTGGATGAGATGATCTGTATTCCGCAACCATTCATTGACCATGCATTAGCTGATGTCAATGAATCCCTGCCAGGAACGCGGGTCCACAGTGGCCTCTTCCACCCGGGCACTTTTATCATCTCCAACCATGCCGATGAACTCACGCCTTGGACGCCGATTCTTGCAGCATTGTCATGTCCGGAATCTCCGCTTCCCTTCCTCTCGATCCCGTGCTGCTCGCATGCCCTTAGCGGGGCAAGGCATCGCTATTCCCCAGGAGAGATCAAGCCGGGACCGCGGCCGACAAGGAGCGTACATGATAAGGAGGAACAGCCCACAGTCGGCGACTTGAAGGCATTGCGCGCCACCAAGGCCAAAGCAGCCAACCATACAGATGACAAGTCCATGTATGCGTGCCTGACGCGCAAAACAGTCGCACTGGCTGAGGAAGTTGGGTTCGATGTGGAGTTAACTTTGATGAGAATCCCCAGTACTAGGAACATCGGCATTGTGGGCAACAGGAGGAGAGTGGCCGTAACTCAACACTCGAAATCGAGTGACAGAGTGACAAGCTCGTCAGCATCCAATGATGCACTGCCGGTGAAGATCCAAGCCCTGCTAGAACGCGAATGTGCCATGTCAGGTGGTATCGGAGGGGCCGCGAAAACGTGGGTCGACGGAGCACGAAAACTCCAAACAGGCACAGGAAGAGGAAAGATCAATTTGCGTGGGATTCCATGTGCCGGTTGAGACTCTGTCTCTCAGCGTCAGTTGAAGCCATCCACCACATCAGTAACTATGGACTACGACTCCTCGAGAGACTCCTCGAAGCGGGCTGACTAGCTTCATCATCCTCGCCATCGGGTAATGCAACATTAAACAGGGACTCCGCCCATTCGGCAAACGTGTCGATGTCCCAGACAGCATCCTCGGGACTCTTGCCCTTCCGCGAGATCTGACTGGCCCCATTGGTCTTGCCTTTCCCGCCTAAGCGATTCAAGTAGCCGTCAAAAAACGTCTCGTAGATCTGCACCACTTGATCTTCCACCGCTGCAACGAGCGTTTCGCGGGTACGCATGTCGTCGAGATACTGCTCCAGCTTGGCGCGAAGCACAGGGACTTCTTTCTCAATGCAGTTGCGCGTCGCGGATACGGCAAGCTCGAGGGCGCTGTTCTTTATGCTCGCCTTTGCGGCATCTTTGGGTAGATCCTTCGTCATGGCTGCTGCGAAGCCAGCCGTGAAGTCGTTGATCACGGTCCTCAGACGCCCATCCAGCTCCACCTTCGCGTCGAGCATGTTCTCGACCACTCGAGGGAGAAGACCGCCTGTGCTGAACAACTTCATCCAGCTTCGCGGATTGAACAACTCGCCACGTTCACGGATCTCGTAGAACGTGCTCGCAACGCCTGAAAAGTCAAAGGACACGTCTGGCGTCACATATTCAATGTCAAATGCCACAATCTGTGACTTTAGTAAAAGCAGATGTCGCAGAAGGAAGAGCTGGCCATCGGCATGAGACGACCTCGAGCAGATTTGCGTCGATGCATAAACCAGAGACACCGTGGTCTGATGCACGATCTGATGCGCAAGGTCATCAAAGACCGAGGAGTTGACGAGTCGATAGATCCGTGAGAGAAGACGGACCGCCTTAGACAGGGTCGGGTAGCAGTTCTGCAGCGCGGCGCGGCGGGACGCAAGGGTCCATGAGAACGACCCTTCTTCGCCTGAGTCTTCGTCGACAATCTCCGGCATCTTGGGTAGTGGCGTCAATGGGTCGCTGGGTTTCCTTCGGCCGGACAGTGGGGCGACCGAGGTTGGAGGCCTAGATGTGAGTCGAGGATAGTCCAGATCTTCAGCCTTTGGTTTGAAAAGCTCAATTTCTTCCCGTAAAATGGCCTGAGCACGAAATACCAGTCGCGTTTGCGCATCTTCTAACACCGGTTGGATCAGAGCCGAAAAGTCCAGCTGGTTCAAGTCCACAGGGCCGTCTTCCTCCTCATCATACAGATATCTAGTCTGCAGCAGCGTCACCAGCGAACAGAGCTTGGACAACTTGTTTTCATGAATAATCCGTGGCCGCAAGTGATCGTAGAGTGGCTCGCACACCGACTCCAGGAAATCATACAGTCCTCGGTATCCGTGGAACCACTCCGACCAGAGTTCAAATTCATCCACACATATTCCTCGAACATAGCTTATGCTTGCGCGGGCGAATTGCACAAGGTCTTTGGAGCTTGGAGTCTGGCCTATATCTGCTAGTCGTTTCCGGACAATTGGGAGGATCACCCTCGCTCGACAAGAAGCGAAAGTGGTGTGCACTTCGTCCATGAGACTTTGGTATTCGCCTTCCGTGCCGGGTTCGGCATCGGCAGGAGGGTTCGCGCGTCTCTGGATCTCGATACCAAGTTCTTTCATCTCGGCTGCACCGACTCGGAATTTGGCATAGAGTAGAGCAGACATGGTCGTGTCGTTGAGCTGCTTCGCTGCAATCCTGCCAGCAACTTCGGTCGTCGTCTCTCTGACTTCGGCCATGAACGTGTTTCGAACGAGCGTCAGCGCTCGAGTGAGCAGGAGCCTGTATCGAGATCTATATGTCTCGGCCTCCTTGTGATTCGGGTGGGTCTGCATGTAGTCGATACACTCGTCCAGCGTGACGAGCATGTCCGAAAAGTCCTTGCTCCTGACAAACGCTCCCGCGCCGGGAGCGTTGAGTCGCCGTGTAATTCGCTCCAGCGGCTCGTAATACTGGAGGTTATCCGCAATATCTTGGGCAATGGCATCGTCCCTGCGCTGCTCTTCCAGTATATTCGCAGACTGTCTCTGGAACGCCTTAGTCTGCGCGTCGATAGCTTTGAAGGAGGCAGAGATCCCGGAGAGTTCGTCCAATGTCGCAGCCGTGTCGGCGAGGAGGGTGTCGAGCTGACTTCGTGCGGCGTCGAGTTGGTCCAGGTATGGTCTACAGTGTATGTGAGCAAGGAGACCGAGACATAGCTGCTCCAGCAAAGTGAATTGCATACGTACCGGTACTCATCCAGACTGGCGTCTAACAAGACATCATCTAAATCTGTAGACAGCTTGAATAGATCAAGTTCTGTCTCAATACCTTGGAGTCGTGCTAGGGTGGCATCTTGCCCGGGGTTCGGCAGGTCTTGCGTGGCCATGGCTTCAGCGTGCCAGGCTAACAATCAGTGTCCCAGTCCTGTTCCTCTTGACTCATACCCATGGCCAAGGGTAGAGGGATAACTTCAGGTCGAAGCAGACGCGCACATGGGTTTCGCGCTCGAACAGTACAGTTGTCCAAGCCAAGAGGGATATATGGAGTACAGAGCTAGGTGCGGAGTATATTGTACGGGTGCTGCTCAGGTAGTAATTAAACCCAAGGCACCCCCAATACGGAAGAAGGTTCATGCCGCCCTGTGCTCAGCCGTGACTTGGCTGGTCTGGGGTCGAACGTCTCATCTATTTACCTGCTGTTCACAACAGGCCACCTACAACACTTAGGCCCATGCGATCAATTCTGCTCACCTCTGACCGCACATGTGTCGAGGAAAATGCTTCGTGGCTGCTTTTCACCAGCGACGACGTTCTCACGACATCACATTGCCGCCGCCCTTCCATCCTCAGGTCCTGCCACCTGTTCATGATCACTGGGTGGAGAGAACATCCTAACCCTATTGTCGCTCAAGCCAGCCTCCTTCGTCGGTCCCCGTACTCTGGAACCGAAAACCTTCCAACTGACAATAGGTTCTCAATGGCCCCTCAGACCCTGGTCGAATCGCAGGACAGCATTCAACAAGACTTGCGCCCCCAATGCACTGCCAAGTCCCAATTGTTAGCATAAGAAATGTTCTAGTCATGATAGCAGAAAGCTGTGGGGGGACCATCACCTACCAGTGCTCAGGCGTCGAATACTCGCTCGGGTGGTGCGATATCCCATTCCTCGATGGAATAAACACCATGGACGTGGGACAGATATACGAAGTATTGACGCTATCATGACCCGCCCCAGCGGGTAGTTCTCGGTACCCATCCTTTCCCACGAGCTCAATGGCAGATGATCGCACGGCGTCGATACAGTCCTTGTTAAACTGTACGGCGGCACTCCTCCAGATCTGCTTGATATCGACCGTGCAGCTGTTGCTTCCCGCAATAGAAGCGCATTCTTCCTGCACGATCTGGGCCATGCTGTCCAAAATGTCGTTGGAAAGGTGTTCGATGTCGACGCTGAACGTGACTGTTCCGGGGATCGTGCCAGGGGACTGCGGTTCAGAATTGATGACCCCAACGGTGGTCACGCCCTTATTTTCCCAAGCAATGGTATTGATTCGTGAAATCATCTGCGCTGCCGCAAGGAGAGCGTCGGCTCGTCGATCGATCGGCGTGGTGCCACAGTGCTGGCATCGCCCGTTCACAGTCACCATAAGCCAAGTCATTCCCTGGACTCCGGTCACTACGCCGACGGATTTGGACTCGTCCTCCAGCAAGGGCCCTTGTTCGATATGGTATTCGAAATGGGCTGAGAGCGGGTTTGCTGTGTGAGTGGCCTTGACAGGGCCAAGGTATCCGATATTGGTGAGTTCGTCTTGGAAACGCAAGCCGTCCGAGTCGATGTGGTTGTACGCGTCTTCCAACGACACTTTACCTGCCCACACGGCACTGGATAACATGCCCGTGTTGAAACGGGCACCTTCTTCGTTCGTCCAGTTTATTACTGCGATCGGGGCATAGGTGGTGTACTCGTTCTCGTGCAAGACTTTCAAGACCTCGATCCCTGCTTGGACCCCTAGGATGCCGTCGTACCGGCCGCCGGCGGGCTGTGTGTCCAGATGGGATCCGATTCCGATCGGAGCAATGTCGTTGTTTTGGCCCGGTCGGACGGCGAAGAGATTGCCCATTTCATCGATCTTGACCGTCGCCCCGTACTGCTGCACCGTGTCGACGAACCAGTCGCGGACGGCCTTGTCTTCTTGGGTGAGAGTCAGGCGTCGGACCCCGCCTTCAGGTGTACCACCCCACTGTGCGGTGTGGTGCAGAGTGTCCCATAGCCTCTGCTGGTTGACGGTCAGGGTCGAAGCAGAGTAGAGTCGTGTCTTCGCGGTGAAGGACCGGACTGGAAGAAGGCCTGGGTGGCATTGTCTTCTGATGTACCCTCTGGAAGCATGGCTGGACGACGCCACAAGGGTGTGGTGGAAGACTGCAAAGGTGGACCGGATTGGATTCATCGTCTTCGGCTTCATCGAGCTGGGAATGCGCATTATGGCACAAATTGAACACCTCTACAGCACCACTTCCCTTTATACTGTCTGCTGTCTGTGGGCCCATTGTGGTATGTACCTCTTACATGGCACAGCAGATCAAGTCACTCCACTGTATTCAGCGCTGCCGACTAGTATCAGGCGTATATCCATCTCTGACAACGAAGCAGATCTATTGACTTCGTACAGTGAAGGATACTGTACGTGGACTTCCCTTTGCGGAAGGGCATCGGGGATCTCGGTGAGTCGTGGTTGGCTGCAGATACAGTGCCGATGTCCACTTGACTAGGATTTAGTCTGAGCCCCAGAGATACAGTGCCGAGACACAACATCCATAGCAATTGGGACTTCCGGCCAAGCTCCGTATACTATTCCGACAGTATACCCAGTAGGAGCCCAGTTATCTACACTCGTCATGAACGGTACCTAACCCTTTTCCGCATAGTTGACTGATACAGTGCCGAAGCAGACAGGAAGATCAACATGGGTCAGGGTCAGATGCCTTGTGACTCGATAGAGGACATGCCATGGGAAGTGAGATGATGGGGAGATACCTCTCCAGCATCACTACCCGGTCGTCGATGCTGCCGTCTATAAAAGGGCGACTGGCTCCATGTGCCTCCCGAGCATTCAACACCAACGAGTCAAGCACAGCAAGGCCAGCCATATTGTTACATACATCATCTGACAAGTGACCACCACGACCACCACGACCACCACGACCAGCCTCAGGATGAAGCTCAAGAGAGCAGACTTGCGCCTCAATCACCCTTTCATCCAGAATTTGATTGCTGGGTAAACGAAGCGTATTCCCGTGGCCCTCAGGGTTGAGTACTAACGTCGCGGCCTAGGTTGATGCTCCTCTGTCTCCCTGGCATCTACCTAGCTCTGACAGGTCTCGGGGCCGGTGGAGGAAAGCCGTCATCTCAGGCCGTGGCTGCGAATGTGAACGCCATCCTGTATGGCGTCTTCTTCGTGACTGGGTGGTTTGCCGGCTCGGTGATGAATCTCATCGGTCCCAACTATACGGTCTTCCTCGGGTCCATTGGCTATAGTCTATACACAGGTGAGTCGTCGCACTGGAGGCTGGACTGCTGGTCTTTCTCTCAACTCACGTTGCTTGCAGGTGGTCTGTGGTACTTTGATCGAACTGGAAACTCCTGGCTGGCATACCTGGGTGGAGGCATTGAAGGGGTGTCTGCTGCACTTCTATGGGCGTCTGCCGGTGCGATCGCGTACTCGTATGCCGAAGAGAAGGACAAGGCTTTGTTCATGACGATCCAATGGTGCATGTGTGAAGGTGAGCAGCATTCGAGCGTGGATTGGTCCAGCTTTTGCTTCTTCGATGGACGATTGACATGATACAGGTGGCTCGACCATTGCTGCTCTGGTGGCCCTCGGCATCAACATGCACAGCTCACGGCAAGATGCCGGTGCCCCGACTCCGGTTTACATCGTGTTTGTTGTCATCCAGGTGTTCGCCATGGTTCTGGCTCTCACGCTGCTTGTGCGGCCGGCCAAGGTCGTACGCAGCGACGGCACCAAGATTGCCATCTTCAAGCAGCCCACGGTGAAAAGCGAGCTGGTCGGGATTCTCGAGATGATCAAAGACTACAAGTTCATGATGCTGCTCCCCGCCATCTTTGTCGCCGAAATGGCGTTGGCCCTCCAGAGCTCCCTCAACGGCTACTACTTCAACCTCCGCACTCGGTCGCTCAACAACGTCATGTTCAACTTCATCCAGCTGCCGGCGAGCTTTGGCATGACCTACATCCTGGACAATCCTCGGTTCGGTCGGCGGAAGACGAGAGCACTAATCGGCATCTCTGTGATGAGCGCCATCACGCTGGCCATTTGTGCCGCCGAGGCTGCCTGGCTCGCTGAACACCATCTGCATCGCCACGAAGCAGGCCCATCCACCGATTGGACCGATTCTGCATTTGCCGGAGCGTTTGTTATCTATGTAATCTACGGAAGTGTTTACAGGTGAGTCGAGCGGGCTGGGCCAACCAGCCAACCGTCTTTCGTCGAAAGCGTCCGAGTCTGACATTGTGAATATTGCGAATAGCATATACCAAATAGCAACACAGTACGTGATCTGCGCCTTGACCAACGATCCGGAGAAGCTGGCACGACGAGCGTCGTGCTTCCGAGGAACAACCGCGCTGGGCATGATGTTCAGCTTCATCATCGACGGCAATGGAGGGACGTATATCACCCAGCTGTCTTTCCAGTTTGCGTGCTACTTTGTCGGCATCCTCTTTCTGTACGCGGTCACCATCTTCTACGTGAGTGACACGAACTATTTCCACGAGGACACGGTCATTGTGCCCAAGCATGTCGAGGACGATGCCCGGCTGGAAGGGAGAATTGCGGTGGAGAGCGGCAGTGTGGACGGAACTGAAACGGTGATGCCTGAGAAGAGCATGGCTTAGGACAAGGGTACACCAGTAGTAAGTAATTCGACAACTATAGACAACTATAGAGTGGTAGTGCCTGTAGGTGCCTGGAGACATATCAGCACTGGAGTATAAAGGAGATCTTCAGCTCTACCGACTAGGTGCCGGGCACCCGATTCCCAATATCCCCTGGCGGTTTCCCTAGTAGACATCCCAGTGGATGCTAAGTCCTATATCTAGAGACAGGGGTGGCTCCGGGTCGTCGACGGGAAAGGACCGCCTTGAACAACAACCTCCCAAACCCTCCTCACCCTTGGGTGCCGGCCCCTGCTCTCACGTGCCTTATCCTAAGGCCCAAGGCTTAAAGCGCGGCTCCCACCCTCCCCACGCGGCGATAAGCATCCCACTTGACATAAATACAGTACAGTAGATAACTGCAAGAAGTCGCTGACTTCGTGTTCTGCGTGACTGTCATAGACCACTAGACACTATCGCTGCCTCAGCTCGAAAGGATAAAGGTCGGAGGTCGCAGGTTACAGGTCGCAGGTACTTGTCACCCTTGGATCTTGGATTCGAATGCTCCCGCACTCGAGCTCGCACTCGCACTCGCCCTCGCGCCCTCGCCAGCCGCCGCCGTCGCGAGGATCCAAACTCGGCTACTATCGGGCCTCGATTGCCTGTGTGGGCTGCCGCCGAAGCAAGACGCGATGTCTCCTCACGCCCAGCAGAGAGCAGGACAGCTGTCTGAACTGTCGACGGAAGAACCAGCCCTGCGCTTTCCTGACCGTGGATAAGAAGCCGCCGGATTGGGTTCGGTCCAAGGGCAGGCCGACCAGATCAGAGTCCACATCCGCGTCCGAGTCCGAGTCCTCAGCATCCTCACAACTCTCAGTGTCGCCGTCTACCACTGCCTTGAATGTGCCCCGGGACTATCCTGGCAGTGGCGACACTGACGCGCAAGCAAGCCAGCAGCAGCGCAAGCAACGCAACTTACTAGTACCCTGGGATGGGAATGTGCATGTGCCAGAATTCTCCTTCGGAACGCTGCCAACTCCCACGCCAGAGGCTCATGCCGACCTTGAAGGCTGGGTCTATGGGAATCTGGACTCGTTCGTCTCCCTCGATCATATGGGTAATACTAATGCCGGTCCCACCATACCACAATATTCCGGGCTGAGCCCGAGCCCGGGCTTGGGATGGGATATCAATGCCCTGCCCCTAGAATATCCATACAACCCATACCCGCTCGAAACCGGTCAATTCTATCCCGCTTTCGATCCTGCTGCCTTGGCCCGGTTGGCCCCATACGGTGATGACGGATACTCCTATCAGATCTCCGGTGCAGGCACATGACTTCAGAGTCACGAAAGACTTGGTACTTAGGCGAGAGCCGCGGAGATCAGATCCATGAGAGAGTATGGAGTCGCTCGTCCATCATAGGGTGCCCTTCGAAGCGGCTCATCTATACGTGCAGGAGGAGATGGCAGAAATGGACATGTTAACAAGAAGGCCGTTCAAGAACAAAGTTACAAGATCCACCGGTCGGTTAGATACGATACGACAAGGAGGGACATCAGCAGGAACGAGCCCCCGGCCTTCGCATGGGGAGGAGGCGCATTTTATAGGCCGAGGGGGTGTTCAAAAGGCTAGGAATGAAGGTCAAAGGGACAGGATAGGCCATCCGCTCGAAGTCCAGGAAATTGGGAACTGGTTTGCCGACCATCGCGGTACTGGGCTGGTGCATGAGAAGGAGCCTCAGCCTTTGTCGAACAGAGAAGAGGAGTGCGGTGGGTGAGTTGAAGGCCCTTAGCCTGGAAGCCGTCGTGGCGGGAATCTATGTGAATTATTCAGAAGGTTGTTCCAAACACTGGGGTTTCCCTGTCTTTTCCACGTAGAGCTAATAGTGGAAGGAGAGTGAGGGTAGGAAGTAGGAAGTATGTAGGAAGTGCGTGCTGGTCTATGTACATACCGGCATATGTGATAATAGCGGCGCAGGTAAAAGAATTCTGCCGTCCATACAAGTTCTAGGCGGTCAGAGCCACAGAGAGGCTCACGTAGAAACATGACGACACTCGACACCTCCGCAACTTCAACCTAAAGTCCAGCTCCTGGGATTTATCCTCGAAGACTCGTCAAAGCATGTGCCAGACGTGGCAATAGCACGTACAGACTGCCAACATGTCGTCCAAAATCATGCCTCCTTCAGGTCTTCGCTCTTGGGCCCGCTCGCGACGAAGCTATATCGCCCGACCACGATGGAGGCCTCATCTCCCATCCCGGAGACAGTTATCCTCCAAACCCACGAGCATTTCCACTGCACATCAAGTATGGAAGCGGCCGTCTTCTGCCGTCCTTGCCGCAGCAGCCACCGTTGCTTTACTCTACAGCACTGTGCAACTGAACGCAGCCGAAGCGGAAGCCCCGGCCCCAGACCCTCCGGAGATGATCATCGAGAAGTCAAAGAGGAAGAAAGGTGCTTCTAAGGAAGAAAATCGAGACATCATCAGCTCGCAGCACCTGCAAGTCAAAAAGAGCTGGGAAAATCCGGGAGTCTACGCGTGGGGATCGAACACTGGCAAGGTGGCCGCCCCGGATTCAGACGAGGCTTACATCAAGACGCCGCAGCGGATTTCCTTCTTCGACGACCATCTACTTCGAGATCTCAAATTGGACCGAAACTTCGGCGCCGCCGTGCTTGAAAATGGAGACCTTGTACAATGGGGAAAAGGGTATTCAGAGGACGTGGTCCAACCGACAGTCACTCTGAAAGGGAAAGATCTCCAGTCGATAGCAATCTCACGGGATCGCGTCATCGGCCTGGCGAAGAATGGGATTGTCTACTCCGTCCCAGTCTCCAAAGCAGACCAAGAGGATGGACCCAAGCCCAGCGAGACGTCTTGGATTCCATTTTGGAGCGGGACGTCTCCAATCAGCTATAGAAGACTAAAGCCACAAAACTTAGGGATAGCCGAGAAAGTCACGGCCATCAGTGGTGGCCTGGAGCATGTTCTACTGCTCACAAATTCTGGTCGGGTATTTTCTGCTGCGTCTAGCACCGAGGCCTATCCAAGTCAAGGACAACTGGGCGTTCCTGGCTTGACGTGGCTCACCCGGCCTGCTGGATCTTACGACATGTGTCACGAACTCACTACACTAAAAGGCTTCAACATTGAGAAGGTGGCAGCTGGAGATGCGCATTCTCTCGTACTTGACAAAGAAGGAAGAGTGTTCGCATTTGGCGACAACTCGTTCGGCCAACTAGGGTTCGAGTCTAATCCTGGATCCCGATATATTGACATGCCGTCCTTGCTGCCCATCAACAAGCTCTATCAAGGCACCAATCAAGTGCCTAAAGTCACCGGAATCTCCGCAGGAGGCCAGAACAGCTTCTTCACGATCGACGCCACTCGTGTTGCAGGCCCGTCCGAGGCCCCATCCGACATTCGCACCCTTGGCCGTGTAACAGCGGATACATGGGCATGCGGGCAAGGGCTCAAGGGCTCTCTGGGAAACGGAAAATGGACTCATCTGCAAGACCAACTCACGAAAGTTCCAGGTCTTAGCGGACTTTTTGAGTACGACGAGAAGAAGAAGGCTGTCATTCCTATCCGCATAGCTCAAATCTCAGTCGGCTCCACGCATGCTTCTGCCGTGATGGACAATGTCACCTACCTCAATGCTAGCGAAAGAAGCTCCGAAAACGACACGAACTGGGGTGCCGATGTGGTTTGGTGGGGCGGTAACGAATTCTATCAGCTTGGAACTGGGAAGAGAAACAATGTGGCCACTCCGCAGTATATCCGACCATTAGATATGGCTTCGGAGATTGAGGCCGGCAGAAAAGACCAGCATCGCCTCCACCTAACGCCCAAGCACAAGATCCAGGTGAAGGGGCGCAATGTTGCTGTGGAGCAGAGGGTTGAATGTGGCCGAAATGTGACCGCAGTCTATTCTGCCGTGTGAATCAGTCATTACTGTGACTGCCCACATTTGCCACTGCTCGTGCCACTCTTCACCTGGTATGAGCAGGACAGATGACTTGCTCTGTCAGGGGTCCACCAAGGATGGAAGTTTCGAGCTGTTGAGCTAAGCGACTCAAACTTCACTCTTGTCTGAGACAGTCTCAAGCTTCAAGAGCAATATTTGTCTTGACCTATTGCTTCTTATAATAAGCCGATCTGTCGCGCCAGCGGCCTTTTCGAAGCTCCATACACCAACCATCATTGCTTGCCCCGATAGCACGTTAGGGCATCGTATATGATGGATGCATCATTGTGATCGAGATTCGTCGCCGAGGCTGCAGGCTACAGATGGGAATCAAGCACAAATCGTGTTTGGCTATATGATGAAGGAGACACTGTAAGGATACATGGGTACGAGAGAGCAACGAAGCACATGTGGGAGACGAGCGATCTAAATCCTGATAAAGAGACGGCAAGGTGCAAATCATCCAAAAGGTGCACACACGCATGGAGTACATGTCGTCGAGACTGGGCAAAGTTTTCCGTTCACAGAGCAGGCACGAATATTGTCCTTTTCTTCTGTATAAAAGTCATCATGGGGAGATTGAAAAAAAACGGCAAACGTTGAGGGAATCGAGGATACCATACGGAGTATATATTGACATGATGAATTCATCTCATCTCATCTGATCTCAATTCGCTTCATTCCATCTCATCAGCCAGGGAGGAGCGTGAGCCTGCCTTGCCTGCCTTGCCTTGCCTACCCGCCCAGCCCAGCCCCAGTCCAGCCGCTGGCATGCCCATGATTGCTAGTCGGAGGAGACGATCATTGTCATTGAATCCAGATACGGTACTGGTACTAGTTCGAGCAGAGCAGTCTTGTTCTAGCGGACGCAGCCAACACAGCCCGCAGCCCACAGCGCACATGAGAGGCACAACCATCACGTTACAGGAGGCTAAGGCTTGGTTTATCATGCATCATGGCATTCTCATCTATATAATAAATGACTAGACTGTAAACCAGGCAGTGCAAGCCGCCCGTCCATCCTGCGTGGCTGAATCTGGTGGGCTTTGCTCTGCTTCATCATGCAAGATCCCGATTGCAGATCCGTGGTCTCAGATTCCATGATCCTGTGCGTATGCGTGTGGATGCCCATGTGTCAAAGCTTACACCTGCTACCTCGCAATGCAATGCATGCTCCATAAGTGGTTGTTTTTTTGTACATCCCGACCTGGCTCAGAACGCCACTCCCACCCCATGCCATGCCATGCCCATGCCAGATTGTAGATTGTACTGTACAATACCCATCCTTCACCTGCAAACACATTTACCTTTTCTATTATGCATAGCGAAACGGTGCTGGGGCCGTGTCAGTACAGAGAAGGGCGCGGTGGAGAGAATTGGGCGATTTTAGGCACTTACCACTTCCATACTGTCCTTGCGTCACGCCAGGAGGAGCAATGTTGTAGCCTTGCGGCGGCATCGCTACAGGTTGATGTTGATGTGGCTGATATGGTGCCCAACTGGTGGCCGGGACTGGTGCTGGTGGAGGATGATGCTGCCCACCAACTGCTGCCGGAGGAGGAAGGTGAACGTCTCTAATAAGTTCTACCATCTTGGCTGCGTCCAGTCGGGCGTCGACATATGTTGATGCCTTGGGGAGTATGCTAAGGAGATAGGCGATTTGAGGAGGTAATGGAGGAGGCACGGGGAACGGCGGCAGTCCGGCGGGAGGGTTGTTGGCTTGACGTTGTTGCTGTTGTTGATTCATCCGACGGCCGGCAGCTCCTTTGAGAGGTGATTCGCCCCGTGCTATTTTCCGGGGACCAACATCGTCGAACTCATCGGGGAAGGGCCGCTTGGGAGAACTGGTAGTTATGGAGTCAACCACCTTTTGAATAGGTGAGTTGATGGGCTCTGGGACCTCCACTGATGGCACCACCGTGCCTTGACGAGGCCGAATCTGCTGCAAGGAGATGACTGGGTGGACGTTGATGGTGTCGAAAGCTGGTGTGCTATACCGGCTGGAAAATAGCTTGAGAGTGGGATCTTCCGGAAAGTGTTTCCGCATCCTGTCCTCAAGAGCCTGGAGTTGGGCCAATTCTCCATACTTGGATTCATAGTCATGAAGATATGCAAACAGTGGTTTGGCCTTTGCAGTGTGCTCTGCATCGTCATGGGCGAGGAGTCTCTTGACTGTCGTCTCGAACACAGCTCGTGCGTTTGTGACGTCGTTGATCTCGAACAAATGCTTGATATACTGCAAAGGAAGGTAGTCATCCTCCGGGAAGAGCTTCATACCCCGGTCTAGGATCTTGGTCCCGGTCGGGTCGCGGTAGCATTGCCACTCAATCCTTGCCGACTCCACGTAGAAGTCGCTCGTGAGTTTCCCTCGCTTGCGAGCCTCTCCGAACACGGCACGGAAGCCACTTGGGCCACGGTCAGTAGGCAACCCTTTCCCTTGCACTCTTCGGGTCGCGCGCATCAAAGCAATCCACACGTGTGAAATCATGCGGCTAAGCAGACTTGTCTGCACGTGAGCCGCTTTCTTGATGTTCTCGATTTCGTTGTCGAGCATGGCCTTCTTTGCAGTCACATTGGCGGCATTGATTTCGTCTTCGCCAGACCCACTACCATCTCCATTCGTGGTAGCTGCTAGTTCTGCGTTTTGAATGTCTTGCTTTTCTCGTGCAGACCCTTTCTTGATCAATTCATACAGGGCATCCAGGACTCTGTCGTATGGTTCTCGTATCTTCTTCATCCTCTCTTTGGCGCCTGGGTCGTTTCCTTCGTCGTTCTGCGTGGATGACTCAATGCGATCGGCGAGTTTGAAGGCGAGTAAAGGTGATTCGGGATTGGATGCAATGCCTTGGTTGAGCAGCTTGACACCGTCGCTGTCGAGACCGTTGGCAAAACAGAATTCTACGGCATCATACCAAATCTCCGGCCAGAATTGGAGCGCCATCAGAGCTTGTTTGTAGGTGAACAAGATTCGACTCCGTAACAGCGCAAGATCCTCATCTTTGAGCACGAGATTGTCCTCTTTTTCCCAGTCAATCCACTGCTTCCAGAGACTGACTTGCTTCATGTAATCGTCGTGGGCTTGGAATCCAGGCGAGGGCGGTAACCGTGGCCTCGAGGTCCGCCTCAGGTCCTTGGTTAAGTTCTGCAACTGCGTATATGCTGTTCTGGCTGTCATATAGACGGGGGACTTCTCTTGGAGATATTTCCGGCCCTAAGGTCACTGTTAGCTCAATGCCGTGGGAAGCTGATTATGACCGCACATACATTGATCTTGCTCAGGCCCGTCTCGAATGCATCGTACTCTTTCCATAGGGTGGTCGTCGCCGCGGTGGGCACCGCAATGGCTTTCTGGTAAGCTTCTCGTAGAGTATCGACCTTAGCCCCGTCTTGCCAGCCTGTGCCCCCCACGGTCCCTGGACCAGTCTTCAAGAAGTGGATGTAGTCTTGCCAGAGGCTTCCGGAATCCTTGTCCATGCCGATAGTCTTGAGAGCGAAGCTGAAGGCGTCATTGATAATATTGTAAGATCGGGCAATATCGCCCGTCTGCATACTGTTGCGACGGCGTACATAGTTGATGTATAAGGACCATAGCTGCACATCCAGGACTTCGAGGAGAGACCGGTTGAAAAGGGTCTCCATGGCGCGCATCCTGTCGTGTTCTTCCTCCCACCTCACGTAAGCACACCATTGTTCAGCCTACGGTTTCTGTCAGTATGGGACACAGGACCAAAGGCAAGCACAGACACGTACAGCAAAGGGGAACACAGAAAGATACTGCTCGTATACCCGGCGGACTTCATCTTGTTTGTGTCGACTTTTGAATTCGTGAATCAGTTCGAGATATGCATCGATGTCTCCACGTGGGTCGTCTTTGATGCGATCTTCCAAGATACCAACCACGTCATGAGCTAGTCGAGACTTGGGCAAGCCTGGAGCGACAGCACCGTTCACAGGAGAGCGAGGCGGATCAGGCTGAGGTGGAACATTAGAGGCAGTTTGAACAGGTGTGGCGGTTGCAGTACGTGGTGCATCAACACCAACGGCAAGAGTGGAAGAAGAAATGTCAGCGGGACTACCAGTTGCCTGGACAGGAGCAGGAGTGATTCCATTTTCTTGTTCTGGTGACTGGGAAGTTCTATCAAACGGGCTTGCAGGGGCAGGTGTAGAGACATCGAAATCCAAGCCAACGGCTGGATCATAGACATCAACCTCGTCTTTTCCATCCGGGGTCCCTTCTTCATCTTCAGGGTCATCATCAACTTCAAAGCCGCCGACGATACGGGGTTGGGGTTGGGGTTGGGCCTGCGCAGGGGTGGATGCGGAAGAATGCGTCAGGTCTGGTGCTGCGCCTTGGGGGGACAGTTGGCTGACGGGCTGCGGAGAAAACGGTTGAAGAGTAGACTGAGTTGTAGATAGTATTGGGTCACGCGAAGTATCGACAGACTCCATTTCTGATGCCCCCAGCGGCTGTGTCAAATGTACATCCGAGTAGTCGGTCATAGCCGCAATGTTGTTGAAATCAAACTGAGGTGACCGCGCCGCCTGGCCAACATTCGACGGCGATAGGGAATCTTGATCTGGGCTTGCCATATTGAATCCTGCCTGGGCCTTCGAACAGGAAGTATAGGAGGAAGAAGAGAGCTCAACGAGGAGATCTTGTCTGTCGAGATTAGTGTCAACTTCTGTTGTGACTGCTGGGGTGGTGATTCGAGACTAACCAGGAATGTTCAAATAGCTAGAAGGCGTACGCGCAGAGACAATTCATGACATATCGGGCGAGAAGGAGTTGGCTGGAGGGAGGAATCGACGTGATATCTAGTATCACTCAGGTTTGGTAGAAAGTGAAATCATAATCACGGTGATTGTCTGAATGCCGGAGAAGATGGAAGATGGAACACAGGCAAGGATTTGCAGGGAATGCCAGTGCCGGTGAGTCATCACGTGACTATGGATCAACTCGCCAAGGACATCAAGGTGCAGCGCATCCGGACTACGTACTACTCCGTACTCCGTACTCCATATTCCGGAGTTAATAAGACATACTCCGCACTATTTATACGGTGTAGTACTAGGACCTGTGTGGACTGAACAACGCAACCATGGTACGGAGGCGCATACCGGCAAGAAAGCAAACCACTTTATCCGTACTCCGACCGAATGGAACGGAACGCGCGCGACTACGCGCTGTGTCCAAATCATTTAAACCACCACCGCGTCCTTTATATCTCTCTACTGCCGCATTTAAATCCTCCACGACTGTCCACTCTAGGTTCCCACGGAGACGAAGACGAAGACGGTCTCATTCACAGGAACATAAGAATCTTCCAATCTGCACTTTGCACTTTACACAATATCTCACACCCCAACTTGCATTCTTTATCTCGTCACGCTTGTCGCGAAGATGTCCGTGGTCTCGCTGCTTGGGGTCAAAGTCCTTAACAACCCTGCCCCATTCACGGCACCGTATGAATTCGAGATCACATTTGAATGCCTCGAGCAGTTACGGGAAGGTATGCGTCCAGTCTACCTCGTGTAATGACTTCTATTATGAGAGTGACTGACCTGTCTAACTAGACCTCGAATGGAAACTGACCTACGTTGGATCCGCTACATCGGCCGAGCATGACCAAGAGCTCGACTCCCTACTTGTCGGTCCTATCCCGATCGGCGTGAATAAGTTCATCTTTGAGGCCGACCCACCCAATATTTCCCGTCTCCCACCTTCGGAAATCATTGGAGTGACGGTGATTCTCTTGACCTGCTCTTATGACGGGCGAGAGTTTGTACGAGTTGGGTACTACGTCAACAACGAGTATGACAGCGAGGAGTTGAATGCTGAGCCACCGGCGAAGCCCATCTTCGAACGGATCAGACGGAATGTCCTTGCAGAGAAGCCTAGAGTGACAAGATTCGCCATCAAGTGGTATGTCATGATTTTATCAACGTGCGCCTCCTTTCTCCTGCTCATACACTTCATAGGGACTCGGAGGAATCTGCTCCAGCCGAATACCCACCTGAACAACCAGAAGCCGATACCTTGGATGATGACGGCGCGGCATATGGCGCAGAAGAGGCAGAGTTGCAGGCTGCCTTAGAGAAGGAATTAGAGGAGGTGGAGACTGCGACCCAGAAAGCACCAAATGGCGACCAAGAAATGACTGAGGAAGTCAGTAAGCCCAAAGATGAAGAGGACGACGCCAGTGACGTCGGCAGCGAGGATCTAGAAGAAGAGAGTAGTGAGAGTGAGGACGATGAGGAAGAGGATGAGGGTGCTGATGGCGAGGATGCTGAGATGGTCGATGGCGATGAAAAACCCGCTGCGTCAGCAGGCACCAACGGCGAACAGAAGGCGACGGAGCCACAGCCAGAGGTCATGGTCCACTAGAGACAGGACTCTACTCGTCGGATCAAAGCAAGGCGTCGGGAGTCAATGGGGTGGGCTTACTGTGGAACGAGATTATGGAATGCAATGAAAACAGACGAGTGATGATTGGGGACAACTCTTTTTCACACTTGATAACACTTTTGCCGTGATGCTGTGCGTGCCTTGCGGAACTAGTCTGCCATGGCCAAATATGCAGTGGTCCTTTATGTGTTGAACATGCAAGGGCATGTTGAACAAAGTAAGCAGAACCCGGCTAAAAGACGATATCTACTGAGGAAACAAGACATGCATTCAATATGCTTCATTCTGTAACTGAGCTAAACTAAAGAAGAAAGACCATCCAGCCAGCTGTTGATGGAGCAAATGCTGTAGGATGGTTGACAATCGACGAGCAGGCTCACTAAGCCACCCGATCTCGGCATGGATGAGCTTGCCATCGATAGTACTTTTTTTTTTGTGAGTTGGGTTTTGTGGTGCAAGAATCGACGCTGCAAACTGCAATGGGTAGATGGCCCGTTGTGATAGGACCTCGTCTTTTGGTTCGAAGCAGAGACTTCAACTGCTGTAAGACCAAGTCCGAGATTGTGCCTGAGGTTCACTGATGGCTAGAGCACCAGAGGCGATGCGGACTGTACTCGGAACAAAGGGAAAAGAAAATTGATGATGCTGGGCCTGTCCTGTTGCCTGAGTTGTTGTGCCGCAGCGTGCCAGAATGGAAGTCTTTGGCAATGACCGTGCTCGCTCAGATGTACCACATCGCAAAGGCAATGCCGTGGCTGTTCCAGAGCGGCAACAACGGCTTGACTTCCGAATCAGAAGGTTCCGAGCTGCGACTTGGGGCGAGCTGCTTGAACCCTGCACCACCTTGAGGACCTTCAGTGGAAGGGGTATCTTCGTGAGCTTTTGCACGGTTGGACGCCAAATGCGCATAGTAGACTGCTGGATGCAGAGACACAGATGTGGTTGAGCGCATATACTGGTAGCAATGCTCGTAGATCATATTCTGCAGAGCCTCGGGGCGGTGGTTTGCATCATCGTGGAGGACAGTGTAGTGGACTGGTCGAGACGTGCCCTGAAGTGCAATGTGAGAGTAGAGGAAGAAATCCCACTCATTCGGCATTGTCACATCTTTCTCGATAAGACAGCCCGGTAGTGGGTTGCCCTTGGGATCCGCACCAGCTCCGGTCGGGAATGCACGAACATGGTGACGCTTTGATGCCACGACCACTGTGATCTTTCCCTCCCACTTTCTCCCGGAACAAGTGTTAAGGACGTCTTTGATGTGAGGGATCTCCTGATTAAGCACATGGGCGAACTGTCCCTCAGACACGCCATCACGGATGTAGTAGACCTGTACAGGATCTCTTCCACCGCCAACTTGTTCTTTCCAGGCCTTGAGGAGCGGGGTCAGCATATTTCGGATGTTGGCTTCAGAGATCATCTCAACACGATGGCCGTTGGTCTGACATGCAGCCGCGTAGCGTCCTGCAAAGCGATCGAACGAGACAGTGAGAGCCGCCATCGACGCTTGTTGACTGCCAGGCGAGGCATGGGAAACATCGGCGCCAATGATCATTGTTGGGGCTGTGAATGACTTGAACCCGCTGCTAGGAGCAGGTATAGCTTGTGCAGTAGCGCCACCCAACTTCGCATTGACCTTCATAAGCACGTTGGAGTAGTATTGAGGATTTCCCTTCAATACCTGCTGGACTTGCATCACCTGCGAGACGACACCAAAGCGACAGTCGCAAGACTTCTTGATGCGCAGATAGTGGAAGGCTTGCTTGTCTTGAACCAAGAAGATCATTAGCTGAGGCTTTCGTTGGAAATGATTGCCGGTCTCCTGGTGAAGTTCCTCGACACCTTTGCCTGCATCTTTCGAGAGCATCTTGATGTATGGCGGTCTGTTCGTGACAGCGCCACCATGATTGCGATATGCTCTAGCAAAATCGAGGCAGAACTTGTCAATGGCAGCCTTGTCCGGCTTGATCCTTCCAGGAAATAGTCCAACACCCCATGAGACCAGTTCCTGAGGGTTGCCAGTGAGAAAACGCTTCCCTTTCAGGTCCCAGCGACCTCTGGTACCTGGGTTCTCGATCTTGTTGTTGCCAAACTTGATGCTTGGTGCTGGCAGGATACGGGCACTGGTTTTGATAGGCTCGCCGTTCATCCGGAGACCGTATTTCGTAAGGTATGGGTCGTTGCTCCAGTTCAGCCATGATTTGCCTTCATTGATTGCGGCAAGTCTCGTCTGCGGTGGCGAGACAGCAAACTTGATCATGTTTGCAGTTTGGAATTCATCCAGCTTGGCTGGGAAGCGTTGACCATTGGAAATGTGCAGAAACTCCATAGGATATTTGACGCCTTTCTTCGTCATCTCAACCAGGGGAAGACCCGGGTATTGTAAGGCCATATTGTACTTCCGCTTGAAGTATTGGGCGATGGTAACCATTTCTCCAGTACCTTGTTTGGTCTTTGGATCCTTCCACTCGATCTTCTCCTCGTTGGCATTGTTGACATCAAAACGGTAGATCTTCCATTCTTTGTTCGGAAGAGGATTGCCAGCATACTGAGCAGTCACAACAATGTTCTTGAAATCCTTTTCGATGGCCTTTTGTGTCAAGCTCGCGGTCTTGGAACCATTGGATCTGGTAGGCGTCATCATCTTGATGATAGCAGAGACATCATTGATCTCCCTATTCTTGGTGATGATGGCAGCGGTCAGGGAGGTCGGTTTCCAGAAGCAGGTGTTGGCAACGTCGAGATTGATGATGAGCTTCTTGCCCTCGGCGAGTCGCATGGATTGGTAGATTCCACGCCAGACTTCAATTCCGCCCCCAAGATCCTTTCGCTCGCCTTGACGCTTGAAAATCGAACGACGAACCGAGAGAAATTGGCTGGACGATGACGGCCCCTCACGTAGGAGGTGGTCCATGAAGTTGATCGCCTCAGCAACCGGAACGCCAAACTCAATTCTGCCATCGAGGTATTGCTGAACAATACTCATGTCCATCTCGCGGGTCTTCTTGATGTGCAGACGGAATGAATTCTTGTCACCGCGTGAAGGACGACCTTCTTCCTTGTCCAGGTCGACCATCATACGAAGTTCGCCGCCATGATCACGAAGCGACCAAGCCAGACGATTGCCATCGTAGATCATAGCAGGCCCAGTGGCTTCCTTGCGAACCTTCGAGTCCCAGACCTTACGCTGTACAACGCGCTTCTCAGCACCAGTGCCGATGATGACGTCGTATTGATAGACTTTGACGGTTGGATACTGGGTGACAGCATAGGCATTGACGGCGACTTGAGCGGCACTGCCACTGTTGTTGAATCCTGGACGCTTCTTGAATTGGGTGGGGAGTTGGTACTGGTAACCGTCAGTGCCTGGGGCAAGAATGTTCCGAATGTACGGGATCATCATGGGAGAAGAGTTTGAATCCATGGTTATCGACTCGAGAAGGTGCAGATAGACAATGGAGAATAGACAATGGAGAATTGGGGGGGGGAGCAAAGGAGGGTATAAATACCCGTCGAAGACCTTGCGCATGGTGAATTGGATTGTTTGTTAAGCAAAGAGTGGGAATTGCTCAAACATGAGCAGGTTTGAAGGTGCGCCGGTGTGGGAGCATGAAACAAGCATTGAAGGCAAACAAGTGGCTTGGAGTCCTAGAATCGCTTCCAGGAGGGCGGGGGAAGGGTGAAAGGATGTAGCAGAGTCCATCGACAAGAATGGGCCGAAGGCAAAAGATGGGGAAATGTGATTGTGTGGAATTGAAGGACAGCGAATTCAATGGTAGCAAAGCGGAGCAGTAGCAGATTGACTGCCCGCGTCACGTCAGGGAATGCACTTACCAACTGGTCAATGTTGTAGAACGAGGCCGGCAAGTCCAGGTTTCGGAGCTGGTCACTGTATCTGGGCTGCTGATCTCTAGCGGGGTCGCCGGGCCGGACTGGTGCTTGCTGCACTGCAAGGCCTGCCGGTTGGGTCTGTTGAGCTGGGCCTCCAGACTGACTGCTTCGTCGACTGGCAGCTTGAGAAGCCTGAGCTGCAAATCCACCCTGTGGAGTGATTGGAGAGCCACGACCAGAGCCCGCAGGAGGAGCATTGGAGTCTTGACGACCATGCGAGCCTTGACCGGAAGCCGAAGCACTACCTCTTGAGGCCGGACCGTCAAAGCCACCACCGGGAACCTGGAGTCGGTCACCACGTCGTGACGATGTCTCGGACGCCTGACCTCTAGTCGCACGACCTGCACCACGACGACGTGCTGCGCCGGACATTTTGGCTCAGTTGGAGTCTGCAGAGGGGGTGTCAGTGCAAGTCTTGCAAGAAGGCAGTTCAGTGTGTTTGATAGATGGCAGTAAGAGACGTTGGGATGACAGAAGGAATGTATGATGCAGCGGAGATGATGTCTTTGGAAAGATGTAAGAGACGCATGCAAGTTGTCTCAGAGATCGGCTGGCATGCGAGGAAGACGTGAGGGGAAGGGAGTGGGAATCAGTACTGTACGACAGTTTGACTTCTGTAGTTGGAGAAGCAAGGATACGTGCTCTGCCAGATGGTGAGTACAGGAAAGAGCAATGGTCAAAGTGAGAGGAACGTGTTGGCACGAAGACGGAGCGAAGGAGGTGAAGGAAGTGCGTTGCACGGAATGTTTGTGTTGATGGCGAGGCCGAAAGATCGGACAGCGGCGGTTAAGATTGGGGCAGAAGTGCGGTGGAAGTGAGGTTGTGACTTTGTCAGTCGAAGAGAGACTCTTGGGACTGACACAGACAAGAGAGAACCAGAGGAGAACTGCTCACCTTGAGGATTGATGACAATGATCTGGTTGAATCAAGGATAAGGCTGAGGGCGAAGCTCAAGAGGATCGAGACGCGCAATGGCGACTGCGAAACCTCTTGAGGAGGGAAGGAAGACGGTCCTGCCTGTTCAGATCATTGATAACGATCTGCCAGACGAAGAAGAGGAAGGAAGAGAGATGTGGGAGGAGAAAGTTCGAAGGAGAGAAGACGGTGTAAGAAGGAGATATTTGTATTGCTGTAAGTTGCTGCCGGCTGCCATACCACACAAGTCGGTGACACGTCGCACGTCACGTGCAGTGCCTAAGGTACGTGAACCCGCAGTGTGATACAAGTACGGTCGTCACAGCCTCACTGGCATGTGCTCATTCTTTGAAAGCTGAATGTCTGGCAGACTTCTGAGATATGCAAGATCAATTGCTGCCAGCTGGCTACCTGTCTACGGAGTACTCTTCCGTCAGTCCGCCCTTGTTCACCTCTTCCCCAAGCACCCATGCCTCACACAGCGATATTGAAACGTGCGGAAGGCATTGTAGCTTCGGCAACCCACTTCAACCCTTCTCATGGGCTTGAACCTTTCTATGCTGATTGATATAGTCCAGACAAAAGACCCAGATGGGAATTGACTGTTTCATGGCGGCCTAGCTAAGCTTGCGGACATTGAATAGCAACAATGAATCAATTCGTCCAAATCAGTCAAGACGCCGAGTCCGTCAAGCTACATACAAACCTTGCTCTTGTCCAGCCTAGCCTCGTCCTCCTCCCTTCGTCTCGTTGCAATTTTCACAGCTGATCCAAATCCTACACTTGCGGCTTCAGAAAGAATCAAATAACAGCAGCCTCCAATGGAGCAAGAGACATCGCTGCTAGAAGAATCCAATTCATATCACATCCCATAAACTGCAGGATGGAGCAGGAAGAATGCCAAACTAGCAGTCAAGAAAAGCTAGAACACAAGGCAACAGGTCAGTGACCTCGGATGCCGTAAGGGTCTAATGTTCTGGGGCAATGAGTGGGTTCAATGCCCAAGGAACGAGCAACAGCTATAAGGTCAGCAAGTAATCTTGATTGAGTCCCTCCATGGAAGAAGAGCAGGCCGGAGAAGGGGTAGATACATTGCCTCAACAGAGAGCTTACCTATCGTCGCATATCTGTAGAAGAATACCTGGATTTGCAATGTGCCATCTATTAGAATCTAGTTCCTTCATCTTGTGTAGAAGAATATCCAGGTACCACTAGGTCAGAACAACCTCGCATGCGGAATGCTTGATACCCGTATGCCTATACATCTTAGCCACCGGGAAGTGCAGCTTGGAAGTCCAGGCGGGTGTTCGTTGCGCATTCTGGACGAGCTCGAAAAGCCGTCATAGACGAGGCTACGCCGTCCAGGATTCGGTGAAAGTGTTAGGTTCGCCTGTTGTCGGATGACAAGGGCCTATGTCATGCCATCTTCTTAGCATGCGTCGCGATAGCATCGGCCCCTAATCTCAGCGTGGTAGGTGGTCTCTTTGCCTGGCGCTTTGGCAGAAATTGGCTTCAACGGTAGGTTCGAACATGGACTCTGTGCCGGCATCACCATTACCATTGACCGTGTCAGCAGAAGTACCTGCTCGCGCCGTGCACGGTTTCTCGTGCGCAGGTGGATTTCCCTGTCTCAAGGTCGAACATCCAGTCAAGCAGGCCGACGGAGGGGCAACTGCGGCTCTTGTCAGATGAGTAGGAGGGGGGTGGCGAGTGCGATGATGAGGACGGCCATGAGGGCTTATGTTGACGGATGGCCTCGACGTCTGCCTTCAGGTCGCGTGGCGCGGCGTGTCGCGTAGTCTGTGGGCCGGAGCCGGAGCCCCTAAGCCTTAGGAGCCAGGTCTAAGAGTACCATAGTACATCTGTACAGCCTTAGTAATGGACGCGCTCGGCGCTGGGGTGCTGCTTTGAGCGCCGTTGCGGACCAAGGCTTCTCCAGCTCTCTGACTATTAACAGTTCAGAGCAGAGCATGCGGTCTCGGATGCGTGAGCAATCGGGTAGGCGAACATATTGGTTGTGGCATGGGTCAGTGAGTGGGCTTAGGCGCCAAAGAATCTGCACAGTTCAAAGTCTAAGGCGACCTCTCAATGTCTTAAGCCCGTTCAAGCCTCTTCGTCCACTCCACCCTTTACACCGCGGACAGACTTGGAAATCAAGTCTACACTGTCCTGAGATCGAATGTAGCTGGGGCAGGTCATCGCACGGTACAGAATGCGCTGGCGCCGAAGATTATTCTCAACGGAAATGTCTCGAATTGATATGACTAGGGACACATATTTTTTGGATTGACACAACTTGGAAGTCCGCAGTCCACCGGCGCCATGCCATCAGGACAGCTCTCCTGAACTTGACTCGCAAGCCTTCACATGATACCTTGCTGTTGTACAGAACGTGATGTCGTGAATCATCAACACATTACTTCGCGGTCCCTTCGTCCCAATCGTGTCAACGAGGATCATAGTCAATAATTCCCAGACTTTGTCTCATTTGCGACAATCGATCAGGCGCGGACGCGGTTGCGGCATTGTCACGAGTGCCCTTCGCCTCGCTTTTAGCTTCGAGCTTTCTCTTTGTATGCTTTAGAGAAAGATCCTTGAGCGTGGGTAGATGGGTCAACTTCTTCCCTATCTTCCCGAGTTGTTCTGCGGGATTGCTTTGTGGGTCGGTCATTGATCCTTGCCTCAACCTACCCACAGGACTTCCAGTCGGGGTGACCTCGAGGTTTTGCGTTGTCCGGTATTCTGTAGGATTGTAACTTAACGGGTCAGAGAATTCCATATGCCCGTCTCCCCTTTTGGATTCGAGGCTATCCGCCACAAGAGCCACACTTTGGCGTCGCATTTCGTCCCGTCGTAGTCTTTTCATTCCCAGCCGCTTCAACTCGGTTTTGAAATCGTCGAGCATGATTGTATCGGTCAAACATTTGAACATAAGTGATAGCTTCCACCAAGGGTTAATCCTGAAGGTTATTAGCCGCTGAGTGCACTTCGATGTGTTGGCGTGTGTTGTCGGTGCCAGGGTGCCGGTGCAACAATCTAGAAGAGGAAGGAAACGTCTTACCCGTCTGTAGATCCAATAAAGCTGTGAATGCTTGCAACAATATCCAACACTGTAAAAATCAAGGAGAGACAGATGGCAGATAGCAAGATAGCGAATCGAGGAGATCGTTTAATCAGTTCCAGGACCCCAGTCCCGTAGCATTTCCGGATGACCTCAAAGAGGGTCAGGACGGAGAAAACCCACCATGGGTCACGCATCAACGGTTCGTATGGTCTCACTGTGACATAGAGATCGTTGATGTTATTGAAGAAGCGGAAGTTGTCGTAAATCTGAAGAATGATCGGAGGTATCGTGCAGGCCAGAGAACCCAGATAGATCCTTCGAACCCACTTGCCTGTCTGTGGCTTGAACATAGATCTAGAATCACAGACCAACGGGCCGATCTTCAACCATGCCACAACGTTATGGACTACCCAGGAGCAGTACAAGAGGGCCGCAGTCGAACTCAGATACCAGCCGTAACCGGGAAACGTGAAGAAGCAGAAAGTACCTGGACATGTTGGCATGGGGGGTTCCACCACTGAGTAATTCGTGCTTACCATGGGATAAGGCAGCGAGTTGCTTGTTCCATCATCAGCTTATCTGCGCTTGCTTGCGCATGCCTGGACAACTCACCTCTAGGAGAATCAATTTGTGTAGGAGCACTCCTTTTCTCATATTTGCGACCGTCACGCAACCCATAATGAGGAGACTCCCAACCAGACATCCTTGGCTCCAGCTTTCCAGGACCAAATCTTCGTCGGACGCAAACGCTCGCCAACTTCCCTTGTCGGTGTCTGCGCGCCGATTTGGTCCCGATGTTGGCGCCATCTCGTAACGTCAACGCGAGGAGTGGAGTGAAGTGGACATCCTGTACAATGCGTCGAGCCGACTGATGCGCGGTGAAACTTGGGAAGCCGCCCACGCGAAAGGAGTAGCTCTCGAGGAGGTGTTCGGATGAGATATTTCGATCAGTTCCACTGAGTTCGCCGGTCGGTATAGCGGATAGGTGTCGGTAAGTAAGAAAGGGCAGGAATCGGTAGGGGGAGCCTCGTGGAATCTTGGTTCAAGATGCGGATGAGGTGAGGAGGGAATACGACGGGTCCAAGGCAGATCAGACGGCGCAGCGCGAAACAGCGAGCCCAGAAAGAATCGAGCAGAAGGGAACGAGGGCAGGATAAGAAGATGCCGTTCATTCACCGGGTGAATATGGGAGATGGGAGAGACGCTGTGAGGACGGGTTCGCCCTACAGAAACATGGTCGAAGGCGAAGAATCAGCAGTCTCGCAAGGTGGCAGACTCACCGTAGAAAGAGCGGCCTGACCTGACCAGCAACGAGGATCATTTTCTGACGGCGGATGGAGTACAGAGTACAGCCCCATGTAAGAGACAAGGTGGGCGCGAATGATGGAGGCTCGCCTGTGTGCTAGCATGTTCACCAACAGCAAACTGGGTCCGCTGAAGGGTTGCAGGTTGCATCTTGGGCCTGAGTAGCCTGAGCTGGTGAGGAATCCCCGCAGAATTTCTCCAGGCCCCCGACTCGAGGAAGTGTCAAGCCCGCCTGAGGACCAAGGTCAGCAGCCACGTATGTTACCTTACCTACCAGGTAGCTATCTACCTTGTAGGTACCTTGTACGCATACTGTGGTGAGCAGTGCTCCTTTCCCACCATCCCTAGCAAGGCAGACTGCGCACCGATGTTGATCCTCGATCCCGTTGTCCAGCCACCAGCCAATCCACCACGATTGTTTCGGTCGGTCTGCGCCGAGCCACTTTGACGGCTCCGGCCTTTATAGCCCCCACTGGCAAAGGTCTTTTCATCTCCTCTGGTATACCAGTACATCCATCCCAAACCGTCGACGCCGCGAACAAAGGGTCCAGAGAAGGCAATGCAAGTAACACGAAGAGCAGGAATCTGATCATACACACATGTTACACCTACACGCGCCGCAAGACATTGGTCTTACCTCGTGGTTCGTGTGGTTCCCCTTCTTAGGCCAAACTCAAACCTCATGAAGCCGGCTGTGTTTCCACATCATTCAAGCTGGAACGGACAAATATGGTACCCAATGAATACTGCAGCGCTAAAGAATCATACATTGTCGTCCACGCATGGTCCGGCTTCTCACTTCTCAAACAATGCCACTTTACATCCAACTCCGCTTGCCAGGGTGATGGTCAGCCATTCGCGCCACTCGCGCTCGTCTCGGCTTTCGATCCTCGGAAACGTCTGTATCAGCCTGATGGTGACATAGCTGGCCTCGAGCAGAGCGTATTGCTGGCCAACGCAGATCCGCGGCCCGCCATTGAACGGCAGGTATTCCCAACCCGGACGCAGACTCTCCCATCGCTCTGGCCTGAATTCTAGGGCATCGGGTCCGTAGAAATCTTCTCGCCTGTGCATCGACCACGGACTATATAACACCTCTTCGCCTTTCTTCACAAGCATGGGGGACCTGCCATCAGGGCCACCTCCTAGGGGAAGGACCGTGTCCCTAATCGCCTCGCGGCCATTGCCCGGCACAACGGGCATTAGGCGTAGCGATTCATTCAACAGCCATTTGAGGTATTTCATTTCCTTGATCGTGCTGTAGTCCGGTGGCACGCCGCCCAAGTTTTCAACCTCGACCTTGAGCTTGGCCCAGATATCCGGCCGTTTCGAAAGGACGTGCCAAGTGTTGGACAGGAGACTTGCCGTGGTATCTCGTCCGGCCAGGAGGATGTTGAGCAATTCTGACCGGAGGGTGTAGGGATCTCGGGTTTGTTTGAGGAGGGCGTGGAGGAAAACGTAGCGACGATTTTCTAAGGGTTTCTCGGTGTCGGCTTGCTCTAAAGCGTCGTGGATGATCTGGTCGGCGAAATTGTTGATAACCTTGACACTCTTGCGCCATTTGGAGTCTGGAATGTATTCTAGCAAGCCTCCAGATCTGAAGTTTTTGGATGCATCTATTTGCAGGCAATCAGTGAGTCTACCCCCTGTGGATGGCGGAACAATGGCAGTGTCTTACTCTCCGTCACATAGACAAACGCTTTCACGAAGTCGCTGGCTGATTTGGTCTCCAGACCTGGCGCCAGCGTCTTGGTGGATTCTCCGAAGAGGAGCTCTGTGGCCGAGTCCATGGTCAAGCCGAAGAAAAGTTCCTGCAAGTCCACCGTGCTTCCGTCGCGGGGGATGGCGCCGATGAGATTGCCGATGTGGGTTTCCAACATGTCGAGGTCGGCCACCTGTTGACGGGTGAAGTTGGGTCGGACCAGAGCCCGAGACCTTTCCCAGGCCTCGCCGTCGGTCGAAAAGATGCCGTGGCCGAAGATGGGCATGAAGACTTCTTTTCTCCTTGTGCCCAGAGCGAAGTCGCTGAACTTTGTGGACAGCATGGCCTGGACGTTCTTGGGCTCAATCGTCACAAACACTATGGCGGGTGAGCCAATCGCCGGTCAGGATATGGTCGGCGAGAGCAAGCAGGCTGAGGGATGGGTAAGGAGTGGCGGACTCACCATGGTTTCGCAAGACCCTCATCCTGATCGTCTTGCGTCCGTCGGCCCAGTTTCTCAAGCGGATGTCTTCAAGCACTCGACCCTCTTTGGCCGCCTGCACATTGGCCCTGATCACGTCCAATCCGATCAACTTACCCATGATACCCTTATGGGGGTACGAGTACACGGGCTCGCAGCCATTCTCGCGAATTAGCCGCCGGCGATACGCAGCGACGGTTATCTCATAGTAGATCCGATGCACAGCAAAGAGCGCCACACAGGCAAAGACGATGGCTGGAATGGATAAATGAGGAAGAGAAGACATGGTGGCGGTAGAGGACGAGTGTGAAAGTCGGGCGAAGAGAAACTCGCAATATATATCTGCCGGAGGGGATGACCTAGAGTATAAGTGTGAGACTCAAAGGTCCTTTTGGTGTGGATTCAGTTCATCCGGGCCCATGGAGGCGTAGGTCGGCCTGAGTCCGTTATTATTAGGTACGTAACCTATCTCAAGGGTGACAGTACCTCGTAGATGCCAACTGCATATGTGTAGTTAATGCATCCTTTGGCCGCCAACCCTCAGAGTAGCAAGTGTATCCGTATTCGTACGGATACATACATAAGCACTACCTAGGTAGGGAGCTAATCTGAGGGCGTGGCGATGGATGAGGAATGTTCTCTGAGTCTGCAGGCTTAGGAGGCTTGCTTTTGGAGAACTGCCGATGCGATGCGAGACGATCCCGATACGAGCCTAGTCCCCCGTATACGATCCCTTGAATACGAGGAGGATCCAGATTCCATGGGCACATAACACCCAGAAATGACGGAATCCAACATGACCGCCACCACCCACCTGCTGCCACCGCCAATCACCACCATCACTCATCACTCACGGGCAGGCAGCAGTGCGAGGGGTGGTCCATGGTCCATGATCCATGACTCGGTGGTCCATCTGGCATCTGGTCGTCTTCCAACCGAGGTCCAACAAACCAACACATATGAAAGGCTGGACATGATCGTGCTCCTACTGCATCCCGCTCCCGCTGATATTGGAGGCGTGGACCGCGGTGCTCAAGCGTATGTACTATGTACACACCAGGACGGAGTAGTCCATAGATAGACCCAAGACATGTGCTGATGGCTGCCAGCTTCTGGTCTAAGCCCTGGCTGCTAACGACCTTCAGCAACCATAAGCCCTTGGGCGCCAGCTGGGACTCAACTCAAGGCGAAGAAGGTTCAGCTGCTCGATCCACGATACCTATTATCAGGGTACTGTAAGTTAACGTAGTACTGTAGGCTTAGGAGGCCGAGACTATCGTCAGCTCATCCGCCGGCCAACTTATCAAAACACACAGACGACCGACACTTAGTACATACTACTGGTGCTACGCCCTCTACAATCTCAATGCAAATTCGTCCCATCCGTCATGACAGCCTTGTCCACCATTCTCTGACGACCTACCGCTAATCTGCGGCTTGAGCCTCCACCCCTGGTGTCACTCTTTCCACGTCCGCGGAATCCTCCTCTTGCTCCAGAGCTGCCGTTGCCTCGTCCTCTGCCTCCCTCACTCTCGCCGCTCGACCTGCCTCGACTGCTCCCTCCGTATCGGCCACCGCTAGTGCCACCTTTACCTTTGCTTCCCACAATGAAGTCAATTTTGATCAGCGGGTGCTCGACCATGCTGAGACCCTCCAGCCGCAACTCAGCCCTCCTTTGCTTGCTCACTTTCCACGCCTGGAAAATCTCCTGTGGCTCATCCAGGACCCGCAATTCCTCCACCCAGGCCTTGCAGTATTCCCCACGGGGATCGTAATCGAAAGCCTGTTTGACAGGATTGAAGACGCGAGCTTCCCCCCTGGGGTCGTTGCCTACACCTGCCACATACTGCCAGTTTCCCCAGTTGTTTGAGACATCGTAATCTGCGAGGTTGGCTTCATACCACTCAGCCCCTAGTCTCCAGTCAATACCGAGGTGTTTGGCCAGATAACTTGCAACATTCTGTCGCGCTCGGTTGCTTGTGTAGCCAGTGAGGAAAAGTTCCCGTTGGCTTGCGTCAATCAGTCCCGTGCCAGTGGTTCCGCGAAGGAACCTCTGCACGATTTCTGCTACTTCAGATCCACCGTCACCAGCGCTGAGGGTTCTCCACGGGTAAGAGGTATCGTCGCGAAGCCCCTGCAAGCGAAATAGTCGAGGCCCAAATTTCCTGGTACAGAGTCTCATGTAGTCCCGCCACAAGAGCTCGAACCGCACGGCAGCAGCCCCTGTGTTCTCGCCCTTACCATAACCCTCTGTACCTTTGTATTGATCGTCCCGGCCTTCCTCAAAGTCCACAAGTTGAGCGTGGATTTGACGGGCAGTGATACACCCGAGGGCTAGCCATGCAGAAAGCTTGGTTGAGAAATCCGTCCCGAGTAGGCCATTGCGAGTGGCCTTGTATTCTGTCAGAGCGCCAGACTTCAACAGGTGTTGGATTCGTCGGAGCCCCTCCCTGCTCCCTCCGTGGAAGGGATGTGCTGACTTCACTCCGGGAGGGAATGATGGAGGGTCGGAAAGGAGAGGTTGTTCGATAAGCGGCTTCATCAACCCGGATTCCAGTGCCTCGTAGGACTCGGGTATAGCAAATGGTGCCGGCTGAACGGGCACGAACGAGGGCATCGGCGGTAGCGAAGGAGGCGGGGGGACAGTTCCTCTGGGAGCCTCCCTCAGTGGCTCCACCAAATTTCGGTAACTTGTGAAGACATCGGGCAGATCTGACGGCATGTCGAATGGTATATCCCTACTGCAAATGAAGTCAGCCTCGATGATTGCCCAGAATCTGTGCTTCATACTCATCTATGAAGTATTTCTCGTCGAGCCACAATTTGAAATCTATTCCGGCTCCCTCAAGAAGGCTTTGCACCTCTCCTTCTTCTCTTTTCTCCTCCACGCCCTCTTCCATAGTCATCCACACCGCTGTAACTGATGCCCGCCCTTTCTCTCGCTCGAATTGGTCCAGGACATCTTGCACAACCTGGCCCAGAAGCCCGACACGAATAAGGAGCCCGCTGCCCATCTTTTCGAGCTCTTGCTTCATCTCCCAGACCGACTCCGCCAGAAACCTCGCTCTATGAGGACCACATCGCCAGAACCTTGCAACTGCCGATCTGGCTTCGGGGAATGGTGATTTGGACTTGACATCAGCCAGGAACCCGCTGACCTCAACCTGTTGAGCGGGAAAGATGTACACTGGGAGCACATGCGTGAACGGGGCGGGTGATTGTTTGGAAAGGTTGTGTAATTCGTGGAAGATCGGATTGTCGCAAAGGCGTAGATCTCGACGCATCAAGTATAGGAGCACTCGTTGAACAGCCATCGTGCTCATGCGACTCGCTCGCTGGCTCAGAGAGAGACTGGAAGGGCGACTCGAGTCATGACAGATGACAGCCCTTATAACCCACATCGCCAAAGGGAGCCAGGTCATTGACTACTACCACGTAATCGCGCGTGTGTCCTGAAACCTTATTCGGGTCATGATCGATTCGCTCATCTTGAGAGCATCCGCTAGAGCGAAGCGACATCAGCGTGAAAGCAACCGAACATTCCGGCTCTCGGACAGAACAGTCGAGCCAATGGCGGAAGCTACCAACAAGCCGGGGCTGTTTCTGGCCCTGACGCAGTCAAGGATGCTGGGTTGAAGGTGACCACAACGCCATAAGATCGCCAGTGGCGTTGGGCAGCAGCAGAGCGGAGACCCCGATGTCAACGTGTGCATGCGAGGGGCGTGGGTGACAGGGCGACATTAAGCATGACCCGGTCTACCGCAGACAAGGCGGGATTGGAAGACGCGGTGTGTGTGTACGGAGTATGGCTTCAGCAGGTCAAACGTGCATGCAAGCCTCGTAACGTATGAGGAGAGGACGGAGGGATATCGACGGACAGGGGCATTTAGATCTGGCAGCGTCGATCTGCCAACTTGGCCTGCGAGATCGGGTTGTGGATCGTCAGCATGCGATCGCCGCGCAGTTCGATAGAGTTTGGGCATCGGGCACCTGCGACCTGCGACCTGCGACCTGCGACCTGCGACCTGCGAAGTTGTCGCCTGCACCATGGCGGCACAATGAAACAGCGGGTGAGAACGATGAGGGTAACATGGTCTATCAACAGAGCATGGTTGATGGTTCAGAAGACTCTGCTACGATTCGATTGGAAATGCTTCGATAGTGTGCTTCGAAGCGAAGCCTGAGTGAGCCCCCCGCAGCTGCAGCTGTCGTGAGCAGCTCAACTACTACTGGACTATTCATGGTTTCTTTTTCTTTTTGTTTTCTTTTTGCAATCGACAATCTCATCGGCTACTGCATCCCAAGTCTGGCTTGTAATGGCCTGTACAATAGGTGACAAGTTCAAACCTCGTGGCATGACAATTTGGCTTCTTCTTGAGCTGTATATTTCTCAACGCGGCCCTCGATCCCTCTCTTTGCCCGAATCGACCTTAAGTACTCTATATCGGTATGCGTGCACCCGAATCGTTCTTTGTGGAGATACAACTGCTAGTGTCTTTCGGTGCCACGGCCTGTAGTCCGACGTCGAAGCAGATCCTGTGCTGCCCAAGCGATGCACGCAGCGAGCTTCGCGGCCGGGTGGACCGGTAGAGCTGTTCCCTGACACAGTAGTGAACAGTGAATAGGCGGCCAACAGGTATATCGTGTTCCACTGTGTAAGTGTTCTTATCCTCAGCGTCAAGACGCTTGTGGAACAGGGCTAGTCGCGCTGGTGCAGTGCCTGTTCGAGTCACTGATACTCCGTACAATGGGCGAGATCGCAGGGCACAGCCGTTGCACAGATGCGTTTCAGTGTTGCTTGCTCATACTTTTTGTTTCCCGCAGTCGAAGTCCTGCCTAACGAGATCAAAGTCTGAGGCGTAGAACAGCTGTAGCAGGAGAAGATGATTGGAAAGTCCTACACAGTACAACTGTAGTGGGCAGGTTGTCAGGGGCTACCGGGCAAGGATGACCTCTACCACCTTCCAGCCCATCCGAAAGAAAGAGGGCCATTCAGAACGCACATATCGTGAGAGCCCAGATTTCGCTGAAGACGTGCTGGGAGGGATTTCGCAACTAGCATGACCTCCGTCAAAGATTGCCACAACAGCAAGTGATGTTGCGATTGTGTGATAGCTGCGCAGCAGTAGTAAATAGTGTGAACCATAACTCTACCTGTGCTACCTACCCCAGAAGCGCTGTCACTGAAACGCGCCACGTGATCGTAGCAAGTCATATACACGTGACTGTCTCCGCCATTCTCGATTCAAGCTGTCACGGAGCCTCCCGCGAGCAAAGCTGCGCCAATAGAGGATGTCAGCAACCACTTTTTCACTTTGCGTACCTACTTTGTAACCTCTATGATTGGTCAACCACCCTCGTCGGGCTCCATTACGCTTGCAAACCTCAAGCGAGGTCGCAACAGTTGAGAGAAGGTCTCAACTGTTGAGACCTCGATTGATTGGATAGATAAGGTGGAGCCTGAGGCTGTAGCGAGACTGACAGGTTCCACTAATCCGGGGTTACCGATCAATACCTCGTATGTATGATTTTAAAGGGCGTATCCTAATAGAGAGGTGAACGATACATACAATATGATACGATAGCGCTATCGTACTACACCTTTCTGTAAAGCGATAAGCGTTGTGGGATGCCGAGGTCTTTAAAGTGAGGTATGCAAAGTGAAAAAGTGGTTGCTGACATCCTCTAATTCAAGCAAGATGTGCATGGCTGCAGGGATCCCTGGATTCGAAGTTCCAGACTTGTGCCCAGACCTCAATTTTCAGCCGCCTTTGTCTTGCTTGGTGCGGAAGAGGCCTCAAAAAGCGAAATCGACATACATACAATCGGCAACTACGCCTATCCCTCACGCAACAGTCGCACTATAGTTTGCTGTATCTAACCGGAAACTGACTTCATTATAACCTGTGAGAGCTGATCTCAGCCTACCCAAAACGCTCATCCTGGTCTCTTGAGTCTATCATCCTTCATCCGAGCGCCCTGCCAAATAAAGGGTCTCAATGGCCCTGTGATGCCGTTCCAAATCCCTGGGGTATAATAACAACAGTGGAATTACGAAATTCCCAAAGCCCTCAAAGAAATCCATCAAAACTGTCCGTCTCATTCTGCCGACCGCTGGAGGTTGCCATCCATCACATCATGTCCGTGATACCACAAGATTCCAAAAACAAATTATCCACAGGCGAGGTCTGATGCATAGTATTGTACATGTGTTGAGTGAGGTTTTTTGGAAAGGTGTATTCCACCGGAAAGGTCAGTTCATCATGCTGCTGTTGCCGCAGCCGGGCTGCCGCTAACACCATCGCTGCCAGATTCAGATTTTGTGTGTTCATCTCGGGATATACCGTCAGTTGTAGAGCCACTGCCGCATCCCTTGACCAGAATGTGCCTCTGGCTGATTGTTAGTCACGCGGCAAGACAGAACTAGACGAGCACAAGACTTACCTTAAGCGCATCTTTGCGTGAGAAACTCTTGTCGCAGTGATTGCAAGGGAAAGGCTTGACGGCGAGATGAATCCTTTTGTGCCTCTTCAAGTCGTGATTGCGATTGAAGCTCTGGGGGCACTGATCACATTTGAAAGGACGGTCGTTGGGGGAAGACTGTGGGGTACCCGTCCGTTGTTGACCATACATGCCATGCGAATTTGCAGCGTAACCGCTGTTGAAGGTTACCGGTAACATATTCGCCTGCATGTTGCCCACTATCGACATTTGTGCTCCTGGACTGTGCATATTTGACATCATCTGACCTGGCATTGCCGGCAAGGAATATGAAGGCGGTGGCGGCCTCATAAATGGCGCATGGGGTTGTGGTGGAAGTGGCCCTTGGAGTGTGGGAGAAACACGCGGTCCCGGCAGGGGATGCGGATGCGGACTCTGAGAGATCGGTGTAGAAGTTGCATATGCATAGACAGATGGGTGGGAAGCAGTGCTTGTCACACTTGTGAACAGCGCAGGACTGGGAGATGGCTTGCTGACTCCCTCGCTTGGGGAAATAGGAGACCGTTGGCTCGATTGTCGACCTTCATTCTGCAAAGACGACAATACGTGATGTTGGGCGGCAGAACTGGTAGCAGTCATAGGAGAAGATATCGGGAGATGTGCTCCGTATGGCTGAATGGTGTTCAGATCATATGGAGGAGGTGGCAATGCTGAGCCTTCTCCGGTCGAAGGGGAATTGGAATGATTCCTCATCGGCTGGGCGCCCATCGGGGAGAACATGGAACGGGGGGGCATCAAAGCGTTTCCATTATGCCAGGGCTGAGGAGTGAAGCCCGTGTTATAGCCAGTTGGTGTAGTGCCAGTATTAAAGAAGGTAGGTGTATAGGGAAGAACTGGAACAGCGGCACTGTTGGGGGTCGTGGTCGTAGGAAGGGCAGATGAAGCTGCACTTCCTTCTGACGCCGAGTTCGATGGCGGCGTAAGAAGCTGGCCCAGACTCACATGCCCTGCACCAGCATGAGAGGTGTTGATTCCGGAAAGAGGAGGGATCTTATGAATTGATATTGGAGTGAATTGGATATTTGTTGGGGGTGGCAGCTCGAATGCGGGAAGGTTCGACGCAGCTTGCCTGCGCTGGGTCAGGCTGCCCGGCGCATTGAGGGCATTGAGGGATGTCCCCATTGGAAGGGGTATTGCGACGGACGCCAGAGTGGCTGTTCGTAGTGGTTCAATGCGCGAGCGCTACCAGGTGAAGTGAGAAAAGACCAAGGTCAGGCCCCAGTGATGCGTCTGGAGAACAGGTCGATTTTCCTACAGAGTCAGCTGGCTTTGGGGCCAGTCTTGTCGCAGGGACGCCTCAAAAGGCTGTCACCAGGAAAATCCGACTTGACCTATGCCACCGTATTCCAGCTTGCTCGCCGGTGGTGTGGTGTGGTGTAGCCTATCGTCTTTTGCTGGGTTGGAACGACAGTTATGAGATGCGCGTAACGCACAGTGAGGGAAGCCCTTCTGTCGATCTCGACCGGGATCGCGATATAGACTGGGAGTTTAGCGAGGAAGGTGTTTGCGGTGGAGCGATGGTGAGCGATGATCAGTGATGGCTGAGGGCCGGTTGGTGTACGCGGCTTTTTCAGTGGTCGTGGGGCTTCGATGGACGACTCGGCTTGCTGGACAATCAGGGAAAGAGATCTGCACCGCCGCAGATGCCAACAATAAGCAGTAAGACGCCGGGCAAAGACAAAGTCCGTTCTGTGAGGCACAGGCTCCCCAAGCAGACCGTGAGGGCGCGATCGTTTTGACAGGTCAGGCTGCTGGCGGCTTGGGGGAGAGGAAGTCTGGTGAGGCTTTGGAAAAGAGCAGTTCAAGGACGATTTCAAAAGATTGAAGAACCTTTGAAGGCGCGATCCTTTTGGTCGGGGCAGCACATGGCGTTCTTAGCGGCCAGCTGGCGGCCGGCTGGCTGGACGGGCCTGTCGCCTGCTTCGCCTAAAACGAGAAGAGCTTTGTCAAAAAGGGATGGCGGAGACAGGAGATGTTAGGATGTGAGAGGCATGGAGGCGCCAGCTGAACTGGAGGGCGGGCTGCAAGCTCCAAGGCTTGCTGGGATGTGAAGACACAGGATTAGCACACACGGGTGTGAGAACATCGAAGCTGATTGCTGGGTTTGTTGGTGGATGGGTGCGGGAGAGGCTAACAGGGTAGGGACAGCCACCTACAGTAGATAGTAGAGTTAAGTCGACATGGGGCCCGGTCCGGCTGGTCTCAGTTCCCTTCGAGCAAAAACAGTCTGGACCGAGCGTTGCAGCGGAGTCTGGTCCCCAAAAGGGACCGCAAGAAATTGGATGATGCTGAGGCATGACTATGCTGGAAGCAGCTTGGATCACTTGTGATGGGATCATCAGAAAGAGACTTGGGTGGAGAGGATTGTGCTAGTCACGCAAGCGCTGGGGGATCACGCCCCAGCAAGTGGCTTTTGGTGGCTTTCTCAGCCCAACTTGTCAAATCTATTAGCGTGCTTGGTACCGTAGCTCTTGCAGGATGCAGGATGCTCAGTGCCCACCCAGGACACGCCGGGACTAGAGGAGCACGGATGTTGTAGGAAGCGAGGCCCGGGGAAGAGGAGAGACGTGTGAGACAGCGAAGAAACCGATGTTGATCTCATCGCAGGATGAAGGGGAGAGCAAATGTTTCGCGAGGTCGGCGAGGAAGAGGGTGTGGGAGGGAGGTAGGATCCTGAAGAGCAGGCCTTGCAGTGGTTGACACAGAAGCCGTACTACTACTCCGTTCGTATGTGTAGATAGCTCCGTTCTGTACTCTCAGCGATGCATTAATGTTGTTACCAATATTGCGAAGAAGAAAATACATTATGCATACCTACGGATGCAGAGTGGTAGTAGGAGAGCGCGCAGGCACAATCGCGCAGGCGGGGACCGCGCGACCGCCCGCCCCTACTACTCTTACTACTACCTTACCTGTGCCGATGTCTTTTCATATCCCATAGCCTGAGGTGCTGTAGGTACCTAGGTACGTTGGTATCTAGGTACATACCTATTATTCTCTCTCTATTTCTCTCTCTCTTGTTTCTACCAATACTCCGTACACGTTACGGTGTGGGATCACATCAATTCGGCTATTTGAACCATATCCCTACCTCCCTGAATCTCGATCGCTGTTCACGATCCCCATGTTGCTGTTGCTGTTTCAATCTTCTTAACGTCGTCAACTGTCTAGCGTCCCTAAGTTGGACGCGTGGTGTCCACCACTCTAATAAAGCGGTAATCCCAGTCAAAAAAAAAGCAAACATCCTGGTCTGTGTGACCCAATCCCTGTGACCCGACTACAACTGATTAGGTTGGTACGGTATCAAACTAACTCTGAATAAGTTAGGTGACCGCTACCTAGCAGCATGAATTGTTTCCTTTCCGTGTGCTCTTTGCTAGTCAAACCCCTCCCTCAGTCCACCATTGTATGGTCACTGTGGTGCCATGCCAGGACGGAAAGTCTATCTTGCAAAAGAAAGCCCCTCCAGGCACGTTTGACGTTGGGGTCCTCATGACTAGTCCGAATGCGATGGATACATTATGACATGGACCAGGGAATACTACTGTTACTGGATGGCTCTGCCGGCGCATTGGGTTCTCTGCGGCATTGCCATACGTCCCATTTGCCATTATTTCACCATCCGAGGATTTGATTCCCGTCTCCTTCTTTGGGAATGTCATGTCGCTTGTCTGGCTGCCAGCTGGCTACGTGCGAGCGGCAGATAGGTCACGCTTGCAGACCGCAAGCCATTACGCAACCAGAGTCCCGCATGTTTCTACGTTCAACCTCAGGCTCTGCCAGTGTGAGCTAGCTTGCTGTGAGGTAAGATGTACCTGTCCCAATGGAGAGAGGCCTATTAGGCCTTTGTCGTAGGTGTTCAGGATATTCTGCTGAGCCTCAATTAACCGACTACAGTGTACTCTGCCCATTGTAGGCGTATACCGGCCAAAACACTCCCCGAACTGACTACCCGAACTGGACTACGACCATCATCCTAGTCCTCCCTCCCTAGTCCAGTCAGTCGAACTCCACCGGCCTAGTTAGCGATGTTAGTTTCGCCACACATCCTAAAGCCGTTTTCCATTCGGCAAATCTTGCACTAGCGGCATGAGCTTTTCCAACGGATCAGACAATCTCCAGAGCCATGTGGCTGCCACCATCATCCTGTCCGACGGCTCGTTGTTACGTGAGACTCTGGGAGGGAAACCTTGCATCCCCCTAGCTTAGCCTGGTTCTCTATCCATGGAAAAGGATCCATTCCTAATCAGTCCCCACCGGTTCCATTACTTTCGCTTTGCCTACGGCGTACGGAGTACGCCAGCCCAGTTTCGCAACCGCCATTTGAATCGAACGCCGCCAACCCACCTACCTATGAAGATCGATCTGTCAGGTGCCTTCCGAGGCTGCCACGCATCATGCTATGACACTCGAGCTCACCGTGTACCTTGCTCGACGTGTACGGAGGATAGTAGTAGATTAAAAAGACTTCCAGCACTCAGGTCCTTTACGCCATGCGACTCGGAGCGGCACCCTCACGTCTCATTCTTGCTTGTCACTGGCCTCTAACATCTCAGTGCTGACATCCCCCGTCACCGAATCTCGCCTGTACTCAGTCAACTGGCGAGCAAGCGAGCCATGCGATTGGTCGTGCAATAGCGAACTCGACAAGCATTTTTATGTCAAAGTGTGATTCCTGGGAGCAATTTCAGAGCAAAGGCTCGTCTGTCGGTGGTCCCCGGTGAGCAGGGATGAAAAGTGGGCAGCATGAGGGTGACAATTTAGGGGATCCAATGGTCACCCCTCCCTAAGCGAACCGACACCCCGGTTCGAGCTCTCCTGAAGGCGCCCCTGCAGATCGCGTCTTCGGCCTGGCCGCTGACAGCCGCTTATCGGGCTGCAAGTGCACTATTGGCGGTACTTCTGAAGTCACTCGAGGACACTCCTAAAATATACGGTGGGAGCCTGGGAGCGGCTCGAAGTCCAGTCCAGATGTTGACAATCGAATATCAGATCATCGTATTCGGAAATTATTTTATGCTCAATCATCTCAGCTTGAAACTGTCTCCCCTCGCACCTCCCTACCCATCCCGTCTCCCCTTCCCGTCCCGTTCTCTCATTATAGTTCACCCTTGACATACCGTGTGTTTGCTACCGGTATCTCGAAGAGATTCCATATACGGGCCTGAAGCGGACAATCACCTCCTTTAGGTGACAGCCAATCTCGGCTTTCTTGTGTTTGAAACTGTGAGAGAACAGTGTCTCGGGCGGCTGCATCGGCTGGGCACTCAAGTTACGCACGAACAGCAGATTGTCAACAATTGGGAGTCCCGTTAGAAGTCAAGCCTTGCAATGGGTCAGTCACACAGACAGAAACCGGGTTCTTAGACCCCGGGTCCCGATTGTCCTTTGTTTGTTCTTGGTCCTCGCTCGATGGTGCATTTTGTCTTTGCAAGTACAGTGGCACTGTCACACGGGTTGTCTCTACCAACTACCAACAACCGTGAGGAGCTCTGCCATGTCACGCATCGGCATAATCGGCGGGAAGACAGCAGGTCTAATCTTGGAATTTTGCCTCCACGATACTCACTGCTCCCTGAAATGAACTGAATTGGCACAACGCTCGCACTTATTCGTGCCCAAGAAGATCGAACCAGCAAGCTTGACATTACCACAACCCATCAGGCAGAGAGGTGGCTTCTTTCTGAGGCCTAAGGGCCCTGCACTCTTTTCAGCCTGACAGCTCTCGACACCGAACAGTCAATGACCTCCTGGCTTAGACCATCCCAAGCGTCGGCGTGGCTGGTAAGCACCACTCCCCGTGGCATACATCACCTCTGAAGTTCCGAGACGCGAGTATATTCTCGGCTCTACGTGATTGCAGAGAGCATCTCCAGAGACTATAGCTCATTTCTTATGGATGCCGATATACCTCTTCTCTGGAGTCTCAGGCCATACAATCGAAGCGTACTGCGCCCATCTGCTGTTAGTTCTCCATTCTGACCGAGCCCCCATGTCTGGACGGCTTTCACGCCCTTTGCGAATCTCTAAGCGCTGGTTTATGTATCTTGCAGCCTCGTCGTTAGTAACCCAGCCGACTCTAGAACGAGAGAATAGCCTTGGAAATCTCCTGCGACTGGAAAACTACGTAGTGACAAACGCTTACTATGGACCGGTCATGCGGGATACTATTACGGCTCCAGCTTAGCTTGCATCTCCCTCGTTACGTCGAGGCTGGTGGTGGTGTGCGAATGCAACATATTGACTGTTTGATGAGAAACCCTTGTTATGAGAATCCACCATCTCAAGTACGTGTGAGTATATTGTAACCCTTTATGCTACCCCTCCGCATCCACCATATACATAAAAGAAATAGTGCAGAGCATTTCGATCGATAAGCCTACCCTAAATCATTATTAGTCCTCCGTCACCCGTCTGACTCCTGGTTTATGTAATACCATAGCCTTCTGGTTGCTAAGATGGCACGTGGATTGAGTGGAGCTGATAGATCACATGATGTCGGGCTATAGAATGACGTCGTAGCAGCTCGCGTGAAGGTTTGGATCTGCCAGTGCTTGTAAGCGCAGGACAAAGCTGCTACCTACTCGTACCTTGACCCGATTGAAATCTTTCCTTCAATCAATACGCAGCCCTTGATTTTTCTGTCCTGCCCGACAGAACTCCAACGGCTCCAGCTTGATATGCACCCGAAGCCCATGAAAGCCTGGGTTTCCAACATGTTTCGCATGGCAAGTTCCCTTCCGCCCACCCCCGGATTTGTAGTAGTGTATATCTCTGCAGCGAGACCAGGATCCTGCGTTCTCAACAAATTGAAGAAGTACCGCAGTTTGCTGACTGGCCCCTTGGATCTTTTAGAGCAAGACTCTCGATGTTATCACCCTCTTCCACAAACCGAGCGTGCCCGCGTCCGCGAGGGTGTTGACCCTCCTCAAGCAAGCATCCGCCCAAGCCAGTGAGACAGCTACGGAAGACCAGGCATCTGACCACACGCCTCAGAACACAGCTGTCACACGCGACCCGTTTGAGCTTGAGGTCACCGAGACTGCACCCACGCCGGACCAGCTGAAGAGCATCTTCGGCTACCTCGGCGCAGGCGTTGCGGGGGATTTGGTCAAAGGAGCTGCCAGCCAGAGCGACGCCCTCAGAAAAGTGCAGGAGAACGGTGACGTGTTCACTAGGCCTGTCGTAGTGGACTGGGGACGGGGCAAGGCCGTCGTTGGGGACAAGGAGAGCGAAATTCTCAAGCTGTTGAAAGCCGAGAAGTAGTAGGAGTTATTCGACGGTGCTCTAAAAAGCAGGGATCAGACACTGGGAAGAGTGGCTGCAGGGATCCTACCGCTACAATGCAGAGTTCCTCCAGCCCGCAACCCTTTCTAATTCAGGCTGCAGCATGATGAGGCTCTCCAGGATAGTGTCTCCTACATGACCACAGTCAAGAACAGGCAGCGTTTGTGGGCGCAAGACAGTTATCGGTACATCCAAATGGCGGTACTGGTGCTTTTCACCAAGTCTCAATCAGCCTCAATCCTATACAAACCACAGGTACCAGTCTATATAGGGATGTGACCATGGCGGGTGCATCGCTTATTTCATTTGTTTGAAACAAACCCACGACCCCCTGAGGCTTGATCGGGGCCGATAGCCTGGTCCACCCCCAGCCTCTCAATGAAGGGTCGATCATAAGACCCTACATCGGCTGCTGATTTTGGCCTTCATGTCACCTCTTTGCAGAAGTGATCTGTCTCTGCCGGGCGCTGAGTCGCCAGCACGTTGATCAATTAATGTGTGCTACACACAAGATAGCCGGTCAAATGGAAAACTGTCTTGTACTGGTGTTGAGACAATGTCCTCATTGTTATGGTATCCTGTTCACAAACCCCGGAGTCAAGAAAGGGCGACGGCACCACTTTGATGTCTCTCAAACCTGAGGTCTCAGCACGGCACAAAGTTGCACATAAAGGTAAACGCTTTCGCTATCGATTGTACAACACGGACAGAGGGACAAATTTTTTGTGCCGGCGATGAAAGAGCAGTATTCGGTCGTTAGGACGTCTTCGGTTTCGCCGGTCTCAATACCATAGTAGGTGATGTTTGATCGCTGCTCAAGAGGTCTGATTGAACGCCTCAGAACCAGTAATGGATCCATCGACGCAGGGGTAAAGGAGGCGGAGATCTCGACTTTGGTTTGGTTCTGGGCACTCGGGCAGATGCAGGGACGATACTAGTCATAAGCCTCAAGACGAGGCAGATTCAACTGGGTGACACCTGGGTGATAACCTTAAGTAAACCAAAGACGAGCAAAGTCCTGAAACAAACTATCGCCAAGGGGACGACATGCACTGCAACCTGAACTTGAACAGCAGAGCGCACCTTCTGCACGAAGAAAGGCAGTGGCTTCTTCATGCTGGAAAACAGACTCCGAGAAGAAGAACATGCCTACTGCCAGGAGAGAACATTTTTTCCCTCCAAGCACAATAGGGTACGAAGTACTCCGTAGATAGATCCCACCTGTAGGTGCCCGTGTTTTTGTTTTTGACGAGTGATCATCCCCAGCAAGTTGGTCACAGCCATGGCACTTCAAATCCGGGCTCGCCTGGAGACGGATCCAAGGATGGGGGTCCGTCAAAAGTAGTAGTGCAGGGGGACCTGCCAGGGCTTTCTTAACCTGGGAGCAATTCTCAGACATCCAAGACTTGGCAAGTGGTGTTTCGCTCACTAGAGTTTGTGAGATAGCAGAGAGGGAACAAGTAAGGGGTAAAGGAGTTGTGTTTGTCTCTTACCACAGTGCTTGGGGGTGAAATGGCGCTGCACCTGCCTACCTAGGTACCTGGTACCATCACCCTCCTCCTACCTCAGGACATTCCTCAGGCAGGGTAGGTACTGTACGTCCCTAGAAAGGAGGTGGGCTTGGTAGGTGGAACGAGACACCCAAGGCCCTAACAGGTACCTGTGCTCGGCGCACACGTATACAATATTAATACCAGCCTGAGGCATGTAGTGACCACTAGATGGCAGATGTAGGTGGGTGGGTAGGTAGGTACGCACGCAATGGAGCCCGCCAACTTCCAGGTAGGTGCCACCAAGGTGCCAGGTACCAACCGAGCGGGTGCTGCCCGCGTCATCACAGCCCCCAAGCCTATTGCTCAAGACGCTAGTCTGTATCAGGCACAAGTCGACATCCGCCCTAAGCCGTTGCCCTGCACCCCGGCCTGGCATGCGAACAGTCTCAACAATGGACGTAAAGCACAAGAGACCGACCCTTCCTGTCTTCACCGCTTGACGGGGAAAAATATCCTCCTCATTCCAAAAAATCTCTCTCGCTCGGCCTTCAGTCATCTGTTCCTCGCTGTGCCCTGTCGGCCCTGATCGCCTCTCCCGCGGTTCATTCGTTCCGATCTAAGATCGACAAATTACGACTAGGGCTAGATCTTCCCCACGTTACTAGACTAGGGTGCGCCAGCCAACAAGAATACTCTCTCAGAATCCCGGTCGTTATCCCAGCACAAAAAGATAGAACAGACGCAATAAACTCCGTGAGCGGTGCCTCACGGCTGCGGCTGCGGCTGCGACAGTCATCGAAAGACTACTACACACAGCTACAACACCATGAAACCTTTTAGGAGGAGATCACTCCTGGCGGCAGGTTTCTCGGCCATTCTCTCCGTTCAACATGTCCTGGCAATACAACTAGATCTACAAAGCACAGACTCGATTAAGGCAGCTGCAAAGACACTCGCGGGAGACATGGTCTCTTACTACACTGGATACAGACCCGGTGATGTACCTGGGAATCTACCATCACCGTACTACTGGTGGGAAGCAGGTGCAATGTTTGGAGCCTTGGTTGATTACTGGTACTTTACCGGGGACGATACCTACAATGCAATTACCACCCAGGCTCTTCTTCACCAGGTCGGTCCCGACAAGGACTTCATGCCACCCAACCAGACCAAAACCGAAGGAAATGACGACCAAGCGTTTTGGGCCATGGCTGCTCTCTCCGCCGCAGAGAACAAATTTCCAGACCCTCCTGAAGACCAGCCGCAATGGCTCGCATTGGCCCAGGCAGTATTCAACACTCAAGCGGCACGTTGGGATACGACGTCTTGTGGAGGTGGACTGAAATGGCAGATTTTCGCGTTTAACACTGGCTACAACTACAAGAATACCATCTCTAACGGCTGTTTCTTCAACATGGCCTCACGACTGGCTGTCTACACGGGAAATCAGACATATGCCGACTGGGCGGTCCGAATGTGGGATTGGTGTTCGGCAATTGGTCTTCGTGATGCTCAGTACAACTTCTTCGACGGCAGCGATGACAACCTGAACTGCTCCCAGCTTGATCACATTCAATGGACCTACAACGCCGGCACTTTTCTTGTCGGGGCCGCCAACATGTACAACTTTGTGAGTGATTCCTCCCCGATGGAGAATGCTTCTCTAATATTATGTTATAACAGACCGGAGGGAGTCAGGAATGGGCTGACAGACTGAACGGCATCATTGGAAACCTGAAACTTTTCCTGAAAAACAACGTAGTTTACGAGCAAGCGTGCGAGCCGGTCGGTACCTGCAATGTTGATCAACGCTCATTCAAGGCATATCTCGCTAGGTGGATGGCGGCGACAGCTGTCAAGGCACCCTTCACCTATTCTCTTCTCAAACCGATTTTGGAAGCCTCGGCAACGGCTGCGGCTGCCGTGTGCACAGGTGGCGTTAATGGCACTTCTTGTGGATTGAAGTGGACAGAAGGAACCTTCGACGGCAGCATTGGAGTCGGCGAGCAGATGTCAGCTTTGGAGGTCATCCAATCCAATTTGATCGATATCGTTTCCGGCCCCGTTTCGCAAGACTCAGGAGGAACTAGCAAAGGGGATCCGAATGCTGGAACCTCAAGCGACATTGGTCCAAGCGACCTGAATGTGGGAGAGGTGACCACAGCCGACAAAGCTGGCGCTGCAATATTGACTGTACTGCTCATCTTCTTCGTTGCAGGCGGCGCATGGTGGATGGTAACCTGAGCCACGCGCATCGAGACATCGGCGTTAATTGTCTCATGAACGCAACGGTCATTATGATGTTAACGACAGACCGGGCCTCGTTCGGCGTTTATACAGACCTGGATCCAGACATGGCGGGACTTCGATTCTGAGCAAAGGTGTCCGGAGTGTTGGAGTTCTAGACGTTCCTGGCCAACACGGCATTGCAAGCCCAGAATAAAGGCAAGGCTGGGAAGCTGTGATTTTCTGCATTAGACATTCCGTTCGAGGGAGCTCGAAGGAGCTCGAACATTGATCATCAAGCTAGCCGTGGGGCATGCAACATAAGCAATACCATCCCGACCATTCAATATGCCTATCCCTGCCTTTTGAAATTTCGTGTTCTCCCGACGTCCCATGCGCCAGCCGATCCGTTTATGGCTTCAGAGACAGAATCTGTTCTTCACTCCGAGTATTCACTTCCAAAAAAATCCCAGTATAGCACAATGGTTGATACTACCCCCTTTGAACTTCAGCCCTTAGCTCCTCTTTTATTTTTTGTTGCATCGATTTCTCCTCCTCTTTTTGCTTCACAAGTTCCTCTTTCGCCTTCGCCTGTGCCTCTGCGGCAGCAATCCAGATGGGCTTGTCAGATTTGCTGTGCTCCTTCAACTGATCGAGAAATTCCTGGTAGTTTTGTTGCCGCTGGTCCCGCAGCTCAAGGTTCCGCTTCTGCAGGTCCGGGTTAAACTTGCTAAAGATTTCGCCCTCGGAGGGAGTGACACTGTAATAATCGACGGAGTTTGAGTCAGCTTGGACAGCCGGAATACGCCAACGGACATGTCGTGATGGGAGATAGTGTGGAAGACCATTGTAGCATTGACAATGAGATGCTGAAGAACAAGGACAGATTTGTGCTAAGAAAGCGAGGTCTCCTTACTAGTACATCAGAGCCGGCCCTCCAATGCAGCAGGTGATGAAGCTATTGCAACTTGTCAGCAGAAGTAATCATAGAGCGACAGGCCAGATGAACTGCGTGAGCGATTCTTACACTGCTGCCATTTTGGCATACATTGGCCCGCGAGAGGCCATTTTGCAACGCTGCGGTTTGGCGCGTGGTACTGAGCACAACTGACAAGAGGTGAGAGACAAGGTCGGAGGTTGTAGACTCAATGAATGAATGCCGGCTAGTCAAGGCATAGATGGTGACATAGAGCTGTGTACATTGCCGGTGGTCACAAATTTACATCTCATCGAATCTGTTGCAGTCGCCTGGGTCTGCAACCGTGCTAGCATGTTGATGATGGCACCAGGCCCGGACTCTGCAGTGTCTGCGCACTTGGCGGCCACTCTATTGGCACCGCGGAAGTCTGTATTACATAAGGTGCTAGCGGTTGACCACAGAAGACCACCGAGACTTCTCTCCATTTCGCTTCTTGAGCTTTCTTAATCGGTGTCCGACAAGTCAAAAAAGGAAGTTATTAATGCAGAGAGACATTAAAGTCTAGATTGGACCAAGGGTTGTTGACAGGTTGCGCGGTGAAAGGATGCCCAGGTAAAATACCACAGCCAGTCGGTCAATTGTGGAATGACTATCCGTATACCGGTGCGCAGTTATTGCAGGCAAGCCAGTTGAGACTAAGCAGATGGCGATTTTGTTCTCTCCTTGGGTCATCACCATGGAAAAGACGGCGGGCTGTTGCGGCATACTACCTTAAAACTTGAACAGTGTCAGTATTGCGTTGCGTCGTCATGTTGCCCAGAGCACTGCCTCCCTTCAGTACCTAAAGTAGCACGCGAGGGCCGGTTGGGATCTGTCAGCCACCGGGCCTTGTCGCGTCTGTCGCCACAGGTCTTCAGGATACCTAGACAGCATCCCGACTGCGTTGTAATCAACCACCAGATCTCAGGAGACGAGCACAAGCCACTGGATGGATACTGTAGTTGGTGGTAGGTAGTAGTAATAGTAATAACCAGGGAGGCTGGCAAAAGCAAGGGATCACGTGCACTGAAACGTGCAGTGCGCCAGGTGCATCGTTCGGATTAGTACCTATGTGGTGGTGGCCAGTGCAGTACTCCGTAGGCGTTGCCTGAGTGGAATTCCGTCTCAGGATCCCTCCGGTGGTGCCTCCTACCCTGACGGTGGCTCTGCTAACTGGTAGGGTGACTGGGGCTTAGGCTCTTTGGTTCCTCAGGCTCCTCCCCATCCGACAGGCCCTTGCCGCAGCCAAAGCGCCAGATCACCAGCCCGGTGTCAGCTTCAACCTTCCAACCTCCAACACTTCCATCTTTCATATCCCATCCTCAACTGACCCGCCACATAACAAACCCTGCGCTCGCTCTTTCACACAGGTTATAACGACAACCATCATCGTTGCAACATCCTTCCACTCGACCTCTACTGTCGTCCCTTGATAACCAAGACCTCGTCGTCCATTCTGCATACCTGCCTATCATGGCCGAACGAGACCAACCTTACGACCCCTATATCCCCTCGGGTGGACAGGGCGGCCCGCCGCAGGCTGGGGGCAATCAGAGAACAGCTGCTTTGCAAGCGGTATGTGCCAAAGATTTCCTACTTCGCGTCTCGAGGCAAAGCAATGGCAGTTGGTGTTCACAGTCTGCTACCTGAACCGTCGCAGGTGGGACCCAGCTGGAATTCTTCGTCGGAACACCCTTGAAGCATATCGCAGGGTCTCCTCGCAGAGCTCACTCCCATCGGGCTTAGCATTCGTCTACCCTCATCGCTCACGGGGGTGGTGAAGCCCCCTTTTTGTCTTGAGCATCATCTCTCCGACTCTGAACAGGCATAGCTAATGAGACGAATCACAGCAAATCGATGACACGGTCGGTGTGATGCGAGAAAACATCAACAAGGTCTCCCAACGAGGCGAGCGACTCGATTCGCTGCAAGATAAGACCGACAACCTTGCCGTATCAGCACAGGGCTTCCGCCGGGGAGCAAATAGAGTTCGAAAACAAATGTGGTGGAAGGATATGAAGATGCGCATGTGTCTCATTGCCGGAATCATCATCTTGCTTATTGTCATTATCGTCCCAGCTGGTATGTTCGAGTGTCCACTGCAGCAAACCAATTACTGACGTAGGACAGTGGTTGCCACCAGATAAGCTTCCGCAGGCTCGTTTACGACACAGCAGTCCACCGAAATGCTACTTACGAACTGGAATCGATTCTGTCTTTTTGGGCTAGCGCTTGTACAACTTGAACTGATCGCAAACAGCTTCAATCTGTGCGATGGGTCGGGAGCTTCCGACATCTGATGTCTTGCCTGGATTCGACTTCTGAACAGCAAGTGTCCCAGAGCCGCGCTGGAGAAGATTGTTGGGGCAATGAGAAGCTCTTGAACTCTGCTCAGGGGCGTCTATGGATGAGGGATCAGAGCATACTTGTTACAATAATACCATGGGTTCTTCTACATTCTTGCTCCCGACTGGATTTCACACTTGATTGTTGTTAACCAGCCTCCAAGTTTTGTTTCCTTTCCATGCAGTCTCAATCGAGAAGGCAAACACAGATGCCGAACGAGACTAGAGCACGCAACCTGATAGAAAGATGCCTACTTCGTATCCTCGCTGACTTCGAAGTTAAGTGAAGCCCATGTGATTCAGAGAAATATTATCTAGCATGGGAGAGAAGGGCGTAGAATTTTCAAGCCGCCGAGATCGCGCTGCATCCTTAGTCTGCAGGAGCATCGGTGACTAGTAACCGTGCAAATACGTATATGCCACATGCTCCCAGTCACTACCTATGCAAGCCCCGTTGATGGCGACGACTGACAGGAGATCGTGCAGGCATTGAAATTTTTCTCCCAAGCACTGCAGCCGAAGGTCGGCCTGGGCAGGCACGCCACACCACCCAGTTTGAGCGTTGGAGAAGCGCCCACCGGGGCTCTGGAGCTGGTTGGCTCTCAGGCAAAATGATGCTCACACTCCATCACCCCGCAGATATTTTGTTCTTCGCTGTAGTACCAAGCGCATGAAAAAAAATTGAACTGGCCAGGATCACCGACATTCCTGGTGCATAAATTCCATTGCTGGCGTTCCTCGCTATAGACCTGTTGTCGACCCTTTCAGCGGTTTCAATACTCTCCCCTCTGTCGTAACAGCTCGAAGCTGTCTTTTCACCGCCCGACGTCACCGATTTCGCATTCTCCCGAGTTTTCTCTCAGCTGCCGCATGACTTGAAAGAGGATGACAGCAGCAATGGGTGCGGCCGCTGCGCGAGCAGCAACCAGGGCAGCTACGTCCTCAGTGCGTCCTCGAGCATATCAAGCTTTCCGTCTCGCTCGACCCTTCTATAGTCCTTTGGTTGGGCGCCAGATAACCTCGCGACGGACATATTCCTCCCCTTCGGACTTTTCTTCGACAAGGTTGACAGTGGTGCAGTTGCTCAGTAACATTGGATCTAAGAGGGAGGTTCAACAGTATCTATCACACTTCACTTCGGTCTCCTCGCAACAGTTTGCCGTTATCAAGGTCGGTGGAGCTATTTTGACCGAGCACCTTCAGACTCTCTCTTCGGCTCTCGCATTCTTGAATCATGTCGGACTTTATCCTGTGGTTGTCCACGGGGCAGGCCCGCAATTGAACAAGATCCTAGAAAATTCGGGGGTTGAGCCACAATTTGAGGATGGAATCCGCGTAACAGATCCCAAGACGTTGGGTATTGCACGAGCGTTGTTTCTGGAGGAGAACCTGCGCTTGGTGGAAGAACTCGAACGATTAGGCGTCCGCGCAAGACCAATCACCTCCGGAGTCTTTACAGCAGACTACCTCGATAAAGAGAAATACAATCTTGTGGGCAAGATCAAGCATGTTGACAAGAGGCCCATCCAAGCTGCAATCCAAGCTGGCTGTCTCCCGATCCTGACGTCTATGGCCGAGTCGGAGGCAGGCCAAGTCCTAAATGTCAATGCTGATGTTGCCGCGGGCGAGCTAGCTCGATCACTCCAGCCTCTGAAGATTGTCTACCTGTCTGAGAAAGGTGGACTGTTCAATGGGGATACGGGGGAGAAAATCTCCGCCATCAACCTGGACGAGGAGTATGATCACCTCATGACACAGTGGTGGGTGCGACATGGGACGAGGCTGAAGATCAAAGAAATGAGAGAGCTCCTGATGGATCTGCCCCGAAGCTCCAGTGTCGCCATCATCCACCCTGCAGATCTCCAGAAGGAACTCTTCACGGATTCTGGTGCAGGCACTTTGATCCGCCGAGGAAACAAGGTCCATGTCAACACCTCTATTGACGAATTCAAGGATATTGAGCAGCTGAAGGAAGTCCTCATTCGCGATCGTGCCAGCCTCGATGCCCGTGCTGTCGTGGATCGATACGTCAAAACCCTTCGCAGCCGAGAGTTCAAGGCCTATTTCGACGAGCCCATGGAAGCTTTAGCTATTGTCTTACCGCCCAATGGAGAAACCTCGCTGGCTCATTTGGCAACCTTGACCATTACCAAGAATGGATGGCTGACCAATGTGGCGGATAACATTTTCGCTGCCATCAAGAAAGATTTCCCCAAGTTAATGTGGACAGTCAAAGAGGACGATGAGAATTTGACCTGGTTCTTTGACAAAGCCGATGGCAGCCTTTCCAAGGATGGCGAGGTTCTCTTTTGGTATGGTCTCGAGACGAGTGAAGAGGTCAAAGATTTGATGGTCGAATTTACAAAGCATGGCCGTCAAATGTTCGGTGATATCAACCTCGAGTCCAGGCTGCAAAGGGCTGCAAGGGCCGCAGCAAACTTAGCCAGCAGCGCTGCTCAATCTGCAGGACTGACACAGAAGCGAGCATTCTCGACGCAGGCCAATCCTTTGAGAGCAGCCAGGCGGGCCAGATATGTCACTAAACCAGCTCTCTGTGTTCGTACCTATGCTACGACGAACCCCAACCCACCTCTTGGCTCCAAGAACAGCTCGAATGACAAGCCTTCTAGAGTTGCTTTAATTGGGGCGAGAGGTTACACTGGCAAGGCTCTGGTGGACCTTCTCAATCGCCATCCTCACATGGATCTTCGTCATGTCTCATCACGAGAGCTTGCGGGAACTAAACTCAGTGGCTATGACAAGCGGGAGATCATCTATGAGAATTTGAGTGTTGAAGACGTCCGACAGATGGAGGAAAATGGAGATGTCGATTGTTGGGTTATGGCCTTGCCCAATGGTGTCTGCAAGCCATTTGTCGATACCATTGATCAAGTTGGGAAGAACAGCGTCATCGTCGACCTTAGTGCCGATTACAGATTCGACCCTGCGTGGACTTACGGCCTTCCTGAGCTCGTTGACCGATCTGCCATCGCTCAAGCCAGAAGAATCTCAAACCCTGGATGCTATGCGACAGCAGCGCAGCTCGGTATAGCTCCTCTAGTCCCATATCTTGGAGGACAGCCAACAGTTTTTGGAGTCTCTGGCTACTCCGGCGCGGGCACAAAGCCAAGTCCAAAGAACGACGTCAACAATCTGACAGACAACATCATCCCTTACAGTCTGACAGACCATATTCACGAACGGGAGATCTCTACCCGACTTGGTACCCCTGTTGCTTTCATCCCTCACGTTGCTGTTTGGTTCCAAGGCATCCACCATACCATCAACATCCCGTTGAAGGAAGAGATGACGTCTCGCGATATCAGGAATTTGTATCAGGATCGCTACGCAGGGGAGAAGCTGGTCAAGATTATCGGGGAGGCTCCTCTGGTGAAGAATATCGCACATCGCCATGGTGTCGAAATTGGCGGGTTTGCAGTTCACTCGAGTGGCAAGAGAGTGGTTGTCTGCGCCACGATCGACAATCTCTTGAAGGGTGCAGCAACACAATGTCTCCGTAAGTTTTTGCTTCCTGCAGACCTTGGTGGTAGATTAGTCAACTGACATGAGTGGACAGAAAACATGAACCTAGCTCTTGGGTATGGTGAATATGAGGGAATCCCACTTGAATGAGGGATTAGGGCAAGCCGAGAGGACTGTGAGAGATCAAGGTCTACCGAATATTACCGCTGGCCAAGTTTCGTGTGGACAAGGTCCAGTGCCGAGTGAGCAACCTCCTGTCTTTCCGTCGCGGTTGCCCGCCTTTTATGCAGTTTTTTTTTTTTTTGCCTCTCTGTACAGACCTTCTAGACAGGGGAGGAAATCATGGATATCAGGTAGAGAAGGGATCGACGGACACGCAATACACGGAAAGAATGGTTTCAACCATTCCAACGTGCTATATGCATGGTCAGTTGATTAGGAATCGGAGTTTGATGAGCAAACCAGAAAAGCAAGGGCGGCATCTAGCAAGTCGAATCGCTACGCAGTGAACCTGTGATGAGAAAATTAATGATTCTTTCTTCGACTGATACGCGTTCTGATTCTGGTCTCTTTGCCGTCTGTTGGATTCCATTCAGTACGCTGCGCTGCGTAAACCCCGAGTTCACATCCATCTCACTCTTTGTTCAGCTGACCTTCCTTACCTCATTCCCTGTTCACATTCTGTCTATTGCACTCCTTCGAATCGAATCGATCCCCGTCATCAGGGCTTCGAAGAAGTGAGTCGGTGTTGGTACAGACATATCCGGCGCTACTGTGGCGCGGTTCACTGAAGGGCAGGATGTTCTACAGCCATGAAAGTGAGTTCTCGTCACTCTTGGACTCTCATATGCTTCACGCGGTTTGCAAAGCAGCTCAAAACCTGACGAAGTGACTATGCAGTGCTGACAAGTCGCCAATATGGCGTGGCAACTATCTGGTGATTACCCTCGATTCTTTTGACGGTTGACGAGCCTTTCACGCTGGCTGTCAATCCCTTTACGCCTTGCAATCCAAACGAAGTCCCTCCTTTAGAAACTTGCAAAGATGCTGATCAACCGCACTCCACTTCCTTAGGCTCGTCGCAACCCTCGGCTCTAAATCGAACCTGAAGAAAGTCACCCGGCGTGCCATCCTGGATGTGGACCTCCCGAAGGCATGCGAGACCATCACGGAGCCAGAGATGCCTTTAGCTCTGCGCCTGCAGGGCAATTTGCTGTATATTCCTCCCATACCCTAGCAACACACGTCCCCTGATCCTCCTTCTTCCTCATCATCTGGTCTCTGTTCGGAGGGTAAGGCTGACTCGGAGCACAGGTTCGGCGTGTCACGCGTGTTTTCGCATCAATGTGGCTATGTGCTCGCGGACGTTACGAGTCTGCGGGATAAGATGAGAGGGTCGCAGGATGTCTTCAAAGAAATGGAGTTGGATCCTGATGTGGGCAAGATGAGGTGTGTACCTCCGTACATGGAATGAAAACTGCGCCCTCTATAACCCACCACTGCCCCTACCTCCTTCCATAGCAAGGACGCGACGAGAACTAATCTCAAGCTACCGTCACACAATAGGCCTGACCAGCTCAATATTACGGAAGATCCATACTTCATTCTTGACCTCGACATTGATTTCGATCTTGCAGCCTTCGGAATCCCTTCTGATCGGTCGACTGCGACTGGTTCATTCTCCCCGCGACCCCTACTGTCGAGTCAGTCGAGTCTGCACATCTACGATGACGAGGAACCCGGCCTTGAAATCCCTCCACTGGATACACCTGGCAGCTTCGGCAGAGTTGATGTGGATCTGGGCGCAGCAACAAGCTCAGGCTGGCCGTCCGGGAGTCGAGCGGCGCAACCTCCTTCAGTGTTTGACGAGGAGCCTGCTATTATTGAGGATCCGGTGTTTGATATAGACGACAATGGGTTCCTTCAGCCCGCAATGTCGGTGGACTTTAGGGGTAGTGACATCGAAAATGATGGAGGACAAGGATCTGCAAGCGAGATGTTTGGGATTGGAAGCATTGGCACTGGGCAGGAAACTGTCATGTCAGGAGACACACCAATGCAACAAGTCATCGCCGTCGATGTCGATTTGCCGGTGTTTGCCGACGACGATCACATACCAGCTCAAGCAGCCCTGATGACTCCCCAGCCCGCCGTGGGTGAAGACCAGGCAACAGGACATCCTACCTCCTCTGTCCATCCTGACAATCAATCGGAAGAGGTGTCTGAGGAGGTGGAAGCGCCACAGCGACGAGCACGACCTGTAAAATCCATTCGGCCAGACCAGCGAACCGAACTGAGCAACCGGGACCTCAATGAGTGGAATGAAAACTATCTCGCCAACATGGCAGCTGCTCTGCGCAGTCGCCGAATCCAGACATCACGTCATGAAGCGAAGAAGAATGCGGAATTTTGGCTCCTCCGCCAGGGAATCGGAAATGTCGCGACCACCTTTGGGAACGAGCGAGTACCACACCCACTCGGCGTGTTTAGTGGTCAATCACTGTGGGAAATGCTGAGAGGCCCAGATACAGGCACGAAAAGATCTCGCAGTAGTTCCCTTGCTGACAGCGATGGAGCCGAGAACGCGAGAAGAGTGAAAGCCAGAACCGCGTCGCAAGAAGAAGTCGCTCGTGGCGACGAGAACGATGGCTTGAATTTCGGTGATGAGGAAGACCTCATGCTTCAGGGAGATGACGTCAACATTGAAAGTGAGGTTGGTCGACATGCACCTCCATCGCTGCCAGACCGTTCCTCCGGCATGCCTTGGAACATATCGGGATCCCGTCCCAGCTCAATGCAACCACTACATAGACTCCAGTCGAGCGCTGATAGCCTTACCGGCGGTGTGGAACTGGGGCCTCCTTCCGGTTTCGGCAGACGAGGGACTCGTTTCACTTCCGCCAGTCCACTGTTCGGGAAAGGTCGGTCCCTTTCCAGACTCGGCAGCCAGGAGGCGACGGAGGTGTCACGACTTACTAGCAATGAAGAAGACTCTGCTGGTCTGGACATGCAGCTAGGTGCTGATATCGACCTGGATTTCGAGCTCTACGGTCCCTCCGCACACGTCGACACCCAGACAGCAGCACAGAGTCAGTGGATTGCTGAGACACTGGAGAACGAAGCATACAACTTTCTCACGTTTGTCAATACCAAGATACAGACCTTGATGGAGGAAGACCAAGAACGTGAAAATGTCACCTTCGACGAACTCCTTCCACCGACACAGAATTCTCAGGTTGTAGGTGCTCAGGCTCTTCTTCACGTGTTGGCACTAGCGACCAAGGGACTACTCGCAGTGTATCAAGCGGAACCATTTGTCGAGATTGAGCTTGCCGTTGTCAGCCATTAATTGATGAGTTCAGTGAAGATGGGATGAGTGTACGAGGACATACAAAAATCGGGGAGGATTAGCTGGAAAAGATCTCCAGGTGTTGACTGGAAATGTCCGACGGGGTCTACCATGTTCAGATGGCGAGCAGCGTGGGCTATGATATGTATGCGTGTCTCAATGCTGATCGCAGAGCAATTCCATGATTGTCGGTGGTAAACATAATTAATTAGAGATTCGGAGGAGACAGTCCGGTTCTGTGACCAGAAGAGCTTCGGTGGACAGATAATGGCATCATAGTAAATCAAGGTCAATCAGACGACCAGGTTCAGCCCTGTCTTTTAAACCAGGAGGGCCCAAGGTTTGAAAGGGGTGAATCAAGCCAGCGAACCAAATCTTTGTCGTTTGCTTCTTGACTCTTGACGCTGACTTCGACCAGCGAACTAGACAATCTGTCCCAATCGGCGTGGAGCAGGGGAAATCTGGCCATGACCCATGACGTTTCGGCATCTTCTAGCCATCAACAATGCTGAAGGAGAAGTAGGTTTGATCAGCCTCCCAATTTGATACGGCGCACATAGCACTCCGTCCTCTTTATCCATTCTGTGGCTGTGCTCAGGAAGAGGCGAGCAAGATCTTGGTTTAGCGGAATGATTTGGGCGGAGAGCAAACGGCAAAGTGGTTGGATGCGTCGAATCATGGACCTGTGCCTGACTGCGCCTGTGAGCTCGTTCTTTGTTCGCAGTTTGAAACCAGCCACAAAGAACATCACCGACACGCACACGAAACTGGTGACACTCATTTATTATTCCCTATAGGCAGAGACCCGTTGAAAGGGGGTTGTCACTTTAATTCCTTCTCGATGCCAGTCCCAGAAAGAAGGATCAAGGCCTGAAACGCATGATCCAGGCTTACATTAGATTTACTCTCCCATCACCGTCGTCCTCTGCAGAAACGGCGGTCTTACGCCTTCGCCCCACAGGCGAGCCGGGGTGCCTGAGCCTCCCGTTCGGTATCCCTGTTAGACGGTCTTTGATTAAGTGGTACCCGGAAAGTGGCTGTTTTAGCTTCATTGGTGAAGGACATCGACCCTGCGGGCCTGCGCTGCAGCAAAGGTCGACCTTACCCGTACAGAGTATCCGTACAGAGTACGGAGTACGGAGTACGTACGTCTCTACTACTACGTACCACGGACCCCCAACTGACACTGACATCCCCAGGCGGCAAGAGGAACCACACTTTCTCCAGCCAGGCTGTGTGTGTTATGACAACTGCACAGATCACGAGCCACGAGTCTCCGACGCATTTCCTGACCATCACCATCGCTTGAGCTGAATCGGTCGACCCCTCGAACCTCTCTGCTTGTCTGCGTTTAGAGCCGTTGAACCAGCCTTTGGTTCATGCTTTTTGTCGCAAAAGAGGACAATGGAGGGCATGGTGTTCAAGACTCTGACTTTCACTTGAATCTCTCTCGTGGCTTTTCCCTTGTCCGGTTGCGTCCAGCCAACACTCTCGGACCCAGAACACCTCAGCAACGTTGCGACGAAGACGCCAGTTGAGCTCACCGACCTAGGCTGATCAGCTTTGGTGGCACGATGATGGCCGGCAATCAATACCGTCAACAATGGCAACAAGGCTCTGCACCTGTACAGCAAGCATATCACTACGATCGCAGAGATGATCAGAGACAGTGGCAAGAGAGTGGAAGAAGTCAAAAATCACACAATCAACAAGAATACCAAGGTTACAATGGATATCCCAAGGGTCGCAATGATTATGGCCAGGGTTTGGTATCTACGCCGAGTGATGATTATGAACAGAACTGGCAATGGCAAGGTCAAGACCAATACTCTCATGATGGCTACCAGAGTCAATATGCCGACAAAAGAAATGGCCATCCGCAAGCGCCTAGCTCAGATCCTTATTCCGGTCCAGACCATCCTTCGAATCGCACATATCAGTACGATGACAGATATCGCAACAATGGACACCGTCGACCGCCCGTGGAACCTGAGTTCTCGGGCTCTTCGAACGGCCAGAGGCCGCCACAACATCAAAGACCGGATCCTTCCAGTCCTCATAAAAGGTCAAAACGTAAGGATTGTTCATTCCTGTTGTATGTAAATACTGATGTGATCCAGCGCGACACAGGATCCTAGCTGAACCCACATCTCCCAAAAACTTGGCCTGGGACAATCCGTTCGGCGCCTTCCCTGGGAAGAAGAGACCGGACGGCAAGGAGAGGCGTGCCAGTATAGACAATAGCCTGGGCAACCTAAGTATCGATGACCGACCTCACAGCGAAGAGTCTGGTGCACGACCACATACATCTCACGGGCATCGTGGACTTCCAAGAAAAGAAGTCCATAGACCCAGTACTTCACACGATCGACCTTCAGACTTCGGTCGGCCTCCTGTGCAACCAGTCCATCCACTACCACCAGGGCGAATCTCATTAGAGATGAATCGTCCACATCAAAATTTCGCCTCAGATATGGGTCGACCTTCCCTACAGGAGTATCAATCAATACCAAGGCCAAATCCGTCAGACTTGAGTCGTCCACGTCATAATCCCGCTTCAGATGTAGCTCGACCTCCAATACAAGACTATCAACAATCGCCTAGGCGGAATTCGTCAGACTTCAACCGCCAACAACAAGATTTCAGACCACAGGGAGAGATCAGTCCGCCAAATCTTCGGCGTACACAGGAACCCCCGCGTGGACCTCCACCGCCATCAACAAACCGAGACAGACCTCATCATGCACCATACGGATCAATGCCAAGATACCAGTCTCGGGGCGGCTTCGATATGCAAGACGAACATGAGTCTCAGTATAATGGGCCCAAGGAATATTTCACGCAAAACGATGGTTACCTTCGCGACTACAATGCTCCTTCGGCGCCCTATGAATCACCTACAGGACCACCCCCGTCGAGGTTGCCACATCGGCCAATACCTCAAGAGAACTACAAAAATGGCCCGTATCGAGCTGGAGCGCCCAACCGGGCACCGGACTATGATACGAGGAGTAATGACATGCCCAACTTTGACGCCATCCCTCTTCGGGCGAACGAGAAGCCAGAGGACCATATCAATACCGGTCAACTATCTTCTTACGACCCACAAATATACCGAAAGCCCACATATCAGGTTCCAGGAGCATACCCAGGTCAAGTTGATACCACGCAGAGCAAGCCACCTACATCTTACGATGCTACTTCACCGCTCGCCGAGTTCTCATTTGATTTACCGCCCAATGTCAATACAAGACCTATACCCGCCGACAGAAATGAAAGCTTCGGCCAAGCGCCTTCTCGACGGCAATATAGTGAACCGAGAAATTTTGAGACGAGACCGCCGCCGGTGGGTGGTTTTGGAGCGGACGAGACTCAACCAATATCTGTTTCGCAATACCCTCCGCGAGCAGCGAGTAGGACTGGGACGAAGCCACCAGTGCGTGAAGCTCCTCCATTACCATTGAATACTCCAGGCTATGAATCGTTTGGACAGCAGCAACCTCCGACCCGGCCTCATACCAGTAGCGCGCAACGGCCGCCACCACGAAGTTATGACACGGGAAATTCTTATGGCCTGGAATCCCCCGAACATCGGGCACCTTCCGCGCCAGCCGGATCTGGACCATTCAATCAAGCATACAATTACACAGGAGCCAATCAACAATATCAAGCGCCGTACGGACAAGGACGACCTCCACGAAAAGAGTCTCAGGACAACTACAATATTACAGGGTCTAGATCAAATGTCTCGAAGTCTGCCCATCCTGTCCCTGTGCGACACTATCCGAATGCCAGCGCCGTCGCTACTGCCGGTACCGGTGCCAATGCCACTGCCACTGCCACTGCCAACATCAACCCTGACGCACTGCCAGCTCACCCGGAGCCCGTAAGACAGGTATCTAACCATGGATATACGGCCACTCAGCCACTAGCAGCTCAGCCAGAGCCAAGGCAGGCGACAGCACCTCCCCCGAGTAATGCCAACGGCAGTAATGCACCACAGGTTACGGTCCAAGAGCTTAACAATCTACGGGAAAGGTATCGGCAAACTCCGGGAGATCATGCCCTCGGACTACAATTGGCCAAAAGATTGGTGGAAGGTGCCAGAGTTTTGTCCGACGAAGGGGGTAAAGCGGATGCGAAACAGACGCAGAAAAACCGAGAACGATATATCTTTGAAGGGCACAAGTTGGTGAAGAAATTGGTGGCGGCGAACTATCCAGAAGCCATGTTCTACCTTGCGGATTGTCATGGACAGGGACTGCTGGGGCTACCGGTAGACGCCAAGGAGGCGTTCCATCTCTATCAGTCGGCGGCCAAATTGAACCATGCCCAAAGTGCCTACAGGGTGGCGGTCTGCTGCGAGCTAGGGACCGAGGAAGGCGGCGGAACCCGACGAGACCCTCTGAAATCAATGCAATGGTACAAACGGGCCGCGTCGTTGGGCGACACTCCGGCGATGTACAAGCTTGGGATGATACTGCTGAAAGGCTTGCTGTCCCAGCCAAAGAATCCACGAGAAGGTGTTTCGTGGTTGAAGAGAGCGGCGGAGCGAGCGGACCGAGACAACCCTCACGCATTGCATGAACTGGGACTACTCTACGAGTCGGCGACACCTATGGATCATATCATTCGCGATGAGGAGTATGCCTTCCAACTGTTCCAGCAGGCGGCGGAATTAGGATACAAGTATTCACAATTCCGGCTGGGATCGGCATTCGAGTATGGTTTGCTAGGCTGTCCGATCGATCCGCGGCAGAGTATCGCATGGTACACTCGGGCTGCAGCGCAGGGCGAACATCAGTCCGAGTTGGCGTTGAGTGGATGGTACTTGACTGGGTCTGAACCTCTTCTCACGCAAAGCGATGCGGAGGCATTCCTGTGGGCACGAAAGGCGGCAAGTTCTGGGCTAGCCAAGGCCGAATATGCGATGGGATACTTCAACGAAGTTGGCATTGGGACGGCGGTTGACCTTGATGAGGCGAGACGATGGTATTACCGGGCAGCTTGTGAGTATACATACCCTTTCGAATGGCGCTCTTGACTTGGTATTGCAGTGACTGACGAGGGCATCTAGCACAAAACTTCGGCAAAGCCCGAGAGAGGTTAGAGGAGATGAGACGCGGGCAGAAAATGTCCAAGACTCGAGTATCTCGGTCGAACGTCAACCGCCAGAGTGATGGAGAGTGTGTGGTCATGTAAATGTGTGTGGTTTGAATTATGGGTGGCATTCAGGGACACGGCGAGGGCTAGGGGGATCATGACAGAGCAATGGGGTTTTAATGAGGTTGGGCAATGCCTATCGAGCACGAGGAATAAACCAGAGAAATACGGGTTTGTTAATGGAAATCTGCCTGGGATGGGTAACGACGAACTGAGAAAGACGGGGTAGTGCACAGTGCACAGTGAGGAGGACCACAATATCTACCTAGTAGGTGCCATGCTCTCTGGGGATTCAACTGGTTTGCAGCCTCGTCTGGTCCACACGGGAAAATTATGGAGGATCGAGGATCGACAGAATAGTTTGTGCAATGGTTGGGATGGCGCTTCGATCCCACGCAGCTCAGACCAGGCAGCATCGAATCGAAGATCAAAGACGACGGCGCGCCTCTCATGGAAGCGAAGAGGGAGGGCGACGAGGCCTGCGCCCGGATGATTTAATATTGCTTCTTTGGCTGCCGGCAGGGTGACTCGGTCCCGTGACTGTACGAGTAAGGCATTGGCATTGGCAATGACCGCATCAGGACCTTTGCCAAAGCGTCCCAGCATCGCTTCTTCATCGCTTGATCGCTTGATCTCTTGATCACTTCATCGCTTCATCCCACCACCCCAACAGTCGGCTGATCAGTCCCGATCGAGTCGGTCATAATTGCAGTGCGCCATTAATTAATTAGTGCTACGATGGTGACGATGGTGACGATGGTGACGATGGTGACGATGGTGACGATGCCAAATCGTGTGACGTCTTGATCTCCATGCTCTCCACCATCTCCAGATCCCGACCCCGATATCATATCTATCGTTCTCTCCTACACGGACCATCCCTGTAAATCATCGCTTTTTCTCTCGTGCGACAAACCTTAAGACGCCCGGTTCTTCTGTCTTCCCGGGGCATCCCCCCCGGACTCCCTATCACCTATATCAGTGTCACACTAGAATCCTACCTCCCGTAATCTCGTCTCATTGCCTCACCCCCGGCCTCATCTAGTTCTCGATTCGAGCCGACAATCAATCACGAACATTCATCCACTTCTAGAATGCCACCCTGGTCCTGGTTGCCTATTTACACAGAGTCACCAATCAGGCCAGCCACACCCCTCTTACGGCCAATATAAAGGTCAATCCTGCCCGTCCAGGGCCTCGTCTCGACATGATCCGCTTTCCTACCTTCCGCTCCACCCCTGCCCCCGACACATCATCGGCTGAAGGCTCGCTCCGCGAAATCCTGCGCAAGGCTTCTGTATCCGAGCCAAGCATAGCCTCAGTCCCATCTTCCGGGTCGACTCTGCATAAGACGAGGACGAGTTCCATCTCGACAGCGACGTCTACATCTTCGAGCCCCTCGTCGTCCTCTCCGCTCACCTCGAGTCCCCGTAACAGCCAGTGTTCAGAGCAGAGTGTCAAGTTGACCGAAACCAGAACGAACAAGAGGCCAAGTTTCTAGTGGCAGTAGCAGACGAGCCGGTTTGGAACAATTGTAGTTGCTATAAAGCAAAAAGGACATCGGACCTAGAACCGTTCTCACCAAAAGGGCACCGTTTTTGTCGCTCCTGGACAATGCCCGGCTCAAAAGGCAACCCCAACGGACCCCGAACTCGGCGGAAAGATCGAACAGGGGGTCAAGAACGAGGGTAAAGGTATGCTACGTTGTATCAGTCTTACTCTCAGCCCTCTACCTCATAGGTACCTTGACAATCTGGGCATGCCACTACTGTTCTCTCTTTTCTTTTGTTCTTTGCCAGCACTTCCTCTGGTGCTGCTTTATCTGAATCCCTCTGATCCATCTGACGTCAATTCTTCTTTGGACAGGAGCCGGCAAAGGGTCCTGGTCTGCCTGGACAGCAAGCGAACTGACCCGTCGATACCAAGCCCGGGGCGGTGATACGAGGATACCGGGGATGAAAAGGCACAAGGTGGAAAAGAGCGCTCCCGAGAAGAAGGAGAAGTAGAGTGCGTGGTGACTCTATCCGTGTGAGTGTACAAGTGTGGGAGCTGTACAGGTTTAAAAGAGTGCATGCGAGGCCTGCTCTTCCTTCCTTGTTTTTCGACTTGTGATTCCGGGCCTGTGTATCAATGATGTATACTTATGTGTGAAGATACCTGAAGCGGGTGTACAGAATATCTGTATTCTTAGCAACATGATATGTATGGATAGATACCTAGAGGTCTGTGTATAGGTAGGTATATATAGATTGTCTCTACTACTCGTACTCGATTTAATCTAACAGTATCGTGTTATCCACAGTACTGACTACGTGAGTCGTGAGTCTTGAGTAGTGAGTAGTGGGCGCCAAAGGCTGTCCTAGACTCATATGAGAATGTGTTGTGTAGCGCGGTGCATGTAAATGATGGTGAGAAGGGACGGAACGGGTGACATCTGACCAAAACTAGAACGTCCCCATCGAACGGGATGACTTCCAATGACTAGAATGGAACGAAATAGTACGACACGACACGAACCGAACCAAACCAGGACAAATGATATATCTCAACATGGGAGGAAGGCAAGGGGTTGGACTCGAGCCGCTCCATCGAGCTAGCTTCACGTACGGAGAATATATATACATATACTCCATAAAACTGTGCAACTGGACATTGTGCAATCCGCCTCGGAGGACCGAGACGGAGACGGAGACAGAGAGAGGCGGCTGATATCCGTCTAGGCTGTCTCTGGCCATAATGGCCATTTCCAACTCTAGCTCGAAACTCTTTGCTCTTTGCTCTTTGCGCACTTGAGTTCATCTACCATCCTCAGCCACATCCTAGACTCAATCTCACCCGGTATTAACCCGACTCGCCCAATCCTCCATCCTATGCGTCACTTGAGACGCTTTAGATCTTCTGCTCGATCTTCTTCTCTGTACTCTTGGCCTTGCCTTCAATGTCATGCTCCAGTTCCTTCAGCGCCTCGGTCGTGCTGCCCGTCACTGATCGTTTGTACAAGAAGATCCGGGCGCATTGGATACTGCCGACTAGGGCGAGGCAGAAATTGACTGCTGCCAGACTAATAATCAAGCATAAAAAAGACACCGATTAGTCACGACATCCAGGCTTTCAGTCATTTTTGTGTGGTAGTATGAACTTACAGGACGTTCCTGGGCTTAATAACGAAGCACCATCTCGTCCAGATGGAGCCGGTAGCCACGAGAGCCAGATTCTGTGTCAAGGACAGTTTCTCGGCGGGTCGGAGGAAATCCGTGGCGCCAGCAAGCACCACACCCCATTTCATCACGGGAGCCCTGAATAGATCAAACCAAAGGTGTCAGCGTTCCCATTCACTGCGATCCCGTGCCTGTGGAGCTGTGTGTGGCAGTAACATGCCATCACACCCGCGGGGGGGATGGAAGCAGTGTCTAAGTTCAGGAATAGTCATGTCGTACCAGAAATGCACAGTCTTGATCCCGACTTCGCTGGTCCATAATCTCTGCCACACGCTCTGTTGCTGTACCGGACTCTCAACAGCCGGATTGGCTGCTGTGCCTTGGTATCGTCGAAAAATGGGGTTTCGAGCCTGGAATGGGGTTCGAGACACGAATTGTCGAGGTGATTGTTGCGCAAAGCGCAGGCCGAACCGAGCGGACATTTTTGAGAGGGCCGATGGAAGTTTACGGCTAAACCCAGACACGACGATGAGGATAATGAAATGAGTGGAGAGCTAGCTGAGGTTTCAGGGAAGAAGAGAGACTGTTGGGAGAGGAAGACGGGATCTAGGAATGAGTAATTGGACTGCGGTCCGAGATAGAGGATTAGGGACGGCAGGTCCACTAGCAAATAAGGAGGAACAGCTTAAGTCCGAATGACGGCGGATCAAATGGCTGAACTCGACCGGAAACGTCCCCTGCGCCAAGCCCGAGTCTCTCGTCCTGGGTGGTGATGCTCGACTTGCATTGCATTGCTCTTGCTGGTGGTGTAGATGCACACAGTCTCTTTACGAGCTATGCGCCAGTGATCTTCTCTCCTCTCACGCCCTCTCCAAACTTGATTTGATTCGAAAGAAACTGCGCCGCCATGGCCAGCAAATATGCCTTCACGCAAGGTCTAAGAGAACTCAGGTTTCACTTGTCCGGTACAGGCCCAGGAAGTGAAGCTGCCAGGTATGGAAGCAAGCAATGCCCAACCACGCAAGAGCTATGGCGCATGCATACGGACTGACGGCGCCTGATTTGGATGTTCAGATCATTTCTCAAACGAGCGTACCCGACGATGAAGCATCACAATCCCACCACTCCGATCTTAATACGAGAAGCTAGTGGCGTGGAACCAAAGGTGTGGGTGAGATATGGTATGAAGCCCGCAGACTACATCCGGTGGCTTGAGGTAGCTGACTTTTGACGGTGGTCTAGGATTCGGGAAGGAGAAATCCGAGTCGTTATCAGGTGAGCGTCGAAACATACAATATTACGGGACACACCAGTTCTGACCATTGCATTACAGGACTCACGGCCAAAGAAATCGAAGACCGGGTGACCACGTTGGTCAAGCATGAATAGTGCAACATGTCAGACTCGACCTTTTCCACCGGAGGGAGGAGGGATGTAACATACGCGCGACGAGGCCTGGATTCGACTGGACGAAGAATAAAAGGAAGGAGAAGGAGGATCTTTATACGAAGCGAACCCTCCCGATATTAAGAGTATCCGCACCTGACAAGGAAATGCACCTGTACATATTGACCTGTGCTCCCACACCAGATCAGACGCACCCGAGGTGCTCTACATCCGAACTACAAATGGTGTGCCTCCTGGTCTTCCTTTACTTGATCCCCTCCTGCTTCAAACCTGTACTGCGCCCAGGCCAGACTACCCTCAGCCAACGTCCACAGCTGTTTGCCCGGATCGTGACCTGCAGCGCCGACTGCTATATGTATAGGTAGCAAATGCTCAAAGGTGGGATGGGCTTGTCTGCCATCGGGCCGGGTGAGTAACTTGACCATCTTTTCGTCTCTAGCTTCACCGGCCTCGGTTTCCACGGCATCTTTAAGCGCAGCGTCAAAGGACGCCGAATATGGCATCGTCTTTCCCGTGGCCATAGCTGTCATCATATGCCGCAGGTTGTGTACTGACATGCCGCTGGCCACGATCAAAATGTTTTCGTCGCGGAGCTTCTGCACCGCCCGCCCGAGTCGAATATGTGCCGCAGCGTCGGTGTCGTCGTCGAACAGACTCACCTGTACAATCGGTACCGTGAGGGGATTGGTTTTCGGGTCGAACATGACCTTGAACGGCACGAAGACGCCATGGTCCAACCCCCTCTCTGCTTCTTGCGTCTTGATCCCGTTCTCGCCCAGTATGGCCATGACTTGCTTCGCGAGTTTGGGTGAGCCTTTGTTGGGGAATTTCTCCGAGTAGTAGTGCCGCGGAAAGCCGTAGAAGTCATAGATCAAAGGCTCCTCCTCGGCCACATTGACCTCGATCGTGTTGGGTCGATCGGCCTGCCAGTGGGCCGAGAAGACCACCACTGCCGAGGGTTTGACGCTCTCCGTGATTTCCTTCCCAATGCGTTGCAGCTGCGGGTACACTGGGTGGCTGGTCTCATACATGGTATTCGGGCCCTGTGAAGGGGATGTCAGCATGAGCAGAAGGGATCGTCCAGGAGGCGCGGACGTCTTTCAAATGATGTTGATGAAGGGCAAGCTTACCCCGTGGGAGACAAAATACACTGGCGTGCGTTTCGCCATTGTTGGTACGTCTGCTGTTGCCGCTGTTGGGCTGCTGCCGGTGGAGAACAATCTGCTCGTCAAGAGAAGGCCGCCGTTGACCAGAGATCTCAGCGGACTCCAGAATCGCACGGAAGTGGAAGCCACGTCGGCGACGGAACCGGAACCGGCGGGGGCGTCGTAGGCTGGCGAGGCTGGCTGGATGCTTGCGCTTGCAGCCAGCAGGACCCCGATGACCAAGACGACTAGCTTTGTGACTGTCTTTGTGGCTGAACTTGAAGAACGACCTTGCCCTCGGCCTTGCTCTTGCCGCTGGCTGTGTGATTCCCGCGCCAGCGCCAGCGGTGCGGCAACCTCTAGTATCTGGTGTGATTTAGGTAATGCCAAATTGGATTCTGTCCCGGGAGTCAGGCCGATTTAACGAGATGGTGTTGGTGGTGTTAGGGGGAGCTTCAATGGCAGTGGCGGCGGCAGCGGCAGCGGACTCAGTATCCGTACAGAACACCCTTGGGTATATACTAGGTAGGCTGGAATTGGAATCACTTTACCAGTGTTGTGTTGTTCTGTGAGGAATAATAAGAATATTTTATATAGGCCTTCGATTATACTACTCACATATACCTACATAATTACCTACCTCCCTACTGGTGCTACCCACCTGGATGGAGACAACCTACCTAGGTAATTAGCTAATCTTTACTTAGTAATATTTCATTTCATTTCCTTACTTACAAAGAGTGCTTTGGCTGACGAGAGCGCGAATGTGCCAGACGGAGTACGGATACAAAGTACCGATACTTTGTATGCCATATGGTACCTGGTATTAGGTCTCGTGTGATAGTCCATTCCGTACCTGTATCGTAAGCGGCCGTTGGAGACGCGGAATCTCCTCCGCTGTGCCTGAGCCCCTTACGCCGTACGGAGTATCAGTACAGTGGTTGGCTGTGGTTACAGATGTAGTGGGTATGTAATCAGATTCATCAGATTCCACCCACCAATCCCACTCCCACTCCCACTCCAGCGTGTGAGTTTCCAGACACAATTAATTGATTGCATTAGGTAGTCTCTTAGAGTTCAGATATCTTAGGACTCTTCTTACCCTGGCATGGGGAAGCAGGCGTGCTCTATCAGAAGTAATCAATCTGTTGAGTTGGAGGTTTGACCCTATGTACATGAGTCGCTGCAGCGGGAATTATCTTATAACTTATATTATAATTTACATATATATCCGACTTTTGCCCTGGACTACTAAATTCAACCAACACTGAATACTAGTACCCTGATGGACTCATCTGATCAGGCAAGTTTCACTATTGTCAATATACTATATGAGATAAATATATGAGATAACATCTCCATTACAACTTCGCTTTCGTTCCGACCTGCTGTTTGTTCTTCGCTTCAAACCATTCCTTGACTTTCTGCCTGGCAACCTCAACGACCTCTTTGTCCTCGACGGTCGCAGGGACATTGACTTCCTTGTCGTAGTTGCCTTCCACGGCATTTTCCACCAGCTCTCTCAACACGCGTCGAAGTGTCTTGCCGCTCCGGGTCTTGGGAATCATTCCTTTGCCTTGAACGATCCCGCCTAGAGAGGCGATGGCGCCGATCTGTGTCCGCACGAGTTTGTTGATGCCATCGAAAAACTCCTTGGAAGGCGTGGCCGGTAGATCGGAGGGTGTTGAAGCCGACGGGATCACAAATGCGAATGGTAAATGGCCTTTCATCGGGTCAGGAATACCCACAACACAGGCTTCGGCTACACTAGGATGTGATGTGACGGCTTGTTCGATGGCGCCTGGCTGAGTTAGTTGGTCCGTTGCGGAATGGAGATCAAGGGGCAAAATAAGATTCAAGACATACCCGTGCTGAAGCGATGTGCCGCGACATTGATGATATCGTCACTTCGGCTCATGACATGAACATAACCGTCCTGATCGATCATCCCGGCGTCCCCGGTGTCCAGCCACTTGCCATCGAAACGCTTTAGATAGCCTTTGTAGAACCGGGCATCGTCATTGAACAGCGAGGTGAAACCTGTTGGCGCTAGGGGCATGGCAAGGACAATATTGCCCATTCTCCCCTGCTGCACTTCGTTTCCGGCGTCATCCACGATGCGGACATCAAATCCAGGCATGGGTTTGCCCGCGCTCCCAGGCTTGATAGCCAGAGTTTTGTGTTCTTCACGGGTCCTGGGGTCGAGACCAATGGCGGGTCGGAATGCAAGTCCTGTCATAGGGCTGCCTGACTCGCTTGACCACCAATGGTCAATGACCCGCGCATCTGGAGCGGCGTATTTGCTCAAAAGGTCCTGATAATGTACAACGATGGAAGGCTCAGACCTTTCGCCTGCAAGGAACAAGCCACGCCAATGTCTCAAGCGGCCCTTCTCACCGCGTTCCTTGAAGAATTTGTCCTCTGGGTCTTCTTTTCGAATGGCTCTGAGAGCGGTGGGGGCGGTGAACAATGTTGTGACTTTGTGTTCGTCAACCAGGCGCCAAAACGCACCGGCATCGGGTGTACCAATCGGCTTGCCCTCATATAAGATGGTCGTCGCGCCGGCCAGTAAAGGTGCGTAGACAATATAAGAATGTCCCACAACCCAGCCAATATCACTCCCAGTGAAAATGACATCGCCAGGCCCCTTGACGTCAAAGAGATATTTAATGCTGAGATTTAGGCCGACGGCGTGACCACCTGCTTCCCGCAGCACACCTTTCGGTAAACCTGTGGTGCCGCTGGTGTAAATAATGTACAACCCATCGGTACTTTTCACTGGGACGGCCTCGGCCCGTATACCTCTATTCCGCGCGCTCTTGACCAGCCGTTGCCAATTTCGCTGGCCGGCGTGTTTGATGACGGGGTCCCACCTCCTGATATCCCGCTGCCAAATAATAGTCTTGCTGGGCTTCCAAGCACTCTGCTCAATGGCTCCCTCGACAAACGGCCTATACTCCAAAGGCCCTTTTGTGCCTTCAATGGCACAGCTGGCGGTTAGAATAACCTTCGGCCTGGCGGCATCGATCCGTTGAGCCAAACTTGCGGCAGCAAATCCTCCAAAGACAACTGCATGCAAAGCGCCCAGGCGGACGGCAGCCAACATTCCAAAGATTGCCGCCGGAATCATGGGCATGTATAGGAGAACGACATCACCCTTCTTCACACCTTCTTCCCTTAGGACGCCTGCAAGGACCTCCACCTCATCCAGCATCTGATTGTAAGTGTACTTCTCTTTCGATCCGCTGACCGGGCTGTCCCAGATCATAGCAATCTTGTCGCCGTTACCGGCTTTCACGTGCCGGTCTATACAGTTGTAGGTGGTGCTGATCTCGCCGTCAGGAAACCAAGACCAATGAGGATGTGTCGTGCCGTCTGGTAGCCGTTTTGTCTTTCGCTGCAGGACTGAGCTGTAGGGTTTATGCCAATGGAGTTCTTTTGCATGGCTATCCCAGAATTTCTCGGGGTCGGCGAGGGAGGCACTCTGCGCCGCGTCCTGCGCTGTATTGTTGGGCGACATGGCGCCCGGAGAGGGAGTGAAGAGTACCGTGCGTGTGAGAGCAAGGGGAGTTCAGTGGCGATCCTTGGATGATTCAAAAAGTAACGGAAGGATGACGAGCGTAAGGCTAAGGATTCTTGTGGATGAAGCTCAGAAACAGCGAAGGCACAGAGGAAGCGGAAGCCGCGAATTTAGCTAGAGACACATCACCGAGAGGCGAGAGGCGAGTGGATGGGCATCGGCTTGTAGCTGGCCTGGCATTCTCTCCGGATGGGCCGTCAAGCACGAACAAGTGCAAGATGCGTGGACTATATACTAGCCAAAGAGCAGTCCTCGCCAGGTTCAGGAACGTGATGGTATCCTAACCTGGGGCAAAACAGCAAGGTGGACAAAGTATCCCAGGCAGTGGGGTAAGGTACCAGTATGGGGTAAGAGAGCGAATTCATCGGTCGGACGGAATGTGCAGCGCAGCGTACGGATAGGAAACGGCGTATACCGGGCGATCAACGCAGGGAACATCATTGGATCACGGTCTCGTTCTTCTTCTAGATTCGATCACAGTCCCGGTCCTGGTCCCGTGATGGCTGGAAGGAGAGCGAGAGCGAGATCGAAGGAGGGAGAGAGAGAGCGGGTTCCAGGTTCCAGATGTCATAGACCGAGGCTCCTTAGGTAGGCTGCTTTTGCGCAGGCTTGGCGCTAAATATTGGAAGCTGCACCTGGCTTCATCTCCGTACTCTGTATCTGGTATCAGTTACCTACACGTCCACACCCCAGACTCGGTGATGCTTCGGGTCATCGACCTGTTGTGGGTGGACTGAGATCCCTTCGTCCTTGCCAGCTGATAACGGTAACGGTAATACACGCCTCACCTAATACCACATAGATGGGTCGGAGGCACCACGGAATCCCGAGAGAATCCCGAGCGTCCATTGACACCAAATTGGAGATTTCAGACAAGGATGGAGGGAAAGTGTCAAGAACTCCTTTCAAGGGCAAAAAGAGCAGGCAAAAAGAGCCCACGTACTATTCATTCACCTCCTACATACTCAGAGTCCAACTTCGCGACTTTTGTTGACATGCTCACGAGCCTTCGTCCGTGCGTCAGGTCCAGTCAAATCTCCATCTGATTTAGTAGCCGCTGTCACAAGAGATCTGGCAGAACATGGAGCGGCCGGAGATGTCAAATAAGATGGTGCAATCATAAAGCTAAGATCATCAAAACAAGCGAGCACAACACGCGAGAACTCCATACTCAGTCCGCGGGGGAGGATTTTCCAGGCATGGCCTACTCCTCAGAACAACTCCAACTGCAGCGGAAAGGGATATCAGCAGATAAAATTTCACATTTTGGGTGCCCCATAAACTCGCGCTGCAATGCTATATCCTCAAAAAAATGTCCATTCATTAATATAGAAACAGACACCCAGGGTCTGAATGTAGGAAAAGATCCCACATGCCCAACAACGACCAGCCGAAGACTGAATCCAATTCGCCGGTGCGCAGCATGTAAGAAACTTGCAAAAATCGTCATGTCCGCCATAAGTCCATGTCTTCGGATGCAAACCACGGCCGCTTTGCCTGCTCGTCGTTTTCCCCTGGGTCACTGGATCAAGAAGTCAAATGCGGGGCCAAGACCCTGGAAGAGTCGATCCATCTTCAGTAGTCAAGCTCACAGAAGCTGATATACCCATCCAAGCCATGACCAAAAGCAATCCACCATTTACAGCAGGAGAGCAGCAATGGCACCGACACCAGCAAGACCAGCACCAACGTTGGCAACGAGGGCGTTGGCAGCACCAGTGTATGTGGCGACAGCAGGGGCGGCAGAGGATGGGGTGTAGGCCCAGACCTCAGTGGAAGCTGGAGCAACCGGCTTGGAGGTCTCAACAGCAGGAGCGACAGGGGTGGAGGTCCAGTCAGCCCAGGTTGAGGCGGCGGCAGTCTCAGTGACGCTCTCGCTGCACACAGAGTCAGTACAAATTTGCCTTTGCAGTCGCCCATGTTAGAAAGTGCTTACCTGCACGAGGTGGAGGTCTTGGTCCAGACTGGGACTGAGACGGTGAAGGGACCACCGGTGATGGTCAGAGTGGTGGCGCCGGTGACAGTCCAGGTCTTGCCGATGTGGGTGATCTTGGTGGCCTCAGGGCAGAAGGTTGTGATGGCGGTCACAACGGTGGTGGTGTAGCTGTCAGGAGTGCTGGTCCAGTCGGCCCACGTGCTCTCAGCGGCGGCGGGAGTAGTGGTGGTTGTGGTGGTGCTGGCGCTGGCGGTCCAGTCATCCCAGGTGCTGGAGGCAGCAGCGGTGGTGGTGGTAGTAGTGGTGGTGGTGGTGCTGGCGGTCCAGTCGGCCCAGGTGCTGGAGGCATCAGCGGGCGCGGCGACGGCGGCAGTAGCGAAAGCTGCAACGGCAGCAACAGACATGGCGACCTTCATCTTGATTGGAGAGGGTGGTAGTTTCTAGATTAGAAAACTGGTAATAGGTTGATAGTTGGATTGTTGAAAACGAGTGTCGTGGTACAAAGACCGGGATTGTTCGAGTCTAACGAGTGACTGGAAGTTGGAGTTTGATCGTGGATGGAAGAAGAAAAGGCGTGACTGAGGGACAGGGTACCGACCATATATACGTGTATGCTGGAGGAGCATCCAGCTGGACGGCAACATCCCAGGAAATTAGGGTATCATCCTAGCGTGATGGTACCCATGATGATGGTGGTGTAGTAGTGCCACGAGTTGTTGTGAGGGACTACTGGTGGATATGGCTTGTGGAGGACGCATTTGCGAGGCGTCAGGGGTAGTGTCACCAATTCCCTGCGACTATCCACAAGGTGCCATTTAGCGCAGCCTCATCAGCCTAGTTGTCCGTGCCATTGGGCGGTTTCAGGCCCGGGGCCAAATTGTGGCGGAGTTCGGAGTCGCTGCAGCGACTTCCATCAACATGCTGGTCCCGTCTCCTGCAAGCTTCGCGGCTCTCATCGCGGGCCTTTGGTTTGAGTGCTGTCAATGTCAGCGTCAAACCGATCAGCACTGATCAATATGAAGCACATCGCAATGTTGTTTTGCTTGTCAGGCGATCTCGGCTTCCTTCTTCAATATTATTCTGGTGGATGTCCGAATAAAACGTCGGTGGGGTTTAGTCGTCGGCATCATTATCCAGTTTGCTGCCATGGCTAAGGACAGACGATGCTGGTGTTGCGACGTGGGCCAAGGCCTGGTTGGCCTGTTGCGGTCTCAGTACTTAGTAACTCGTGTAGTGCCTGCTCTTCTCAACGTGCCAATCATCGGTCGTCGCGTGAGACACGGGTGGCATTCCCAGATCAGAGGTTTGGGTAGGAACTTGGAAGACGGGCCCGCGACCAGAATGGAATGGGTGTAGCACGTAGCACTGTGCTTCCCTGGCTGTGGCACGGCGCGACTGGTTCCTCGAGTCGACCGAGGCCATGAGTCCACCGCCTAGTTGCTCCGCGTCGAAGGAGGTCGCAATCTAGGAGCGTCTGCCGTCACCGGAACAGTCTTGGGGCCAAAGGGCCAGATCCAACACAGACGAGTGTGTCCAATGCAAAGCTTAAGCCTGCTTATTCATGCAAAGGCAGTGTTCTCGTTGGGTGTCGAGGAGTCGAGGTGATCAGAGCTGGCGCCTTGCGGAAATGAGGGCCAAGCCTGAGGAGCCTGCGGCCCCCGCCTGCAGCCAATCGGCAGGCCAGCAGCTGCGAGCTTGGGGAGCTTGGAGCCTCGTCGACCTCGTCCGGGAATTGCACAGTAATCACCCTCCACTCTGGACTTCGTTGTTCTTCTCCCCAAATCTCGGTCGCCACTGTCAATGTAATGATCTCTCCATCTCTCCAATTCGACCTTCGCCCTTCCGCTTTGTTATGGGCCAAACTACGGAGTACTTCGCCGTCCTCTGTGGCATCCGCGGATCCAGGCCCAGCCGTTCCCAAAAACTTTTGGTACAATCCAAGCGACCCGGCTGATCCTGATGCATTGAGCAGTTTTTCCCCTACAAAGTGTGTAGCAATGACATACAGTGGAGGGGTCACGGACGCAGCAACACGCACGCAAACCAAGACCCAAACCTTCATACGGTATAGGCAGTCACAGACTCTGATGAAGCAACCCGAACCTCATCCGCGTCTAGACCAGACGGAAGTCGTGCTTTTGACGTCTTGGTGTTGTGATGATCAGCATTGACCATCCATGCCAAAACAACAGCCACAGGTCATCGATGTATCTAGGTTCTACACTGCTGAGCGACTGCACTACACAGGCCGCACGGTAAATATGCTACCCTGCTAGACTATGGCTAGCACACCAGTTCGCCAAAACGAAGATGCAGGCCTGGACCGGTATTTCTTCAGAGGCGAGACAAAGCGCAGCTCCAGGTCCCAGCACTAGAATTTAGTAGAATTCGCCACGAGTCGCTGAAAATAGTATCCGATCATACGACGTATGGGGAAGCTACAATATTTCCATGATCCATCTCATCCACCGGTCGAGGCTGGTCGCTTTCCACCTAGGGAGGTCCCAGCTGGATTCAGTTTGGCATCACTTGGATCGATCCGACTTACTGTTGCTATGGTCATCCACCTTCATCGCAGTACAGAGTACTCCGTACGGATCCTGCGGGTGAAAGGAAGCGAGCGACAGCGACAGCGACACGATACGACACGACACCAAATAAATAAACAAACAAAAAGCCCAGAAGTGGTAAACAAATATCGGTGTCCACTCGTTCTGTGCACTGTTTCCTGTCTCGACAGAGTTCTCAGGACAGCACCCCTTCCACCCTGGACCAAATCGTGCATCAGTCTCGTTACTACTGAGAAGGACAATACTTGCATGACACTTGACATTGTCCTGGTTCTATGGACTTGTGAGTCTGATGCGAGCTTTGCCAAACAACTTCCAACACCAAGGCAAGTCCTATAACGCAGAAAGAGTACTGTACTCTATACCAGATTGTCCACGTATTTGATAGTACTAAGTACGGAGTAGGTATAGTATAAATAACTATGTACGGATACGCCTATGGATACAGATGCAGTGCTCCGCATGGCTAACCCAGCCAGGTAGCAAGCAGGGTGTAACTTCAAGTCCTCGGTAAGCAAGTAATTACTAGGACTCCGTACGTAGTATAATCTCAGCAGGCTCATCAGACAGATCGAGCACCATTATGTGACTAGTCGAGACTTTCTGAGACACACGAAATGAGGCCCCCATGTTAAAGTGGACGGCGGACGGAGAAACGTTGGCCTAAGGCGGTCCGACCAGACAGGCGAGGCTCCAAATCCCTCCTCCGTATGGAGTATTCTGTAATTAATTAATTAATGATTAATGGGCAAAATGGAAATGGAAATGGCAAACTCGCCCCTGGTAGGTGCCTGGTACGTGCATTTATCCTACGTATTATTTCTCTCTGGGAGTCTCTCCTATTATTCATAATAACAGAACCTCTATCAAACCAAACAATCGACACTTGTGACCGCCGCCTAGGTACGGAGTACAGTACCTACATACCCAACGACCTGGACTGTCGTCTATGAATGCACCTGGGAATTTGGGCAATTGAGCTTCTCTAAAGCCCTTACGATCGATCATCAATCTTTCACATTCTCACCACTTGCCATCACTGCCCTCTGCTGAAGAAAAGCAGCACTTCTGGTCAAGCAACTTCCGCCATCATCTGCGCTGAATTGCTTTGCTAGTACCTTACAACTTAATAACTACTCCGTCATGTGCTCACCATCTGCTGTGGTACCGTCCCTGGTCGATCAAACACTGTCATTTCTTCGCTTCGCCAGTAACCGCCAATCCAATCCTTCTCGATTTCCGTCTGTCACCTGGCCGCCTGACTGCCGGGATGCCGGTTGCTACAATCCTCCAGCTTCACATTCCTGACGTCGGTGGTATGCTGCTCACTTTAGTCAATGTTTGGATCAGTGCCGATGGGACATGGACAAGAGGCCTACCAGGCAGCGCGACTTCAAGTCGTCATTGAACTCAAATAAGTACCGGGACATGGCGCACCAGCTTCCTCATAGACCATGCTAACTCGGTTCTTGTTGATGAGTTTCGGATGGATCTGGTTTTTGTCGTCGAATTCGAATGGCACCACCATGACTGACTGCATCCTCGCTCTGAGATTGTCTTGGAACTTGGTTGTATACCCTCGGAACACTCCGAGCAGGATGAACTCGTGACATTTCATCTCGGTAAAGGCCTTCAAGAAATGGTAATCGGCAGTGACGACTTTGGCACGACCACCGAACATGACAGCTAACTTTCGCAGTGTGGTGTGAGCTCCAATCAGGCGAAAGACTTGCTGCAAGCTCGCGTCATTCACGTATCTGCGCTCATCGATGCTAGTCTGCGGAGAATTTCTGACGGAGGCGTCGGTCAACAAGAAGGATACGTATTTGATGTGGGAAAAGTTGATCGGGCCGATGGTCTCAAGAAATCGTCGGACGTCATCGTAACCGATTTCCTTCCAGTCTGGTTCCCAGTACCTTCCACGGACCTCAGAGGAGCGAGCAAAGTGGAATGAATTCTCGCCATACAAGATCCCCCTACCCTCCTCGTGGACCTGCTTGCAAGTTCTCAACAGAGCAGACGACCGACTGAAGTTGGTACGGCGACCAAAATCAACCGCACATTCTCCGCGAAGAGCGAAACGGTAAATTTGAACCCGCACTTCGGGAGGCAGGTCGAGGAAAGATGGCTTATTCACATGTATGTCGCTCGTGGGTTTGTCGCCTGCCATGTCCATGTGCGGGTGATTGATCTTCCGTCCAAGCACAACGTTTGTTGAGGCCATACCAGGGACTCCCAGGTGGCTCTTGAGGAGATCACCCAAAGTAACGTTGAGGTTGATCCCGGCCAGATCGTATGATATGCTGTTAAGTTCAGAACTGTGGCATTCTGCAAGCCCCTTTCTTACGCCAATGGCAGCTTCGGTCGAGGGTTTCGCACGCTTGGTAGACCAGAGACCGTTGTCTTCGTCTTCGGATTGGTCATAATCAACAATGCCATCATCGGACAGATCAGGGACAGGGGGTGGCTTTCCATAGCGAATCTCTGCTCGAGCTTCTGCGCGACGTCTCTTGGCTTCTTCCAGCTCTTCCTTGTTCTGCGCACCTCGCTTTCTCTTGCGGGTTGTTCCGTGTCCTGGGGCATCCGAGTCATAGTCATAGTGATAGCCACAGAGAGATTCGTCGCTATCATCTAACGGATACGGATCGATACTGGGCGGGTTTGGTGCAGTTGGCAAGGTCGCGCCGGAAAGCCGACCTTTCGCACGCGACGACATGGTTGGGCGTCTAGGTAAGCAACGATGATGTGTCAGACACAAGTCAGTCGCTTCGTGATGGATGTTTTAAGAAGAAGTCGGGCGTGACAGAAGGTGTTGAGTGGACAAGAGTTGAAAGAGAAGAAGGCAAGTACGCGCGACAGACAGATCGATAAGTCAGTACCTTAGTCAATTGATCGAGACGCGTTTTATGGACGTGACGAGAGGAAAGCAGCATCACAGATCACAGCTTGTATGATTCGATCGTGAGTGATTCACTGCACTGCACAGCACTGCCTCGCAGTTGAACTTGCGCTTGGCGTGCCGCAGTTCCATTTCTATAAAGAGTCATTGCAATTGCTGCTTTCAACAAAGCCTGAAGGACACAAAGGGAGAGTGAAGCTGTCCCCGTCGCTCACTGCCTCGCTCACTGCCTTCCCAACGGCCAGGCTTGAGGCTTGTCTGGATGTACGACGTCTGTTCACTCGTTAAAATAGCGGCATCTGAGCTTGTTGCTAGCAGCTAGCAGCTAGCAGGAAGAGGAAAGCAGAGTGTCGCCGCGCAGCGGTGGCAGTGGCAGTCAGTGTCTTGAAATCAGTCTTTCATTCACTCATCAAGTTGTCAACCAACACATCGACAACTATATGGTGGAAACAGGAGTAGGAAGACCAAACATGCCAGTTTTGACGACCTCGACCCCCAGGCATGGGCAGGCCATGTGTCCTATCCTACATTTCCGAGTTCAATACCTACAATCTAGAAACTCCAGGAGTAATCTCCGATCCCATTGTGCCCTGGCGGCATAAAGCAGGCAGTGCAGAGAGCAAGCATAGAGGTGAAACAAGAATATCAAAAGTAGGGAGGTAGAGAGTCGGAGTCGAAGTCGAGAAGATCAATGTATCGTCGATTAACAACATCTCCAATCAGTGTCTTTCAAATTGTCCTTCAAAGGTGGTAGGTGGACCCAGGACATAGCAACACCGCCCACAGGCCCCCAGCCGGAGCTGGAGCGCGAGAGCTGCGAACTGACGTAGAGGTGCTCTTCATCTTGGATTTAGTTGTGAAGAAGAGGAGAGGAAAAAGAAGAGGAAGAGGAAAAGGGCGCGGATGGGGGGTGACGGTGAAAATTATGTCTCTCGCGAGACCTGCCTCGTACAGACGTGAATTATTGGAGGCATCGGCCGACTCTCCGCAGCAGGGCGCATTGGACTTCGTCCCTTGACTCGGACGACGCAATATTATTTAATATCATTTATCATTTATCACATCGCCCCTCTCGCTTCCTGGGCCATCTACCTCCCGCTCGTCTTCAACCAAGGAACTGGACAGGGAACTGGACCAGAGCTGGTCTGTCACTAGGAGCCTCCTCCGATTGATTGATCCCGTCAAGTGCTCCTCGGTTTCAAAGAGATAGAGATAGCAGGGCGATTGACATCTTACGTCTTCCGCCCCTCTCACCTCTCTTGCTGCTGTGGATCTTGACCTTGGATACCACATCTCCATTCCTCCGTTGCAAACATGGCCCGTCCTTTGGTCTCCAAGCGAATTTGGGGTTCCGTCCGCCTATCTCCCTCCAGGCTGTCAGTGTGCTCGTCATGCAGAGCGACGGTCAGAGGGCTGTCGTCTTCAAGAGCGCTGACCTCATCCCTGGTCGAGGCACAGCATAAGGTACAAGTTCTACGTCCCACGTCCCACACGGACCTCACCACTGACGCCGATCCAGTTACTAGGTGACCATCTCAAAGATGCCGACCCCGAAATCTATCAGATATTACAAAAGGTATGGTCTCATTCCGGACTACAGCCACCTCCTCTAAACATGGCCAGGAAAAATCGAGGCAAAAGCACTTCATCAATCTCATCCCCTCCGAAAACTTCACCTCTCAAGCAGTACTAGATGCGCTAGGGAGCATTATGCAGAGTCCGTTTGTGCTCCTCCAGTTAATCACATGTTGATCTGACCCTTCTCCCAGATAAATACTCTGAGGGATATCCCGGAGCCCGCTATTACGGCGGTAACGAATACATTGACCAATCAGAGCGTCTTTGTCAGAAGCGAGCCTTGGAGACATATCGTTTGAATCCTGAAGAATGGGGTGTAAATGTTCAGCGTGAGGCACCAAAATCCCTTCCGTCCAATGCCGTACTGACACTTCCAAGCCTTGTCTGGCTCCCCGGCCAATCTGTACGCCTACTCAGCATTGCTCGCCTCTCACGAGAGAATCATGGGCCTGGATCTCCCTCATGGAGGACATTTGTCTCACGGTTACCAGACGCCGACCAAGAAGATCTCGATGATCTCGAAATACTTCGAAACATTCCCATACCGATTGGACGAGTCCACCGGCCTAATCGACTACAAGAAACTGCATGACAACGCACTATTGTACCGTCCGAAGATCATTGTCGCAGGAACGTCTGCATACAGCCGACTGATCGACTATGAACGCATGCGAGCCATTGCCGACGACGTTGGTGCCTACTTGCTGTCCGACATGGCACACATTTCCGGGTTGGTGGCCGCCGACGTCATCCCTAGCCCATTCGCCTACTCGGATGTCGTGACAACTACGACGCACAAATCACTACGCGGGCCTCGTGGAGCCATGATCTTCTACCGAAAAGGGGTGCGTCGGACCAACAAAAAAGGGGAGAAGGAAATGTATGATCTCGAAGGGCCCATCAACGCGTCCGTCTTTCCCGGCCACCAAGGAGGTCCCCACAACCACACCATCACGGCGCTGGCGGTCGCTTTGAAGCAAGCCCAGAGCAAGGAGTTCAAGGACTACCAGCAGACTGTGTTGGCCAATGCGAAGGCGTTGGCCGAACGTCTCGGGAATTCCGCTTACACAGGCGGACTGGGGTACAACATCGTTAGCGGAGGCACGGACAACCATTTAGTTCTCGTGGACTTGAAGTCAAAGGACATCGATGGAGCTCGCGTCGAGCGGGTTCTCGAGCTCTGCGGCGTTGCCGCGAATAAGAACACCGTCCCCGGCGACAAATCGGCCCTGAAGCCCGGCGGCCTTAGAATGGGCTCACCCGCCATGACGACTCGAGGCTTCCAGCCTCAGGACTTTACCAGAGTGGCGGAGATCGTGGACCGCGCCGTCTCCATCACCATCAACGTCGACAAGAAGGCCCGTTCCGACGCCGAGAGCCAGGGCAAGAAGAATCCTCGTGCCGTCAAGAGTTTCCTCGATTATCTCAAAGACGGCACTGATGTGCCGGATATTCTGACCCTGAGGAAGGAGGTCGAGGACTGGGTGGGAACGTTCGCTGAGCCGTGGATCAAAGATTAATTCGCCGAGCTGGGTAGCAGCACGATGAAAGAAGTGGTATTGTGTTTAACTAGGTCCGCCCTCGATAGCTGTGTAGTATGGTACAAAATGGTAATGATACTACAAAGGAGTCGACATCGCCTTGTCTCGCCCTCTGTTATTCTGGCAGGCGGAGTATTGGAGTAGTATTGCATTCGTCTGCTTCTGATCCAAATCAAATAGCATGCCATTGAATCCTGGATAACCCGTCCATCCTTGCAGTGGCAGTATGCCTCACCCAGAAAATAAGGAGATGTTGTAAGAGCTGCGACCAAAGATAGTCCAACAGGCTAGGATACCGCCGTCCGAATCCAGCAAAAGAGAGCCCCCAAGGCTGCCGCTGGTGATGGTGGGCTGGACACTCCAAACCTCACTTTGGCCTCACAGATACCGGTGGTCCTGTCAATTTGCGAGACCAACTCGGCAGACTGTTTTTGTTTCATGCGGCCTTCCATGAACCGCTCCAAGAGCGCCCTGTCCCTACCGAGCCATCGAGAAGACGCAGAGAGCCGGGGTTCATTTCATCTCTGCTGCTATTGGAGAGGCTTCATCGACCCAACCCCCTCAAAAATTGAGAAGCGTTTGCTGCTCCATTCCAAAGGCGGTAGCATCTTGACATCTCGCTTTGTTCATATAACCCAACCCAGCTCCCCCCAAAGATGCGACCTGAAATGTCTGCTGTGATGCTATGCATAATACCTGTCCATATTTTCATCCATGTTGATCCATCCGTAAACTCCAGTAATCAGTCGCCATCATAATCGGCGTCCTCGTCCTCCTCATCGCCCGCGATTGCCACGGCGGGTCCCGGCTTTGCCGTTGCATAACTGCTGAATTTTTGGTCCTCGGCGTCCTGGGCGGCAGCTTCCTGGGCGACGTTCTCGCACGCGTCGATCCAATCGGAGTAGACATCGACGTGGGCAGAGAGGTAGTTGATGCCTGTCTGAAAATGTTGGCCGCACACTTTGCAGTGCAGGTTGCCGACGCCGGCCTTCTTGTCTAATTTCACCTGGATGGCTTTTTCGTGGTTGCAGAAGAGGCAGGTGAAGGTGGTGGCGAGCGGTTCTCGCTTCCTCGGGCCTTGGGGCTTGCGTGAAGACTTCTTACGTTTGCCCTAGGATCACCGAGTCAGAATGTGTAAAGAGTAAAGGCGCGAGAGATGAGGAGGAAGCTACCATATTGTCAATGACCGTTGAAGATTGAACTTGTAGAACAGACGCTCGCTTTTGCTGATCGAGTGCGAGTGCGAGTCTTGTTGAAATTGAAGCCAGTTGAAGCCAAGTTGAGGCGACTTTCACCTCCGCGTCACAGTCAATAATATATATTACAGGTACTAGTAGGCACCTAGCAGGCAACTAACAGGGCTTAGGGGCACCAGCGAAGACCGGGCGCCGGGAGCGGCATCGGGTCACGTGGGCGTACGCGGGCGTGGGCGTGGGCGCAGGGCGCAGGCTTATCGCGGGCCCCGCCGGTAGCCAATGATAACGATGGCGCCCGCATCTCAACTACTAATGGAGTCTGTAAATACTGTCCGAGCAGCATCGTAACCTCAGTTTCGAATATATTCCACTAGTCGACCGAGCTCTGATACTACCTTGCTCGAGCTTCTTGATTTCTCATCCTCTGTCCGTGTAGCTTTGCTGTGGCCGCCCTTTGTGTTGCTCTGAACACTCCAGTCTTCTTTGTTACAGTATCTCACCCCGTCTCCAAGCATATCCGGCAGACCCCCGTTGCCCCCCTTCTTCGATTGCCATTGCGGATTTCAGCGGTTCTTGGATTTCAAGAGTTGAGAGAACCGTTCAGCGTGTTGTTCAACCTGCCATCGCATCGTCCGGGTGTTGTTTATTGACGCCCTCCGCCTCCCATCATGGCCGCTCCACAGCCGTCCGGCGTCGTCAACAGTACTGAACTCGTCTTATCCGAGATCCTCTCGACTCTGAAGAAGCTGGAAGCCGACCAGGCACAGTTGGCCACCAGCGTGGAGTCTCTCCAAAGCAGAGTTGACCTCTCAAATTCAGTCAATCAGTTACGGAGCGGTCATCATTCCAAACATCGTGATGGCGTTAAAGAGTCTCCAAGCCTAGATCCTGTCCAGCTGGCCACAACGGCGAATGGGGCAGCCCCTCCTCCTCAAGATTCGGCCCTCCATGCAACCAAGACACCTCCTTCGCCCACCGCCAAACGATCTTCTATCACCTCGCGAATCATTCTCACTACTTACCCAGGTCAGTCAGGAATCGACCCTATCCCGCTCGAATGGGGCGAGGCCGACCCGATCAAGCGCGGCCCCGTCGTTGTCAGCAGACACCACCACTCGATCCGGAGACGGAACGCCATCGGCGCGCACGGCGGTTCGTATTCAATCTACCATGCTCTCGCGGTTGCTAGCCAGCACCTGAACCTCGAACACAAGCCAGACTTTACCAACACCGAGCCAGCCACACTCATCGGGCCTTTCCCGGCCTGGGGCGACAAGAAGAAAATCGTAGCCATGGATCCCTTCGGCCACCTGGGGCCCTGGCTGTACAACGATTACATCCAGAACCAGGACATCGACATCCGACCAACCATCGCCGTAACGAAGGCGCACATGAAGATCCCCGAGCTCGAGCAGAGCGTCAAGGCCGGCCGGCTAGTACCGGACGGTAAGATCTGCCTCAACGAAGAGGGCGAGCTGAGTGTGACCAAGTTCGCCGTCGAGCCTGTCTGGTATCTGCCCGGGGTTGCCGAGCGGTTTGGCATCGAGGAGAGCTCCTTGCGCCGCGCGCTCTTCGAGCACACCGGCGGCTCGTACCCGGAACTGGTGACACGGAACGACATCAAGGTGTTCTTACCGCCCATCGGCGGCTTGACCGTCTACTGCTTCGGCGACCCGGCGAAGATGTCGGACCCTAATGCCTCGCTCGCACTCCGCGTGCATGACGAATGCAACGGCAGTGACGTGTTCGGGTCCGACATCTGCACGTGCCGACCGTACCTCATCTTCGGGATTGAAGAAGCGGTCAAGGAGGCCCAGAAGGGGGGCAGTGGTGTGGTCATCTACTTCCGCAAAGAGGGCCGGGCGCTGGGCGAGGTCACCAAGTACCTGGTGTACAATGCGCGGAAGCGCGGCGTGGACCGCGCCAGCGACTACTTCAAGCGCACCGAAAACATTGCCGGGGTCAAGGACATGCGGTTCCAGGCCCTCATGCCTGACATCCTGCATTGGCTGGGCATCACCAAGATCGACCGCATGCTGAGCATGTCCAACATGAAGCATGACGCCATTGTCGAGCAGGGCATCCCCATTCTCGAACGTGTCCCCATCCCCGACGAGTTGATCCCGGCTGACTCGAGGGTCGAGATCGACGCCAAGATCCATGCTGGTTACTTCACCACCGGCAAGGTCATGACCATGGAGGAGCTGAATGCCGTGCAGGGTAGAAGTTGGGATGACATTGAGCACTGAGGCCCCGATAGTACCTACAAGAGTAGGGGGCGTCACATGACTGCGTGCGTGTTGGATAGAGTCGAGTCAAAAAGGCAAAACCCCCCCGAAAATGCGATGAGCTACTGGTCAAGGACGGGAGAACCAGTCCCTCGTTGTTATACTTCCTACCTTGTAGGCTGAGGCGAGGATGCTGATTCATTCATGTCCTTGTTAGAGATGGTTAGTAGAGAGATATGTGGAGCATAGGAGAGGAGAAACGAGTCCAAATAAATTCAATAGAAATGAGACGTACTGAACTATATAGAAAGATAGATAGGGTGTCAAAAAGCATACATACCTACATACCAACATACCTGCATACCTAATCCACTGCTATATACTCCCTAATTATTCACTAGTCGAGATCTCGACTTTGCCTGGGGACAAGGCTGAGTTCACCAGTCTGGAGCCATTGCCATCTCATCTCGACGATGCTGTGTGTCCGCCTACTCGACCACGGCCATGACTTCCTTTCATCGATTGCATCAGGGTGCTTGCTACAAGTGTCGGGGTCAGACAAAACCCTGACTGCGACTGCGACTGCGACTGCGACTGCTAATAGTACTTAGGACTAATCGGATGTAGTGACTGTTCACTAATTAGACTCTTGATGGTCTTGATGTATATAGGGTAGCAACGACCACCTAAGATTGACGGAAATAGGAACAGGGCGCGGTAATGGTCACTACCTACTAGTACTACCTACCTACCTGAGGTAGTACTCCGTAGTTGAGAGTGAGATCCTCAAGAGAAGGAGAAGCATGAAGACGCAACGACGACAGTAGGAGTCAACAACATCCTGGCTCGTTAACACACCAGTAGTCGCTGCCGCGCCGAACGCACGTACGTACAAAGGTCACGCTAGAGTCTAGAGTCTAGAGTCTTGACAGGACAGCTGAAGTGAGGATGAGGATGATGATGAGGTCCTGTATGTAGGTATGTAGGTCGGGGGAAGAAGACTTTGATCAGTTTGGTGACGAAAATGAACAGTTTGGGTCGAAAGTGTGTTTGAAATACCATACCTTCTTTTCCATGCCAGTTGACCACTCACCTCCTACACCCAACTGTAGCGTCAGCAGCATGAAGATGAAGATAAGGCCAGGCTTCCATTCACGGTGGCTGTTGGGCAGGAGACACCATCTCTAGGCGCCGTTCGGTTCTGAGCGCGGGACGCCAAAGCGGACGGGTTACATCATAATGTGCTCTCCTCTCCTGAAGTGGTTGGAATACATCAGGAGGACGGAGTACGAGTACCGTAAATTGACTCAAGACGTAGATCAAGGACGTTTGTTCCCTGGGTCAGAAGGCTTGCCCTTGGGAGGTGGCACAGTTGGCTTAATTGACTCCATGTCTCGTTCGGATACAAACAGGGTGGAGCAGCGCCTCAGCCTCAAAGCCTAGCCTTTCATGGTACCCAGGATGCCAGGCTTGAGTCCGAGGCCGGTGGGCCAACCAAAGCATGCTGGATGTCTCGGCTTGCTCTCCCTTCCGGTGTCTCTCATGCAACTGTGATATGCATAGGAAGGCGTAGCTGTTTCAAATGACCTTGCCGACCGGCCCCCAACCAGCGCGGCCTGGTCGATGGGATGTAATTGGACCAACTTCGGAAGAAACATTTCATTCTCCCTCAAGATTTGTGGCTCCCTGGCGGACTATCACATCAAGGGGGTGAACCCATTCCAGAAATGGGGAGTGCAGGATGCTTCGAATAAGCGAGAGCAGCTCGGTGGCACCGGAGAGCAAGGAACAAGGTCGGCGGGAGAGACAGAATTCCACAGCAAAGTCCTCATGCGGCGACGATCATCGATGCAAGATCGTGGTCGTGCAGTGAACAGGGATGTGGTGCAATGCGACGCCGGAGCAGAAGGCTGGATATCGCAGATATCAAAAAACCCACCCGCCGCAGGGTTTGGCGAAGCAAGAAAAGGGCCAGCTGGGATTGGGCAGCCCGCAACTTGAAGACGCGTTTTCTGCTCCTTGCAGCTGCTATGTGCCCACTGCCCACTGTCTGCTGCTGCTGGCGAAGACGCGGACGGACCAACTTCGCATAAGTGGATGCCACAGCAAAAGAAAGAAAGGATGGGGTGGGAAAATTATGACCAACAAGCCGGCCAGGTCAGCTTCGAAGTTCCAGATTTGAACAAGGCACGGGGACAATCCTCCTCACCTAGGGATTCCGTGTAACGCCGCCTTCCGGCCCTTTATGGGGGGTGATTGGCTGATTGAGAGGCTGGCTGGTGCAGTCTAGCCGGGGCGTGGACTGTCGGGATCTCCTCCGCAAATCATGGATTGACAACACATCAGTTTGCTGGATAAGGGCGGCAGGCTAGGTGGATGATTTGTACAAGGGGATTTTCTCCCCAGGAGCCTGCCAGTCAATGGCCGTGGGAAAGGCGAACCTTCTGTTCTCATCGTCCTCCGACCGACCTGGGACGGATGGCGATTCGCCCAGCTGGAGAAAGCCAGAGGATCCATGCCTGAACTTGTTCAACGTCGACGACTCCCGTGAGAAACATGGCGAGGCAAATCCCGCCCGCTGATTGAGGCCAACCCTTTCCCAACAACGCGTTGATCGCTCTGCTCTGGGGCCACTCGAACCACGACACGCCGAAACCGTAAGCATCGGCGACCTGACCTGCCATCTCAGAACGCTGGGCCCGCCAACATCTTACACCAGCCGTCAGTTGCTGATCCCTGCACATGACAAGACTACTCGTCAGCGGATGGGCACTGGCTTCCGCCCGTCAGCGGGCAATAGATGCGGGAGGACCAATACCAAGGTGGACATCTCCTCCGTCGTCCTGGCCCCCAATGCTGGCTATCGGTACAAGCGTGCTCGTCTGTCATGTATGGTGGCCTGAGGACTCCCTGATCTTGCATCTCCACGTAGCCCCCGTCCCCCGTCGGCAGCTTGAACCATTTCTACCGGCTTCGACATGCAATGCGCCCTTAATTGAAGTGGGCGCAGTGCATTTGCTGCAGCGATGCCCTGCATTTCAGCATGCAAGCACGCACGTCGCCGCGAAGATCGTTCGAACCCCTCGAGGACGGAGTACTGTGCATAAGGGAGGCTCCGAGTGCGTATGGCACTGGAGTGTCGTTCTTGGTTCCTGGACTACTAAAATATCCGTCGAGCACGGATGTTGCTGGGCATCTTCACATTCCCACCGACAAAGTTTTATATGGATATTGTCCGGCGTTGCCTGCATTACATCTTGATAGACTTTTCTGAACACAAGAAGCCTATTCGCAGCTCTCCAGGCTATGGTTCAGCGTATCCGTACCAACATTGGTGGTGAGCGCTGTGGTTTGCCAGGTCAACCTCCGCCAGTCTCAGTGGTATTTTCAACATAACGGTCGAGGCTCCGCGTACGTGGGTTTTTCCCACTTCTATCCGTACTCTCACCGAGATCGGACGCTGGACATGCGTTCTGGGTTGCTGTTCGCACCTCCCCAACCCACATAGATAACAGAACACGTGCGAAGACATCATGCTGGCCCATCCAGTATGAGTACGGAGGACGGAGTATCCGTACGAAGCTCGCTGGTGGCTGCTACTAGTAATGACGCACAGCAGGCGGACCGAGGCCCCAAGCTGGAACCTGGTTTCGAACCAGGTTCTTTGCCAGCCACGCGCTGACAGATGATGCCGATCATGATCTGTTCACGTCGATAGAGGAGGCTGGCTCGGAGACATAAAAATGCAGCAAACGGAGTGTCGGCGATTGACTTTTACAGAGAGGCTTGGACAATCTGTGAATTGTCTTTGGCTCAGCATGAGGGGATGGCCCACCTCTTCACGACCGAAGATACGTACTTGTACGGAGTACGGAGTGTATGTTGGGTAGTGTTCTCCATGCACGTAATTCGTCCTGGGGGTTGTAATGTTGGCAGGATTGCCGCCGTACCTCGCTTTAGCGTCTCGACAGATCCCATCTGGCCTTCTCCAGCGAGGTTGAGGTCTGGCAACTGTTTGGCCCAGACGCAATACGGCAGCGCTGGATGGGCGAACCACGAATACCATCTGTGACCCTGACTCGACGCGCCCTAGAAGGTGCGGCGTAGAAGTAGTCGCGGATGAGCCAGACCCTTTGTGTATCCGTAGGTTTGCTTGCTAGGCGAACAATCGGCAAGCCAACAACAGGGAAGAGTACGTAGTGAACACAGATTGAAAAACGGCCCATTGAGCAGGGCGGGTCTTGTTCTCTGCAATTCCAGCACTATTCCCCATCCTTCAATGGGCTCTGGAGTGGGCTAGCTTGACAGATCAACAACCAACGACCAACGACCAACGAACGGGACCAAGCACGACACCACCGGCGAACATTATCATTGAGACGCAATTCTGCAACTTTGCTGGTGCCACCTGGGAATCTTCCAGCACTGTGGCACAAGCCTTTTTGTTTAGGACCGGCCGAACTGCAATCAAAACGGCAGGTTTTGAATGGCTGTGGGTTGAGTAACCTTGGGAGAGGACGCTGTGAAGGAAAGACTTGTAGGTGACATGACTGCGGAACAACATGTCACACCAAGCTGGATTGAAGTTGCAATGCGATGGATATTGCGGTAAGAGGGTAATAATAGTCGAGAGCCTAAGGGCCGATAAGTCTTCATTATCGTGGCCCTTCGAGCTTGCCAGGGCTTGATAAGGCCAAACGGAGGGCTTAGGCGACTCAGGCTCTCGATGGTTGGAGCCCTTGGGGGCTGATCATGATAAGCTGGATGGTTCTCCGAGCAGCTTGACTGATAAAGCGGTCATAATGGGCGTTACGGGGGGATGGAGCAGGTGGCGTTGCCTGTTGTCTGGCCCCTAAGCCCTGCTGGACTGTCCTTGTGGCTTTTCCTCAACCTTAGCCCAATGATGGCCTAGGCGCGTGGTGGGCCGCTGCTGACTGGGATTTTCGAAGGCTGGGGGAAGTGGACTCTGTCGGATCAAATAATGTCTGTGTGTCCGCCTGTCATCCAGCGCGGTTGGCACCCTGGCGTACGGCGTACGTTGTCTCTCTCTGCTCCCAGCGCGTTGCGTGATGCCTCAAGCAGCTTAATTTCAGCCTGAGTGTTGAGAGAGGAGACAGGGACGGCTCGCAAGTGTGCAGGGGAGCATGTTGCCCCCAATGCTGGCGCCGCCGGGCATCCTCCATTTGCTTAGGGAGCTCGAAAGACGCTCACGACCCGAGCGGGTTCAACTTTGTCCATATTGGTGAAAGCTACCTAGAGCCTGCGGCCCTAGACGAATCCCTTCCCCATCGAACAACCGCCGTCTGCCGACCCGGATATGGGTTGTCAAGGACAGAACACGGGACGGAGTTAAAATGTTCAGTTCAACACTCTTGACCTTTCTCTATAGGTACCTAAAAGCAAGTCTGGGATTTTCGGGTGTATACATCCATGTTTGTGTCAGTGAAATGCCACCGGTTATGACACGAACCTGTCCAACTTCTAGTGTCAAGTTGTAGTAATTTTTCTACCATTGTTACTTCGAATAAGGGTGGCAGGGAGCAACACTTCGTTGCTCGTAGGACTATCCATACGATAGCAAGGGTAGTATTGAGGTACTCGGTACTGTATTGTTATTGCGCAGGCCGTAGCCGTAAATCCTAGGCCTAGGTGGTGCGTGAAGAGGAACCCAGCCCTTCCCGGCTGCGATTGGCAGCCTGCGTCCGTCCGTCGTGGGTCTTTGTTGGACCTCTTCGGATCTTTGACTCGCGACTTGCGACACGCTGGGATCGTAGCAGCGTGGGCTGGTGGCCAGAGGCACACCGTGGACGGTCGGCAGTGGTCGGTGGATCAGAATGGAAGGACAAGTCTAGGAGCGAGCGTGGGTGCCAATGAACGATGCGTGGTGGGTGGCCAGCGGATGGCCCAGCAGTAGATGGCGTGCGGTATGGAGACGATGTGCTGAAGAGCAAGGAATCAAGGGTGGTGGTTGATTCCCTAGCCCTCTGCGCTGCCTTTTTTCTGCCTTTCTGCTCTAATGCACCGACCTGCACACCCTCACTCCTCCCGCTCGGCTAGGTTGCGCACCGTCGTCCTTCTTGCATTCCTGCATCCTGCTTCAACCTCGCTGCCTCTATTCTCCAGATCTCCATTGAACTTCGTGCATCCCTAACCCGCCTTGTCTTCTTGTCACCAGCCATGGCCTAATTGCGCGTCATCAGGCTGCTGAGTTCATGTTGTTTGGGGAGCCTTCTCTGCTGTTTGGTACGTCAAGAGTCCCTTGGTCGGCGTTGGGGATTGTGCGTGAGAGAGAAAGTGTCCGACCACCCGTGCACACCATCCGCACCTCTGACAACTGGCTGTTCTGCTGGTCCTGCAGAACGCTTCATGTGTCTGCATGCCACCCTGCTTCTGTTTGGAAGCATGGCTAACACCTCTCCTCTCCTACAGTTGGCGATCAACCGACTATTCCCTTTGTTGCTTCTTCCCCGTGGCAAGCTCAACAAAAGTAGACGACAGAGAACGGTTTCCAAGCTCAGGCAGGCACCCGAGGATCTTGGTATTCCGACCAGCGCTTCTGTCGTGCATGAGCCTGTCAGAATAATTCACAAAGCACTTCTTTGTTGAAGGCGAAGAACCAATCCATCCTCTGCGTGGCTTGGGTGAAGAGCGGACGACAAGGCTACGCCAGATACGCACAAGACATCTCATACCCTCGCTCTCACCCGCTCCACTGCCCTGGATCTTGATCAAGAGGAGGGCCATAGTTGATATTGATCTACATCCATCCGCTATCGGGTTCAAAAGGTTCGGAGCCAATTGCTGGAGTGGACGGAATAATTGGACTGTACCGTCAGGCTCTCCAAGGGTGGTCGTTGTGTCCTTTGCTTGCAACCAGCTTTGGGCGGACAAAGTGGTTAAGCTGCCTATTCATTCGTCAGTCGCCCGTTCAAAATGAACCAGACCCAGTCGTATATGGATTTGCATCCGGCTTCGCACCTCTCTTCTGGACCTTCATATTCACATTCTGTAACTACGGCTCCGTTGGGTCACTATCAACAATATCAGCAGCCTCCGGTCATTCCTCCTGCATCGACACACTATGGGCCTCCACAGTATAGCAATTATGGATATGCCAATGGCGTAACATCTCCGCAGCCTGCAACCGGCCATATAGCGCAGCAAGTCCAGTCACATATGCCATCGCTTCCCGGTGAGCGGAATCCCGCAAAACCAGCTGTTCTTTTTGACTGACTTCAAGAACAGCCATGATGACCGGCCCTGGCCCTCAACAAACTTATGTGCCACAAGCCTCCAGTTTGCCCGCTCCTGCTCAAGGGTATCCAGCTCAGCAAGTTCCCTTCGACACGACTGGCCAGGTTGCACCGCCTGGTATGAAACCCAGGGTCACAGCAACATTGTGGGAAGATGAAGGGAGTCTGTGCTTTCAAGTCGAAGCAAAGGGTGTTTGCGTTGCCCGTCGCGAAGGTATGCTTAGCCATTTGGGTTATCCTGCTTCGAGCGAATATTTACGTGGATTTTAGACAATCACTTCATCAATGGGACAAAGCTACTCAATGTCGCTGGAATGACTCGGGGACGTCGTGACGGCATCCTCAAGTCAGAAAAAACTCGACATGTGGTGAAAATCGGGCCGATGCATCTCAAGGGCGTCTGGTAAGCTTTGAAATTCACCCTGTTTTGTGTCGCGCGACTAAACCTCCATAGGATACCCTTTGAACGTGCGCTCGACTTCGCGAATAAGGAGAAGATCACCGATCTTTTGTATCCATTGTTTGTGCACAATATCGGTGGCCTCCTTTACAGTCCGGAAAACGCGCCTAGAACGAATGCAGTTGTACAAGCATCAACGGAGCGACGTCGAATGGACAGTATAGACACCACGCGGGCTTCGCAGGCTGCGCAGACGCCGTCTCTTCCACATCATAGTACAATGCCGGGTGGTGGCCAAGCTCCTCCAACGCCGCACTCGATTGCGCAGCACCCGAATGCACCACGCCCCGGAATAGACCGCGCCCACACATTTCCAACGCCTCCCACAAGTGCATCAAGTGCTATGGGCATGGGCAATCAAGGCAGTTCATATGATTGGGGTAACCAGAGTATGACGAATGGAGCAACTGGGACTCAACCTTTGTCAATCGAAACGGGTCTAAATGCTCGATCCATGCCAACGACGCCCGCGACTACCCCGCCAGGTACTGCAGGACAAGGAATGCATTCGTATCAAGGCCAACCAGGCTACGACACCTCCAAGCATTATTACAGTACCACGCCCGGCTCTCAGACTGGTTACGTGCCGCATACAGATGGGAGTCGATACGGCCAGGCCCTACCATCTGCGCCCTACGGAAAGACTGATATGGGCCCACCCATAGCACCTGGCTCAGCCAACGGAGGTGGAGATGGTCATGATCACAAGGCTGACAGCTATCCTGGACAATCTCATGGCTCTCAACATGACAATGATCATCCGGACGGTAGTTACATGAGTGCCAATGCCTCTGCGTATAATTCTAACCGCGGACAATATTCGTACGGCGCCACCGGTGACCATCCTCATCTGTCTCCCGAGCAGTTGTCTGGTTCTCCAACCCACCAAGCAGGCTCAGGCCATGCCACCCCGCGGACTATGCCTTCAGGTCAACCACAATGGACGCCCGACTATCATACTCCACCAAACCGTGCACCCACTTCGAACAGTGTTTATAATGTCATGGGTCGCGCTCGAACCCCGCAAGGAGGCTCTACCGACAGCTACGGCAATCCGACATATTCGAGTGGAGGTCATCACGGAGGCTTGTCATCTGCGAAACGTGGACGAGAAGACGACGATCAGGATCCACCGGGCAGTCGAGATTTTGATGGTTACGACTCTAAGCGCCGCAAGATGGGCCGACAAGAGACATTTGGGATGCCTCTGAACACAACAGCACACATGCAAGCCATCAAAACCGGCGGACAGCGCTAGAAGCCATTGCTTGTCTCTTTGGGACGGGCCTTGTCCATCTATGCCAGGGCATGACAACCGGGAAATGGCTTGCTAACCAAAAATGGGCTCTGATTCCGAGATAATGCAAAGTCACGATATATTCGAAAAGCGATTACGAAATTACGACGGCCATAGCCAAAAAGACATCAAAGACTAACGAACCGAACAAGCGTGCATTGTTTGCTGCCCCCAATTTAACGACCTTACGACACGATTTCCTTTTGCAGCGCTTGCAGATGGCGAAGATGATGATTTGTTTTTGTCGATGATGGTCTCTTTCTCTGGGGATCTACTCGTTGGTTTAGACATGTTACTGCCTTTTCGTTTTGTGTATGAGGGAAGCAATGATATACGTGTGGATGGATCATGATTGAGACGGATACGATTTCTAAGGCGCCTTCCAGACATGTTCTTGGCTGCCGGCTTCGAGGGCAAGACGCTTGGTGGCAGACTCCTCCTTCCCCCTGGCGAGGCTGTTAACAACAACCTGTTGTGCGGTCACCATGGAGCAGCTCCGGGGGGAAGGTGGCTCTCGTCTCCCTATCATGACACGTCTTTGTGATGACATGTCAAATACAATAAAAGCTCTATTCATAATCCTCAATCTCTACACCAGCTGCTTTTGGTTTCTGTTGGTATTGAATGATTGTAATTGAAGGCTAAGCCATGGGACTCGTGGCGAACCTGCCTAGAGACTCATCAGCTTGAACCAGAGTGCTCTTCTCGGGTTTGTTAGATAATCAGGTCTTTTATGACTCCCGCCAAGCGTCCACCGTGCAAACCCCTCGGGGCTGAAGGTGCACAAAAGTGACTTATGTAATACAGGCAGGCCCTCATGGTGCTCACGCCTACCCAAACGAATTCGCTCAGTGTCTGTAGATTCCACATTGGTAATACTTTCAATAACATGCACTCGATGAGATCAACCTCGAGATATATTCCCTAGGAGACAAGAGGCAGGATGTGGTGCCTCTAGTTGAGACGGATCCTCACCTACTGCTAATTATTTGCAGTACTAGTGGTAGGTACATGTACCAGCAGGCATTCCACCGTATATGGACTAGCGCCAAAACCGCCAAGCCACACGCAAGAATTCAAGTTGATTTCGGCTTTCGCAGGTTCGTATTTCAACGGCATCAAGTTTGTTGATTCCACCAACGCCGTCAACGGGAGTCATCGCAATCAAGATGTAAGTCTCACCCCCTCGGACCATCAATGAGACAACAGCAATGAAGATCATACGGAGAGAACATGAATGAGGGACTGATATATTCACAGGCCAAACCTAACCACCCAGCGACGTCTTGCCGCGGCTGTCGTAGGCTGTGGTCAACGAAAGATCTGGCTCGATCCGTCCGAGGCGAATGAAATCGCCAACGCAAACTCTCGTCAAACGATCCGAAAGCTGGTCAGCGATGGACTGATCATCCGCAAGCCAGTGGCGGTGCACTCGCGATCCCGAGCCCGAGAGCTGAACGCGGCGAGAAGAATCGGCAGACACCGAGGCTTCGGTAAGAGAAAGGGTACAAAGGATGCGAGAATGCCTAGGTATGGGATGGTTCCGCCTACTAAGGAATAGATATGGCAGAGTTCATGATGCTAACGTAGATTTACAGCCAAGTTCTCTGGATGAGACGTCTTCGTGTCCTCCGACGCCTTCTTGTCAAGTACCGAGCTGCTGGCAAGATCGACAAGCACCTGTACCACGAGCTCTACCATCTGAGCAAGGGTAACACCTTCAAGCACAAGCGTGCTTTGGTTGAGCATGTATGTATACGTTCAAGAAGCACAAAACAATCACTAACAGCCGCAGATTCACCGCGCCAAGGCCGAGAAGCAGCGTGAGAGGATCCTCAAGGAGGAAATGGATGCCAAACGTGCAAAGACCAAGGCAGCTCGTGAGAGGAGACAGGAGCGTATCCAGACCAAGAGACAGGCTCTGGCTGGTGACGAAGAGCCAAAGCAGGAGTAGAAATCTCCGATACCACTGGGTGTGTAAAGTGGTTTTACGACAAGCGCATGGTCGATGGGCATGGTTGAGCAGGATCACGACGACAGATCGTTCGACGATTGCCTGCATCTCCGGGCATGTCTCTGTGACCAGGGTGACGGTGGATTCGACCCTTTGTGGTCTTGAGGTCGCGCTTGCCATAGGCGCAATGATAAAACAATGGAAACTCGAGTGCAGATTTACCTGAGTGTATACCCAGGGAAGGGATTCTGAAGTCTTGTTAATCGCTGCTCCAACCGCGAACCGGAAGAGGCTTCCCAGGCCCCTAAGCTCTGCCCTACTGTACAATGGCGGCCTGTAACAGATCTACCTCGTAATGTAAACGAAGCTGCGAAGGGGATCGGCGCAAACAGGAGGCGGGTGTGCTGGCCCAGTGCCGAGAACACCGGGCATGGTTGATATTACAGGCTTGTGCGGTGTAAATGGGACCCTGAGGCCTCCTAAACCTGCAGAGAGTCACAACATGCCCGCATTCCGCAGCCGACGTTGCAGGGGCCAAGGCATGGCTGGGTATAGGTATGTCCCTACTGTTCCGGAGGTCTTCTGCTCTTCCGTCCTGACTGTAAGGTATGATTTAGTCGGACAATCTAGTGTTCCGACGTCCCTGCCACGCCCTGCGGCTAATTCCTTACTGTACGTGAGAGGCTGCTCTTCACCTCTGTTCCACTATCCCGCATACTCAGTCAACGATTGTTGCATCGACTACTGTACTCTATACAGCCAGGCCGCCGCGGGGGGTGACAGCGACGGCTTCTCTGCATTTCATGCAGACCTGTACCCTGTTCCACCGCAGCAGAGCCACCCGCCATTAGCACATTTTCTTGGTCGCACAGATCCCTCATTGTTTTCCGAGTTCAACCTCAAACTTGGCATGCTGTCAGATTGATCCTGTGGTGTCATGGCCAGACGGTGCTTTCCCACAAGAATTCTCCGTCTGTCCTTCCGCGTCGTCGACTACGCTCAATTGTAGCTGAGTCGGGCCACTGGCCCTGCCTCGATCTGCCTGGACGCTTGTCCCTCAGCTGCAAAGCCCCATGTTGGCCTAGTAGGACTCCCACATCAACTCCGTCTCATTGGGGAAGTTGCTTCGTCAGGCAAGGCTGAGCCAGCCCCACGGAGGTGATCAACAAGTGACAATCAACCCGTCTTGCAGGGCCGAGATTGCATGTCAACGGCTCTGATACACGTGTGATCCTAATCTGGAACAATGTTTAGCGGAGGGCTATGGGGTGCGATGGGTAAGTGTTGATTTTTGTTCTGCCTTCCCGAATCATTTCCCCGATGTTACCGATTTCCACGTCAGATTTTGTGCAAGAGGGCATTCCATTACCGACACAAGGTGTATTGAGCACTTACCCTCTGACCCAAGCTCCCCTTCGGTGCCTCGGCATATGGATTGCTGTGCAAGAATATCTCCTTTCAACGTCGATTTTTCAGTCAGACGAATCTGTCAACCCTGAACGCCTTTCACTGTCTGTCTCGCCGACCCAGGCTCTTCAGGCAAAGAGGCCTGACCGATGCATATCCAGCTATCCCTTTCTGCCACACGTCCAAGTCATTGATTTCTCCCTTCTTGTTTGACTTACCTTCCACCTTCCCCGAATCACATCCGGTTCCTTCTTCCTGGTTCGTCATCCACTGGGACCGCCTTCTAACTTATGGCAACAGGGGGAGGAACACTCCTTAGTGACCAGGAACGCAATCCTCCGGCAGCCCCGATCTCTCTCGAGTTTCCTAGTTATGTTCCGCCGCGAAGTGAGAGCCCATTGAGCGACAGGCATTTGAAGGCCCTCTGCAAAGACCTGAGTTCTATACGCAGACCTTCTGACCTCCAGGACAGCCATCTTGCACACCTGAATATCAATTTCGAGCAAGATGTCTCTCTCGCCACCCTCGTCCCGGACAACGATTTCGCATCTCGCCCATTCTTGTACGACGCAGACTTAACTGCTATGCTGAATGAACTCGAAGTGGATAATGAAGACGCCTATCGGGAGATCCTTCGACTTCCTCCGCTAGAAGGAAGAAAGAAGCCCCGCTTGGCTTATTCAAGGAACTTTTTTGCAAGTTTGGAAGATATGAGTCGTTATTGGGATGACAGCAAGGATCAGTATTATGAAATTGAGGCAAAGGATGCAGAAGATCAGGCGACGAAGCCCACGCTTCCGGGTAGTAGCATCCGGACAGAACCACGCAGTCAATCCGAAGATACCGGAATGAAAGACCTTGCTAGGTCTTCACAACCTCCCGTCGGAAACGATCACGACGCGGTCACAAGCGTGTCCAACCCATCGCCGGATACGGAAACTGTGCAGCTACCCACACGGCCAAAGCTGAAGCAGGTATACAAGGGGCACCGTCTTGGAAATGGCGAGCAGATGAATCCCGGGACGAGGGTAGCAGCAGTCAGAAATCTGCTGAAAATGGCCGTTCACAGGTTCAACTGCCGAGACTATGAGGTCAACCCTCGGGAGAGGCTCAGAATCCGAAATATAAACCTGGCATCTACGTACTACAACTTTTGCGTAGCCAAAACACCCACTGATATGAAATTGGCAAGAGCAAGGATGGTAGAAGGCCCCCTATTTGGCGTGCATAGCAGGAACGAGGTCAGGTTCAAATCCCGAGACGGGCTACTGAACCCGTCCAGTGACTTTGTGGGTGAGAAGTATGACCTATTCAGAGAGGTGGCAGGCATGTTAATGCTTGCACAACAACGGGCGCGGGAAGATCGGAAGCTCTCCGAAGAGCCTAACGAGCACCAGTGGTGGGCCATCAAGCCTCGCTGGGGTGGTGGCACGACGAAATGGGGGCAGCTTGCCCACGAAGTATATGAAGATGATGACCCGGGTTGGAGTCCAGAAGAGAGACGGCTGCAGATGGAAAAAAGAGCGAAGCAGGAAGAGGAACGAAAGAAAGCCGAGGCTGCCAGCTTAGCCGATTTGAACAATCTCAAACCAGAAGACCTGATGTCGCAGTCGGCCTCAGGCAGTGAGCGGCCCAAGAAGAAAAAGAAGAGTGGCGAGAATGGCGGCAATTCCAACGACAAGGCTGAGTACAGGGATGGCCGAAGATTGATGTACACCCAACCAATCCGACGAAAGTGGTACCAGGAATGGATGAAAGTCCGACCCAATGCTTCAACCTGGGATGAAAAGATCATCTACAAGAGAATCGGCATGCGCGACCGAGAAAACGGCGGAGATGGCTGGGACACTATTTACATGATTTCTGCGGCAAACCATCACGCTTGCATACTAAGATTGAGCGTGCACGAGGACTACCTTGAGTGGCTGGACACGGGGAAGACGAGGCAAGTCCAGGGTCCCCGTCCTCACGGCAACACGACCAAGCAGGAGCATATGCTGTATGTGAGCCGAAGTCAATGGTATGATTTCTTTGACGTCCAGCAAAGACAAGAGTTGCTGGTCGGCATCTGGAGGATTCTGTGTTGGCTTAATCGAGACGGAATTCCACCAGAAGAATACGAGAAGATGGCGCAGCTGAAGGGAGAACAAGACAGGCATGACGGAGACCATGAAATGAAGATGTGAATACGAGTATGGCAGACAGCTTCCGTATCCTACGGTGAGAGACCAATTGGATCCCTTGGGAAGGGCATAGAGATCGTGAGGCACGCAGCCGTAGCCAATAGAAGTGTCTGTAGCAGTATGAGCAAGGCTGAGTCACGTGATAGAATCCAGGCCGCCAGCGCCAGCGCCAGAAAAATTACTCTTGGAATAATACCGCAAGGCTAAGGCCTGAGGAGTCAGCCAGGTGTGGTCCCTGCGATCCCTGCGAGACCGCGGCGGGGATCCATCCGCAAACACTTTTCTCATCATTGAGTCACATCCACCTACGGATAGTGGTAGGTACAGAGTACTTTCAATTCTCTTTCGCCCCAAGCACTCCTTGGGCTCACAACCTCAACCTGCCTACAAATATGCCTACCTCCGCCCTCACCGAAAACATTAAAATCCCGCAGAAGCAGAATGGCGACAGTTCTGTGCGTCGGGAAGTCTCTCGCAGCATGTCCATGTCCACCTCTCCCAATGACGCCTTCCACCATCGCAGTTTGTCCAGCGTCGAGGGCTCGTCACCTACCCTTCGAAGAACGACGACCGGGGCTGTGCCCAAGCAGCTGAAGCCGTTCCGTGAACAAGACGTCAAGATCCTACTGTTAGAAAATGTCAACCAGGCGGGCCGAGACATCCTGCATGGACAGGGATATCAAGTCGAGGCCTTGAAATCCTCGTTACCCGAGGACCAGCTGATTGAGAAAATCAAGTGAGCACGCCTCCTCTGCGCGTTGCTTGCGTACCACCAGTGCTGACCATCCCTTTTTCTTGTCCAGGGATGTCCATGTCATCGGGATCCGCAGTAAGACGAAACTGACCTCGCGCGTGCTGGCTGCGGCAAAGAACCTGATTGTCATCGGGTGCTTCTGTATCGGCACGAACCAGGTCGACCTACAATACGCGGCGTCGCACGGGATCTGTGTGTTCAACTCTCCCTTCTCCAACTCGCGCAGTGTTGCCGAGTTGGTGATTGGCGAGATCATCTCGCTGGCCAGGCAGCTCGGCGACCGCAGCAATGAGATGCACCAGGGAATATGGAACAAGGTATCTACCAAGTGTTGGGAAGTCCGGGGCAAGACGCTGGGGATTATCGGCTACGGCCACATTGGGTCTCAGCTGTCAGTGCTCGCCGAGTCCATGGGCATGGACGTGATTTACTACGACGTGGTCAACCTCATGGGCATGGGCAACGCGCGCCAGGTGCCGACCCTGGACCAACTGCTAGCGACTGCGGATTTCGTAACGTGCCATGTGCCCGAGTTGCCCGAGACGATGGATCTGATTTCCACGCACCAGCTCGAGACCATGAAGCAGGGCAGCTATCTGATCAACGCGTCGCGCGGGTCCGTCGTGGACATTCCAGCGCTGATTGGGGCCATGCGCACCGGGAAGATTGCTGGTGCCGCCCTCGACGTCTACCCTGCCGAGCCCGCGGGCAATGGCGACTACTTCAACAACAACTTGAACTCGTGGGCCGAGGATTTGCGCGGGTTGAAGAACCTGATCCTCACACCGCACATTGGCGGGTCGACCGAGGAAGCGCAATCCGCCATCGGCGTCGAGGTCGCCGAGGCCCTCGTCCGCTACGTCAACGAAGGTGTCACCGTCGGCGCCGTCAACATGCCCGAAGTCGCCCTGCGCAGCCTGACCATGGACGAGCCCAACCACGCCCGTGTCATTTTCATTCATCAGAACGTGCCGGGTGTCCTCCGCCGCGTCAATGAGATTCTTGGCGACCACAACGTCGACAAGCAGATGTCCGATTCCCGCCGAGACGTCGCCTATCTGATGGCCGACATCAGCAATGTCCGCGAAGTCGAAGTTGCCCAACTGTATCGTGAGCTCGAGAGCTTGAAGGAACGCATCATTACCCGCATTCTCTACTAGCCTCAGTCTCTCTCCAGATACCAGGAGAATGAGGTTTTGAATCGCACGAACCACACGGATACATGAAAGGGCCGAAAAAAGGAGTCCGGGGGTAATGGAACTGAGTAAAACGGCATTTCAAAAGGCATATAATGGATCACGGCATTCAACAGCTGTATCTGCCGCTTTCGGGAGGGTTCGACCAGAGATGGAACATCTAGTACAGGGGATTTGAAAAAAAAGGAAAGCCCAAATGGTTGGCATCTGAGTCAAGACAACAAGACCCGGACGGCCATGTAGGAAAAGACACCGCAGTATGCTGGCTAGTTGGTCGGGGAATCCATGATCATTTGCCTGTCCCAACATCTGCTGGTAAGACTGTTTTCCCTTTCCAAAGGTCCCTTTTCGTAAGTTCGTTGCCCATCTCTCAGCCACGGCACTTTGTGTTCCTTGCAGGCGGAGCAGGGAGTTGCTGTTTCCACTGAAAAGCCCCGCTGACACTGTCGTCCATCTGAGTTTACCTCGATCCCATGTGCGGTCACAGGCGGGCTTGAATCGAAGACCGGAAGCTGTTGTTGACAGTACCATCTCTTTCGTGTGCTGTGAAGCGTTGTGAGCATCAGGTCCGATTGGTTGAGGCCTTTCATTCGACAGACAACCGTATTGCTGTTCTACCATTGCACCCTTTGACCAGCCGAGTTGAAGACCTTCAAAGAGTGTAATACCGATCGCCAAAATCCCCAAGGCCAGGGACAATATAACTGGACAACTTAGCTGGATGGCCAATAACTGAAACAAAGTGGAAGACTTGGACTTACTTGTGCTCATTGAGACCTTGGTCGATGAAGGCCGTTATCACTCGAACCTTGGGCACCTTTTCCGCAAAGTTCTGGATACCCTCGGGACTCGCAATCAAGTTCAAGAACAGAATTCGATCTTCTGGCACGCCCTTGCTCTTCAAGACCTCCACGGCCATAATTGCGCTGCCGCCTGTCGCCAGCATAGGATCAAGTAGCAAGACCCATCGGTTCTGGATGTCTGACGGAAGCTTGTCAAAGAACAACTTCGGCTGGCTGGTCTCTTCGTTGCGCTGGATCAAGATCTTGCCTATCCTGACCGAGCGGCAGCATTCTCGCAACCCTTCTTCCATGGATTCACCAGCTCTCATGATCGAGACCCCACAGATTTTCCCTTGAAATTTGACACCGACATAGTCCTTGCCGACAGGAGATGTAACAGTATGTGCCACCACCGGAAGATGGTTCAATCCTTCCTCGACCAGGAGCCGAATGATACGGTTGGAGTAGAAGATAAAATCGGCTCGTTCAGTGCCTTTGTCACGGATGATACTTGAGTTAAGACGTTAGCCTGTGGCAGACCCTCTCCGTAGTCAATCACAAGGCACTCACGTCAGTAGGGCAATAAGCTGTGGTGTTTGAGGAAGCACATGGACATTTTCGTGGGGCCCATCTCTCGAGACAGTAGCCGTGGGCTTCTCCTCCGCCGGCCGATAAGAAGGTCCGACTCCCACCGCGGGCGATTGCACGCCGTTTACACGAGGGATCGATGCCATTGTTCGGAAGCAGCGTGCTGAGTGCTGAGGGGAGCAGTGGCGAGGAGAAGACGAAGCCTCAGCTGCTCGCGTGATAGCAGAGAGGGTCAACGGAAACGGCGAAGCTCCCACGGGGGCAGGCTGCGCCAAGTTCGATAGGGTTCGGAGAGGGGCGCGGCTGCAGTGGACTGTGGTAGAAGATGCTTGGATAGAGGTTGGCCGCCGCGAACACGATCACAGAGTAGGCCGATTGAGTAACATGCTTGGTAGGAGTGCTCGAGTCTGGCAAAGTGAAAAGTGAGCATGCAGAGATCAGAGATAGTGTACTCCGTACTGCACCAAAAGTCCCAGATGCGGCCGGCGAAGCTCGTGAAGGAGTTCAGCGGCCCTGCGGCCCCCGCTTGACAGCGACCAAATGTTCTTTGTTTACCGGAATGTCTGTTTGGCATCACTCCGCATACTGTCACTTGCTTCACTCTGTATTTGATATTTACAATCGCTGCGTCAGCACGACGACGACAACAACCATCACCACCACCAAGTGAAACTGCGGTCTCCCTCACACCCTATATACGCTGTCCTCCGTCGACCTTGCATTGCGTTAAACATGCGCCTCCTCATCATCTCTGCTGACTTGCAGGTCGTGTAACGAGGGCTACACAGACATGACACCCACGAACTCCCTGCTGCCCAACCACTAAACCAAACGTCCAACAACGAGGCAGCCTTGTCCTTGCGCTCACACCCACCATGGATGTTCCAGGTACGCGTCGGAGACCGAATACATATGGAAAAGGTGGTAGGAAGATCCAGGTCCACGACATTTTCGACTTTGGTGGTCAGTCCTCATATCAATCCACAACCGCAGTCTCCAGTCTCCGAGGCCCTGGTCAGCCTGAGCAGCCTGATCCACCTCTCACCCATGCCGAGATCTCTCGACCTGGAATAGAAAGCATGGCCAGCAACGCAACCAGCTACAGTCGCAGAGATCAGATTGGAGGGAAACTCGCCACGTCGCTCAGCGCAAAGACTTCATCGCATTCGCCTTCGAAATCAATATCCCCATCGTCGCTGTTTGAAATTCAAACTTCCGATGAGGAGTCTTCAACCCCCAAAGCGAAGCGCCCTTTGAAGAAGCGAAAAGTCGTTTTTGCCGTAACAGACTCTCCCGCTGAGGCGAATGTGACAAAGGCGGGGAAAGCATCAGTACCTGGAAGCTATTCGGATGGTCATAATCTGAAGATGAAGGTGCCGCGAAAGCAAATGGGAAGTGAAGCGATAGGAAAAGGCGCATCTCAACCGCTTGACAACGCAGTGACAAAGGCAGATTCGAGGCCGAGGAAACAGGCGCCTAAGACGACGAAGCCCAACACCAAACAGCCCACTGACCAAGAGGAGAGACGACGACGGACGCGACCAGTCTCGCCAGACTTACTACCCCCTACGAAACCAGCCGCCCATAAGCCTTTTCGTGTCAGCAGTGAGTCTTCTACGCATATCTCGGACAGTTCCGAGTCGCCAGCGTCGTCACGTCACAGCACTCCGAAGCGACGGCGAGTTGCCCTCGATGAAGGCACCACCGATTCTCCAAGCCCATCAGACCTTCAGATGACCTCTTTAAGATTGGCCTCTGAGAAGTTTCGACAGGACTTGCAGATATCCTCCGATGACGAGGAAATGATAGATGCGCGTCGGACAACTCGTCTTCCACCACGAAGCCGCAAAAGACTCGTGGATAGATTGGATGCTCCTGCAGCTCGGAATGTGGGGGGGATGGCTTCAAACGGTCCTTCGCATCTAGGAAACCCCTCAAAACAACCATTCAGCCACCCGGTCAGTGGCACGACTTCCCCGGGCAAGACTGGTGCAGCTCCTTCGTCGCTGAGGGCCGACACAGGACCCGTGAATACCTCCAATACCGCCGCACCTGGTCGTCCACGTGCAACGTACGCGAAACAACGGTCGTATCTCAGCGACATGGTTGACAGCCTGGAGAACCAGCCTGGTTCTCTTAGCCAACCCTCGTCTCAGCCAGACTACCTTTCTCAAATGTCATTCACCACTCTGGACTCCCAGGTAGATCTTGTCCACCAGGACAGTGATGATGATGATTTCACACAAATCAAGAGCATCCACGAGTTGCGGCGAGGAGGCGCTATCCGGAAGTTCGACCTTGATTTACACACCATTGTAGAAGACGTTGAGGCAAAATCCAGGTCCTTGCGCATTCAAGCCCTCATACAGCTAAACAGGAAATTAGAGGACCTCAGCCTCTGCCGGCATTTCCAAGACTCCAACACCTTTGTCCGCTTCCTGGGCTGTGCACACAGTGGGTTGGATGATGTGAGCGCCACTTTAATGGCTGTTGTGTTCCAGAAAATGTCGACTGCCGAATTCTCATCTCCAAAGACCGGTCTCCAGATATTGGGCGCACTCGACCGGCTGCCTTTGCACCTGCTTTCGGAGAGCAGGTCGCTATCTAAACTTGCAAAGGACAGAAACCAAAATCTCTCCAAACTGCTTCTCAGAGACGTTGCACACTTTACCGAGCAAATTGTCGATGACGACGGCCCGCCTTGCATGTCTGTCAATACTGTCTTCCTCCGAGCGATTGACGGTGTTCTGCGTAGTTTGATCAAGCTAAAGGAGCCTCTTCCTCGATTGCCCCGCCCGTTGCTCGACGGAATCCTGGGCGCGCTGACGAATACGGAGGAAGACATGCAAGCAAGGTCAGGCAGAGACAGCCAAGCTGACGCTACACAGCTGTTACTGGCAATCCTAGAGATGGCCTGCGCCAACCAGGAATTGCTCGGGTCGAGTCTGTCAAATTCTCGCATTTCTGAACTTGGTGACCGCATTGCAGGCATCCTAATTGAGTCTCGCGACGCTCAACCGCTTATGGAACAGTCGTGTCTTCGACTCATTGTGACCCTGAGCAACAACGAACCGAAAGTCTGCAATGGTCTTACGAATGGGAGACTGATAGACACTGTTTTCCAAGTGATCGAAGACCGTTTCTCCACACTAGCAGGGCTAGCTGCTCGAGAGGAGGCCTTTGACCCTGCCCAGCTGGACTCCGCGATACTTGCGGTTGGCTGTCTCTTGAACCTGGCAGAGTGTGCGGAGGCAGCACGAGAGCAGATGCTAGAACCGGGCGCCGGCGGTAAGAGCCTAGTTGATCGGTTGGTGGGCATGTTCAATGGTCATGTCGACCAGACATCTGAGGTTCGTGCACCCAAATGGACGCAGCGTCACTGGCTAACAAGAGCAGGCCATGACCATGCCCCAGACACACGTCTTGGTGGCCTTTGGATACATCTCAGCATTGCTCTGCACCCTGTGCCTCAATGCACACGCACGCAAGCGCATCTCGGATTCCATCGTAGGGGAGGGACTTGCAGAGCTATTTGGACAGGCCGCGACCTTCCTTAACCATCTGCAGACGGTAGAAGCTGCTCTTGCCGATAACGGAGGGTCTGCCTCAGGCTTCACTGCGCGTTTCACGGCAGTCCTCGAGAGCGTCGAGCGTGAGGCCATATGATGGACGGGAACTATCATGATCGTCTCTACAGATGAAACACTGTTGGATGAGCGAGGGTTGGACATGTCTGGAGTCGGACTGGATTGCATACAGGCACGACACCCTCGACATATCTGCTAGCTGAGACCATACATAAACCGAATCATCCTGAGCTTTCTGTTGTCACGCAGGCGAGGAATGTGTGACACCAGGGCAATGCGCAGTGCAAGGCTCCACCATCCTTGCCTGGTCTCCTTTATGTCATCTATGTAAGTCACCACTCACCGTGCTAGGTCCTCGATCTGTTACTAGAGCGTCAATACCTCTCGCATGTCTGATGCGCCCGAAACAGCGAAGCGGTCAGATCGATCTTCGCCTGGCGACAGGGGCGACCTCGTCCGCGGCGCCCTGCACCAAGGTAACGTATCAAGTGGTTCATCTTCGAGCCTCGTGAGGCCTATACGTCCTTTGCAAGAAGGTTAGCAACATGATGTCTAAGTAAAGCGGCAAGGCGACAGCTTAGGGGCCCAGGCCCAACCCGGGGCTTAGGGGCTCTAATAGTTATAGAGTTATAGGTACTCCGCACCTAGCTCCGCTCTCTGACGGCGCCCAAGACCACTATTACGGAGTCCACAGTACTGTCTTGCCGCCTAATCATCCCTAATTCCTGATCCCCCAATTAATCCCGACTTTTCGCTTATAAGTGCCACGAGGACCAGGACCACATGCAAAGTCCTGACCCCTAACAGCTATCTGCACAGTGCACAGTGCACGTACAGAGCACCTAGCACCTATAGTACACTTTCAAACCTATATATTGACGCGTGGCCCCGCAGTGAGCGCTCTAACCATAACCTGTTGTTCTAGAAGAGTTAGATAGGTACAGGACCTAGTACATAGTACCCAGTCTTAGTACCGAGATAGATCCTAAGCACCTATAGTAAGAGGTCTCCTTAGACTTGATTGGGGACCTCATATGAGGGCATGACAGTAAGGTAGTATTATTGTGGTAATTCACCCAACAAGAACTCCAAATACGGCTGTGGCGTGCCGCCATTACGATATCCCGTACAAATCACGGTCACTTTTTTTCCCTCCGAGTCGAGGCTCGACGGAACCTGGTGTCTTGGGCCCAACAGCAGTATTGATACTTCTGACGTTCCCTCCTGATAGCTGCGCCAAATATGGCTCCCTCGGTCAAGCAGCGGAAGATTGCGATTCTGGGCAGCCGCTCGGTTGGTGAGTTTGATGCAGTGTGGCGGTGTCGTCGGGCGTGGCGTGGCGGAACTGAACTGGCTGACTCGGGCGCAGGCAAGTCGTCCCTGACGGTTCAATATTGCGAGGGGCATTTTGTCGAGAGCTACTATCCTACGATCGAGAATACCTTCAGCCACGAAATCGTCTACAAGGGCCAGACGTATCTCACGGAAATCATCGACACTGCGGGACAGGTTGGGCCAACACTCAAGAGAGAACGATGTCACACACACACCCTACTGACCGATCGAACAGGATGAATACAGTCTGATGAACTCGAAGCTTTATATCGGCATACATGGCTATCTGGTCGTGTATTCGGTCGCCTCCCGACAATCCTTTGAGATGGTCCGGATCATTCGCGACAAGCTTTTGAATCACCTTGTGCGCCCGTCCCCCGCCCCGAACCTGACATGGCCTGACCGCCTCCTCCCCCTCGTATTCCTCGCTGACATTCTGCCTGCAGGGCGCGGATTCGGTGCCGATCATGATCGTGGGGAACAAATGCGACGTCGATATCAAAAAACTACGCAAAGTGTCGCCTGAAGAAGGCCAAAAGCTGGGACAAGAACTTGACTGTGGGTGGATCGAGACAAGCGCGAGAAACAACACCAACGTCGCCAAAGCCTTCGAGATGATGATTGCCGAGATCGAGAAGTCCCAGGAACCCGACAAGCCCGCCGGTGGAGGGAAATGTATTGTGATGTGAGCGGGAAAGGATCTGGATCTGAACGAAGCCAAAGTATATGAGATCAGGTATGGAGAGATGCCACTGCCATTCGGGAGGGGATATACGATTTTCAGGGTGCCTCTTTCGGTCGCTGCATGGATTGGCGTCTTTCAACAGGAGGACAGCGTTGTCTGTATTGCTATGTTTTCTGGTGGCCAGGCTGGGATAGAAGTTTGATATTGGGATACACCGGGGTCAGGGTCAACGTTGTCGGTTGGTCGGTTGGTCAGTTGGTCGGCTATTTGGGTTGATTGCGTTGATTGGGTTGGATTGTTTGGTTTGCCGTGTCTGTTCCTGTTTGTGTTTGTACCGTCGGTTGTGGTTATCTAATATACGTTAAGTCCGTCGCGTTTCTCCCTTCGGACTGGATGACTGATGCAGTCCACCATTGATAGGGAGTACTCATATCTTGTCAGAAACAGAACTGTCCCCGAGTAAGCCCGACACTAAGCCAGGCATCGTACCAGAGCAGTTTGGTCATGGACATCAACATCCTCCATCCTCCATCCTCCATCCTCTCCAGACGTCGAAACGACAGCCGAGTGGAGATATGTAGATCTCCGTACGGAGTACCGAGTATCTACCTAAACTCTGTTGCCCAATGAGTCACTCGACAGCGAAATATATACCTCCCATGAAGTACGGAGTACTACTCGTAGTAGGTCAATCTACCAGCTTTTAGCTTTTCATCATGATCTTGCCGACATGGGAGGAAGTAATTGACCAGTACGAAGAGGAAGATCTCTTCCACGCAGAAGAGCGGATCACTGGGTACCGACCTGGGGGCTTCCCTCCTGTATCGATCGGGGACATTTACAACGATCGCTACGAAGTCTTCAATAAGTTAGGCTGGGGCGGATTCTCTACGGTATGGCTTGCATTTGACGAAAGGTAAATCAGCATCACTCATCACTCATCAAACGACGCATAGGACTCACAAGATCTAGCACGGAAGAATGGGTGGCGTTGAAGATTCTCAGGGCTGAGGCGTCGCAAGATTCTCGAGAACTAAGAGCATATCAGCGTCTGGCAGATCTCGAGCTCTCACAGCCTGAGGAGTGGAGGAAGATATCTAGCCTCTTCGTCCAACTGAGAGACCACTTTTTCCACCAAGGTCCAAACGGCAATCATCTCTGTCTGGTTACCGAACTCCTTGGTCCCCGTCTTTCTCTTGTTCTTGAAAAGTTGAGCGATGATCACGATAGGTGGCTTTCACCAGACATGGTCCTGAAAGTCGCGCGGAAGCTGCTGGAGGCGATTGACGTCTTACACCGATCTGGATTTGCCCATGGAGGTATGAGGAACCCTTATGGTGTTACATCTCTCGACAAGGCAACCATTATTCCTACCTATACGGATACTTGCAAATTTATCCTGAGTTCGTTGTGCTAACCACTGTGGCAGATCTAAACATGAACAATATTGCTTTCACCTGTCATCGCATGATAAGCAGTCAAGCCAATGAAGCCACTGAAGCCACTGAAGCCACTGAAGCCAATGAAGCCAGTGAAAACAATGAAGCCACTGAAGCCAGTGAAAACAATGAAGCCAGTGAAGCCGATGAACTCACTGGAGATCGAATTTGGGATGAGATTGCTGGATCACGCTGCAGAAAGTTGGTTCGCCGAGATGGAAGACCAGTAGGTCCATCGGTTCCAGAGGAATATGTGGCAGCCGAGTCATGGGATGATTGGAATGACGAAGAATTCGAAGATGTCAAGATCCTCGATCTAGGCGACTTGTTCAGCCAACAGGAACAGCCTGGTACATGCGCTTTACCATACGATTGCCGACCGCCAGAATTTATCTTCGAGGATTCTTTCGACCATAGAAGTGATCTATGGCAAGTTGGCTGCGCGGTACGTCCCTCCCTTGATCTGATTATATAAGTTATGTGGTGATGCTAATAGTCTCAACCTCCGAAGATCTATAAGCTGGTCTTTCACATGTACCCTTTCATGGCCATGGGTGAAAATCGACTCCTTGTCCTCACTATGATGAGTATTCTGGGTGACCTACCCAAGGAGTGGATCCCTCGTTGGGAGAGTATACAACAAGATTCAGACCCAAAGTTGCCGAAGCTGGATCCGGAGAGTACGTTCATCCACACCCGTCAAACCAACCATTCCTTCTTCCAAGTTAGTTCGGGTTTGATGGTCGGATCTATCCCAGTTGCTGCGTGTGCTTTGGCTGAATGTATCCAAAGAATGCAAATATCAGTTCACTAATGCAGTTGCTGCTAGGAGCGAGTGGTAGAGAGCCTGACCGCTTGATATACGAAGGGACACGGAAGATTCTAGAAGATATTTTGAGGATTTTTGTTCCCGTTATCGAAGGCCTACTGACGTGGAAGAGGTCGGACAGACTTTCTGCGTCTGAAGCATTGCAAATGTTGGACAAGACACCACCGAGCTGCTAGTTCCAGCGGCTGATTTGCAGAGCCTGGCAGCACCCTCACCGAACCCCAGAAGTTCGAAAGGAGGGGAATTTGGATGTGTCCAGCCGCAGTCAAACGGCAAACCATGTCAAACATGCACACTTGATTCCTTTGTCAGCTTGAGGTGGTGCTAGGGTATGGCGTGAGAAGACAATCTGCTGGGGTATGGGTATGGAGCAGGTGCTGGAGCAGGAGCTGGAGCGTGGCAAGGGCAAGGGCAAGGGCAAGGGCAAGCAGCTTGACGGCGACCATGTGTAGCGACTCCTAAAGAGCGGACGGACCGGACAGGACAAGGCAGCGGGAAGAGGCTGTTCGAGCCTTAAGCGTTAGGGTACCCATGGTGCCAGAATTCAAGGCGATTTATCCAACTGCTACTTCGACAAGATTACCAACTCTACCGGATGGTTTTCTTTCCAAGATACTAGATCTACTCTACGGCCGCCCTCGAGTAACTCTCCTAGACCTATTATGTAACTTTGATATCTACGGACTATCCGAAAGATAGTAATAGACAGGACCGCCTTGTAACCCGCCATGTAGGTATTTTAGCACCCAGCCTTAGCCCTTCGATCCTCAGCCTCGTGCAGTACCGGCATGCACCGGACCGACCCGGCCAATGTTTGATGAGTCAGGGTAGGATTCGAGGGATTAGGGGAATGATTCCGCGCCGGAGCATGCCTTGATATTTAGCATTTGCGGGGTATGCAGCGTCGAAACAGTCCAGATCCAATGAAAATCGACTTTGTCCTTGTCCTCTCCGGATCCAGAGGGCCTGAAGACTTGTCCACGAGCGAAGTCGACCTGCTGGGTGAGCTGGACGTGGAAACATTTCCACGCTCTCGAGATGAGAGCCGGCAAGAGCAGGCAAGAGCATCCCGCGGTCAAGGATATGATGCAGTACAAGTACAGTAGTTTCCCAGATGGGCATGTCCCCGTCCACTGAAGCTGCCTTCGTTGCATTGTTCATTCCTTCAGTTGCATCCTGGAGAAGTTAGAGCCCCCCCTGCAATTGCAATCATGTTCCCAGGTGGATTGGCGGAACAAGCGGAATATGACTTTATCGTCTGGTGAGTGGCGGCCGCTGTCTATACTAGTCGGCGATTCGAACCCAACTAAGAGTCTCCTTTTCAAGCGGCGCTGGCACATCTGGCTGCGTCGTAGCCGGCCGACTGGCCGAAGACAGCAATGCTCGGATTCTTCTGGTCGAGGCAGGTCCCCATAATCGAGATCTCGAAAATGTCCACATGGTCGGAGGGTGGTCGAAGAACTTCGACTCCGAGACAGATTGGAACCTTGTCACCGAGCCCATGCAAGGTGTCGACGGCAGGCGTGTTAAGCTCAGTCGAGGAAAGTTCTTGGGCGGCTCGAGTGGCGTGAACGGGACGCTGTGCATTCGTGGAAGCAAGCAGGATTTTGATGATTGGAAGTAAGGATGATGAATCTGGAGGGCGACACCGGCGCAGTACTGGACGGGACTGGATTCGCAGGTTGGCTGACTCCCGCAGTTTGCCAGGATGGTCGGGCGACGACATGTTTGCATACATGCGCAAGGTGCGAGCGAACCAGTCTACGCGTGAGTCGAGAAACTTCCGTTCCGCTCACAATGTCCAGGCCGAGTCCTTCCACAATAAACCGTGGTTCCAGGCAGACGAGAAGGCCCACGGGTATCATGGCCCGCTCCACACAGAGCCTCACGACCTTGCTCCGATTTCCAAGTTGTTGCTCGAGTCGATGGAATCCATGGGTCTGCCGTTGGTGCACGATATGTTCAGCAATGGCAGAACACCGCACGGCTGCGGACATGCCCCTCGAACTCGTAGGGCCCATACGGGCTGCCCCGGGCCGGTGATTGCAAGCTGACTCTTTTCCTAGATTACAGAGGCATCAGAACCACTGCGGCCGACTTTGTGACCAATGCTCGTCATCGAGAGAACATCGACATCGTCGTTGAGACGCTCGTGGCCAAGATCAATTTTGAAGAATCGGATGGTGACGGTGAATTACGAGCCACAAGCGTGACTCTAGTTGACAAAAGTGGAGGAAAGCGAGAGGTCAAGGCCAGGAAGGAAATCATTGTCTCTGCAGGTAGGGCAGTAATGTCCAGGAGCGTCGAGTGGCCAGGGTCCAGACACTGATTGACCGTGGCAGGAGCATATTGCTCCCCAGCCATTCTTCTGCGATCGGGAATAGGCCCAGAAGCCGAGCTGGAGCAACTAGGCATCCAGTGCATCGTCGATTTGCCTGGGGTCGGGAAGAATCTCCTTGACCATCTAGTAAGCTTACTTGCTTGGACCAGGCTGTAGCATCGACCTGCTGATAGGGGCACAGATTGTCTTTGCCTTTTATGAAACGGAGAAAGAAGGCTTGACGAACGACTCCCTCGTGTATGTGAATGCGACGTGGACACAACTGTTGCCTCGGCTGACTTGGATCGCTCGCAGATACCACGGCGATGCTGCAATGGCTGCATACATGCTGTACAAAGACAAGAAGGAAGGCGTGCTATCCACGTTCCCGTTCGGTGCCTTTGCGTACGCCCGACTGGACGATCGGTTGAAAGACGAGCCAGTGTGGAAAGAAGCGAAAAGGGAGCCTGGCCGTGACCCGATGGGATTGACTCCCAGCCAGCCCAACATTGAATTCTTCACAACTGAGGTAGGCAGCCTGACAGACCAGACGAGAGATTTGAGAATGCGCGAGGCCCAGGCCCAGGCCCAGACCCAGACCCTGCTGACGAGGTGAAAGCTGTATGGCGGACCCAAGCAATACGACGACTTTCCTATTGGTAAGTGGCGAGAAACAGCGAGCAGAGCAGACTGCAAGCTTAGGCTCTTAGGCTCTTGTGCTGATGAGAATTAGACAAGAAGCATGCCTTTGCAATCATCACCGAGCTTTTCGCACCCCGGTCCAGAGGCACCGTGACACTAAGATCGAAGGAACCGTTCGAAACCCCAGTCATAGACTGCAACTACCTTGCCGATCCGCTCGACCTGTTGGTTCTGACCGAGGGCTGTAGATTGGGCAACGAGATCGTCATGCAAGGAGCAGGGACAAGAGCCGTTGTGAAGGGATCCTGGCCTCCCAGTGAGTATGCAAGGGGCTCCTGGGGCCACCTACAGTAGTAACCTGCGTCCAGATTTGACACACCATGCTTTCACCACTCGAGAAGACTGGGTGCCATACGTGACCCAACAAGCCACCACTTGCTATCACGCCGCGGGCACCTGTAAGATGGGACGAGCCGATGACAACATGGCCGTCCTCGACGAGAAGCTGCGAGTGCGCCGAGTCAAGGGCCTCAGGGTGGCGGACTGCAGTGTGATGCCGACTCTGCACGGCGGCCATACCCAAATGCCTGCGTACGGTCCGGTGCGTGTCCGAGCTTGATATGCCCTTACTGACCGGTTGTAGGTATGGAATCGGCGAGAAGGCGGCCGACCTGATCAAGGAGGCTTGGGAGGAGGCTTTGGCTGCTACTGCTACTGCTGCTGCTACCATACCAGTCAGGAGTGAGGTGTGAGGTTGCTAGCTGGGCGGGCCCCTGGGCCACGGGGTATCATCCCTAGATCCCTAGATCCCTAGGTTCCAGGAATCCCGTCGATTCTCTGATAGCTGATAGCTGATAGCTGATAGCTGATAGCTGATAGCTGATAGCTGATAGCTGATAGCTGATAGCGGCATGATCAGACCATGACAATGCGCTTGCTAATCTCCAGCGGATCCGAACTCTCCTCCAACTTGGTAGCCGCATCCAACCATTCCCTCATGTCGGTGTTGAAGAACAAGATGAGGTTACAGTCAGAGTCGCCTTGGCCTCCTTGGACTGATCAAGTTCGGTGTCAGATGTCTGTTTCACTTTTTGCCATAGGAAAGTAACTTACCCATGCCAATGACGACCGAGCTTCCATTTCTCTCAGCGCAAACCATTGAGCCTGATCGCCCATACCATGCACTCATTTCGGCACACTCCTGGTTTTCTTTGGCACTGTCAGGGTGTCCGATTCTCGCACCGAAGCTGACGGTCCTTATGTTCGGTCGAAGGAATTCTAGCCCGGGTGGATTGGCATCGTGCAAGTTCTGTCGGGGAACAATGAGTATCAAGTTTGTAGATAGTATACCATGACTTACGTATCGGTGAATAATTCTTCTTTTCTCGTCGTCGTCACGCCTTGAGTAGAACCTTTGGAAGCAATGGCGAAGCTCGTCCAATCCACTAGCAGCATTGTACCCAATTGACCAGAATCCCGTCCGTGCAGTTGTTGCGAGGCTGCGGCGCTCCTCCGGAGTGGCCAGGTAGAGAGCGGCCTTGTTCACAGCGTAATTCATCCTGTCGTTCTGGGGCCAACCTGTGATGCGAAAAACGGCAATGTCCCAAGCTTTGTGGATTGCCCAAAGGCGCAGTGGAAAGTCATTTTTGTGCCCTAGACCTGGTCAATGGTGCCGACGCCCTGTTGGTATTGCGGATGAGGGCTTACCTCTTCCTTCCACTCCCCTCGCCTGGATTGCTTCGCAAATACCATTTTGCCCGTCCAAGAAGGTTTGGACATTGTTTCCAGCCAAGTCCCAGTCCGTGAAGTGAGCGCAGGTTACAACCATTTCGTGAGTCAAGCGAAACCCGGACAACTGCACGGTTTCTGCTCCGAGACCATGCAGATGGGTGTTTTGGACATTGACGCGGACGGCTGCAAGACCAATTTTGACAAGAGATGCCAATTTCTATACGGTGGTTATTTCAGTGAGTGATGTGGAAAGCTCGGAGTGGAGATTACCTCGTGTCCGCCAACCTCAGCTGCCATGGCCTCCCATTCTTGGCTGAATACTTCCGTATCACCATCATTTTCAAGAACATGGAATTCCGATAGTTGTCCATGCTGTGCTCGATTCAGCGTAATGCCACAGAACGACGTAACGCGTGGTGAAGGCAGATCTTCAGAGACCCGGCCTGGGACCGGCTTGGAAGAGTCCATCGAACGAGCCAGGCAGTAAAAGTCACAACAGTAGTGGCCACAGTGTGATTTGGAAGGAACTTCCGGCTTGTCGTTAGGTCCGGTACTGGGAAGGTTGCTGGATGATGATCCGCTGCCTGGAAAATATGGACCAGTGTTTGCCTCTCTGTGAGGCCGTGGAAATAGACCACTGCCTGAAGAAGTGGCCTCCTTTGTCTCTTCATGAGGCCATGGATTATTGCCTGGAAAATATGGACCAGTGTTGGCCTCTTTGTGAGGCCGTGGAAATAGACCTGGAGATAGACCACTGGCTGAAGAAGTGGCCACCCAAGTGTGTGTTTGTTCCTTTGACTTGTCCATGTCTTGTAAGTGTTCTTCCGGCATGATTGTTTTATCTGTCTTTGGTAAAGTTTCAACCTTGACTGGAAATTCAGGCGCGAATGATGATTTGCAACACAAGTTGTATAAAGAGCCGACACAATGACAAAGGAAGATAGAGTCGGTCGCCGCCTGGAAGAGAATTCAAAGGATACCATCACCATAAAAGAAATCTGAGTCTAAGACAACGAGACTGTGCACACCGGGGAGATCACATTCCATCTCCAGATGATTTCGTTGGCCCCTTGCCGACACAAAACCCAATGACCTTTCAGTTCTGAGAATGCTGTCCAAGGAAAGGAATGCTGACCTGCCAGGAACATCGTCTCGGGAACTCGGTGACGAGATAGTTATCTCACAGTTTGAGGAATGCATTTCTCTCCCCGCTCCCCCCTTACTCAGGGTGGCGAGCAACGGGTCCACTGCCCCTGGCCCTGTCAAGACGACCAGTTAGGAAGATACATTAGAGTCTTCGTACGTCGGCAACAACCCTGGCCTGGGAAGGCTGTCCAGATACACTTGTGAAGGTCGGGTAGGTATTACGGTTGAGGTTCGAGGTTGCGATTGACCTTAAGGGCCCGATTGGGAAGGTTTACCGATCATGTGACTGGATGAAGGGCGGCCCTGTAATGGACATTACCGTATTATGGTAATTTCGTATTTTTCGTATTTTTCGCATCTTCCAAAACCTACTAGATGCCTACTAGATACCTAGGTACCTTCAGATACCTACTCCGTACCTAATCTGCGTCTCTACCTACCAGGCACCTACTACCCTGGTACTCAGGTACCTAAGATCGAGTTGAAAAACCAGACTTTGTTGCCTGGGACGACAGAAAACCAGAAGCACAACGAGGGGTAGGACTGCTATGACTGTAACCCCGGGGAGCCAGCCTCAGGATCTCCACCCAAGTCGTGGCCCATGGGGACTGCTTCGTACGGAGTACGGAGTACTTACTACCAGGTGACCTTTCATCTTCTTTGCAGCGCTCATGCTAAGTTCTAACCGAATTGAAGACAAGCCTTAACCCAATAGAGTTTGCGATACCGGAGGGTCTGAGGCTGGATGGAGAGGCTGAAGCCCCCTTGGGCCTCCGGCAAATGCATTGTGGAGCGATGCAAACTCGGCTACCGGCTAACCGCACACCGAGGCCAGATGAGTCAAGAAAAAGTCTATCGTCCTCCGTGCTTCGCACAAAGCTGCAGCTGGCATTTACAAATAGCAACCTTCCCCGGCCTCCCTCCCCCGCAGACAATGCCATTTGTTCCCAGACTACCCCGGAGACAGAGTTCGACGCCGGAGCGCCGAGTTGATTGAGTATTACCGATACTATCACCAGAATCGAACTCGAAATCGACCTTTTCCGCCATGGGAGTTCGAAACATTCGCGGCGAAGGCCTCCAGCGCATGATCGCTGTGCTAGGAGCGGTGGCATTCTTGGTCCAAGGATACAACCAGTCCATGATGAACGGCTTTACCACGTTGCCCACCTTCTTAGCAGCCATCCCTGAGGTCGACACCGTCAACACGACAGGGTCCCAGAAGTCTCACAATGCCACCATCTTAGGTCAGTCTACACCAGGGTCTTCCGGTCGGCTTTCAGTTTCGTGGTTATATTGACAGTCTACTCCGTACTTCGCAGGTCTCGTGGTCGCCATCTTTGAAGCGGGCTCTGCCCTCGGTGCCCTCTCTTGCCTCGTGGTTGGCGATCGGCTTGGGCGTCCGAAAACCATGTTACTGGCCGGCATCGTCTGTGTCATTGGGGTCGTCATTCAAGCTTCTACGTATTCTTTGGGGCAAATCCTCGCCGGCCGAATCATTGTGGGTGAGTAATCTTGCGTGCCCAATGCCCAATGCCCAATGCCCACATGTTTCATGAGGAGGAAGAGGAAGAGGAAGAGAAAGAGGAAGCTGATTCATTGTCTTGGAATCCAGGTCTGGGAATCGGTCTCTACACCGGTACTGTGCCCATGTACGTCAGCGAGACAGCCGACGCCGACAAGCGTGGACGACTGGTCGCGGTCGAAGGAGTGTTTGCCTTGAGCGGGCTGGCCATCGCATCCTGGGTCAATTTCGGCATGTACCACACCACGGGCCCCGTGACGTGGAGATTTCCCATCGCTCTCCAGCTGGTCTTCATCGCCATCTTGCTGGGACTGACCCCCTTCCTCCCGGAATCGCCGCGGTGGCTGGTCAAGAAGGAGAGGCTGGAAGAGGCCACCGCGGTCATGGCCAGGCTCATGGGCCGGGCCGGAGATGACGCCGAGGTGGCCAGAGAGATTGCCGTCATCCACGCGGCCGTCCAGCGAGACGCGGGCCACCGCCACCAGTACTCGGCCAACCCGTTCTCGATGAACGAAAACCGGCATCTCCATCGCCTCCTCCTCGCCGTCACCATCACCATGATCACGCAGATGACGGGCATCAACGTGATTGCCTTCTATTCCGTCTCCATCTTCGAAGGCACTCTCGGATACTCGGGCAGTTCGGCCCGCATCTTCTCGGCCTGCCTGCAGGTGACGCTGGCCCTGGGCGGGCTGACGGCCATCTTCACCGTCGAGCGCTTCGGCCGCCGGCGGCTGATGATCTTCTCCACGGCCTGTATTTGCGTGGCCCAGGCAGCCGTCGCAGGCCTGTCGTCCGACCTCCAAAACGTCGGTTCCGCCCGCGCCGCCATCTTCTTCTATTTTCTGGCCATGTACACCCTGCCCATCGGCATGTTCATCATCCCCTTCATGTACGGCGCCGAGGTCGCGCCGCTGGGCATCCGGCACAAGGTCACCGCCATGGGTGCCGCCACCAGCTGGCTCTTCAACTTCATGGTCGCCGAAGTCACCCCCGTCGCCTTCACCAACATCCAGTGGCGATACAACATCGTCTACGCCGCCACCAGCGCGGCCGGCTGCCTCGTCATTTACCTCTTCTACCCGGAGACCCGAGGCAGGACCTTGGAAGAGATTGACGAGATCTTCCTCCAGTCCAAATCGCCCTTTGACCCCGTCCGGGTCGCCAGAATCCTCCCTGTGGGGATTGACGCGCTGGACGCGGGTGGCGATTCCATGAAAAAGCTCGATGCCAGCCATCTGGAAAAGGCTTGAGCTTGATCGGCTTCAATGCGCCATCTTTATCTTGTGATGCCTGATGCCAGCTACATAGTACTAGGGTACACCAACTGGGACGACAGTTAGCATATGTAAAGAGTCAACCTCTGCTTTCTTCTGGGGGGAAATGGAGATGGCTTCAGTGTGTGTAGAGACAATGACAACGACTCCGACCCCGACCCCGATAAATAGGGTGTGTGCATGGGCGTGTGCGTGGGTGTTTGTTTGAAGCCATATAGCAGGCTGCTCTCAGGCAACACATTCCAAGGACTGTACTCCTTAAAAAGATACCAACAACAACAAGTTTGAACCTCCCTAGACATATTATAGGACTCTCTGGACGGTCTCTTCTGGGAAATCGGCACAGGCTTTCGTTGCGACCGCTATCGGTGGGGAACCTCATTTGAAGCCATAGCCTTGTTCATGCCCGATATCGGCCTGGGCGGGCGGGCACCTGGTGGATTTTTCTTTCTCTCCTGAGTCCGACCAGTACCAACCAATACGCACGCACCTATTATTATTACTCCGTACTCCTTGTTAGACGTCTGGCCTGACGTCCCAATACGCGTGCAGTTGATCATAATACTGTGTTACAAAAGGATCATGATGGCAGAGAGCCTCCCGGAGGGCCCAGCCTTGTATCCAGGGGAGGTCTTTGACACGATTGCCGGGTTCCCGACCATATACCATTATCAACCACCGGCCGGGGGAAAAGAGGCCAGCAGCAATAACAACGAACCCAAACCCAAACCGCTGATAGTCTGCGTCACGGGCGGCCTACATCTGGCGCGCATCTTCTATGGCGGACACCGAGGATCACGCCCGGACGACTTTTTGGCCTTCTGGCTCAGCAAGCTTGGCTTTGGAGTGCTGTCCTTGTCGTATCCCCTCGAGACGGACCCCCCGATCATGCCAACGACGGCGGCGCATTTCCGGATCGGAGATTGGGGTCGACAGGCGGCGCTGACGGCGAAGAAGGTTTTGGAGGAAAACGCAACGGCGTTGGAGACTCGATCGGTTGTCCTCATCGCCTGGAGCATGGCGGGCAGGATGGTGGTGCCGTTCAACATCTCGGCCACGGAGCAAGGGCTGCATGTCCAGCAATTCATCAGCTTCTCAGCCACGCCCGGGTTTTCGAGTATCAGGCTGCTTCCGCCCGGCATGACCCCTACTCCTGTCGGGTATTTCCACCTCATGCCTCATATCGAAGTGTTTTGCCAGCAACTGGACGAGATGAAGAACTTGTACAACAGCCGCAAACGTGACGGTGACGGTGACGACGGCGACAGCGGTGGTGGTGAGGGAGATGGAGACATCATTCCCCGGGATGTATATCTGCGAGAATACATCGGAGCGACACCAATCAACCTGATCGGACTGAGGTTGTTGTACGACAGACGAAACAAGGGGTTTGTTCGAGACGACGTGCCCCACGAGGAAGACTCTCGGGTCTTGGACGTGGCCAACTTCCCTCTGATATCTTGCCTATACCCGATCAGTATCCTCGATGCCAGCCACGCCCTGGCAGACAAGGCGAGCTGGGGTTTCTTGTTGACGTACAAGCTGGAAACCATGATTGGGAAGCAAGGGTTGCTGAATGTGCAGGGCACGCCCAAGTGGCGGCAGCTGTTGGATCTGGTCCATTCCGCCCCGGAGAAGTTGTTGCTCCCTGCGACGGGCAACCACTTCTTCTTCGTCGGCCATCACTGTGCCCGAGAGACGGCAGACAGAGTGGCGGGACTCCTCGACGAGGGGACTGCGTTGCGAAAGCTTCTATCTGACCTCACTGGCACATCATCACAGGCTTGAGGGCTGCTGCCTAGCAAGGCGAGCGAATACTCGGCTCAAGTTGTTTGGCTGCGTACTACAGAGCACAAGGCGGCCGCACTCTCGTCCGGATCGGGGGTGAGTTCGGGGCGGTTTTTACTGAGTAAAACTGCTCGGAGCTCACGTGGGCGCTCACCCAGACCATGCCGCTTTTATAACCCCCTGCTCGCGACTCAGCCTCCCTCCTCTTCACCTCGACTCACCTTTCGACTCCTGTGCGAGCTAGATACCTCGCTACCACCCGAAATGCACAGTGGTAAATACACGGTTGACTACATGATCAGGCTCGATGATGACCAAATCTTCATCAGACTTCGCTTCAATGGAAGGGTATTCGATATTGAATTTGGGCCGGAGGACCTCCATGATCCAGATCCAGTGAATCCAACCGACTCACAGCCCTTTGAGCAACGGTACCTTGATGCGCTCCAACGTTCATTCAGTGATGAAGGATCTGAAGGAGCCGACGAGGTCGATGAAGCCACCGAAGTCTCTGAACTGCAGCGCCACTTCGATCCGGCCGCCTCTCTGATTTCGAGCGAATGTGGTTGCGAAGAGGATCCCGTCATATCCTTTGCCGTGGCACCGTTTCTGACACATTGCACCTTCGAAACGTTCGCCCCAGAATCATCAACACCTTGTCTGAACACCTTGCATGACGTCCTTCACCCTCCAGTTCTATCGTTCAGACTCCATATAGAAGACGAAAATTGAGTACCGATCAATCGGTCTCCAGAGGAAAAGAAAACCATGGATCCTCCTTGGGTGTCCATCGGGATATCTCAGCATTGGCTTGAATACCCTCTGGTCCAAGCCAAAGAGATTCCCTTGGCACAAACATCTCAAGCTTCGCCAAACACCAACCTGGTGATGTTCAACAATCGGATATGCTGGTTTAAGCCTGTTCTGGCTGGGGTCGATAATCTTCCATATATTCGAGAAATCGATATCCTATACAAACTCTCTCGGGAAAAGCTCAGCCAAGCACTACGCTTCCCGCAGCTAGAAGCGATTGTACTAGACGACAGAGATGGCGATATAGGATTTATCAACGGTCTTATTCTCTCCGCCATCTATCCTAATCATGGGAATATAGCAGATCGAGTCAATGGACCCGAAGGGCCATCAATCCCCATCGCGTTACGTGAGCGATGGTATCATGATGTCGAGAATATGATTCGTATCTTGCACGACCAAGGCTTCATCTGGGGCGATGTTTCACCGAACAACATGATCACTGACGAGGATGAAAATGTCTGGATCATTGATTTCGGTGGTGGATACACCGAGGGCTGGGTGAGAGAGGAGGACATGGAGACCAAGAGGGGGGACCTAGAAGGACTCGAGAGGCTTAAGGAGTACCTATTGACCGACATTGACTAGCCAAACCCCGATCCGACCTGTTGTGGTTTCGACCTTCGCTCCACGTTCAGTACGAAGAATTCTGGTGGTGATATCGCCTTCGTGGAGGGCAGGGTAGATGTCCCTCCATACGAGAGGCTCCTTGATGATCTCGATCCCCTCCAAGTAGGTCCAAATCACTCCTTTCAAGGGGCGGATGACCATCAAGTTATCTGTAATGGTTGGACAGGCTTGCACCTATCTCAACAGGAGGTGGACTGGTAAGCCTCAGGACAAACGTAATGTCCGCGAGGAGGGTTGGCCGCCAATGTATCTTCAGCCCTGACCGTGGCTGAATTAGCCTGGTAAGCTGTTGACGGTACCTATAGGCGGTCAATCGGAACCTGGCGCCTCCTTACCCGTCCATAGGTATAGGTACCTAGGTGATGCCTAGGTAGTTGAAGCATCTATTAGCACGAAGCCAGGTCAGAAATGTAAATCCACCGCCGGTGCTTTTGAGGGATACTATATCTTCATTGGTCAAACCTCGAGCTGCCGCGTCCACTGGCAGCATAAGGGGAGGTCCCAAAGACCAAATCATGCCTACCGGTACCTGAGAGGAGGTCCCCGGGTGAGCAGGAGCGGTGTAGGCAGGTGAGCCGGGGTGAGTACAGGGCGGCATCACTCTCGTCCCGAACGGGGTGTGTCGTCTTTTGACATTTGTGCCCTATTAATTTCCTGGGTAAGGTGAGCCGGTTCGACTTCACCTTTGCTAATCTTCCGATTCCGATTCTTTGGTCATCTTGTGCAAGGGCCCCTTCCTGCGTGCCGTCGGTACGTGTACACTCATTCTATCAATGCAATGCCCTCAAGAACACATCGTGTGCTGTTGAGGTCACTTACGCCCCGGAAGGTCCAGAGGCGCCTTTTCAGCAATGGACTCCGTTGCGCAGATCAGCAATGGGGTCAGGAAGAAGATCCAGACAGGGCCTGGCTGGAGGAGAGAACCTCCTCTAATGAGCGAGTGCCCCTCCACAAGACGAGACGGGTCTTCTCCGGCATCCAGCCCACAGGAGTGCCACATCTAGGAAACTACCTGGGAGCTCTCCGGCAATGGAAACGATTCCATGACCAATCGACAGACCCCAACCTCGTCCTCGACTATGAGCCTCAACAGTTCTTCTCTATTGTGGACTTGCATTCGTTGACCGGGGACGTCTCCCCTCAAGACCGACTACGGCTCAGGAAGGAATCCTTTGCCTCGCTACTGGCAATGGGTCTCCATAACACTGCCGAGACGACGGTCTTTTTTCAGTCCGATGTAGGTGTCTTGTGTCTTCTTCCCTCTTGTCCGGGCTCCATCCTCACAGTGTCTGTTAGGTATGGTGTCATGCAGAGTTGATGTGGATTCTGAGCACCTTTGCATCTACTGGCTATCTGTCCAGGATGACACAATGGAAGGTGAGCCGCGTCTGCCAATGTCGACCCACGACTCTGTACTGAGCTGGCCAACATAGAGCAAATTGAATCTACCGGAGTCGGCGAACCTGGACAGTGACGAAGCTACGGCAAAACTGAAATTGGGCTTGTTTTCCTATCCCGTCCTGCAGGCAGCTGACATCTTGTTGTACCGGTAAGTCCAACCCGGTGCTCGGTACATGATTACTGCTCACTGTTCACTGCTCACTGCTAACCGCATCCAGAGCTTCCCTGGTTCCAGTGGGAGAAGACCAACTGCAGCATATCGAGTTCACTCGCTCTCTGGCGCGGAGTTTCAACTCGTACGTACAGAGAGCAGGCTCGGGTGCAGTGTTCAGAATACCGTGGCCAGTCCTATGTGAGTGGTATGCCTCAGGAGACGCTTAGACCTGCGCTAAACCTGGACCAGCCCCTGCCAAACGGATCATGTCTCTAAAACGACCAACGCAAAAGATGTCGAAGTCGGATCCAGACCCAAAGTCGCGGATTCTCATCACCGACAGCAAGGAGGACATCTATGCCAAGGTGAAAGGCGCAATCACAGATTCTGAGCCTGGGATTTCCTTCGACCCGGAACGACGGCCGGGAGTGTCGAACTTGATTGAGATACTGAAACATGTCACGGAGTCCAATCAGCCGTCGCTATTCATTGCCAGGGATCTGGAAAATGTGAGCATGCGTGCGTTCAAGGAAAAGGTCGCGGAAGAAATCGTCAAGGCTTTGGATGGAATCCGCGACAACTTCCTCGAGCTGATGCAGCCTGACAATTCTCGGCTGCACGACGAAGTGTTCCAGGGCGGCTGGAAAGCGCGGGACAAGGCCAAAAGCACCCTTCAGGATGTCAAGCGGTCTCTGGGATTGCAGACATTGGCGCTGCCTTGGTTGTCACAGGAGCGCGAGCACCAAGAGACTGAGTCTCGGCCCGAAGAGACGGTGGTGGGGGGGAAAGAGGAAGAGTTGGATCCAGCCTCGCTGCGTCCCGACAGATTGGAGAGGAATCCCGCCAAGCGAAACTCGTCGGCGGGCTCCGTTTCCGTTCCCATTCGACACATCCCAGTTTCATAGGAGGAGACGTCTCGCCATGGATCCGGGCGATCATGCCCGCGACATCCCTTAAATCAGTCGAGGGTAGGGCTTCCGGAGCCTTCTGGTCAGCGAACCGAGCAACAGCTGCCTGAAACTGCGTGCGGCCATGTCTGCGACACTTGCCCCATGATGGGCATGGACACACGCAAAAAGAACAGGCTGCATGCCTAGTCTAGTCTGGTCTGATTCGTCTGCCTCTCGCTCGACGAGGCTGTAGACAGAAGAGTGTTTTGGCGAACATGCGGCGGCAAGGCTGGAACCCTGGAACAACGTCATTGGCCGCCCAGCAGCTCCATATGTGTAGATCCAAGGAAGGACCTTGGTGCCCTACACCTACACTGATACCATATGTATATTAAATTTCAGCAGCTCACCTCAGCATGCATACTGTACACTTGCACTAAATACACGAACCTCAACCCCACGATTCGACTCTTTTAATCCCACGCGCGTCCCCCCCTCCAACTTCCTCTCTTCGCCCTCCTTTACGCCCTAAAATGCACATCCTGCGCCTCCGGTTCTCCAGTGCCCTCCAGTGCAGCTCGACGCGCCGGACCTTCTCGAGCAGTAGCCTACGCCGCAATGTGGTCGACCTTGCGTTCCATCGACACGAGCCGCCGGACAAAACGGGCATCAAAGGCCCGCCCATTATCGTGATGCACGGCCTGTTCGGGTCGCAGAGGAACAACCGCACGCTCAGTAAGTAAGGAGCACCGGCGAGCAATTGGAAACACGGGAGAGGCCCGGAGTGAATGAAAAATCTGACCATGGTGCAACAATAGAGCACTAGCCAAAGACCTGTCGCGACCAGTCTACACGATCGACCTACGCAACCACGGCGACAGTCCTCACTCACCGGTCCACGACTACTCATCGATGGCGGAGGACGTGGAGCACTTCCTCAAGAAGCAGAACATTGTGCGGCCGACCCTGATCGGCCACTCGATGGGAGCCAAGGTGGCCATGACGCTCGCACTGCGCGCCCCAGGCCAATACTCGGGGTTGGTCCCCGTCGACAATGCGCCGGTGGACGCGGCGCTGAAGTCGGATTTCGGCAAGTACGTGCAGGCGATGCGCGAGGTCGAGGAGCACCAACCCCCGATCACCAAGCAGAGCGAAGCCGACAAGATCCTGGCCAAATACGAGTCCGACCTGACCATCCGGCAGTTTCTGCTGACCAACCTGGTCAAAAAGCCGGCGGGCGGTGACGACCACCACGCCCACCGCACCGGCGAACACCGCCACGCACAGAAGACAGAGCTGCGTTTCCGCATCCCCTTGCACACCCTGGCCAAGGCATTGCCCGCCATGGCCGATTTCCCGTTCAAGGACCCTGACCAGGCTCGCTACGACGGCCCGACTCTGGTCGTTCGTGGCAACAAATCTCACTATGTCGCCGATGAGACGCTGCCTCTGATCGGCCGCTTCTTCCCACGCTTCGAGTTGCTGAGTTTTGACTGTGGCCACTGGGTCATGAGCGAGAAGTTCGAGGAGTTCAGGGCCGGGGTGGTCGAATGGGTTGGAAGGGCTGTTGACGAGGAGGAAAGTTCGAGCTGACGACCGACTCGCTTCGTTGATTGCAGACACACGCGGCCGGCGGGATCAAGGGCAGTCTTAGGAAGCTTATGATACCTCGGGAATTGGGTCAAGATCAGTCTCGCTGATTTTCCGTGCGCAACAACTACGAGAGCAATCTCAATGTTGGGAGTTGCAAGCCAATGCCCGCAGTTGCTCTGCGGCCTGGCTTCGGGAGAAAGCCAGCATAGGTTTGCTTTCCAGATGATTGACCAAGAGGGAACTTACAGAACCATGATAAATGGCCGCTGCGTGCGCCCCTACATTGAAGGAGCACGTGCGGGAAGATTACCGTACTAATTCATGTTTAGAGAAAATAGACGGAAGAAAATAGAACAGGGACATGAGCTGGATGCTTCCTTGTCTCTCTTGCAAATAGTCAATTGTGTGATTTTTTGGCAACATGCTATGCTATGGCCCATGCTCGGTCATGATCATCTAGCATCAAACCGTGCCTTTCCGAAGTTGTTGCATCTTCTTTACGCCGTCCGTCGTGAGGCCATTTCACGAAGAAAGCCCCATGAAAGAAACCCTGGTGGAACAACGATCTCCATGCCCCCGCCCATCTCTACTGCCCAGCGACTGGTCTAGCTTCGGGACTTTTATCACCCAGGTGGTCTCTTTCTTGGATGGCAAACAACTTCCCCGTATTTCCCCATCTCTCGCGGGTGTGCCACACTGCAGCTGCCCATCATCACCCTGCCCTCAGGAACATGACTTAAACACTCTCCAAAGGCGCAGGCTCCTTGAACTCCCTCTCGACCTTCTGGCCGGCATCATCTTGGCCGCTCTCGCCGTGCAGAGCAAGAAGGGCGCCGAGGTCGAACTTGGGGGCCTTGAGCAGCTTGACCTTGCGGATGTGGACGTTCTGGAGTGGGTAGATGCCCTGAGTGGTCTTTTCGATTTCGCGGCCAATGACCTCGGGGATGAGCTTGCCAGTGAGCTGGGCCAGGGTGACGGAGGTGGCCTCGCGTTGGATGATGTCGGTCATCTTCTTGCGGATGGCACGGATCTGCGACGACTGCGCGTACGTCGTCTTCTTGATCTGGTTCGGGCGGCGCTTGGTGAAGGCGATGGCGAACAGTCGGATCAGGTAGTCGTCTGTTGTCTTGACCGTCACGTTGGCCTCGATCAGGGTCTGCCACTTGCGCACCAGCGACCGCAGCTTGTCAGAGGTGAAGTCCAGGCCGTGGAAGTTGGTCAGGCAGTTCTTGCCCTGCACCTCGTCCACTCGCAGCTTGACCTTGCGGAAGGCGTGGTCCTCGTCATTTTGCAGGTCCGCCAGGCTGACCTCGAAGATTCGTCCTTTCAGGGCATCGTTGGCCGATTTCAGACCCGTTGTGCGGTTGACCAGGGTTTTGCCGACACTGTTAAAATCAAATCTTGTAAGCATCTTGTCTTGGAATTGGAATTGAAGCTCCCGTCTTCGTGGCATCCTCGTCTCGCTACGCAGTTGCTTTGCTTTGGATTTTGCATGGGGTTCACGTACTCTCGCTGGTTGAAGGTCGAGGGTGCCTTGACGGAGTACCAGTCCTTGCGGGTGAAGGGATCCTGGGTCCGCTTCTTCGTGCCCTTCTTGGACTTTGAGAGACGCTTGTTCTTGCCGACAGCCATGGTTGCGACTGATGGTTTGCAAGGTGATAGTCGGAGTCGGTTGAAGGAGTTGTGTCGGGCCAGTCGTTGATTGAAATTCTGAAAGTTCTCTGTGCGGGTGCGAAATCCTTGGCGTGGAACCTCAGTAGTGTAATCAGTTAGTAGTACGGCGAACCATTTTGAGGGCTACTACGGTGATGCATTGCGTAGCATGATGTTTCACCTTACTACAGAGTACTCCGTAGTGTTCCGTATATGTACTGCGTAGTGCGGAGTACTACTACCACTTACTACATAGGTAGGTATCTATAGTGTACGGATAGTGCCTGCGACATCTGATCAAACCCTGAAGCCATAGGGACTAAAACAACAAGATATATTGAAGATAGTGCCTTTTCAGTTGACTATTGTAAATATTGCAGCCGTTTCCTCCACTGTAATAGGGTTCAATCAGTTTGTAGATGTTGTCTCATCTCCAATAGTGACTCACGAGGCTCCGAAATGCTCTGAGAAAGGAAGCTGGCCCGCAGCCCTCACTTTCCAACACTTCACAAACCCGCTCTAAATTTGTAACAATACAACAAGACTCAGGCCTCTCGATTCCCTTACATTCTATCCCTTGTCGCCATCATGATTGAGGTTCAGGATCTCATCGCCTCCAGGTAAGTTGCCACCGAAGTTTTCCCTTGTCACACACTCACCGATCATCAAGAGGGGGAGATCCCAAAAAAGTCATCGACAGCCAGCAAAAGAGATTCGCGTCCACCGAACTCGTCGACGAAGTAGCCGCACTGTGGAACGATGCCTACCAGAGTCGGTGTGCTCTTCGAACCCTGATATACCGATACTAATTCGACCCGTAGCGAGATACAAGGCCTCGCAGGTCGGCGCAAAGATCAACGCAGTACAGAAAGAGATTGGCAAGCTGAGGAAGGTCTGTGGACAAGAAACCATGCTATCTCGCGGTCTCGACTGACTCGACTCTGTGGCAGGCTAAACAAGATGCAGACCATCTACTGAAAGAGAAAGCCGACCTCGAGAGAGAGAAGAAGGCGGTCGAAGACGAGGCCGCAGAGAAGGAAAAGCTGAGAGACAAAAAGTGCAAACTGATCGGGAACTACGTCCACGAGTCTGTGCCAATCCATGACAATGAGGTTAGACGATCCCAACCTCCCGCACGAGACAAACAACCACTCACACACTGGTAGGACTTCAACGAGGTCGTCAATCAATGGGCACCCGAGGGCGTGAAGGTCGAGAAGAGGGACTGTCTTTCCCACCACGAGGTCATGACGCGCGCAGACGTTTACGACGGCGAACGGGGCGTCAAGCTGGTGGGACACAGGGGTTACTTTCTCAAAAAATGGGGAGTGCTTCTGAACCAGGCTCTCATCAACTATGGTCTTCATTTCCTCGTTGGCCGAGACTATGATCCCATCCAGCCGCCATTCTTCATGAAGGCCGAATACATGGCCAAGACGGCTCAACTGGAGCAATTTGATGAGGAGCTGTACAAGGTCGTTGAAGGCCCGGACGCTGAAGACAAATATCTCATCGCCACCTCGGAACAGCCGTTGTCCTCCATGTTCGCCGACGAATGGTTGACGGAGAAGGATCTCCCCATGAAGTTTGCCGGCTACAGCTCGTGTTTCAGGAAAGAAGCCGGCTCTCATGGTCGAGATGCCTGGGGTCTCTTTCGCATACACCAGTTTGAGAAGGTAATCTTCGCTGCTCATCGGAACCCATGACGTGCTGACACATTTCTAGATCGAGCAGTTCTTGTTTGTCAAGCCGGAAGAGTCTTGGCAGGCACTGGAAGACATGAGAGATACAGCCGAAGCATTCTATCAATCTCTGAAGCTTCCCTACCGAGTCGTCGCGATCGTGTCAGGGGCGTTGAACAATGCCGCTGCAAAGAAGTACGACTTGGAGGCTTGGTTCCCATACCAAGGCGAGTACAAGGAGCTGGTCTCGTGCTCGAATTGTACCGATTACCAGACTCGCGAGCTCGAGATCCGATACGGACAGAAGAAAGGAGCCATTGACGCGAGAAAGTCGTATGTCCACGCCCTGAACGGTACCCTTTGCGCCACAGAGCGGACACTGTGTTGCCTGCTCGAAAATTATCAGACGGAAGACGGCTTTGAGGTGCCAGAGGTTCTGAGACCATACATGCCACCTGGCACGCCCGACATCATTCCCTACACAAAAGAGCTGCCGAAGGAGTCGACTTCTGCCAAAGCGAAGCAGCCACCCAAACCAAAGGGTGCCAACCAGCCTGCGGCGGAGAACGTTACAGACAAGTTGAAGGACCTGAAGGTTTAGAGGGCAGAGGGATGGATGATTTGACGATGTATGAGTCGTGAGAGTGCTGCTCAACGATCTAGCTACAGTACCCTGTCATTGAGCCAGTTTGAATGCAGTGATGACGGGACGGAACTTCTCTCGTTGAAGTGAAGACGTAGATAGAACCATGGAGATCTTGGCTGTAGACACAAGGAACTTTGAAACAGACGAGCGCATGAAACTTGGCTTGTCATCATCCCATCATCCTATCATCCGAGCAGCCTACTGTGTCCTGTCTGTGTACAGAGTATATCAGAGTATATCAACCATCTAATCTGGCCATCTTAACAGCCAGGCCACAGGGCGCAGCACACGGCACACAGCACACGTGATACTGATCCAGATACTGATCCGAAAGCCTTAGCCGCCTAAGGTAGCCAACATATCTTTCTAGGTGAGGGGATACGATACCAGATATGAAATGGGATAGGATGGGATGCGAAAGCGAGATTGACAGGAACAGGAACATGAACACGAACAAGAACAGGAATAAGAACAGGAACAAGAACAGGAGCAGGAAGAGGAGCAGCTTCCCATTGGCCATTTTTGAATGTGTATACATATTATATAGGTACGGATATGCTCTTCCGATTGTCTGGCGTCTCAGGTAGGTACCTAGTCAGGTAGGTAGGTAGGCAGTGTTGTAGTTACAGTTGTAATTGTACTCATACAGCCGGGGGAAAGAGAATGGGAAAGGGAATGAGGACCACCCTCGCAAGCTCTTCTCTCTCCCGTCTTTCTCCATTTGCCTTACTACCTGACTTACAGCTCGTCTTGCACCAGGCCGCCAACCCAAAAGGCCGTTCGGATGGGCTAAGTCGTACAAGAATCCTCTCCCGCGGGATATAGGTGTCCAAACAAAAGCCATGGGAGAACAAAGTGCTCGCCTGCTCCAACTTTTTCCTGATCCTACACCATAGGAGACAATCACGCCCATACGTTCCACAGTCCGCAAATGTACACCACATGAATCACCAGCAGCTCTTCACTAAGAAGGACTCGTCCTGATCCTCAATATGGATCGTTCGTCGTCCTTGACCCTTCTCTGACCTCAGACATGCCCACACCCACCTGTCTATGGCCTTGTTTGGCCATGATGCGAAGCAAATCGTTCTTGTCGGCGGAGGACTTGTTGAAGCCAAACAGGCGTAATTTGTCGTCCAGTTCTTTCTCGAGAGCGCTAAAGTCGCGATCCATTTTCCCGGCGACGTCTGCAATCACACGCAAAATTAGTATCCTCGACACATGCCAAAATCGATGGGAAAAAGAAATGTAATCAAGGAAGAACATACCGAGTCCCTCCCATTGCCAAACGTTGGCTTTCATGCCCACGCCATAGAACTGCCACTTGCGCAGGAACGCCAACCAGACTTCCACCACCTCAGGCTGACCGTCAAATACCGTGACCAGGCGTTTCAGTGTGATCCGCTCAAAGTTTTCCTGCGCCTTCTTGTTCACGAAGTTGCTTTTCAACACTGTCCATCGTTCCCTTCTCCGCGGGAGAGGAGCAGGCCCCGTGCACGGGAGACCCAAGTAAAAGGCAGCACGGACAGCAAAATCTGCATAAAACTCCAGATTGCGCACGCTGTAGCTCCGAAGCTGGAGCTGGGCCACGGGGACGCCGTGGGTAAGTGGATGGCGGAGAGGAGTGCGGTAGGCGGCCAGGACATTGGGAGGAACATTCGGGGGGGTACTAGGCTCTGACGTGGTATTGGCGTCGGCGTCCGAGTTTGCTTCTGCTTGTGGCAGTGGTTGTACCGACCGAGAGACGATCGCGGCCACTTCTTCCTCTGGAGACTTGGATTTGTCTTGTCGAGCTTTTCTAGACGTTGGAGTTTTGTTGCTCCGCTGCGGTGTCTGTTTCGGACTTGGAGGAATGGTCGGTGACGCCGATGCTGATGCCGATACACCCTCCTCTTTAATCTCAGGTAGCTCTTGGATCTTTCGCGATCCAAGCTCAGGCATAGGGAACCCTGCTGTAATGTCGCGCTCGGGGAGACATGCCGGAATGCTCGAAGCGAAAGCTCGGGTACGCTGACTCTGGGGATGGACGACTCGAGTGCGTAGTGGAAGGGCTGACGTCTGTAGAATAACACATTAGCTCTCTGACTTGATGGGCGCGTACTGCGCAATGCTGCAGTGGGTTGCACGGGTTGCACGGGTTGAATGCGAGCTCTCCGTACCTTGCAAGGTCGACATGCTTCAATAGCTATGCGTAGACATCGTGGGGTGGACATCTTCGAGATTGTTTGCGGATCCTTGAAACGGCCGCGAGACAATATCTCGACTGTCCGAAGAGACCACAAAGATGTTGCGTTGGAGGTCCTGACCTTCCAGCGACGAACTGGTGGAACTGGGCCTTCGATTGAGAGACCGAGAGACCGGCAAAATTGGTTGGTCACGTGAGCCAGCCTCATCGAGTGGGAAGGCTCAGCCTTCCGCGGGCAAACACTCCTAGTAAAGGTAATACACATCTCACTACTAAGCAACGCAAACCTCACCAGCAGTAAGAGGATGACGGTAAAAGGACGATCATCTCACAATTTAGATTGTCTAGCCAGAACATACAAGAGCTCGATCTAACGAGGAGCACATTGATGGAATTGCTGCTCACACTATCTAACCCCTCCTCTGAGAGCAAAGGTTCCTCCCAGGCAATAATAGTCTCCATTACTATCAGTCATACAATCCCATATCGTCGTCATAACAAAGGCTCTGAAGGCAGAGGCAAACCCAAGGTAATGAAATTCATAAGCTCTTGACATCGTATTGAAACCAGCCAATGTCGCTGGAAGGATGATCCAAGAAAAATAAGATCGCTTGTCAAAGAATATCCTGTCGGACCGGCTTTCAAGGAGGTCGAACAGAGAAAGATTTCCAACAAGACAGTCTTGCCCATCCATTGTCATTGGACCAATTCTTGTGACCAAACAGAAGATCAATAGGCAAAACTTCAAAAACGCGAGGTGAAACTTCGTCCTCCCATAGAGGGTCGGCGAAGATGGCCAGCAGAAACTGTTCCACTGACTTGCATCGAGGACCCGCCAATCTTCTCAAACCCTTTGAGAATGTCGACGCCCTCTTCGTTATCAGAATTGTCATTCTCGAAAGAGTTGAAGTCAAAGAGATCATCCTGCTCATCAACATTCGTAACGTTGCTCATAGAACCTCTTAGCGGAGATCCCGATAGTGAAGCCCTCACGCCCGCTCTGAGGAGGGAAGTCCGGGTCGGGGTCTTCGTGTTCAGCCTATAGGACGTTCCCATCATGTCACTGAGCATATCTCCAGTCGTGGTTGCCCGTCCTAATGTGGGCCGAGATCCTAATGCCTTCATAGGAGATGAAGTGAAGGCAGGTGTGGCAGGTGTAAGGCCAATGGCCGGATCAGAAAAGATCTCAAATTCCTCGGGAGCAGAAGAAGCCAAAGTCGCCCATTTGAGAGGACTGTAAATTTCGGCGTCGCTCTGCATTAGACCAAAACTCTTGATCGGGGAATTGGCAAAATCCCGCATGGCTTTGCGATGGAGGTGTAGTTGTGTATTAGGGGAGAGCGAAGGTGGAGGCCGGACTGGTTTCTTGAATACTACTGGAGGCGTGACTGGATTCAACCTCGTAGACGGACTGGCCCGAACGGGAGATGAGGTGTGAGCGGCTTCCGTGGCGGGGTTTCGAAATCTGGCATGACTAGGAGTCACATCATGTGAGGAGCCTCTTATGCGGGCGATCTCTTCCTCTGCCCGACCTCGTTTCCTCCTCAATGGTTCGATATCCAACTCCGAAGTGAGTACAATGGCATTCTTGTTGGGCCGCAAGACAGACGACTCGATCGATGAGAAATAGCCGCTGTCGTCCATCTTGGACAAAGATCTCTTTTGCCGGTGAGATGAAACAGGACGTTGCATACGCGCAGTGGGAGACGAGATATTTCGATGGTGAGTAGGCGCAAGCACAGGTGGCGACGAATTGATTGCATGGGGAGGTGATGACTTTGGTGCGGCGGGGAGCGGATGCTCTTCAAACTCTACAGTCTCTTGATCATTGAGAGCAGGGTCTGAAGCGGGCAGTGTGGCATCCGACGAAAGCTCGGGCAGAGCAGGAGCTGTCTGTGGCCGAGGGGGTTCACTCGACTGGATGATGAATGGGCTGGGGGCCAACGCCTCCGACAAGGGCTGGGGCACCTTCGAAATATCCGGGCGCATCACTCCAGCGTTGATGGCCATGTGTGGCATCGTGTTACCACGCCGGTTCTTGTCCTTGATGAACTGTGCCTCCATTCCGGGCTCGATCACCCAATAGCTGCCCTTGCCCGCATCGCCTTTAGGTCTTTCCTGTTTCTTGAAAGCCTTGTGCAACGACAAGTTATGTCGGATGCTGTTATGCCAGCTCTGTTTAGTGTCTTCTCGGTAGTAGGCAAAGGTGCTGGAGATCCATTCGTAAATTTGTGCAAGAGTCAGGCGGCGATGAGGAGCCCGAAGGATGGCCATGCCAATCATTTGGGCATAGCTGTAGGCGGGCTTGTTGCCATCATCCTCTATAGGAGGCATGTCGTCGGGTTCTGGAAGGTTTGTGACCGAATCTTGGTCGTGTCGAACCTTCTTTGATTGCCGGTCACCCCCCAGCTGCGCGTCTGAATAGGATCTCTTGAGTGGCTGCTTGCGGATGTATGAGGGCTCGGGAAAGTCGACAAAGTTGTCGTGCATGCTAGGCACAGGGTAGTTCTCCTGTTCAAACGTGTCGAAATTGCTATTGAAAGTGGTGAAGAGCGGCTGCTGGTGCTGGTGCTGGGGTTGGGGTTGGGGTTGGGGCGGCATCATTTGAACGTGTCGAAACTGTTGGTTGTGTGGCATGGCTGGCCTCTTTGCCGGCGAGTCCGTGTACATGTTGGCTGCTAAGGAAGGAGGAGGGATCGGAATGTAGTTGAGATTGCCATAGTTTGGCTTCGGCGGTGACAGAGGATGACTCTTTAACGGTGAGAGCTGGTGAGTAGGGGCCATTGGAGCGTTGAGGATGACTTCCGGGTGCGCTGGAGGGTTTCGCAGGGGTTGCAAAGGCATTGCCGAGGGTTGTAGTTGCGGCCGTGGCTTGTGGGTGGGAGACGTGTTGGACGGAAGTGGCATGGGATCTTGGTAGATCTGAACAAACTGGTGTTGACGCGTCGAAGCCATGGCGACGACTGCTGCCGAGGGTTCACTGATACCGGACAGCACAGTTTATGAAAGAAGTCGCGTAGAAAACGAGGATCGAAGAACCCATTAACCAAATTTCAGAATTGGCAGAAAGTGCGCCGGTCAGGCTGGATCGGCGGCGGTGGCGGCGGAATGGATGCCACGGCCAATGCAGTTGGATTTCCAGAGCAGTCTGGAGCTGGTTCAAGGCAAGGAGAGATTTGATGGGATGTCACCGGTGAACAGCGTCGAACTAGGAGAAATATGGACGTGTCTGTGCGGGAGGAGGGTGGTGGGATCCAGGCTGCGGTGGACCGAATCGAGGGGCCGACAGGTGTAGGAAGGGAAGAGGTATGAGATGTTGGAACCGTCGAGGGAATCTCAATACCGGGTGCAACGGTTCGAAGACGCAATATTATCGAGAGGCATGAGCCATGGTCGGGGGAATAGAGCAGATGCGCGGCTTTGTTTACTGTTGACACGATGGATTTCAAAGTCGAAGGGTGCGTGTATGCAGGTAGAGGTAGGGATGCTGGAGGGCGGGTGGGCGAGTGGGCGAGACGCCGGGTTTAAAGAGGAGGGACAGGTTAGGCACGTAGGTCAGGTTGGTAGGTTGGTAGGTTAGTAGGTAGTACGGAGTACTGTGAATTGGTACGGAGTACTAATAAGTCGTAGAGAAAAGTCTCTTACGGCGCACTGTGCAGGAGGGCACAGGTGGTGAAGGGTTGGTGGGTGTGGGTGGTGACGCGGGTGGTATCTGGCGGGCATTATTATTATTGCATTCTTGCAGAGTTCTGCGGCAGCGCTCACTAACTGCCAGCTGGACGCGCAGCGTGTCCGAGTCGTGGTATGTTAGTAAGTAGCAGGAACCAGTCTTGGTGCCAGTAGCCGACCCGATGTCCCGTGACTACGCGATCCCGCGGACACGGGATTGGTAGAAGTTGGCCTGACTAAGGTTGGCGCTACGGACGCCCGCCAAGCGCAGCGCATGCCCGTCACTGGTTGGTTCTCGACTCCGGCCATCCCACAATCCCAGGGCTGAGGCCTGCTGAGGCCTCCTGTAGGTCCCAGCTGTCTGCCGCCCACGTCCAATCAGCCCAGGCGATCTCGATCGTCCTGGAATGCCTCGACGTCTCTCTTCATCTCCCTCCCGCCCGTTCCTGGTTTATGTCAAGTATGCTGCGGGCCTTCCTCCAGGCTGAACACGTTATTGGCCCGCCATCCTGACCGTCCATCCTGGCCTTCAACTTGTTCGCTTCGTCCGGCTGCCCTTGCATGGGCATTATTGGTGGTTGAACATGCTTGATTGCAACCCGAACTTCGACCTACGAGGCCCCGAGGGCTGTTACAGTTACGCGAGGACGCGTTGGGTCGCGATGAATAGCAGCACAGTATGTCGGCGAAAGAAAAGGCATATTCTACTCAGTTGGAGAACCCTTTCCAGTCTCAACGTCGTCTAATCTATTACCGAACTTCCCTTCAGCTGGTCGGATACCGCTTCTTGGGGAATGCGAAATTGCAAGTTGTATGACTTTTAGTTCATCTTACTTGCCCGTCAATGCGGAGGCGGCGGCTGTTAATCAATCGTGTCCACTGTCCACCGTCATCTGTCACCTACACAGCTGTCAGCCTTCAGGACTCACTAGCAGCCCGAGGCTCATGGTGGAGGCGTCACTAGCAGTGTGGGCTGTCTTGGATTCATTTTGACGTCCTGTCATTATTGCGGTGGCTATGCCTGAATCATGCCACATCTGAACATCTCAATCATCCTTTCTAGACAGCCGTCGACATCATACTCTCAAATCTCTGGGGGACCACTGCAAATAGTCACTGCTGTCAATCCAGACAAGCCCGCCCATCCAATTTTGTCTACCGCAGTCATGTCCATTTTTGGGGATCCAATCATGCATATCGCCCAAAACTCCATTGTATCCCACGTGCCTCATCCTTATATGCAACACGCCGTTATATGCCGCTGAAGTCGCTGAAGCCGCTCACAAACAAAACATCCAATCATGTCTCAAGAAAGGTGAATAGATTCGTGTGCAGGATGTTCAACGCCCGGTCCGCATCACGTTCGTCAATCACACAGGAGATGTTAATCTCGCTGGCTCCTACTCAGCCGGTCAGTACGCGCGGAATGGGCAGTCAGATCACAATGATGCCCGTACCTTGTGAGATCATCTCAATGTTCACGTTGTTCTCGCCCAGCGTAGAGAACATCCTGCCCGCAATGCCCACCATATTCTTCATTTGTTTCCCCACCAGACTGACAATCGCCATGTCCGGGATGATATCAACTGTGCCAAAGCTTTTCAGCTCGTCAATGGCACCGCGCAGATCTTGATCCACAATCTTGTACTCATCGTCTCCTCCTCCAGTGTACAGTGGCGCCTCCGAATGCAAGGCCATGGACATGTTGACCTCGCTGGTGGAGATCACGTCGACGGAGAGCCGCCACTTGTCCAAAGTGGCAAATATGCCCGCAAAGAACCCGTGAGAGAGTGCCCGCTTGTTGGAATGGATGTTCATCACCAAAATTCTGTGCTTCATCGTCACGGCAGTAGGACGCTTCGGCCTTTGTCGCTCGGTCAGATAGGATGCGCTGCGCGATCTGAACAATTTGGGGTAGTGCCCCGACAATGCAGTCAGCTCCGATGGGGTGTCAGGGTACACGATGGTCCCTCCTCCTCTCGGGTTCATGACGTTTTTGATTCGGATTGGTATCCGTGCCCGGATGACCTGGTCCATGGTGGAAGGATGGATGACCTCAGAGCCATAGAAGGTGAGCTCGGCCGCCTCTGCAGGACTGATCTGCGGGATCAGTTTTGCGGTAGGCACCTTGCGCGGGTCGGCGGTGAAGATGCCGTCGACTTCCTTCCATATCTGCAATTCCTTGGCCTGGAGTCCGACGGCCACCAAAGCGGCACAGAGGTCGGTGTAGCCCCGACCCACCGTCATGAGGAGACCGCGAGGGATAGAGCCAAAGTAACCGGTGATCACGGGGACCTTGCCTGCGAGGTTCTGCAGCCTCTTGCCAAGCCTGTCGGCAACATGGTCGTAGAATTCTTGATCGAGACTGTGGCCGACTTTGAAGTCAATGATATCTGCAAGATCAACATATTCGGCTTCGATCCCTCGGTCCTCCAACAAGGCTGCCATGAACCGACAGCTTAGTTTCTCCCCTGCGCTCATAACCTTGTCTCTGGATCTCGGACTGGTCTCGCCCAGGGTCTGGGCAGCCTCCAAGATGCGAACGACCAAAGAACATTCATTCTCAATTTCGGCTTTTAGCCGAGAACATATTTTCTGGGATTGTATGTAGGAGTCGGCAGTTTCGATATGGTCGACTCGGACCGCTTCTATTTCTTGTTGGAATTCTCGATGGTTTTCGGCCTCGGTCGCCGCCCGTAACAATCGGTTGGTCGTGCCCGCGGCTTTGGTACTGCTTGATCTCTATGGACATCGACAGGTTAGCATCCGTCGCGGCAAAAGTGGTGAACCGAGTCTGAGTCATAGACATACCGCCGAGCACACAATAGCCACCTCATTTTCCAAGGCACTCGTCTTGACGACGTTGACAATATCTAGAGGGAATTTGCCCACACTGGTTCCACCGAACTTAAGTATGTTGATCGCGCGACTTGTGGGAGTGTCGGTGCCATTGGTGACCGGGGCTTGGGAGTGGACGCCATTGGGGAGAGTGGCAGCGGTCATGATGAGGAAGAAGTAGGTTCGTGTTGACCGCGATGGAGCATAACTTCACTGCAATATCAATATGTGCAGATGGAAAAAGGAAAGAGAAAATGGTAAGGACAGTCAGGAGCGGAAGCGAGCGACTGTGTAGAAGGATGTCGGTGACCGTGACAGTCTGGTGACTTGACACTACTCTGCACTTAGTCGAAGTAGTAGAAGTGAGGCGTGCGGTCGACGCCCGGCAGAATAAAAAAATTCAACGAGGGGTCTAGGGAGTCCTCCGCGCTGCAACTGTTTAGGGCGGCGGTGAGTAACTTGTCGCCCCGAAATCGGCGAATGGGATGGGCGGGATTCCCGCAGTCAAATGGTGTTATCGCAGACTGTACCGTACCGTACCGAGATTCCAGGTTCCAGGTTCCAGGTTCCAGGTACAGGCATAGGCACAGGCATTCGCTGTTGTCATTTGAAAGAGCAGCCTCAACACCAACACTGGCACGAGATGGCGGACAAGAGACCGACCCAAAGCCAAAGCCTCCACCCGTCCTTTGCGCCTAGGTGGCACCTATAAGTGTGTGCCTTGATTGTTTCGTCGAGTGCCACAAGAACATACCTGCTCCATCGCTCTGTAGCATCCCCATCGGTCGACGACTCGATGACCCCTGAGCCAGAGAAGGTGCTGTCTGACGCGGGGTAGGACGGGATACTGTGTTTGGTCGTATCATCGTAGCGACATTTGACCGTCATTACCTCAGGTATGCACTGCATGCTGAGGAATTCAGCCCACCGCCCTTTGTAATGACCATACCTCAGGCCCCCATCTGGGAACTGAGGTGCATCCGATGTCAACCTGATCCTCATCCCTTTGAATCACCCCGTTCGACACCGTGAGCCTCAGACTCAGATTGTACTCCAAGAGCCTGTTAATGGCTAACTAGACCCTTGCTGTCGTGGAGATGAGTCCAGCATAACTGGCGTGTCATCAGCAAATGCCCGTCCGGCCAAGGCGAACCGCGCTGTTTGCCCGGTCCCAACTTCACCGCCGCCCGCACGAGATGAGGTCGACCTAGTCTCTCTCTATTTGACGTCCACATGAGCTGCGACAACTATGACGTCCACTTCATATGAAGAGTATCTGAGATGTCCCTTTTGTCGTTACGGTAGCCATGACTTCGACGATCTCGACAGGCATGTCCAGCAAGCCCACGCTGACAAGCGGCATCGGGACGATAGGACGTCTCATCCTGACTCCCCTCGGCAAACCGACAGGTCAGACCTCAATGACTTTCAGCTGGCACAGCTACTCGCGTTTGAGGAAGCCGGACTCCCCTCCGAACTTGCCTTAACCGATCGCCCCTGTCTTCCTGGCAGCGATGGCGCCGGGAAAGGGGAAGCTGCGAGGAAAGATTCATCGCCTGCCAGTGTGTCATCCCCGAGGCAGGGCGACGAAGAGCCTTGGGTTGGATGCGTTTGTGGCGAACGTGTCCACTTCCTCGAACTCGATGCCCATGCCGACATGCATGCTCAGGAAGACGTATCCATGGATGAGGCAGAAACGGCTTCCAATGGCGAGCTGTCCGGCCCTATCCCGACTGCCGAAGATGCCTTAGATGATATCTCCAATGCCTTCAACACCAACATTCCTAGTTCGCTCCGAAACTATGACCAATTGAATCCCAAGACCCCTCCTTCAAGCGGCAAACGACGAGTTCCTTCTCTTCGAGAGATTTTCCTGGGCACTTCTGCATCACCGAAGCGAAAGTCCCCGTCCGACGCGGTACCATCTAACATTGGAAAGACGAAGCGTTTGGGGGTATGTTTGCAACCCGATTATTGATGGAAGCGAATCTAACCGCGTACAGAGGGCCGAATTGGGGCCATACGCACACGAACCCCAGATGCCGAACTGGCTTCGCCGGATGCTTGAAGAGGGTGCCAAAGTCACCATCACTAACAGAATTGGGCCTGACGGAACCTTGATCAGAGTGGAAAGCGTTTCCAATGAGACCCCGAACCTCGTTCCAGTTCTCGCACGACTGTCCCAGTTGGACAGGAGTGTTGAACGAGCCTTCTACTGCAGTCCCGAAGTGCGTCATGTATGCAAGATGCCCAAGGAGGGAGGATTCTGTGGGTACCGGAACATTCAGATGCTCATCTCGTATATTCAAGGCGCTGGCGCTCCCGGGGCCGAACATTTCCCCGGAAGAGTGCCGTCGATCTTGAAGATCCAGGACATGGTGGAGCATGCCTGGGACAAGGGGTTCAACTCGAATGGACGGGTCGAGACTGGTGGGATCAGGATGACAAGGAAATATATTGGCACCCCTGAAGCCCAAGCACTGTTCATGAGTTTGGGCATCCCCTGTGAAGCGCCCGCATACGGCACGACCAAAGACGTAGAAGGCTGCGAGACAATGCTTTGCGCAGTTTGCGAGTACCTGGACGATGAGCAGACCAAGGACAATTTGGACAAGGTGGTCATCACGAATAAGCCGCCGATTTACTTCCAGCACCAGGGCCACTCCATGACCATTGTGGGAGTTGAAAGCAGAGTGGACGGGGCGGTGAACCTGGTCGTTTTCGACCCCATGTTCAATCCCAGTCCTGCTCTCAAGAAGCTCGCCTTTTCCGATCCGACGGGATTCCGTTGTGGTGACCCCGAGAGATTAATCAAAGCACATCGCCGGGGAGAACGGTATCTGGGGAAGTATCGGGAATTTGAGCTGCTGAGATTGCAATGAAACGAGAGGCATTCGAGTGTCGATGTAGGTAGGTATCGACTAAGGCGGGTGATTTTCAGGAGCGCCGGTATTGGGGGAGAAGTTGTTCATTCAAGCATTCGTCAGGCGAGGCGTTGTTTTGGGGCTCAGACCTTTGATATTGCATAGCGAGGGAATGGGAAGGAATCAGGACAGGGACAGGGAGAGGGAGACTGGGTTTCACTAGAGTGGCATATGGCGTACGAAGAGGTGATAATGCTGGGTTTGGTAATTGATAGTTGATGTTTTGACCCTTTCAGCTTGACCTAGTGCCTGGAGTGCTTTCTTGTCTACTGTACAAGGCTGCCCAAGACCCGGGGAGACTCCATGACCCATTGTTACGGCCAGACCATGTTTAACACAGCGGTATGTAGTATGTACGGATGTGTGGCGCCAGGATGAGTTCGACTATAATTGTGGTTCCTGACTCATCTGATTCTGGTCCGCCTCCAGAATTGCATCAAACATGAATATCACATATCACACATCACACATCACACATCACACATCACACATCACACATCACACATCACACATCACACATCACACAACACACAACACACAACACTCCTAGCACTCGAAGGTTAGTATTGCAAGAAGAAAGAAAGAAAGAAGTCAAGAGGAACAGGATAGAACGAGATCGAGCGAACGCAACGCAACGCAACGCAGCGCAACGAAAGGAGACGGAGACGGAAAGAAAAGAAAAGACATGTCGTCCAAAGCCCAGCCACAACCACGTCCCACCACGCTCAACTTCATCACCGGCAACGCCAACAAACTCGCCGAAGTGCAGGCGATCCTGGCCGACGTCGAGGTCAGCGTCGACATCGACAGTGACAGTGGTGCTGATGGCGATGGCAAGAAAGGTCAAGGTCAAGGTCAAGGCCAACGACAACGACGCCTCGTCCTGACCAGTCGCGACGTGCCGGCCCACGAGATCCAAGGCACCATTGAAGAAGTGGCGCGCGACAAATGTGCCAGGGCCGCGGCCGTCGTGGGCGGGCCGGTCTTGACGGAGGACACGGCACTCGAGTTTCGTGCGTATGGGGGGTTGCCGGGGCCATATATGTGAGTTTTGTCTGTCTCTCTTTCTCTCTTTCTCTCTTATCTATATATACATATATCTCTTTCTTTCTTATCTATATACACATCTATACACACACCGTCCCTCCCCCCAAAAGAGGACGGAGAGGGTGGTAGGGAGGGCTTGAACGGACGGACGGGGAAACTGTGCCAGAGGCTTATACCAGCACGAGACGAAGACACTGTGGCACGAGACCCCCTTCCAACGGTTTTATGGCCACTACCTGTCTGTCTCTCAACTACTGACTACTGTATTCCGTACTCGTCTCCGAGCATCTCCTTTGCAAGAGTTAAAATGGGGAAAGGTCAAACACTGCCAGTGGTAGGACTGGCTTTGTTTGGTCGGTGGACAGTGGACGGTGGACGGTGGTCGATACCACTACACTCTCATTTTGTTTCTGGTCGATACCACTACACTCTCACACTCTCACACTCTCACACTCTCACACTCTCATTGTGTTTCTAATCAACGCCAACACCGCTGACATTAGATACTGCTTCCTGTTCTAGCAAATACTTCCTCCAAGCGCTCGGCCACGAGGGTCTCAACAACATGCTCGCCGCCTATGAGGACAAGACTGCCTTCGCCGTCTGCACCTTCGCCTACTCGGCCGGACCAGGCCACGAACCCATCTTGTTCCAGGGCCGGACCCAAGGCCGAATTGTGCCGGCTAGGGGGCCGGGTGTGTTTGGTATGTCTTATGTCTCACTCCCGCTCGCTATTTCCTATTCCTTTCTTTCCATTTCGTTTTCTGTGCCGGATATGGATATGAACCATCGCCTTCTTTCTGGCCTGGGGCTGTCCAGAAGCCAAACCACCTGCGCATCACATCGGGCCCTGATCGAGCTGGACTGACGTGAGCCAAATTCATAGGCTGGGACGCCGTATTCGAGTACGAGGGTAAGACGTATGCCGAGATGGACAAGACTGAAAAGGTCGGTGATACCACACCCCCTCCCCCCAATGTTGCCCAATGGCGGGCCTGCAGCTCCCCCAAGGTTGCAATCCACGCTCTCGTGGGATGTTTGCTGACTATCGTAGAACCTGATCTCACATCGCGGCAAGGCGCTGGCTAAGCTGAAAGCTTGGCTTGCCGGAGGAGACATAGAGCCATAGAGCCATAGAACATCTGCACCGCACAGCGCATAGTCCATAGAAGTCCTAGACCGACCTCACATCAAAGACCGCAGCAACCGATAGATGAAGCTCAATCTCCGTTCCCGTTCCCGTTCGTCTTCGGTCCGTGGTCTTGGATCCAGTTCCTCACCCACTGCAGGATGCGCTCGGCGTTTTCTTCAATGTCGTCGGGCTCGACGCTCTTCAGCTCGACGACTCTCCCGTCTTCGGGCTCGCCCCAGCCGTCTCTGGCCTCTTCGCTGACGACGCCGAAGATCTCGGCGTCCATGTTCTCCTGGATCTTTTCGTCCTTGTAGCCGCGCGACGAGAGTCGGTCGTAGAGCACACTGGTCTCGTCGCACCGGAGCACCACCACCAGATCGACCCAGCGCACCGCAAACCCCGCGGTCGAATGCCAGTCGATGATCCATCCGCCGGCGCCGTCGCCGTCGGCGATTTCCTTCTCCACCTCGTCCATGAGTTTGTCGTCGTCCACCATCAACGTCTGCAGTTCCTCGTCGTACCCGCTGTGGCATTCTCGCTCTTTCACAATCTCGTTGATCGACAGGTGCCGGAGCTCAACCCGTGGACTGGCCTGCGCCGCCAGGCTTAGGAGTTGCGCGCACGTCGTCGTCTTGCCGACCCCTGGCGTGCCCGCCACGATGATGTTCGGTAACGATCGCATGCTGGGAGGATTGCTGATTGCTGATTGCTGATTAGGGTTGTAGTCTGTAGTTTGCTTCGATTGTGCTGTGAATGGTACTCGACGTAGAAGGGGAAGTGGGAAGCAGACCTCGACTCTGTATTTCCGTGTACGCTGCGGGCAAACGGGCAACGGGCAACTTTTTTTTGAATATCGAGGGCCCGGCGGACACATTTCCTCATTAGGACTGGTGTGGCTGTGGCTGGCATACATAATACGGCAGATCATCGAGGGATATCCCGCAGTCTCTTCCCGCCGTATTAAATAGTATTGAAGAGTAAATTACTATATACTAAAATACTAAATATTAAATACTACTTGCCGCCTTCTCTTGATATCCGCCTGATGTAGCTGCTGACAACGTGACAACCTGGTCTGCTGCGCACGCTGCGCACCGGGAATACTTCTACTCTACACTCTAGCACTTCCGGAAGGCCTGCGCCCTGTCCGCTCGCCGCCTGGAGGAAGCGCTGGATTAAAGTCTAGCCACTGACTGATCTGGGCAGCTTAGCTACAGTATGTCACCTAGAGAGCTGGCTTGAATGTCCTGTTCCTGTTCCTGTTCCAAATTCGATCGATCCTATCGCCTTTCAAAACAAGGCCCCTGCGGCTACGGACTATACAGAGGTCTGGATTGCAATAACCCGAATGCTTCAAGTGAATCCGATTGATTGACATTATTCTTGTTTCATCGAGTTTGCACAAGCCCCCACGCCCGCGCCGTGAGCATGCGCGCATGGACAAAACACCCCCCTTGCCACCAGTGCTATGCCCAAAAACACTATATTCTCGCTTGGATCGAGACGAGGAGAAAAGGGGGAAGTTGGAGAACACACCCATCAAACTTGGCATCGGTGATTGCCTGCGTTCGACATCACACCGGGCGACCAAAAACTTAGCCGGTCTGGTTAGACCGTGAGGAATGGAACAACGTTCCTCAGGCCACAGCCTCACTGTCACTGATGGCCCCATCAGTCAGGTCTCCTCGCTCTTGCTGAGCCATGGCCTGGGCGGAAACAATCTCTGCGAGTCGCTTCAGGCGAGGTGTTTGGAGCCCTGTTGCGGATAAGCGTTAGCACGACCATGTTTCATCATCTCGCGGAAGAATGTGGATAGACGGGTAGAACAAAGACTTACATGACGGAGTGTATGTTTCCAACGCAGTGATGACTCTCGGCTCAGCAATTTCATAGGGTCCACTGTCTTCCATGTCGACAGGCGCCAGAAGGAGAACGTCGCTCTTCTCGGTCACACGGGAAGCCACAGCTTTCATGATCTCTCCGTTGATGGGCTGTTCGTAATCCGCCACCAGGTATTGATTGAGCAGTTTCTGGATCTGGTTGGGCGAGAGCATCCAGCAGATGTCCTGGATGATCTCAATATCGTTCAGGGTTGCTTTCTTGAGCTGCAGAAGCTTGGTCGCTTGCATGAGATGTTCCAGCTGCAGCGTCCCCTCGGGCATGTCGTGGCTCTTGCACCATTCCTCGATTCGCGTGATGTTGTAGTTGATCTGGAGACCTCGCTTCCATGACAAGAAATTGCGCCGCATGAGGAGGTCGTTAAACGCCGTCACTCCCACTAGTCGGAGGAGTTCGGTGATTGTTTGTGTGATGATCGAGTCCTCGAGGTAGTAAGCCTTCATTGCTTTGAAGACATTGTTCAACAAGCTCAGTAGGTTGTCCATGCTGTAAGCCGGGGTGTTGTTCGATGGGAGTAGTTTCCCAAGGAACCGGCTGCTTTCATTCGTCACGAAGCCTGGTAGGGACTGAGATTCAATGATGGCCGGGACGATCATCTTGTGCAGTTTCTTCTTCAGCACTTTCATCCAGGTATGATAGATGTTGAACTCAAGGCTTTCCAAATCATGCTTGACGATCTCGAGCAGTCTGTCATACTCGTAGTTGTCCGTCTTCTGTGCCTCATACCAGTCTTCTGCGAGGAAAACAAAGGACAGCATTTCATGGACGTTGGACAGCCAGAAAGCACCAGGATTAATGGCCTCGTCTCCGTCATGCTGCATGACTTCTTGTTGAATCGATTGCATCACGTTGGCAAGGAACCTTTCAGACTCCTTGACGAACCCGTTGTTCCACATCTCCGACGTCACCAAATTGATGAGATAGGATGGGAACAAGACTTCTTTCTCCGTAGGTGCAGGGTTGGCTCCGGGTTGCGGAATCTTGATACCTCGAATGAGGCCCATGGTGACTTCGTCGTTGAGTTCTTCCTCCTGAGAAAGGAGGTTTTCGAGTTCCATTTCGACGCCGTCCGAAACCGCGTTGAATGTCGAACCAGACAGGGTCTTGAGGTGTGTGTCGAGGGCCATTGAAACAGGGCGAGCACTGAAAGCACCACTGAGCCTATCGGTTTCGCTTCGCTCCGCAGCTCCAGCACTCCGTCTTTTCATGGGTTTCTTGGAAGAGACTAGGTTGATGAGACCATTTGCTAGTTGAGCGCCGCCGTTGGGATATTCCCCATTGACTCCATTAGTGGCTGCTGGAGGGGGTGCCTTTCTGGCCATCTCCAGTTGATCTTGCAGCTCATTGATCTGTTGTCGGAGCGTGCCTCTCTCGCTCTCATGGGTAGCAACGGATTGTCGTAATTTGTCCACCTCCGTATTCGACAGTTGCAGAGACTCTCGGAGTTTCCGCTCTTCCTCTTGCAATCTTTTGGCGTTGCCCATGTGTTCATCGTGGCTGGTTTGTAGCTTGGCGTGCTCCTCCTCCAATGCACTCAAACGTGCTGCGACAATACCGGCTTGGTTAGCTTCGGTCTGCAATTCTCGGGATCGTGCCTCCAGAGCATTGTGCCTGGATCGCCATGATTTCAGTTGACCCTCGTAGTTCTCCAATTGTGAGAGCAATGTTTTGTTCTCTCGCTTGAGCGCTCCAAGAGATTGGGTAAGCTCAACCACCTTATTCTCAAGTTTATATGAGATTTGCCTGAGATCCCGGGCTTCTTCACGCGTCTTTTTATAGTCACGCCGGGCCACCTTTCCACGCCACAAGTTCTGCACAATGACAACCTTCCTTCGGTGTTGTCTCCATGCTCGCAATGCTCGCCATGAGCGGAACGCTCTCTGGATTGTGATTGCTGCGTTTCCGATACGCGTCTCGAGAATGTTTCTCCTGCAAAGATAGCCCTTGGTGACCGATTGAAAGAGGATAAGATCGCTCCTGGTCTGGTTGTAGTATTTCCGGGCACTCTGTCCTCTCCAGATTCGCTGAATGTCGGTGGCTGCTTTGATTTGTCTCGTCTCCTCGGCCTTCCGTCTGGCGAGAAAAGCTCGAGTTGCAGCTTGAAAGGTGATGATAGATTGTCGTGCGTCGAGATATCTGTGGCGGTAGTATTTAGCTCGCAAGTTCTTCTGAATCATGATAGCGCACTCCTTGAGGCGAGCAGATCGCAGGTTCTCCAGGAATGCCAACATGCCGGCACGGAAGAAGATCTTGGTGAGCCCTAGCTGGTATTTGTCGGCTTTCTCATGGGCTGTTTGCCCCAATGCTTTGACCAGGATGTTTTGAGCCATCTGCCGGATCTCAGTGGTCCACTCGGAAGAATGGCATAGCATGTAATATCTCAACGCGAATTCCTCGTACGTCCATCGCGTCGGATAACCAGCAGTGCTGATACGGACGGTTTCCAGAACACCGCATGCTCTGAGCTGGCTCAAAACCATAGGGCCCTCAAACTTCCAGGCCTCCTTGGCTTCGTTGGGCTTGATACAGCGAATGTAATGGGCGTCGGTAGAGTTGATAGTATCCATTAGCTCAATCAGAGAGCTCTTAAATATGCCGCCTAGAGTGGGCTTGCGGTTCACAGCAACACCGACTCGGCGTCCGCCTGCAGGAGTAATAGTCTTCGAACTTGTCTGAGCAGTGTCCTTGTCTCTCACCGCAGCGGCCACGTCCAAGACTTCAACCAGAAATCGATTTGTAGACTTCTTAAGCACTTCCATCTGCTCATCTGGTACAGTATCGCGGTTCTTGTCGATGAAACCATCGGACTCGTAGGTGACATCAAGGGCGTAATGACACACTGTGAATGCGGATTTGCCAAATCGGGGCTTCTTATAGAATTTCTGCTTACCCGCGGCGAAGTGCTGATGCAACTTAGTGACGAACCCGTCATCACTGCCCATAGGCAGCCTCGACTCCTCGTCTAACAGCGTTAAGACTCCCATCTTGCCCTCGATGAGGTCAATGCAGGGTTGGTTGTCGGAGAAGTCGATGAAGGTCCAATCGATTTGTTCGCGCATGTACTCTTCCTGTTCCAGTTTGAAGACATGCTGGTTGAATTCCTGCTGCAGTTTTTCATTGGCGTAGTTGATACAAAACTGCTCAAACGAGTTTTTGGCAAAATGTTCGAAACCGTAAATATCTAGCACGCCAATAAACGTATCAACCCGCTGCAAAACATCTTGCGTCGCTAACCCGTGATTTATGGTTTCCACGAGCCAGTCGAACAGGCTAGAGTAAATGAATTTGGCCACCGAGTCTCGGACAACTGTGGCTTGTTGTTGGGTGACGTTGGAGGTGATCTTCTCCCCTCGAGTGGTGAGCTGTTTCTTAACAGTCCATTTGGCGAAATCACCCGCATCAATACCCAAGATCTTGCAAGCTTGAACTAGGGCGGGCTCGGTTGCTGAAAGGGTAGACTCCGACCGAGTAGCCGTGATTTTGATGTTGCCAATATGCAGAAGTGCAGCAAGAATCCGAAAGATCTCTTTCTGGGTGCTGTCGGAGACATTGATCGTACTCAGGGATTTCCTCGTCGCTGCAAATTCGGCGGCATCATCCACGCCGTCGATCGAAGGTTCATTCCCTTGGTTGAGAAAGTCGAAGTCTTCCACCGGTAACAATCCTAGCTCTTGCCTCTCCTCATCAGTGGCTCCCGCCACGAGTTGGTAGAATATGTGATAGTTCCTCTCCTTCAATGGTTGAAATACGAGACGTGAACGCTCAAGCAAATATGTTCTTATTTTGGCACCAATGATGTCTGTGTTTTTGTCAAACATGATTTCAATGTATTTGCCAAATCGGGACGAATTGTCGTTTCTCGTCGTTTTCGCGTTGCCAAAGGCTTCCATGACCGGGTTCGTTGCCAGAATCTGCTCTTCGGTTTCACTAATGGCATCGGCTCTTCCCTTTTTCCCCTTGCCAGTCTGTCCAGGCGCCCCTCGGGTCGCAAAGTACCGCATGATGTATTTGGCACTGACAGTTTTGCCGGCCCCAGACTCGCCAGACACAACGACGGTCTGGTTCCGTGAATCTCTCAGCATGTCCGTGTAGGCCTCTTCGGCGATGGCGAACAGATGGGGGGCCTGCGATGCTCGCTGCTTGCCCGCATACACCTGCACCATTTGAGGAACATAGAGCGAGTCTACGCGTGCAAAGGGATTCGTCGCAATCAGCACAATACCACTGTATGTGTAAATTTCTTTCTGGGCGTATCGTAGCTTGATAGCCTGTAGGATGGCAGGCTCGTTCAGATGGGACAGGTTCGTCAGATCTTCGGCGGCCTCGAACATCGGTGGGTTCATAAGAGGGGGTAAGGAGGCATTTTGATGGGTATCGGCGAGGGCAGTCTCGGTGGTTTCGACCGTCTGCTGTGAGCCATCGGAGAGGTTGAAGATCAGGGCAACCTTGCCATCACTCAATGCCTTTCTCTCAGCCAGTTCGGCGGGGATAAAGCCCTCGGCCTGGTTAGGGAACCAGGCCCGGGTACCGATGTCCCAGCTGGCCATGATGGACGATGTTGCTGGAAATGTGGATTGGGTTTTCAACTACCGACAGCGAGGCCAGCCATGTATTCGGGATGGCAGGGAAAATGCCTGGACGGACGTGTCAACAGAGAGTTGGTGTCTTCGCCTTCAGTCCGGCGGGGTGACAGGTGGAAAAATGACCGACAAACAAAGCTGAAGGGTTGGCTGATGGAGTGTTTATTGTGGCATCAGGTGCGGTTGGCGGTCAGGAATCTTTTGGTTTGGCCTTGAGATACCGCATGTCAGAAAGTCCTCAGGGACTCGGACTGGGAGACGCGCCACGGCTCGACGAAGAGGCTAACGCAGCCTGCAACTCACCATCGCATCTGCGCTTGTCCCCTTCCAACCAAACGGTGCGAGTCCGCCTACCCCCTGGCCTGCACGAAATTGTCCGCACCACAGCCGCCCCTTTTGCTAAAATATCTGCACGTTCCAGGGTCACGACTTGGCCGTTGGCTGTGACAGCTTTCTAGAGATCTTCCCAGATTGGCTCGACGCAGAGTGATTGTGTTGATGGGCATTTGACATCGCGAGAGAGGAAATCGCTTCTTGTCCATTTTTATGTCTCGATCCACCCCTACATCCCTACATACAGAGTAGAGAACTGATGATTATCTACCGAACTGCTGAATTGAGACTCTCATTGCTAACAAGTCCTGTGGCTGGTTTGATATTGTTCGAGCACCATCTGTACCGAAACCGCACTGCAAGGCTCACCCGAGCTTGGTACGGAGGACATCCACCCTACTCTCCATGCATGCAGTGGATGGATCGGCCCATGCCCATCCTCTCGAACGCCCATTAGTTATGCTTGAAGGATCGAAACTGGTCAGCTCCTGCCAGTCACTACAACATGGCCAGGCCCTGGAATTCTGCTCCCCTTCCCCCTGCACATAGGACCAGACAACCGTGCATCCGTGTTATGTCCAAATCATCCGTCGACAACCGTGTCAATGAGCTCCGTAATGCTCCAGTTACTGGTTCTTGCACTCCGAGGCCTGCTGGGACCGAGGCTTTCCACCTTCTTCCTCGTCATCTTCCTCAGACTCCGCCTCTTCTTCGTCCTCGTCGTCCTCGTCGTCTTCATCCTCAAATTCGGCATCTTCGGCATCCTCGAACTCCTCAAATGCCAACGCTTCGCCGGTGAACCAGTCAATAGCTCGAGGAATGAGCTTCTCTTTGATGTCTTCGCCCAGTTGGTAATCGAGCTCGAGTCTTTCCTCGATGTCGGAAGCAACATCATCCTCATCAGTAGGCGGGACGGGCGGCGAGAAGAAGTTGAAAAATGACTCGGTAGGGACGGTCTTCTTGATGATTCGCGTCTGCTTGGTGTCTGTTCTCTAGTTAGTGTCTGAGGCCATACACATTTTGGAGATGCAACGTACTCTTGTTTCTCTGCTTTTTGCTCTCAACGCGAACCGTCAGATCCTTGCCTGGCTTCCATTCGATCTTGTCGCCCTCGGCGTGGTCGTAGATAAAGTCACCGCCGTAGCCATTCTCCTCTCTGTAGTAGTACGTCTTGGTGATGGTCTGGTTGGTGAAGAAATCGTTGGGGGCAAATTCGAAGATAAGGCGGAACCCAGGTCGCTCAAGGTATTCCATCCGAATGTCGGTCAGCGATCGGAGAGCTTCTTCGTCTCGATCGGTGATCAGCTCGGCAAGAGAGATTTGGTTCTTCATGGCAGTGAGCCAGAATTCTGGGATGCCTTTCAAGTCCTCGACAGAAGTCTTTTCCTCTTTGTCTTCCTCTTCCTCGCCCTCTTCGTCATCCTCGGTCTTGCCAGCCTCGACCTCAGTTTCGGTGGGTTCGGCTTCGCCATTCACAATCGCCGCTCGCTTTTGGTACAAGGGTGTGAACTTCACAAAGTACTTCTTTTCCAGCTGGAGAACCTCTTCTTGAAACTCTGCTTCCAGTTTGGCATGATCCTTTTGGATTCCCTTTAGACCAGTAACGCGTCGGCGGACAGGGCTAGGTAAAGACTCGACGTATCCAGACGATCGACCAACAAGGGAACCGAGTTTTTCCTGCATCATGGAGACAAGGGCAGGGTTTTTAGCGAATATCGACGCCGCTGCAGCACGATCAAGGTCCTCTGCTAGGAGTCAGTGTGCTGCCAAAAGGCAGTGGACTTGAGACGGCTCACCTTCTTGAATATCACTGATGGTGGGGGCCTGCGCGTGCGAAGAGATGGGCGCATTTGAAGCAGGTGCTAGAGAAGTGTGAGCACGATCTACGGTGGGCTGGGAGTTGGGTTGACTGACTATTCTGAGGGGTCCTAGGATCTCGCATGTTAGCAACGTCGCTTGGTTCAAAGGAAAATAGATTAAAGAGAGAGTGAAAAGGTGAACATACGGAGCGGTGATATTAGACCTGCCCCTTGGAATTTCGGACGCCATCGTTGTTTGTTGGGAGGAGTTGGACAATGATGGGTGGGTGGTTGGTTGGTTGGTTGTGCAAGATCTGTTGGACCTCCCGTGCCGAGATGAGAGGAAAAGCCTTGCAAACAGCACAAAAGAGTGCTCTAGGAAAACGCTTCAGAGCCGCGCCAGGTGGTGGGGGAACCAAAGCTTTCTGAGAGGTGAAGAAAATGAAGATTTGGTGAGAGGTTGGACAGTGATTCAGAATTGTTGACCGTTGCGACGTCGAGAAAAAGTCTCCATCTCGATAACAGGGCCCGCCCAGCCGAAGTTCACGTGACTTGAGTGACGTTGTGCCGCTTTACTGCTCCTTGGTCTGTATATGTGTCCCCAGGCAGATAGCTTTGCCGGTCCGGTTTTTCTATACGGTGAAGTAAAACCCCAAACGTGGTGTTCTACATCAGTTAATACTCCGTACCGCTGCGTTTAAGGTCACTTATCCCTTTGATTTGTGAATTGGCAGCCTTGAGAAGAGTCATCTTGAGATTGCCATGGGAGGAAACAATCACTATTGTAGCGTACTTGAGGATCAAAATTAAATCCCGACTTTAAAAGGCAGCCCTACCCATTCCTATAACACCTGATAGACACGTGACTCGTAGGATGAGTACTAGGTAGAGCAGCGCCACTCTTGTCTAGAATGGGCAAGTCTTTGCGCTCTCCCGCCTGGCGGATTGCACGCTCATCAAAAAGTGACTAGTAGGTAGTTTGGAGAACTCCATACAGAGCAGTATTTCGCAGGTCTCGATAACATGGTAGAACGGTTCCTCCCTCTGCGCATTGCCTTATATCGCCTGCAACCTCCTACATGAACATATAATGTCTTGATAACTTGTGGATAGTGTCCCGGAGGCACGTCTTACCACAGATGGATATTCCTGAGAGACCTCGTGCTGGACCGCCCCGGCGGTCTAGTTCAGTACGCCGGACAGTACACAGAAGAGATTCGAACTTGAGCAATGCCAGCATTGTGTCCGAGGTCGAGATGGCTACGGACGAGGTGTGTTACACAGCAACTGCCTCACAAAGAACCACTCCTAATACCATCGTGATAGCCATTCTCAGGACCGATATCCGAGAGTGTTCCGTCTAGTGTGACTGGTTTTGTGTACCAGCGACCAAGGCGGCGACAGGGTTCCATCTCGAGCTTCACCTATTTCCAAGATGAGGACGAATCTCCTGACTACTCGGATGAGGAGGCCATTTTGGATGTTAGTGACGAAGAGGATGGACATATACATGGAGAGGATCGAGATCTAGAGGCAGGGCAAATTGAATCTCTCCGACACAAGCCCTCCGGTCGATTCAGAACTTCGTCTGACCAGCCGCTTCTTGGGAGGCGTGGTTCGGCTCGCAGTGAGGCTCAAGAACTTGGGGAAGCAGGCAACTTCAGCCAAAAATTATACATTGAAACTGAAGATTTGACCATGGTCATTGCCGGGTTTTCGACCAGCTCCATCGGCTATCCGGTGTACCTGGCAATATGCATTCTGACCTTTGGCATTGGCTATCTCGTCCTACGCTGGATGCCGCGGTGGCGCATATCACTAGTTGGCTCCCCTGCTCCCCTCAAGAGTTGTTCTTGGGTTGTCATAGAGGTGAGCTATGGGCCTGAACGGAGATGCTCCAAGAAAAAAGCTAAGAAAATTCAGAATCAATGGGGCGAATTCACCGTTCATTACGTTGCTGTCGAGGAATATGGTCACCCGATGTCATCCGTCTTCACGCGCTCCAGAAAGGAGAAAATCAATGGATATCGATATGACGGAGACGTCGAATTACCTTTCCTACGTTTCCTCGACTATCGGTACATGAGACTTCTCTACTATCCAATCGAGGATAAATTTGTCCTCAATAACGACTGGTGGGATCCGCAATGGACGTCTGTAAAAGCTCTCCGAGAGGGCCTCGACTCTGAAGAGAGGGATCCCAGGGATCAAGTCTTTGGCAAGAACATGATTGAGATACAGCAAAAGACTATCCCAGAATTGCTCCTAGACGAGGTGGGCATTTCCGGAGCCCATCGATTTCTGGCAAAGCTGACACTTGAAAGGCCTTCCATCCTTTCTACGTCTTTCAAGTCGCAAGTCTCATTTTGTGGTCCTTGGATGAGTACTACTACTATGCTGCCGCTATTTTCTTGATATCTGTCTTTTCAATCACGACTACCGTCGTCGAAACTCGATCGGTAAGCGAACAGCCTCTTTTTCCCGCTAGGTGATACTAACATTGGACCAGACGATGCGACGTTTAAGAGAGATATCACGCTTCGAGTGCGACGTCCGAGTTCTTCGCAATGGGTTCTGTAAGTGCTACCACTTTGCATTCGAATATCGCCTGATGATGTAAAGGGCGATCTGCTCTGTGCAGTGATCTGGTTCCTGGGGACGTCTACGAGGTCTCGGACCCGTCCCTGACACAGATCCCTTGTGATAGTCTCCTTCTATCTGGTGATTGTATCATCAATGAAAGCATGCTCACAGGTATTTCCCATTGGAGAAATGTTCCAGGGGCTCAGCTAAAACTCGCAGGCGAATCTATTCCGGTGTCCAAGATTCCTGTTGTCGACGAAGCACTACCCTATATTAACCTTGGAGCCACTTCAATACATCCTAGCGTTGCTCGCTATTTCCTTTTCAGTGGAACTAAGATCATCCGCGCTCGACGACCGCAAGATACCGATGATGATGAAGCTGTTGCACTTGCGATGGTCGTCCGCACTGGTTTCAACACCACGAAAGGCGCTCTTGTCCGATCAATGCTCTTCCCGAAGCCTTCAGGCTTCAAATTCTATCGGGATTCCTTCCGATACATTTCTGTCATGGGAGGTGTTGCTGGGGTGGGGTTCATCGCCTCGTTCATAAACTTTGTGAAGCTCGGGTTGGCCTGGCATCTAATCGTGGTGCGAGCCTTGGATCTGATTACTATTGTCGTCCCTCCAGCGCTTCCAGCGACTCTGACTATTGGGACAAATTTTGCCTTGTCCCGCCTGAGAAAGCAGCAAATCTTCTGTATAAGCCCGCAAAGAGTCAACGTTGCGGGCAAGCTCGATGTGGTATGTTTTGACAAGACAGGAACACTGACTGAAGATGGACTGGACGTCCTCGGTGTGAGGCTCGTGCAGCACCCAGAGATTCGATTTGGAGATATCTTAGAGGAGGCTCATGAGGTCCTACCTCCAGCACCATACGACCGCGATCCAACTGTCGACTACCGCGTGAATCGAAATATGTTATACACAATGGCAACTTGTCATTCACTTCGGTTGGTTGACGACGAGCTAATAGGTGACCCTCTCGATCTTAAGATGTTCCAGTTTACAGGTTGGTCGTTTGAGGAAGGGTCCCGAAACACAAACCACTTCATCGAGCCTGGGACTCAACAAACAGCACCTAGTGTGGCTCGCCCTCCTCCAGGACTGGAGTATGATCTGGATGATTCTCAAGACAATGCTAACCCAGTACGTGTCGAACTGGGCGTCCTTCGCTCCTTCGAATTCGTTTCACATCTGCGGCGAGCCAGCGTCATCGTTCGTCAACATGGTGATCCTGGTGCGAGTGTCTATGTCAAGGGTGCCCCTGAGGTCATGAAGGATATCTGCACTCCCTCCAGCATACCCGACGACTTTGAAGATCTCCTCAGTTACTACACGCACAAAGGATTTCGCGTCATCGCTTGCGCCTCAAAATATGTTTCCAGGTTGAGTTGGGACGAAGTCCAGAACATGGACCGCTCAGAGGCCGAATCGAGGCTTCAGCTGCTTGGTTTCATCATATTCGAGAACAAATTAAAGGAAATCACGACCGAGATCATTGGGGAATTAAATGAAGCTCGCATCCGAAATGTTATGTGCACGGGCGACAACATTTTGACTGCCATTAGTGTGGCAAGGGAGTGTGAACTGATAGACCGCAACGCCCATTGCTTTGTGGCGCACTTTGTTCAAGGCGACAAGATGGATCCAAAGGCACGATTGACCTGGGAAAGTGTGGACAATGCGATCTATCAACTCGACGAGAACACCTTGCTTCCTCTGCCGATACCAGCTGAGGATGACACTTCTGCACCATACGATGCGATTGCTATCGGCGAATACACGCTGGCTGTGACTGGCGATGCTTTCCGCTGGGTCATTGATTTCGCATCCACCGAGGTCGTGGAAAGAATGCTGGTCAAAGGAGCGGTTTTTGCACGAATGTCTCCTGATGAAAAGCACGAACTCGTCGAAAGACTGCAGGGTATCGACTACTGCTGCGGATTCTGCGGCGACGGTGCGAATGACTGTGGTGCCTTGAAGGCTGCGGATGTGGGTGTCTCGCTTTCAGAAGCCGAGGCGTCGGTCGCCGCGCCTTTTACCAGTCACATCTTCGACATCTCCTGTGTACCTGCTCTTATCAAGGAAGGTCGAGCTGCTCTGGTGACGAGCTTTTGCTGCTTCAAGTACATGAGTTTGTACTCGGCCATCCAATTCACGTCCGTCAGCTTCCTCTACGCATCCGGGTCCAACCTGGGGGACTTTCAGTTCTTGTTTATCGATCTTGCCTTGATCTTGCCCATTGCCATATTCATGGGCTGGACCGGCGCATATCCGGTTTTGAGCAAAAAGCGTCCAACTGCCAATCTTGTCTCCAGGAAGGTCTTGACACCTCTTCTGGGTCAGATTGTCCTGGCGGTATTGGTTCAATTGATTGCCTATGAGACCGTGCAGGACCAACCCTGGTACCAGCCGCCGCAACTGAACAAGGACAAGTCCAGTGTGGACAATTCCCAGAATACGGCCCTGTTTTTGGTATCGTGCTACCAGTACACGCTCTCAGGGGTGGTGTTAAGCATCGGGCCACCCTTCCGGCAGTCGATGACAACTAATGTTCCGTTCTGCGTGACGATTGCGATAGCTCTACTCATGTCTCTATACATGCTCCTGGATCCTGCGCAATGGTTAGCTACCTTTATGGACCTGACTGAGATGTCCCTGGACTATGAGCTGTTCCTGCTTGCATTGGCGGCGGCTGCATTCGCAATCTCTTATCTGGCTGAGCGGCATTTCTTGCCTCTTCTCGCCAAGTATGTGGGACGGCTCAAATCGAGATTACGACCAGCGCATCCTAAGAAGAGGAAACGGTACAAGGTCATTACAGAGGACATTCTGAGGAGTAAATAGAGCCCACAAATAGAGGCGTTGGGTAACGAATGCCACGAGACATTTCTTGGACCTGATGCCGCGTTGTCTACAGTCGGATATCAAGGTATAGTCAGGGCTATCGTAGCCATGTTATTTGCGTTCATCCATAGTGCACGGGGTTGCAAATGTAGTGAGATTCAACCCCTTTGTCGAGTGTCACAGGAGTGTCTTCACCTGTGCTGCAGATAAATATTCTCTCGCGGTAGTCGTGGCAAACGGGAGGCACCATGCGAAACGTGGGGGCTGGGTGTCCAAACGAACAGCAGCAAAAGAGAATACTGGCTCGGCCTCGGGGATGATGTTGCTGCCATGCGGCTCTCCCTCTAGCGGGTCTTCCACCTGACGTGTGTAATGGTGTCTGCTTCCCTGTGTGCACTTTCTCTGCTAGATAGGAAGAGCAGGGGCCAGACAATGCGAGCAAGTATCTGAAACAATTGAATGGTACAGTTTTCGAACATTTTTCTTGATTTCCCTTGTCTAACTTGGAATCCAGCCAACTGGCGGAGCTCCATAGAAGTAGTAGTATATTCTGTCTCGACTCTTTGGATCCGCCAATGGAGCGTGTGATCTCTCAGTTCCATAACGCCTTTGGATGATGTTGATGTCCATCGTATGATCATATGTACGGTAAAGTCAGAGGTGGCGCTTGTATTGTAGTGAGGCAGGCGACTGATTCGCAATCAGTGGTCCCATGGATGCTTCAAGCCGATCAGCGCAGCCCCTTCCTTCTTCGCTCTGTACATCAACTATCGTCCTGTCAGTTACACCGTAGCCTAGTGGATATGCCTCCTGGTCGAGCTTACGAAGAACCACATGGCTGCTCCTAGGCCAGTTGCGGCGAATCGGTATAGCGGTCGGGTTGGGTTAATTTGCTGGACCGGGTGGTTCCCTTTCCACAAAGGTTTCGCCATGGTGAACGAGATATCTGGAAGGAAGTCAGTCGCAAGTTGCGAGGTACTGCGTAGAATTCGCAATCTGAGACGGAAGCGTACCCTTTTCGGCGCGAGCTGTCGGTGCGATGAGAGTGCGAAGCTGGTCGAGTCCTGAACATGAACTGATGAAGTCGCATTGAGCCGGAGGAAGGTGGGCGGTCACGTGATGAGTTTAAGACATATTTGGACTAGCAGAAACCACGTGATCCTGCTGCTATAACACTCGACTAGTAGCTCTAATTCGCACTAGCACTCTCTAATTGGGCTTACATCTCTTGTGGGATTGTGATTGTGTTAATATACGATGAGATGTTTGAAGCCAACTGGTCGGGAAATATGAGCGAGGTCCGACACTTTAGCCGTGGCACTAGACTTGAGTTGAGTCTCATTGAAGCTTCCGAAGCATCGTCCCCAAAGACCGTCGTGAAGGAGAGACGAGAGACTGGCTTTGCCCTTGTGAAAGACACGCCTGGCCTACCGCTCTACTTCTTCACTTGGCCGCCACTTCTCCGCCTGATGCAACCACCGCCGGCTGTTCCTCCTGCTCCTCCTGCTTTTTCTGTTCAAGCTGACTGAACTTGCGGACGACTTGGAGCGTTGCATAATAACTGAAGGGCAGCGCAAAATACCACAGTCCGAAGTTGATGCTTGCGGTCGCAATAAGAGCCGTCGGCACTGCTTGGACTCCAAATCCGACAGCCACACCAGCCGTCTCAATACCTCGCAGCAGCGAACTATAGCGGATCTGGTCCCCAGGTGAGTCGGAGAGGTTCCCAATACACCAATAGATGTAGTTCTCCACCATCCCCAGACTGATTCTCTCAAACAAATACAAGCCAAATCCGCGCCCGAACGTGGCCTGGTCGCCCCAGTCCAAGACGGGCTTGGTGTGCCGGTACTCGTTTTGAATATACACCGCCCAGATCCAGGTGCCACTGTTGAGCGCTGCGATGAAAATATAAGTGGAAATGGCTCGGGTTCTTCGATTCTTTACCCAGGGCAGATCAAGCAGAATGCCACTCAACCAGGTGGCTAGAGTACCGACGACTGCCGACATGAAGCTCCCAAGCGCACGGGATCTGACCGTGAAGTAGCGTGCCAGATACGTGCCTGGGTATGCCTGTATCCAACCGAAGTACCAGAACAGAGGCGACAGGAGCAGGATTGGCTTGCTACGAAGAAGCCGCCACATCTGCGCCAGTTCGGTACGAGGAGAAATTCCCCTCGGTGCTTGAATACGAGTGCCGTCGTCGCGTTGCACCTTTTCGGGGTTTGATAACAACAAGCCGAGGAAGAAGCCCAAGCACTGGATTGCGATGAAGGCTTGGTATGTCTCGTAGCCGACCTTTCCACGGTGATTGACTTTGTGGTTGATCCCCAGTGAGATCGCCCCGCCAATAATGTTTCCAAAGTTGCGGAAAGAAAACCATGTGGCAATATATCGTCCTCTCTTATGTTGCTCGGGATACCCGGTTGCGATGGCACCTTCCACGCTCCAGAAAAAGCCAGCGCTGATGCCACAAGCCGTCGATCCGACATATACCAGCCAAGTGGCTCCCGTGCGGTTGTTGAGATACAATCCTGCGGCGTAAAGGGGGTATCCCAGCGATCCAATGGCCAATGTCCACCTGAAGCCGATCACATTGGTAAGCCACGGACCAGCGAAGCAAGTAACCGTCATGAAGGCGTAGAGAAGCGCGTTGGCGGTATTGACCAGGTTGGGGCTCTGAGAACCTCCCACCCCGAGACCATTCATGGCGCTCCATATTCCCGGCGCGCAGAATGCGCATGAGCCCACGACCAAGATTTGGAAGAGAGTCCTCCGAAAGAATGGATGTCGACTTTGCAAGGGAGCCGGGCCATCTGTTGCCAGCGGCCCTGGAGCTGGAGCATCCAAAAGCTCCCCATCAGCAGTCACAGCCAACTTCTCGTTGGCGGGTAAAGTCGACATCCTGGCGCAAGGAAGCAGATGGTAGCTTGCAGGACAGAGAGTGAAAGGAACACTGACAGGACGCTCCAGAGATCCCAGACGATCAAGTCAGGAATCGAAACTTTGCAAAGACCATGTTCTCCATGTAACTTTTTATACTCTGTGGGGATCTACACAGCATCTCACATGTACAGTCCAGACCATAGTGATCTGCCTTTCCCCACGAGCACGCAAGAGCCCCCACACGTGATGCCATGGAGGCCAACACCTTCTAGGCACATTATGTTCGGTGCCGGTTGAAAACGAGGCCCGGGCTTGTGGTCGAGCACAACGAGCCGAGTGCCTGGCACGGCAGTGGGGGCTCCATATCCAAGGAGAACTAAAAACGGCAGCGGTTGCCACCGTCGCATGCTTGAGGAAGAACGAGGGACGGTCGCGATCCGCATTCGCGATCTTAGAACGGATGACACCACAGGCGGGTGGATCTCTGGCACAGGTATAGAAGCAAGGGTTGTATCTGCTGCCTGCAGCGGGGATGTCCATCAAGGTGCATACATACATATCTGTGGCAACAGTGCCTCGCTCTCGGAACCAGAATCAGAATCAGAATCAGAATCACCAGCCACCAGCTACCAGCCAACAACCAACAGCAATGGCGGCCTCTGTTCACAACGTGGGTGTACATTCGCTCAAACTCGATGACCCATCCTCGCCCTTGGTTGCCTTCGAGCCCTTTGAACTGCCATCAACCAACCAGCGCATACTCGGGCCGCCTCATCCCAGCGACACCGTGATCCCGCTGGCCTTGAAGCCCTCCACCCACGATAACGCGGAGGTTGATCTTGATACTGTCGTGAACAGCATCAAGGCCCTCCAAGCCCGGGATGGCACCCTGACTAACCTGCTGGCCCGTCATGGGACCCTTCTTTTCCGTGGCCTGCCCATTCACAACGCCGAAGACTTCAGCAAATTTGCCCATGCGTTTGGATACAAGCCACACGAGATCATCGGCATCGTTGTCAACCGACCGTTGCTGGCGCCGAATGTGGCACCAGCCAATGAGGCGCCCAAGGAAGTTCTGATCTACAATCACAATGAGTCCCCGCAAGTTCCACACGCACCCGAGTACATCTTCTTCTATAGCCACCGAGCCCCGGCGAAGGGCGGGGAGACTCCCATCTCATCGTCGCTGGAGTTGTTCCAGCGAGCACAGCAGGAAATCCCCGAGTTCATCTCCGAGATCAGCGAAAAGGGCATCCTCAGCAAAGTCACGTACAAGGTGGACAAGCAGTATGAGGGCGGATCGACACTGAAGCAGGCCTTCGGGAAAGAAATCCAGGACGGCGACGACGAGGCCACCAAGCGAGCCAAGATCGAAGCCCAGATTGCACGCTACAACCGAGGCAAACATACGACCTGGGAGTGGACGGACGACGGCTCGATCATCTTGACGCATCAGCTACCTGCCATCCGCACGCAGCCTCAGACGAACCTGCCCACGCTGTTCACCGGGCTCGCGGCCATCTACAAGAACTTCACGGTCAACGAAGGCAACCGAAAGTACAACAACCAACAGCTCTTCGGCGACGGGACGCCTATTCCGGAGAAGTACCTCGCCCGTCTGGCCGAGATCACCGACGAAATCCGCGTCCTCCACAAGTGGCAGCGCGGCGACGTCCTGGTCTACGACAACATCATTGCACAGCATGGCCGACAGCCTTGGGAGGGCGAGCAGAGTGACCGTGTTGTGCTGGCGAGTCTGTTTGACGGGGAACAGGTCCCTGGGGCGTATGGCACGCAAGAATGGGCTCAGGTCGTCCAAGCTCTGGAGGGTTAAATCAATTGACCAGTGATGTATGTATTGAATGCTTTTATAGTCTCATTTAGTATTTCGCTGCCATTCCCTTGTAGAGGGTAGTCCTACTCTCACTCGCACTCCCACTCCCACTCGTAGACCCTGCGCCCTCGGCGAAGATCAGTGCTAGAGACCAGCAGCCATGGCCCAAAGGGCCACTCCCTCTCCACCAGGCTGTACCCAACCTTCAGCATTGACGATGCCCTCTCCGATGCGGACTTCCTCCAGTACCTTAAAGCCCAAGTGGGCGTAGACGTCTCTCGCGCGAGCGTTTGTCGCCTCTAAGAAGGCAGGAATGCCTTGCTCCTGAGCTTTTTTGAGGAACGGCTCAATGAGATGCCTGATGGCGCCTGTGGAGATTTGCGGGTGCCATCAGCAACTATTCTATCGAGGAGTCGAACGAGGGAGAGGGAGAAGGAGAGGGGAGACTCGATTGCCGGCTTACCTTTGTCTGACCTGCCCGGGGCCCGGCCGATGAGATTGAGATACCAATAGTGCCGGTCGCCGAGATACTTCTTCTTGACTTGATCAAACTTCGCCTGGTACTCAACTGCGCCCTCCGGCAGGGGGTCGATACTCAGCCGGGGCTTCTTCACGCCTGGGGGAAGCCTGTGTGTCGGGGTCAATATCCTGGGACCTGCAGATGCGTACGGAGTACACTTGTACAGGGTACCTGCTGTACCCCCCACCTTCCAACTTACCACAATGCCACCCCTGCCCAGTCATACGTGTGAAGCAGAATCCCTCCTCCCTCCAGCCGACTTCTAATGAGCGGCAGCCAATACTGCACGCGAAGCCCCGGATCCCTCAACTTCGGGTGATCCGGCCTTGACTCGCGGCCCAGGAAGATGAATCGGTTGATCGCGTCGTTGGAGAAGGCCGCTGCAATCACCTCAGCGAATTTGACCACGTCTCCCTCCTCCTTGACGGCCACCGCATCAGGATGATACTCAGTCGCCATGCCTTCCTTCTTCCTTGCAGTCTTCGGCGACCCGCGTCCAGCGTCGAAAGCAGCGTCCTAGCCTGACCGCGGAATGGGCGTTTCCTTCACAGAAGACTCAAGAGAGCAGGCACATAGTAGGCACCGAGCAGGTAGCCATATTTTCTAAGAGTCGGACATCTCCAGCCTCGGGACGCAGATTATGACTCAGATGCTGAAGGACTACGCAGCGGCGCAGCTGCACTCATTTTCCTTACGTATAAAGAGTACTTGTCGACTTCCAGAACGATGGTGTTATTATGGCTCCGATCATGCAATCACATCTTCTGCCATTTTCCAAACCTTGTTCAGGCCACTTTTGGCCTGTCTCGCGATCTCATGGCCCCCTTCGGGCCTAGGGGAGCCCTTCGGGACCCATCATATCTCATACAATAAATCAGAGCAACAAGATTCGTGCAGGGAAATGCTACCCAGTGCCCACCTCCAGCCATGGTACTCCGTATTACAGCTCTGCGGCTTGCTATGGTCACTGCATTGCCTGATCAGGGACCCCGCTTTCCTCCTGGTTCACACAAGGACCGCCGAGATGGCCAAATGCCCAATCAGACCCGGGTCTGTTGTGGTAAGTGCTCTCGCCAACGAGAGAACAATACCTTAGAGGAACCCATCAATGTCTTTTTTCTTTGATTCTATGAGAGCAATTGTCAGTTGTTAAAGATCTCGCATGGGTGCGAGCACTCAACTTAAGCGTGAATTGCGCAATCAGGCATTTCCAAACGGCCGGGACGACGATGAGGGCTCCAGGAGCCATCCGTGCACTAAACTTATAGTGCTCCGAGTGCACGGATAGGGGTCAATACTAATTGATAATGGGATTCTTTTGCGTGGATCCCTCTCTTTGCCAGTACGATGGCGCAACAGGCGGCCAGAATCACACGTGTCGGGCAAATCATGTCTGGTAAATAGACAAGACAAGCCTTCGCATGCGGTTTTTCTCGCCGGTCCACGTGGGAAGGATCTCCGCAATGCTGGGACTATCAAGTTCCACAGGTCAGATGGGATTCCCATAAGAGCGAGGCCTCGGCCCCTCGAGAGAGCAAGGTCAGAACCATCTGTTGATGATCGTATGACAGACCTGTGCCGGCCATTATGTCGACCTCGACCTCTTCCTTCTCTTCGTCTATCCAGCCCTCTCATGGAGTGGCGGCCTTCGTTGGGGGCCAGGAGCACATCTCGAGGACCTCCTTCGGGGACCACGATAAGAAACCGACTGCCTTCGAGGCCACCGACGTCCCTCCCGACAGCGACGGACCCCGACGAGACGTGTCCGGAGACGTCTTGGACGATGGCCTGCGACGAGGTCTGAAAGGCAGACATTTTGTCATTATCGCGCTCGGTAGTATCATCGGACCCGGCACCTTCTACGGCATCGGCTATGCTATCTTCTTGTCTGGTCCGCTGGGAGCATTGCTCGGCTTCATCATCGTTGGTACGGGAGCAAATCGCCCATCCCAGCCGCGCGTCGACTAATTCGGTCCCTCCTAGGTATTTCCGTCTGGTTCCTGATGCAGAGTGTCGGCGAGATTACCACTTTGTTCCCCATCCACGGTGGATTCGTTGAGGTAAGGCATCAGCAAGCATTCATACTATATGATGCTTAGCATCGGCGACTGGTCTGACCATTCGGTTCCTCGTAGCACGCCGGCCGCTTCGTCGATCCGGCATTAAGCTTTGCCATGTCCTGGCTGTACTACATCATGTGGAGCGTCTTCCTTGCAGCAGGTCTGAATGCCACCAGGACATCCGTGCCCTTTCCCTACCGCTGACTTCTGACCAGACTGGAACTCCGCCATTCTGATCCTCCGCTACTGGGTCCCGGAATCGACGTTCCCATCCTACGGCTGGGCCTTGATCTTCTGGGCCGTCTTCTCCGTCATCACCCTTCTCGGGGTCAGCGTCTATGGAGAGCTCGAGTACTTCTTCGGCATGTTCAAGTTCCTGTCCTTGATCATCCTCTTCATCTTGTCCATCGTGGCCAACGTGGGTGGATTCGGGGGCGACTATGTCGGGTTCAGATACTGGAAGAAGCCAACAGGTGCGTGACTGTCGCCACCGATGTTGTTGTGTGCGTGGCGAGCTGACCAAACATACCAGGTCCCATCATCCACGGCATCGACGGGTTCGGCCAGGTCTTTGTCTTAGCGGCCGCGTACTACGTCGGCACCGAGATCATTTCTCTCGCTGCTGGCGAGTCGCGGAATCCCAAGAAGGATGTCCCAAGAGTACGTTGTCTCCAAAACAGGGGTTTACAGGAGGGTTGGTGGTACCGTATCAAAGCTGACCGAGAGCTCTCCAGGCCATCAACTCTGTGGTGTACCGCATCCTCGTGGTCTATGTCGGGATGCCGTTCTTCCAAGGCTTGATCTGCCCGTCTAACTCGCCAGATCTTCTGAATGCAGACTCGGTGGTTGCATCGTCTCCCTTCACCATTGGTTTCGTCGACGGCGGGTGGAAGACAGCCGGCCACTTCGTCAACGCCCTGATCACCGTGGCTTTCATCTCGGCCGCCAACGGTGTCGTTTACGTCCAGTCTCGCACCATCTACTCTCTGGCCCTGACCAAACGGGCACCCAAGATTTTTGCAAAGACAACGTCACGTGGGGGTAAGCAGCAAACATGAGCCCCCTGTATCTTGTATCTTGTGTCTTGGATCGCACTGATCCACCCTTCCTCCCTTTCCCCCCCACCCATGTGCCTGCCTTGGTTTGAATTTTGTGGATGAACGCTTCGGCTGACCTTGGATGACTTCCTTGAAACAGTTCCATGGGTCGCCATCCTCACCTCCAATCTCTGGGGCTTCCTCTGCCTAATGAACCGCAAACTGACGGCGGGCCAAGTGTTTTCGTACATGACCAGCGTGGGAGGCACGGCGGCCTATATTGCTTGGGCCGGCATCATCTTCACCCACCTGCGCGTCCGGGCCGCGGCCAATAAGCAGCAGATCGACGTCAAGACGTTCCCCTACAAGGCCTGGGGCAGCATCTGGCTGTACCGCGCCAACTTTGTCTTCAACATCTTCCTGCTCTTCATCCAGGGCTACACCGTCTTCAAGCATCCTTTCAACTGGAGGTCCTTCATCGCCTGCTACATCACAATCCCCACCTTCTTCATCCTGTTCTTCGGCTACAAGTACTACTTCAAGACCCATTGGTATGTTTGCAACCCCTGGTCTTTGTCTTCCCATGCACCTCCCACTCTCTATGTAGTATCACCGCGCTGGCAGAAGATGGATCGATCATATGCTGACGCGGATACTTTTTTCGCCGTCTCTGCAGGGTTCGCTTGCACGAAGTCGACTTCTCGGACCGCAGAGAATGGATTGCCCCTGCGCTGGACGGCGTCAAGGATCGCCGGTCGCTGAAGCGGAAGCTCTGGGATCTGTTCAAGGATTGAGTGAGAGTGATATTTCACCTCTGGAGACATGTCCTGAATCCAAGGGTCCATAGCCTTAGCCTATATATACTACCTGCATCAATCAACACTCGGGAGAGAATAGAAAAGAGAATGGAACGGGACGGGACGGTGTCAGTTAAAAGCCATAATTCATTAATCCGACGTTACTCTGCTCTGAACGCACAACAGCTAAGTACTGAGTAGTGAGTAGCAAGAACGATAGAGTCGAAACTCCGACGGCTTGCCTTTCGTGTGACATTGAATTTCCATCCCGTTTCCATCCCGTTTCCGTCTCCTGCACTCGTGCCAGGCTCTCTCTGTCTCTCTGTGCCACCATCAAAACACCAATCCGGTTCTCCTCGTCAACAAATACAGCGCCGCATCCTGCACCCAGATGGGCAAGTCGCGCGCCCTCGTCTTGGCTTCGGCGCTTCTGGGCATGAAGATCTGCCCGCTGCGCGCCGCGAGAACCTGCTCAATGACCGCGTCGCTGACGTTGGACGCGGCGTCGAGTCGGACGCCGGCTCGGGCCAGGTTGGCCTCGTACGGCTTGACGATGCCCGTTGCGTGCCAGGACGGGTGGACGCTGGTTGTCTGGATGCACGTGCCGTTGGGGTACATGGTCCGGAGCTCCTTTCGGAGACCTATGTGGACGGGGGGTTAGTATCAGTAGCCTTCTAGGGCAAAGGACGAGAGGGTGGGAAGTGTGTTGCGGGGAGAAAAACAAAAAAGAAGCCCAGAGATAGAGTGAAAGGGAAGGGGGAGAGTGTATTTGGTTCAAAGTGATTAATGAAACAGGATAGGCCGGTCTAAGGACGTCATCAGTCCAAGGGTTTGAGCGGGAAGTTGAGGAGCATCTCGACAAATGCAAGGGTGAGACGTATATCGATGGGCCAATGTATACAGGGCGTGTATCAATTCGTGAATATTTTCAGCATCGGTTCAAGCACGTTCCCGCTTACCTTCATGAAGATACAACGCCGCGATCTTTGTACAACAATAGTCGACCAGGCCAGGCGCGGCGAGGAAACTCGCCATCGAAGCCATCGTGACGATGTGCCCCTTGCGCGCTTCCAACATGCCGGGAAGAAACTCCTTGATCAAGACAAAGTGCGAGGCAATGTTGACTTTGAAGATCTGGTCGGTCAGTTTCGCGGAGGCGTCGATCAGCCTTGTGCCGGTCGCTGGCGGGGTTGGACTCTAGGTTAGTCGCCGGGTTTCACCATTGCGCGAGCTCGGGTAGACTTTGGGTCACATACCGATTCCGGCATTGTTGATCAAAACGCTGGGATTGCCGTGCTCCTTGCGGATTGCCTCTGCTGCTGTCTCGATCGCAGGAAAGTCGGTGAGGTCGACGTGGTAGTACGACACGCCGGGGACTGAGCGGAGTGAATTAGTACATGATGAGAAATAGGAGCCGCAGGGAAATGGTCCAACTCACTCCTCTTCAGCTCTTCCGGCACAGGGAGGATGTCGAGGATAACGACACGGGCGTGTCTCGAAAAGCCCTTGACCATCTCGTAGCCAAACCCGCTACATCCGCCCGTGATGAGAACCAGCTCGCTTTTCTGCGTGTCGCCGAACCTGAAGGGCGTCCCTGGCTTCTTCAGATGCCAATGGTTTAGTGCAAGTCTGGTCAGGGCCTGGTGCAGCCTCCGGGCAACGCCAATGGCAAGCAGGACCTTTAGTGATTTGATCAGGCCCGCAACCCCATTGCTTGATAGCCCGCGGTCGTACAGCAGCTTGAGCACACGCGACCGGTATTGAGCGGGTGCCCGGGTGAGTGCGAAAAGGAGCGACCCCGTGATGAGCGGTTCGGCGGCTACATAGCGCAGCAACGAGACGGGGAGGGTGAGGGCTCGGCTGAGGACACGGTTGGTACGCTCTATGGGACTGGGAGAGGCCATTTGCGCTCAAAAGGATGCCACAGGTGATGCCAGCAGCATCTAAGACCAACAAGATAGGTGATATGGTGTCGTGGATGGCGGTGAGGACGAGTCGATCCAAACGTCATGATTTATCCGAAGCATTGCAGTGCCTCGGTAAGCATCCATGTACGAAATATATGTATCACGCGCGTATAAAGATGGTGTCGACAGGGGAGCCGGGAGGGACCTAGGCATAGGGATAGGATTCTGCTGACTCAGATGCGGAGCAAGCTCCAAGGCCGAGGGTCCCTGCCGGCTCTCCGTGAGAATATTCAATACAGTGTACCACTGGACAGGGGCCATGGTTGACGCCAGGGGTCGGTAGTTGAGGCCGGTCCATCTGCCGTTGAACACCAGCGACCGGTGTGTGGTGGAAATACTCCGTCCTCCGTACACAGTCCAAGTGGTCACAGGGGTTATGAGGAACTATACGACTGACGAGGAGAAGGATCTCCCAAGCCATCTCCGCCGGAACGAACGCCGACCAGGACTGTTGCCTTGGCTACCAACTCCGCCACCAGGGACGCTGGGCCTTGCAGTGGTATTCCCTACAGTCTGCTGGGTCGCCGATTCGTTGCTCAGTAAAGCCGGTGAACTTGAGGCTGAGACAGAACGGGGGACATAACTTGTCCTTTCATTGCGGCTTGCCTGCGATTTCGCCTCGTCCACTGTCGGGTGACTGGGCTGGCCCCTTTTCTCTAGCAAGGCAGTGAGATAATCCAGCTTTGCCTCAACCGTCGTCTTCTGATTGAGGCCTGCCGCCTCATAACGCCGAAACGATGCCGGGTCCGCCAACAGGGATGGGGTAGTTGGGCCCTCCTCCTCGAAGCCCTCCTGGAACACCGGCAAATTCGGAGAGTACGTGATGTAGTGCGGTTGATAGCCTGGTGTCAAATACAAAGAACCCGCCGGCGGATGGACTGGTGGATCTATGCTGCCAGTCCGGAGCTGTCGTGACTGTCTTCCGTATCGTCGCCCTTCGTGACCGTGTCGCATCCCGGATTTTTTCTCCGACACTCTTGATTGTACATCTGGTCCTTCACCGAGGTCATGTATGTCGACCCCCTGTTGCTGATATTCCGACGAGCTTTCACGATACATGATGTGCGCGAGTTTCCTTTTGGCTCGCGTCTTTGCAAAGGATGATTCAGCAGCCATGAGCTGATTACAATGCTGCTTCAAATCTTTCCACAAGACATCGCCTTCTTGGATGAATGAGCGACTTTGCATTTCCGCCTCTCTTACAGCGGCAGTCTTCTCATATCGTTCCTCTCCCGAAGAGTAGCTGCATTCCTCAGCAGAAGAGAAATCGTCGTTGGGGATAGCTGGCGGGGGTGTCAATGCTCGAGGGAGGCTCTTGAGCCTCGCACTGTCTCTGAATGGCCGTTCTTTGCGGCCATCACGGGAATGCTTCGTCTTCTTGCTGCCCGCCTCTGTCTCTGCCTCGGCATCCCCAATGGTGTGAAAGGTAGACGATATCGCGGGCCGTTTCTCCGCCGGTGTATCTTGCTCCCCTGGGCCGCCGAGAACACCTAGTTCTGATGTTTTCTTTGCTAGCAGTAACATGATGGTCGTACCCGGTTTGACGGTGTCTTCCCAGTGCTCTGGGAGGACCAGATTACCCTCGCGATCTGCTAAGGAGAACGATTCATGATCGTCCAGGTCGAGGTCTGGGTGACTTTGTCGGTGAATTTTCTGAATGAGGTTTTTCGTGTCCTAGGATCATAAGTCTTCGTCCTGAGAGACTGAGAGGATTCACCCACCTGCCATGTTTTGCATCTACTATAAGGGAATCGAAAGATTCTCCAATCAGCGCTGACGAATTTCAGAGTTGCCTCCTTTTCCGCTTCCAGGTTGTGCGTTTCAGATCCTGCCTTTACTATTGGAGTGTCCGGGCGTCCATTCACTCCGGACGGACCGCCAGGCTCAGCACTCAAGACTGCTTCAGGGCCATCATGCACATTCTGGCGGGTATCTGGTCGTAAAAGCTCGGCAAAGCGCCGAAGCATTTCTACTTTGTCCAGGTCTAAGCTGTTTCGGCGACTCTGATGGCGTGAGGGAGGCTTCATATTTGCGCCCTCATCCCAATCGGTGGTGCTCGTTGCCGAGCTAAGGCTAGGTGACGGCACCAACGGAGGTGGGAAATACGGATACTGTCGGGGTGGTTCAAGTCCACCACCTGCTCCGGGAGCATGTGCGTAAGGCATGCCACCACCTGCCATATATTGCGATCGACCGTGAGCATCCTGATAAAGTTCTCCTGGTCGATATCCGTAGCCCATGTACGGTCCAGAGGGCGGGTATGGCGACTGAGTGGGGTTTGTCGGTGCGTACAACGGCGGGTATGGAGCCATTATTGCATGGGGCTGAGCGACTGATGGAACGACTGGCGCTGGCAAACTAGACTGACTGTATCCATCCTGGCCAAAAGAACGATTCAAAAATTTCTCAATGGAATCATCTGATTCGTCTGCAGCCTGAGATGCGTCGGGCGACTGATTCTCTTCCTCACTAGGGACATGCGTAATTTCGATGTGCGCGTGCCTCCCTCCCCGCCTCTGATGGCGACGGATTTGCTGCTCCGGTGAATGTCTTGATGGATCGAACCCATACTGTGAACGCCTACCTGTAGAGGAATGGCGCCTCCTCACATCGGAAACTGCGGATGGGGTATTGGGAGGGTTTCCTAAGTCATCTTGAACCTCTTTCATCGTGACTCCATCACTGTCAACTGTATGGGCTCGGTCATCATCCGGTTGCCGGTCGTATCCTTCGTGTAGATCGGGTAGATCGTAGACTGGATCGGATTCAGAGCTCTCCGTGTCTGCCTGGGGAGACGTAACCTGAGATGGGAGCGTTGCATCTCTTGATGGCCGTTGAGAGGAACTCGCTTCGCTGGCTACCAGATGAACACTGTCTGTTGGGCGCAAGGGAAGCGCTGGGTTACCCAGCTTGGAAGCTTGGGGGTCCGGCTCAAGGAACGTCTTGGGCACATTGTCTTTGTACGCCGTGCCCATAGCTTGCCCAGAGGAAGCAGATACTACATCTCTGTTGTCAATGATTTCATCATGAGTGTTGAAGGAAATCTTGGAGCCGGTATGCCGTTTGCCGGTCTCCTCAAGATTCGTCCAGTTTAAGAGTAGGTTCTCCACCGTCTGCTTCATTCGTCTCTTCTCCTCTGCCTTTTCTTTTCTCACCCGTTGAGGATCAGGAAGCATGGGGAAAGGGCTCTGGAGGGCCCGCGGAAGCTGTAATGAAGGGACCAGCTTCAAAAGCCATCGGCTGTCCTGGGAAGGATGGAAGGCTGCAGGACCCGGTACGTACTGAGCCTGGAACTCGGCCCGCTGCAAACGTACGAGCGAATGCTGCGTTACCACCACACTGTGTTCAACTCGGGTCCTCAATTTCTTCTCTTCTGAGGAGAGGAGCATGGACGGCCTAGGAGCTTTAGCAAGACGCACGTTGGAACATCATAGTGAACATACTCATCGGGGCTTGGAGTTTTCTTGAACTCGGCCAACTTGAAAAGAGACAGTTGCAGAGCAAGGGTTGATCTGCAAGATTCAAGGTTTGCTCGCAATGGTTCGATCCTTTGGTGTTGAAAAACAAATCTGATCTTAGCCCAGAACGTGGGTGGATCGAAATTGTTGTCGGCACCCGTTCCAACCAGGCGCTTGATGTCCGCAAAGGTCTTCTTGCATCGTCTCAAGATCTTGTTGGCGGTTTCCAGGGCAGACTTGCTGATTAGTTCCTGGTGATCCTCTAACCAGTCGCGCAGCTCTTCCAGGACACTGGAGAATGTGTCAAGCTCAAAAGCCAGCCGCTCGATGTCATCCACGCTGGACTTGAGAGCGCCCGCAATGGAGTACAAGGACTTGGAGATTTTCAGAGCAGCCGAGGAGACTGCAATTAATGATGCAAGGACAGACAGTGGATCGGCCATTCTCGCTATGTCCGCCACAACTTCAAGACTGTCTTTGAGGCGCTTGAGGTCTTGCTTTGGAATTGGCACAATGTCTTGTGGAGGCAACGCTTGGAAATAGGGAGCCACTGCTAGTTGTGTCGGTAGAAATGAAGGATAGGGCGGTGGATGTGGCACCAAGCCTCCTGGTAGACTATATGCTTTGCCAAAGTCTTCCGGTGAATCATAAGAGACCGGCATTGTCGTTTGTGGCACTCATTGGGTCCTTCGTTCACAATCAGAGGAGTTTTGTATCCTCACGGGAAAGCCTGTTTAAGTAGAAGTCAGCTCCACCATCGACTCGACCATGCGATAGAGGCGGTGACAACTCTGCCAGAATGAGGCTGAGGGGGCTGAGCTTTGTTCTGGAGGGGCACTCACATGCTTTCCGGTGATGAAATGGCAGTGCTAAACTCCTTGTATTGGTCGTGCATTGGTGCCGTAGAGCTCAGCCGTCAATTGGATACACCCCTGTAGCAGTATGCAGCCCAAGTTGCTCGCACAGCAAGAATCATTCCCAGTTAGACCAGGCGCATTTAGGGCCAAAGATTCAGCCATCCTAGACGGGACACGATGTCCGCTGAAGGATGCCGAGCGGGCTTCCATTCGCGTGCCAAAGGTGTTGAAGTAGACAGATTGTACACAACTTGAGTAGTCACCATGTATACTCCAGTGGTCCTTGTGTCTGCTGCCAGTCCCGGCCTTCATCTTATCCGGGAAATCAAGGCTTCCCAAAAGCAATGGATGCGTTGCCTTAGTCTTGTCTAGGTCAACACAGTGCAAGGTTGTGAGTATTCGACGCGCACATCATGCATGCTGGGCCTGCCCTTTGTTGACAGCTCCTAACCCCCATTGGAGACCGTAGCTAGATGTTTGTCTGATACAGGCAATAGCCATATCAGTCTCATGTCCCTACTCACTCTCGTGCCAATATTCAGCAGTTCTAAGCCGGAGCTTCTCCAGGAATGAGGATAGACACTGCAGTCTGAAGGCCATTGTGACGGTGACGGGGTATGCAAAGGAAGCGGCAGGGCTCCGTGTCATCAGGAGAATTGGACGTTGAAAATACACTGAAGAGAAACCACCAGTCTCGCGGCATCTGATCTGATCACATCAGTCATGATGTTCAATACCACCGCCAGCTGTGCATCCGTACTCTGGACCTAGAGTGAGAGAAACTGCGGCTGCGACTGCGGCGATATACGGTGAAATGGCCACCGAAAACGGCTGTTACAGGCGCTGCTTTTGGCCTCCGTCGCACCCGCCAGCGTCGGTGCATTGCTGCATTGTTCCAATGTATCAATGTCCTAATTAATGCCTTCTGTAGTTTACGTGATTAGGTAAGGGTGTCCTGCCTTTGGCGCGACCGTTGTGAAGACCTGGTCTCTGACACTTGAGGAAAAAGAACTTGGGTCGAGTCTAGGTAGTCACCGATAACACAAACATCTTTGAAACCTATGTCGAAACGCAAGTTAACAATGTCGCTCCAGTTTTGCGGCGCCTATCACTTACCTTTGGTTCGTGAGCAACGCCAAAATTTCACCCTTTTGCTCAAGTAGGGCATTTGTGGCAATCGTGATCCCAATCCGGCATGATACTGGATTCGTTGGCATCAGTCCCCGATGACCGATACATTCAGATTAGGTGGCTGCACGTACCTGTTCTAGAGCCGTCTAGATTGGCTCCACGAGGAACACGACGACCTTCCACCATCTCGAAATCTTGTCGGATAACCTCACTCGGGCCACCCGCAAAATTGTGAGGACCCTCCGAAAGCAATTTGGAAATAATGTACATGATCTACGTGCAAGCGCCACATTGAATTGAGGGCTTGAGAGAGGCTGACCCTGGCTCGAACTACTCAGGTCGGGCTGATCCGTTCTCCGATCATGTCCATCACGCTCTGCCATTCATATATGTATTCTGACGATGTCCCGGACCTCGAGGGTACTGCTTGGGAGCCACAGGCTTGCTTCTCGCGCTTCCGTCGCCGTGAGATGGTGCGGATGCAGACGTCGTTCATATCAGCTTGTAAGTCGCGCTGGCGCCACACTGCCCGGAGGATGCGAAAGGCGGAGGCGATATTCTGGGAGAAATACAGTCCGTCCGTCAGCCAATCACTCATGGATCCCCACTGTCCTCGTAATCGATGAGCTGATTTACCCCGTGACAAGATAGTCGAGCGGCTCACCGCCCTAAAATGAGCCAAAAAGGGAAGGACGACTTACCGCCCTGTGTGTCATGCCTCTGATGGTATTGAAAATGTTCATGACGGCAATCCTGTTGTCCTCGTTATTCGTGCAGCATCCAGCAATGAAAACAGGCCAGAGGGGCCAGCTGGGGGCCAGCGGGTAATCTGAGCCGACAATGCCGTCAAGGAGTTGGAGAAGAATCTTGATGTGGTTCTCCTTTTCATCCCGCACGCACGAAGCGGGAGCCGTTTTGTTGAATGGCGAAACTGGGATAGAGGTGATTGGAGAACCACCTCTACCCACACCTGCCGCGGCGTTGTGGTGAGCTGATGGCAAGTAGGGTTCATGTAGGAGAAGAATCAAAGCTGCAAGACGATTCGCCTCAGCCACTTGCTCAATCATCGTAACCACAACTTCAGGTTCGCTTTCCCGTATCCACTCTGGGGTGACTTGGGTCAGATTGACGAGGCTCGCGTTGAGCCGTTGCATCTTCGTCTGAATGAGTAGTTCTTGTTTCCGCCTGTCCCTCGCGTGTTTGAGTCTCTGGGTCGACGACTGCAAGCGTTTGAGATCCGTTACTTCGTTGACCAAGAGGAGAAGGGCGTTACTGAAATTGCAATACGGATCGATGATCCTCAAGGAGTCGAGGTCCATCTCCAGAGCCAAATTTTCGGTCGACGTCCATCGGGATCGGGAGTCGTCAACTGACCTGCCGTGGTTGGAGGCGGTAACGAATGCACTACTGGCTGCCTCTACGTCGAACATGGTCTTGGCCATAATGAGTTGATGAGTGAAATACCGATAGCCCAGATTATAGCCGTAATCATCATCTCGGCATTCTGCATTTCGTATTATGCGCTGTTGAATTGCATGGCGATATGCGGAGAAGTGTACGACCCAAGTCGATGGGTACAGGTCGTTGATCTAATTCATTTTCGTCGATAAGTCAGAGTTTGAGCCGCAAGCAGTGACGCTGAAGCAGGGCGAGGACGAGATGACTGACCTCGACTGTGCAAAGCATCATGGAGACAAGAAGAATGTCTCGCATGCTCCCGTCCTGCCGGATCAGCAGATCCCTCAACGAATTGAGGGTACGCTGGCGGTAGTGCATCGTCACGTAGGAGAATTTGGAGTCCAGTCGTGCCAGTCGGTCTGCAGCGTACATTAAGATGCTAGAGTATATGGTTGGAGAAGTGCAGGCTGCCTCAAACATGAACGTGACCGGATTTTTTCCCTGGTCCAGCAGGAGATACACCCTGTCCTGCTGAATTTTATTGACGTAGTAATCCATCAGGACACTCTCGATCTCGCGACTATTGCTGGCATGAGGGAACACACTGCCGAATTTCGGGGACAATGTCTGGTCAACAGAGATTCGGAATCCGTCAACGTGTTGGACTCTTCGGCGTTCGCTCTGAGGAGAAGTGTTGAACATCTCGGCTTCTTCGTCCTCGTGTGTGTCTCTCCTGGTGCCCGAAGAAAGAGAGTGGCGATAATACAGGTCCATGGTCTTGGTGGTGAAATGGAGAAAGCCTCGACAGGTCTGTTGAGAGTTCGAGCTCGAGCTTGGTCTGGAAGCTGGAGAGTATCTATCCCTAAACCCAGGACTGGAGTCTCTGGGAGTGGATGGCTTGGATTGTAGCCACGCCTTCGATCGTTCGTGGCATCTGCCAGGAGCAAGAGTGTGTTGCTCCCAGACAAGCGTCAAGTTGTAGTCGCATGTCAACGACGACCGGGTGCACCGACGGCAGCGTGGACGAGACTCTGAGACACACGTCATCTCGTCAGGGCTGAGCTTGTTGTTATGAAGGCAGTGGGCGACATACCGTCACATTTGAGATGTCTCTTCCGGCACGTGTTGCATCCTGAACGCACTCGAGTCATGGGGGAGCTATGAGTCGTCCGAAAGATTAATCTTGACACCCCGTTTGCCTGATGCGGACGGTATCTCAGCAATACTGCACGCGGGTACTACAGGGAGGCTGGAAGGCCTAGAGTGTAATAGGCCGTTTTGACGCCACGATACACCAGGGGTCGATCGAAGAGCAGGTCGGTGTGAGAGTGAATTTAAATAAACTTGAGGTTGGAAGGGTCCCCTTATGCTGCGCTAGTCACCCAGGTTAGGGAGAGGCACGCCCAGGGGGCACACTATGGCTGTCAGTATTTCACCCACGCTAAACTAGAATAGGTTATAATTTTACTTACAGACTACTCCTATTATAGTGCCCACCTAGATGCCTATAGCCGTCCCTATAACCACGCCTATTGCTACACCTATCACCACGCCTATAACCACACCTATCACCACACCTAAGGGCCTGTAGCTAGATATACCTATAGTAACGTACTACTATACCTAGGAGTGGTAATAGGTGTAGTGACAGGTATCGTAATAGGCGTGGTAATACTGTAGGCGTGGTAATAGGTACTGCTACTAGTATGCTTTCGTACTATTATACTATACTAAGCCTATTTAGGAAATAATCTTGAAAAAGAGAGTTGATTATATAAGCGATTATCAGAATCTAGTTTAGCGTGGGTGCGAAATACACACAGCCCACAAGAGGCACTACTGCCTTAATTCCGGCTGTGGGGAAGAGGGGACGGGGCTACGGGACTGAATTCGGCCACAGATCCTGTAGTGTACGAGCTATACATTTATAGTGCACAACACATCGGTTGGAGCTGCTCTCCTGTCCATGTTTCAGACACTGATGAGGCCTTGCTGCGACTTCCCAGGCTACAATGTTTGTCTGCAATCCACCTGCGGACCTATGGCATGCCAGGACACTTCTAGAACCTGGGAGGCCTGATGCCTGATGGTGGTTTTGGAACCCACCGAATTTGTGGTGGATCAGGTGAGATCACCGCACAGTCTTTACGTCGGCTCTATATAAAGTTGACGACCAGTCTTGAGGCACACAAACGGCGGGCTTGGAAGCAAACGCCAACAACTGTCGTCCTCGACGAACCACCCTTCCTAGCAATCAAATTACTGAAATTGACCATGGCAGACGCCTGCAATGGACCTTCTCCCACACCGCCCGTGCAGCGTCACCCAGAAACTGGGATCACGGCTGTGATCGTGGGAGGCGGTGTAGGTGGGATCATGACCGCGTTGGAGTGCTGGCGAAAAGGCATCCAAGTGCGCATCTTTGAACGCAGTTTGAAGCCTGAAACCGAAGGCAAGGATGATGCTACGGCATCCACCAACCCTCTACAGTGGTTGTATTGCTAATCTCAATCTATCATGCAGGAGATTTCTTCTCAATTGGCCCGAGCGCATGCAAAGTCTTCGAACATTGGCCAGCTATGAAGGAAGAGAATGAGGCCACGTCCTACGATTTCTGGCTCTCCTACCATAAACAAACCGGTGAACACATTTATGGCCCGGCTCCTTTGGCAATCGTGACGACGAACGAGGCTGGCGAAACCACCACAAACACGATTCGCATCCACCGGCATCTTCGCTCCAAGTTTCAAAACATCCTCTTAAGGCAATTAGCTGCGACTGGAATGGTCGTCGAATACAACCACCGAGCCGTGAGATACCACGAAACCGATGACAAAGCAAATGTAGAGTTTGACAACGGCGTTCGCGTGGAGGCCGACTTGGTCATCGCGGCTGACGGTGTCGGTACCAAGTCATTTGAAGTGGTCACGGGCAAGGAATTGCGCGCTCGAAGCAGTGGCTATGCTATATATCGCACTGCGTACCCTGTCGAATTTGCTGTTGCAGATCCGGACGTCGACCGACGATTTGCCATTCTTCCCAATGGCCAATCTCCCGCCGAGATGTGGGTTGGGTAAGCAGGTCGATCTTGTTTCTGTCAGTTTATGACCCCTAACGCGTCTTCCAGGCCTGATATGCACCTGTTTATCTCTCGGACGGAGGACACGTTTTCATGGTCCGTGACCCACAAGGTACGTCGGCCATCACCCTCGTTTGGGGATGTTACTGAGAGTCCGCACAGGATACCGCAGACTCGGCGGAGACCTGGTATGGGACTCACTCGAAATGCACCCCGGCAGACGTGATACAGTGCCTTGAAACGTCTTTGGGTTCCTGTCCGGACATTCTTCAAAAGGTATTCAACACCACACCCGAGGATCGCCTGGTGGACTGGAAACTCCTGTGGCGAGATCCTCAACCGCAGTGGACCTCTCCTAGAGGTCGAGTGGTCCAGCTCGGGGATGCCGCCCATACCTTCCTACCCAGTTCTGGCAACGGGGCCACCCAGGCCATGGAGGATGCAATGTCTCTGGCCAGCTGTCTGGAGATTGGTGGACAGAGCAACATTCCCATGGCTCTCCGTGTACACAACCTGCTCAGGTATGTCCCAGACCTAGTGTGGAGGGTCGGAAGAGAACGTGTACTAATTGACTTGTCAGGGCCGAACGGGTCTCTTGCTGCCAGCTTCTCGGCTTCAGAAACCAGGCGCAGCGCCATCACACCAACTGGGATCTCGTTGCGGAGAACCCACGGGCGATCAAAGAGTCGTATGATCGCTGGCTGTGGGCACATGATGCAGAGCAGTACGCATACGAGAATTATGGAAAAGCTTTCCAGCACCTAATCACGGGTGCGCCGTTCACAAACACTAATGCTGCGCCGGGATATGTATATAGGCCGTGGAACATTGACGAGCTATTGGCAAAGCAAGATGCCGGGATCCCGATCGAGGTGTAAGACAGACTGGAGATGAACGTCAGTCGCCTTGCAGCTGTAAGGAAGGTTACCTGGTAGCGCGGCTTGGTCATTAGGTATTACAGAGTACTCCGTACATCTAGATATACAGCGGCCGTGACTACATGCTGCGCCGTAGCACGAGTGGCTCACCGGAGCCCGGCGGAACAGTTAATCCGGGCTTGGTGTCCTGAACATCGTCAGTCTGCCTTTTGTCAACTGGGGATACGCATCTCTTCTTCACTTGATACACTCTGCTGGGCCTTAGACAGCCTTTGCTCTTCCTCAGTCGGTAGCACACTAATCTCTGACCCTTTTGGTCTCCACAGATCCCTCTCAACAAGTCGCCCAACCACGAATATCGCTCCGGCGCAATTCCGAATTCCTCACCCTCACTTGTCTCTCTCTGCCGCGTGCTTCTACCAACGCTTTTGACACAGAAGACGGCACCCATTGCTGGGACTAGATGACGAGGACAAATCTTCCATTCTGGCCTCGGCCTTCTCGGTAACACGACTGATTTCGACTGTCGCATCTCGTCTCCGCGGCCGACGCGTCTGGTTGAATCAAGCCAGCCTGACTGCGCCTGGAAACTTATGTGACAACTGGTCGGACGCACCACTTCTGTGGATTCGAGCACTGTCCGCCGTCAAGGCTCTTCACGGCGTCCAAGTCCACTGAAGGCAATGTCTACTGGTACGCCTCATCCTCGAAAAACCCTCGAACGACTTCCAGATGGCAAGCCTCGGTTCCGTGGCTGCTCGAGAATCACCGACTACGACTATCTGGGGAAGCTCGGCGAAGGCACCTTCGGAGAAGTGTCCAAGGCGCGCTCCAAGAAGACGGGACAAATAGTGGCGTTGAAAAAGATATTGATGCACAATGAGAAGGACGGGTTCCCCATAACAGCTCTTCGGGAGATCAAGCTGCTCAAACAACTTCACCATGTCAACATTCTGAAATTGGAAGAGATGGCGGTTGAGCGACCTAAGAGCGCCAGCAAGAAGCCGAGCATGTTCATGGTCACGCCATACATGGATCACGATCTGGCGGGACTACTGGAAAACCCAACTGTCAACTTCACTGAGCCACAAATCAAATGCTACCTGAAACAACTTCTCGAAGGCTGCGCATACCTCCACGCCAACAAGATCTTACATCGGGACATGAAAGCCGCCAATCTGTTGATCAACAACCGGGGAATTCTTCAGATTGCCGATTTCGGCCTTGCCCGACCATACGACGATGATCCGCCCAAGCCAGGCCAAGGAGGAGGTGAGGCTACCAGAGAATACACCACCTTGGTCGTGACACGGTGGTATCGTCCACCGGAATTGCTACTGCAACTCCGCAAATATACTACCGCTATCGACATGTGGGGAGTCGGCTGCGTGTTTGGGGAGATGTTCAAGAAAAGGCCCATCTTGACGGGCAACAGTGACCTCAATCAGGCACAGATCATCTTTGACCTGGTCGGCTCTCCTACAGACGAGACGATGCCCGGCTGGCGAGACCTTCCCGGCTGCGAAAACATCACGGACTGGGGCAGCAAACCGTCACGACTGACCACCGTCTTCCGCGAACTCAGTCCACCAGCTCTTTCACTCCTGGGCGAACTGCTGAAACTTGATTGGCGAAAACGGATCAATGCCATGGATGCTCTTCGACACCCGTATTTCCGCACCGAACCATATCCCGCCCGGCCGGAAGACCTCCCTTCGTTCGAGGACTCTCACGAACTAGACCGAAAGAAGTTCAGAGATCAGAAGTCTAAGCCGCCTCCTGCGCCAGCCGGCGGCGCCGTGGGCATAGCGACCCAAGGAGAATGGGCCATCAATGGTCGGTCGATCCCTCCTCTTGAAGGCAGAAGTGGAGGTACAGGGGGCGCGGGTCCTGGCTCACGAGTCCCGGGGGGGCGATATGCAAATGGACACAATAGCCAAGGCTATGGTCGCCGGCCACTGCATGCCCAGAATGGTGCTTACGGCGGTGGAGGGGACCACCGGGGCCCCAACCCGTACCCGCCTCACAGAGACATGCCGCCATACGAGCAAGGTCAGCGCCCACCATATGATCAGACGAGAGGGTCTATGCCACCACAGGTATATGACGAAAGCTATTCACGCCGCCCTTCCGGAGGAGAACTATCCTCGTTGCCAGTCCCCGCCGGAGACCATGCGCTCCCACCGCGCCCTCCACCTCCCGAAGCTGACCCTTTCCGCCACGGACAGCAAGACGAACCTGCATACCGAGACGATGGCCGCGGACCCCTTCCACCTCCTTCACACCCAAGATCTCGAATCCCTCCAGGAGCTGGTGCGGACTATCGACGCCCGGCTCATGACCGAGACACATACATCCCGCCATACTCACACGCCGATCCGACCGCTCGCCTACCTGCGATGAAGAACCGCAGAAGAGACGATCGACCGCCGTACAGGGATAATGGACCGCCTCCTGATTACGCAGACCATCTGTCCTACGACGACATGGGCGCAGCCGATCGAGAGCGAGGACGAACGCGCGACCTGGACGGTCTACCGCCCCCGCCTCCGCCCCCGCCCCCGCATCCACAGGGAGGCGTGTACGACCGCGATCGAGATCGAGACAGAGATAGACGGCCAAGGAGTCGAAGTCCGGGCAGGGATTGGGAAAGAGACAGCCACAACAGTCACAGCCACAGCCACAGAGACAGAGACATGCATCGTGACCGGGACAGGCCTCGGGATTGGGATCGGGAGCGAGATCCTCGTGATCACAGTCACAGCCACAGCCACAGCCACAGCCACAATCACAATCACAATCACGGTTACAGAGACCGGGACCGAGACCGGGATAGGGGATATGGCCTGCAAGACCCGTATCGCCGGTAGAAGCGCGGTGGTAGACGGTTATATTCATGACCTTCATGATCTTGTCCTTCGTCCTTTGAAGCCGAAAACATTGGTGTGCAGCAGGCAGGGTTTGGGGGTTTGGCTTGGAGGCTTGCGCGTCTTGCAAAAACGGCATTCCGCAGGCAATGCGGCCCCGGAAGGGAGGCGGCGGACTGGGACTCGCATTGGCGGCGGTGTCTTTGTCTTTGGGGCGTCTGCATAGCGAAACGGCGCCGAATCATCTCTCGCATTCGGGGAGGCAGGGACGGATTTGTACGAGATATGGCCCCCACGGTATCCGTATACGTACAGTAATTCCATGTGGTTGACTCATTCGGTCACTTACACGTGAGAAATAATGGGAGGGAACGAACGACGTGCAAATGAGCGCGGACGATCCAGATCCATCCATTGATCCAACGCTTCATATACCTTGATCGACGGGACAAGAAGCGGAACAAGGAGACGCAATAGAAGGTCGCCTGGCCATTTTCCATTCTCCAACCATATTCTACTTGTTGTAGTACTTTGTAGTGTCTTGTACTTGTACTGCTTGGTAGTGTCCATGCTGCGTAGCTAACATACCTAGACATGGCCCGAGTCTCTGTCTCTTGCGTTCCCTCCTGGTCCCGTTTTCCTGTTCGCCCAGTGGTGCAGAACATGTACTCCGTAGCTGTATGTAGGTAGCAACCCCCAAGTCGTCTGGAGACCTCCTAGGAGGCAGTGAACGAACGAACGAACGGAACGAAGGAAGAGACCGCCATAGCAATAGCGAGCGGGTGTTGTGTTGTGCTGTTGTGGTGTGTGGTGTGTGGTGTGTGGTGTGTGGATCGGTGACAAGATTGTTCACAAGAAGCCGGCGAACATGTCGTCGATTGCGTTCTTCTTCTTCTTTTTCTTGCTCTTGCTCTCAGATTCCACATCCTTGTTTCCAAGCGGCTTAAGTTTCGGGTCTTGCTTCTGCTTCTTTCTGTCGCGGTCGCCTCGATTGGCTTTGAAGTTGAGCACCGCATCCGACACCCCAGTCCCCTTTGAACCATCCGAGCCGACGCTCGGGGAATCAGTCACATAGGCAGCCGATCCATCGTCGGCTGTGGGTACATCTTTACGAGCCGGCAGACGTACTTGATCCCGGGATATTTCGAGCTTCGTCCGTTCAACCACCTCACCCACGTCGTCGCTGTGGTAAATCCTCTCCACGACCTCACCGCTCTGCAGGCCTGTGACCTTTAGACTCGTGGCTGTCAGAACCCTGGCACCCCCCTGTTCTTTGCTGGTCACCTTGTCGGCGTGCAATGCCTGTTCGCCGCGGTCATCCTCGTCCACTGAACGCGTCGGCGCACCAACCACACTCATCACGTCCGCAAGGATACCGACGAGCACGACTCCTAGAGCGGCGAATTGACTGTCGCTCACCAAGCCCGTGAACCCAACGTATGCGCGAGGCACGAGGACCTCGCGCATCCAGTCAAACCATAGGTCTCTCTCACGTCGGATCTGACTCTCTTGCTCGAACCGTTTCCTGACTTCTTTCGCCTCCGTGGCACCGACGCCGGCGTTGCTCTGTAGTCGGAGCGAGCGTTCTGCATCATTCATGGCCACCACGCGAGTAATGGCTTTCCTCAACATCCCCAAGGACTTCCACCACGACTGGGCGCGGTGCTGATTTCTGTTGCGCGCCCAGATCTGGTCGAGGAGGGATTTTGCGGTTGACATTTTGACACTGGAGTCAGGAGTCGCAGTCACCCCCGGCGTCACGGGCGGAGTAGTTGAATTGGACGAGGCATTCTTGCCAGACGACGATGGCAATGACTTTGTGACTTGTCCACGATGGTCTAGAGATCGTATCCGACGCGGCGGACAGGGTTTCAGTCTCAGTCGTGAGTCTGGAATTGAACCTCTCCTGCTTCGTATCCGTGCTTCCGGTCGCGGCTGGGCTGCAGACGGAGTAAGTTTCGACTGCCGATGGGACAGTTTCCGTCGTTTGGGAGCATGGTCGCCCGTGGTGCGGACCAGGCTACGTGGAGGGTCGGCACTCATGACTGAGCGCTGTGATCTGTGATGCCACCCACCGCTGCAGAGCCAGACTCTGGACTTGCCTTTGCGCTAGACAGTATCTAGGTAGGTAAGTAGGTGGGTAGGGTAGGGTAGGGTAGGTAGGGAGGTAGTATGGAGTCGTGGTTCTGACAAAGGCCTGATCAGCCTTTGACTTCAATGCCAAGTGCCAGCCTTGTCGATCACATGGCACAATCTCATTGGCCAGCCTTAGGGTGGGTGCCGGAATTAAAGGCGGTTTATCTGTCTTCTACTTCGATAGGATTAGGGAACCCTCCAGCTCTACCGGATAATTACGCCATGGTCGAGGCCCAAACTCTACGCTTCGGGTCCCATGACCTTCAGGAACTCCTGGTCTGGCTGCCGGCACAACGGCCACCCTCGGAGAGCTGTGAGAGCTGTGAGAGCTCACGGTTCTGGATCATGTAAGTCTCTCTAGATTCCCAGGTCTGAGGCTACAATCAGAAGCAGAAAGACCTTCTACTGTCTGCTCCGTTAATCCGTGCTTGTTCGGTCCTGAATAGAGCCTGTCGGCAGTACAGTTCAGGACAGAACAGGAGCTGACTGCTGACCGGTCCTTGACCCTCAATAGCCTCGTGCACGGCGGCGCCTGGCGCGATCCGACGATCACGCATCTCAACTTCGCCGAACCCGCCGTGTCGATTCTACTTTCTCCCTCATCACCAGTTTCCTCGATCCTCAAAACCCAGCACCGGTCGCTGGCTATAGCGTCGCTATCATACAGGCTGTCGCCACACCCGTCGCATCCACAGGACTGTGAAACCACCCCGGAGACTTCCCTCCGCAATGCCCGCCACCCAGACCATATCGACGACGTGTGCGCCGGCCTGGCGCTGCTGAAGGATATGTACGGGTTGACAGAGCAAAACTACATGTTGGTGGGCCATTCATGCGGCGCCACTCTCGCCTTTCAAGCCTTGCTGCGTTCTCGTTCCCGTTCTGGTCCTGGCTCTGACACTCTCTTTCCGTCGCCGGGAGCACTGGTTGGCTTGGCTGGAATCTATGATCTGCGGCTCCTGCTGGACAACCACAAGGACGGCCTGTACGGCGACATCTACACTTCCTTCATCGAGGGTGCGTTCGGAAAGCGCATGGATGACTGGGACCGTGCTTCGCCCACCCATTTCTCCGAGTCGGATATGTACTCTGGTCGCACTGTCCTGTTGGTCGCCGCGAGAGGGGATGAGCTGGTGGAGCCAGAGCAGCGAGACGCAATGAGGCGGACAGTCCTGGGTCCCGAGGCAATGGATTTGCCGGTGGAGGAGAAGTCAAGCGCGGGAGAATCGGAATCGGCCTTCTCTTTCGAGCACAAAGGCTGCAGATACGCACAGATGTCTGTGGACGGGGGCCATGATGACATGTGGCTTGTCGGCCAGAGGATCGTGGCTGCTATTGAGAGGGCACTTCAGATCATGACGGCGCCAACCATATAAAGACGGGACTGGATTTATCGTCCCAAGCTGGGTGGTGGGCGGGACCAAACATTCATATTCATACCTTAGGTATAAATGTCGTATTCACTCCCACTCCCACCGCCGTCGCGATATCACATACATCCCGAGTAGAGTCCCGCTGAGCCGGCATTGCCCTCTAAGGACATGGATCGAGTATCGAATGCCACTGGATCGGTCTCGGACGCGTCAAACACTAGTCTCCAAAGTGAAGTGGTGGCCATCAAGCGAAACTGAGCAAGATGGTCATGGTCGCCAGGAAAGGTTGTTAGGAGACGGGCTGAAGCAGTGGCAAGGATGACCTCGATCTTCGAGGGGAGGGCGACGACCACCATCTTCTTCATCGCCGAGCCATCATGTACACGATGGTTTCGCGGTCAACATCAAGGCAAATCACACAGACACGACACGATCGAGCAAGACTCAAGATTTGTACTCAATAGAGTTCATTTTTTAAAGTAATGGCTAAACTCATGGATCACCCTTGTGATTGTTACATGCTGGTGTCGATACTACTTGCCGAAGCAACAGTATTGTCGCCATGGATACATGGACCCCCATAAGGTTGAAGCTCAACTGCGCATTCACATGCCGAGTGCTCTGATGTTCCCGCTTGACTGGGTACATTGATCCATGAGAAAAAAACCCTTGAAGCTCACACATTGTTGAAAACCGGAAAACTTTTGGAAATTAGGGCAGTTGTGTAATAACACATGGGGGAATGATGACTGTTGTCGAGCCATGCTGAAAGGGGGATGCTGTTGGTGATGCTTTGCTGATGCCTCATGGCAGTTGTCCAGGATTGAGGCCAATGATCTGAAAAGACCAAGGGACTCAATCAATGGTCAAGGAAGAAACCATCCAAGCCCAACGGGCAAGAAATGACTCTCCAGACCTCCGTTTGGACAACCACCAACAACCACCAGAAACAACAAAAGTGACCTGAAACCTCGTAAGACGTCCAGCGTCACAATCATGCTGAGCTAGTAGCGGGGGAGTGGAAAGGTGTTGCTAGCATCAATCGGGTCAAGAGCCGGATCCTGGAAGCGGTAACGCTGCCCCATGCCCATTTCATTCTCAGCACCTGGAGTGCCACGGTCGAATTGGGAACGTCGGCGACGCTGCTCCTCCCGATAGGCTTGTCCTTGTCTAGGAGCGAACAGACCTGTAAGACGGACCATGTTAGTGTCATGTGGCCAAAGATGAGATAAGAGATAATTGTGCTCACGAGAATTGGGCAGGGCTGCCGGCAAATGGGTCATAGGGACTGTTGACATTGACGAAGAAGACAGAACCATGAGATGGGGTGTCTGCCTTGCCTGCAGTCTCCTTGACTTGTGGGCTGGCTGTGGTTGCACGGGCAGGTGGGAGATAGCGGCCTGAACGACGACCATTGCCCACGTTGGTTTGGCCCACTCGTCTCAAGCGATGTTCCATTGGGAAGGGACGTCGGGTGGGAGATGGAAGGACAAACAGACCGACATGTTCCGCATTCTCCACCGAGCGACGCATCTTGGAAGCATTGTCAGGTCCAGGGAAGCGTTCTTCATTGCCAGCGGTGGGAACATTGCCAGTGATGAAGAGCTAGACAGTGGTTAGCTTGAATTCGAATGATCCCGTCAGGACAGCCTCACCTTGGGGCGGAAGGAAGGATGCTCAAGCATGACAGAAGAGTTGCGGAACTTCTGGACAAGACAGTCCTTGCCTTGGATGGCTGTTGGAGATTGTTAGCTGATGCAAGTACAGGCAGAGTGAAGATACCCACTGGCATAGGAGACCTCGGCAACCTTGTCAGATGCAAAGCAGTTCCAGCGCTTTCCAGCACGGGCAAGAACGAACTATAAGACTTGTGAGCAGGAGAAAAGGGAGTTGACAAACAAGAGCACCGACCGGAATGATGGATTGTGCCTGGAAAGAGTTAGCAATGTCAATGGCATCGAGGCGAGGAACTTACGTCAACAAAGTTGATGAAGGCATATCCCACATTGCAGTTGTTGGCAAAATCTGCAGATTCCCATCAGTATCAAGTGAGATGTCAATGTCAACCAGGGTCACTCACCGATGCGAAGGTACATGAAGTCATAGCGACCATGGCTGGTAACATCAATGAGCTTCTTCAACATCAGTTGGTCGACTCGATTTGGGATGTTGCGCAACATGATCTAGAGGTGTTCAGTCAGTGGGATCAAGCAAGGTGAGGGAAGCCACTCACGGTGGTGCGGACATCAATGCCTGCCTGGATGCGAGCAATGTCGACAGCATTGTGATTTGCGTTCTGATTGAGACGACGACCAGTGCGAAGTGCGTCACGCTGAATGACAACGGCAAGACGATCATAGTCGGGATCGACCGGAACAGTGGAACGACCGGTGATTGAAAGCTGCTCACGAGGGCTAGGTGCCTCACCAATGGTAGTAGCGACGTCACGAACATCTGGCTTGTACGGTTCAACATCCAAGACCATACCCTATGATGAAGGTCAGTAAGGCGGAAGCGAAATGAACAAGTGGGTGACTTACAAAAGTCATGGTGCCGCTGATCACGTCCTTGGCAGCCTCAACGACGTCGGCATTGAAGAACTCGACACGGAACTCTCGAACGTGGATCTGAGTGGGTGCCAGGGTGTGGAAGGCCTTGACAGGACCACACTGAGCAAGCAGACGCTTGATCTCGGCAACGACAGCGTATGCATCCTTCTGTTGGACAGCAGGGTGGCCATTGTAGTAGACAGTGACGATGACTTGACCTTCAAAGTCGGTGACCTGGTGAGGATCCTTGCCTTCATCAGAAGCAAGGCCCTTGGGAGGCAATGGGAAAACCCGAGCCAAGGGAAGGCGGGTGCTGGCAACTTCGAATGCAAGCTTGGCCTCACGAACATCGGCAAAGGAAAGAGTGACAAGACCATGGGTGACCAACTGAGAAGCATTGATGGATCTCAAGGAAGAGAACGATGAAGTCTAAAGAAGTTAGTTAGGGATAAACGATGATGAAGGGAAGGAAGGGTCGACTTACCTTGAAGATGGCCGCAATGTCAGTTGATCGGAAGCTCTCGGGAATGCCGGTGACGACGAAGGCACGGGTGACGTTCTCATCTGTGCTGAAGATGCCCTGAGAGTAGTTGATGTGGTACATGGAGGTACCGGTGAGAGCGCGACCCGCGTTGAGTTTTGCAAAGGCCTTGGCGAGATCCTTGTCGTCAGATGCGATACGTGGGCCTCCAATGACTCCTGGGACAATGGGTTGAGCCTGCTCGGGGGTTAGAGCCTTGGCCTTGCGTTCCGGGGTACTGCCTTTCAGCAGGGAGCTTACGCCTCCAGCTTGGACATCCTCCGCAGAATTGACTTGCTTGCCACGAGATGGGACACGAGATGGGAAGTAGGGGTATGCGGGCATTGGGAGAGCAGTGACATTGCCACGAGTACCGACATGGAATGCCTTCTTGAACGGAGTCTGAGCACCGGGGGTGAAGACTTCTGCAGTCGGGGAGAGTTGACGAATATTGGTGGAGGCCGGTGCGTTCAAGAACACATCATCACCAGCACTGTCATCAGTTAGTTTGGATGTGTGTGAGGGGTGGAAGGGTATGATGGTGGAAAGGTATGATGGTGGAAAGGTATGATGGTAGGAGGGTATGATGATGGAAGGGTATGTCAAGGACGGAAGGGTATGTCAAGGATGGAAGGGTATGATGGTGGAAGGGTATGATGGTGGAAGGGTATAATGGTGGAAGGGTATGATGGTGGAAGGGTATGATGGTGGAAGGGTATGATG